CCCAGCTGGAGCAGGCCGCGGCCCGGCTACTTCCTGTCAGCCTCGTACATCCCCGATGAACCCAAGAAAGCAGAACATGGACAGGTTGATCTTCATTCTTGCGGATCGAAAGCGTTTCATGATCCCATCAGATGAAAATGCAGAAGCTGAGACGAATGAGGGCTTCGGATGAACCGAGGTCCGAGTAAGGTGCGCCAAAGAGTTAGTTGAGTGGTAAGGCAGAATGATTTCGGACTTAGGGGTCAATGAGCTGCTTGGACGGGTTGAGTGGCCACGTCTACTTTCGAACGCGTATATCAACCACTGTGAACACCGGCACTTGGCGACGTACGGCTATGGGACACGCACATCTTTACCTAGAGCGTCACCCTCATCCAGTGGATAACTGTCGGACATGAAACCTTCTGAGCCATGGTGGAGAGACGGTATACCTGGGACCATGTTCACATTCTGTAATTTCTGTCCGAGATTTCTCTGGAAACATGCATTCGGGGCAGAACCAGCCTTGTCATGTAGATCTAAGTCCTAGAATATTACTCTGAAGCAGCGAGCGGAGGATTAGGCTTGTAAAGCGTTTGTCAACGGCTGGAATCCCATGACCACTGCCAATGATGACTCCTGCACCACTCTCATGAAATCACCGTCTGACACCGTTGGAGAAAGATCACGTCTGCGTCCTCCATAGCGAATTGTTTGTCTCATTCGCTACCATCGACGGGATACATGCAAAGCAGGTCAATCTTCCATGTAGGCATGCTCCATCTACTGGCTCGATAATGAATGACTGCTTCAGTTGGATCTCCGTCTCGGGCTGAGATAATGCACGAATAGTGCGCAGCAGCGGTGATAGTATTGATCCCGTACGTACTATGATCCACTTTCATAATGGGGGCTTGACTCAGATTTAATGGGTCATCCATCAATCATTTGTTACCGACTGAGTTTCTTGACCTCGAAAGTGTCATTGTCAAGACAATGACCCACATGAAGATGGTGCCTGCGGACTCCTCTCCCCCACGTCGATTATGGTTCTCTCATTTCTCTGACATCTTCATGTGAGCAGTGCCGTGAAAAGAAGTCCAACTCAGGCTGACCAGCGCGGCGAAGCGCCGTTTTTACAGTCCTTGGACCCTGAGTTGGAGAACTCTGCTCTGATCCACCTGGGCTATGGGCTAGTGTTGAGAGAGACCTTGGCACCACTTGAGACCGGTACATGGCAAGCCAGGCACGGCGGAAAAGATTGAATTCCTGCTTCGCCTTGGCAGATGCCACTTCATCTTGGGCGCGTCAGTCAGCCTCAACTGGTCTTCCATAGACTGCTCCAGATCTCTGATCTGGCTTGTGTGAAGGACCCTTTCCTGGGATTTTGACTGCACTGACTCTATTGATGTTTATCGCTTGGCGGCTCAAGCTGTTGACTTTGACAACCTCTATGGAGTCAAAGGCAGGCATGAGATCGTGTGTCTCTCAAACCCACGTCATCGGAATCTTTTCATGGCCAAGACTACTGTACTTCAATTACATTCAACGGTGCAGAGACGGGGCTCCGCGACTCATTCTTTCTGTCCGTGATTATTGTTCATTTATTATTTTGGCATTGTGGCATTGTGGCATTGTGGCATTGTGGCATCAATACGGTGCAAGTGTGTACTGTAGCAGACTAGCAGTAGTACTAAGAAGGTTACTAACTACTAGTAACTAGTAACTAGTAAACTAGTCAGTTAGTTCACAACTACTAACTTATACTAAGTAATTCTAACTTTTGCCCCTGGAGAAATCTCGATTTCGGTCTTTCAGCGATTTAACTTTTTTTTTTTTTTTTTTTTCTATTCTTCTCGTGCTGAGCGCGCGGACCGAACCCAGAAGAGGATAGTTCGATCCCGCCCTCCCCGTCGATCGTATCTTTGGAAGCTTGTCGATAGCCGGGCGCTCACTGCCAACCGTGGATCGGAGGTTTTTCTCGGTTTAGAAACCGTTCTGATGCCACCTTTTGGTTCTGATGGAGAAAGGGTCACTGGTGGTGTGGATATACATTGTTCAGCCGGCTAGCAGACTGTCCTTTTGTATTTGGACCTACAGTACTTTGTCGAGGACTGGAATCATATCGTTAACGGACGTATTGTTGTCGTCCATGAAGCTAAGTGATGGAACTGACGTAGTGACATCTTGGAAGTCCAAGTAGTATGCATTCCTCCCGTAGTAGGCGAAACGTTCGAGTCTCAAATGATCACGCCTCAGTGAGTGGCTGCTTGACATGGAGGCTTCATTCATGTAGTATGGATTCTTTACCTTGACGCTATTCTCGCACCTACATAACTACCTAGGGAGATACATGGGTAGCACTCGTCGTCAGGCACTGTACTTGTAGTCCATCATTGATCATACCCTTTCACCAGTTCGGTTTGTGAAGCTTCGAGGGACCCGCACACGATCCCCGCTCACCTTCATTCGGGGCCTTTTTGGTTTCCATTAGGAAAGATTTGATTCTAGTTGGATCGGTGCTCCGTGGGAGATTTTTTTCAGCTGTCGCTGCCAGCACCTCGGGGTGGCTACTGCGTGTGTACTCTCGCCTCGGCCCCAGGAATCGTTTGTTTCGAACGTTTTTTCCCTGTTCCCCTCTCTATGAGCTTCTTCATGTGAGGTGGTCTTTGGGTTTACCCCATCCGCTCCCCTTCCCAGGATACCGTCCTGCAAGATGGGAGATATCAGATCAATGCTCGTCTCCTTTGAGGAACTGAAGTCTTTTGCCCAGGAGTGGAATCTCGCCCCCTCTCCGTTGTACATCCTATCTATTCATTTTAAGCCTCCTGATCACCTACGGAGCCCACCGAGTCGGAGGCGTTCAGCTTGCCCACTACTTGTCAGTGACAAGTTGTCACTCTCGCTCAACCAGTATTTGCCTTACTGCGAATTAGGTTACGGATGACCACCTGGACCTGAACGGTAAGATGACGGATCAGGTCGGGGCTGGCCCCCGGGAGAGCAAGTCACCCGTCCAGCGATCATATCATGGAAAGTATGGATTGCCCCGCGAGTGGGCAATCCGACCTTTCTAGTTCCAACTTTCAACGCTGTTGACTGTGTCCTTTTACTGGATGATTTGTCTCGTTTGGGCATTCCTGGAATGGATTTGCCGCGGGGCTGCACCCTACTTTTAGCTATTTAGCGTCCAAGCCTCCCAAGAGGATCCCGGGCTCTCAACGGACCCAGTCTCGGGCGCTTTGAAGTCGTTTTTTTTTCTTTTTCCGTTTCTCGACCGGGTAGATGATGGTAGAACTGTGGTTTCTTTTTTATTTTCGGTGATTTTAGAGGAGTCTGGAGAGCCGAGAGAGAGAGACTGAAAACAAATACACTTCGGAGGCTTGTTGTCACTGGAGGTGCTCTGGTGAATCTGTTGTCGAGAAGAGATCGAGTATTACTATTCAGTGTATTCACTAGTGAGGTGTTCACTGTTCAGCACTCCAACTACGGAACATTGAAACCGCCGGTCGTCTGCCCTTCCGAGGAGTATACATTTCGCCAAAGCCACTCTCGTGGGCGTGTGCCACCAACATTGGCCGAATGAACGTCTGAATGGGTGTCCGACTGGAGTGGATTCTGGAGTGGTTGACAGCATGAACAAATGCCTGATCCCTGCCTAAATTGGTCCCCAGTCCTTTCCTCTTCCATCCATCCAACCCTGAACATTCAGCTCTCTTTCATTCGGCTGTCCCAGACGGCAGAATAATTTAATATCGCACCTCGCGTGGGCTGGGCGTAAAGTCAATCTACGACCACGGCAACACCGCGACGACCATCTGGATCGCTGTCTGTTTCCCTCTTCCTCGCTCTCTCTCTCTCTCTCTCTCTCTCTCTCTCTCTCTCTCTCTCTCTCTCTCTCTCTTTCTCGTTCCCTCTCGCCCGGCTCTCTCCATCTCTGCCACGCTCGGCGCCGCTGAGCTGACAGTGCCGTTTCGGTGGGCCTCCAACCACCAGGTGCATCCACCCTTTCCTGGAGCCCAGCGCAGTCGACCGCCGTCCAAATTGCGTCAATCACGCAGGGTCTCTAGTCCTTCTGTCTCCGTTGAGATCTGATCTCGGCCCGAATCCCGCAACCTCTTGGGGTAAATTGTCACGGCTGGATCTCACCTGGACTCACATACCACACACTGGGGCTAGCAAAGCCCGAGCGTGGGCCGGCCACTGGTAGCTTATGCAAATCGCTGGGATCCTGCAGCCACCCTGGTGGTAGTAGCAGAATATGCACCAGCGCACCTTTGACACCTAGGGCCCGTTTGCGACATGCTGGTCTTTTGAATTGACTTTGGTTGCTGAAGCACGACTCTTGTGGCCTCGTTGACCGAATCTGAATCTGCCTAGGGTCATTGACGAGCCAGAGCCAATTGGGGCGTCGTCGGCGAACTAAAAGTCTCAAGTACGCTCAACTGCAACTCTCCTTCTATCTCCCACCACCCATCAATTATCAACCCCGCCAACGCCGGAGAAAGATTTTAAGACAAAAAAGAAGAAAAAAGAATTGACCAGCACTACCTATCTGTATCGTCTCGAAGTCACCAGGCGTGCTATCATCTGCATCTATATCACCCGTCCTGTGGCGCATTTATCTAGATTCGTGCCAGTCTACCCCGGGTCCTCCTCGCCGCTCCACTGGTATCGAAGCCTGTTCGACCGTAATTGAGTGAGTGCATCGTTCACTATACACACATGCAATTACTTTTCAGGCAACTGTATTCATCGCGCAAGATCACTGACCGGGATTCAAGACCCAAGATCACTGCCCACTCTTTGCTCGGCGGACACGCGAAAGGAAACTGCCACGGAATTGGACACTGTGGCCTCCAGCCTGCTTGGGCATCATCTGACGCCTATTGCGGTCGACGAGAGTCCCAGATTCGACCGACGATCATCTCTGTTGTGCGAGAGTCTACTCGAGTGCCGTGTGAATGCTTTCCATCAAGAGCCCGGCTTCTTTCGTTTCAGTTTCCTTTATATCGCCGACCATGTCGGGCTACCATGGTGGGCCTTTCGGTCGTGAGTCGACTCTTGCGAAACCTATTGCTTTTCTTGTGTCTCTGCATGAGCGTTCCTTCCTATCCTTGCAGAAGGCATTTGCTAACTGGACAGAATCCGGAGACAACCCATACAAGCTTCCCCCACCGCGCACACCCGCCAACTTACAATTTGCACCCGACCCATTCCTACGACAGCGGGACTCGGATCGATCAGATTTGACTCGAGATGCTGCCCCAGCAGATCCTCCATCTGCACGGCAGACCAATGAACAGCTGCCGTCCGTCAGATCGCTTTTGACGCCAGTAACAGGTTCGAGCTCACCTCCGCCATACCGTCATCAGGCATATGGCGCGACAACCCCAAGTGAACCACAGCGGGAGTTGGGCTATCCCTTTCGCCAACAAGATCCCGTATTTCCTCCCCTCCAGATGGGAGCACTTGATCGACGTCGATCAGAGTCCCTACCGCATTCCCAACACGCCAGCCTCCCACCTCTATCACACGTGGCCATGACCGAGCCCGCAGACGCAGACCTGCACCACCACTCAACAAGAAGCGATCCCTCAACGGCCAAGCTATCACACGCACATCTCTCCCCCCGCAACACCTCTCATTCTGAACTAATGCCTTCGGCGGAAATCTCTTCCCCCGAAAGTGTTTCACGGGTCAAACCCGCGGCGGTGCTTCCGCACGTCGTGGACGAACGATACATCGACGGCGAGCTCTGCTTCGTGTATGCGGATGGATCGCACCAACCAAAAATCGTGGATGGAAAACCCGTCAACCCGAACTGGGGCGTGACCAAGGCGGGCAAACCGCGCAAACGACTAGCGCAGGCATGTCTGACCTGTCGTGAAAAGAAGATCAAGTGTCAACCAAACCGTCCCAAATGTGATCAGTGCCAAAAGTCGGGGCGTGAGTGCCGATTTGAAAATGCGTAAGTCCAAATCGGCTAGGAAAGTTTTTATCAACCCATACAGAGCACCTTGATCCTCACTGACACCTTTCTCCTCCCGACCAAGGCTTCGAGGAAATCGTTCGCGAGGTTCCCATTCACTCGGACCGTCTGGCATGTCTTCTGACGCCACAAGCACAATGTACGATGTGACTCGTGCATCAGACAGCGGGGCATCGCTTCCCGGAAGTGGCCATTCGCCCATCTCAGAAAGCGTAGGAATGACTCCGTCTGGCATGGACATCACGCATGATCCCATGTTGGAGGCAGAACGCGCTTATCGACAGCGCGCCGCTAGAATTACCCGCCCTTACGAAGAAGAAGTACTCATTCGACACGTGAACTATCCAGAAGCCGAACGTCCTCGAGTGTACCAGGAAATCTTGAGCGAGATCAGCAACTCCAGCCCCGATGATCCCCTCTTGGTCTCGTGGAATCGCGACCCGTTTGAGCTTGACCCCGAGATGACTTTGCACTATGTCGAAACTTTCTTCACATACGTGAATGATGGGCTATACCATATTTTCCCGCGCGCTCGGTTTCTAATTTGGCTAAAATCCTGCAACACCAAGTCTCAGGAAGACAAGATGGTGCTTCACTCAATGATGGCGCTGGGGTCAATATTTTCCGACCGTCCAGACAAGGTGAATGCTTTTCGACGATACTCTCGCATCGCAGGGTTTGCGATTCAGCGAGGTCGGCATAATTTGTGTTTGCAATTGGTACAGAGTCATTTAATAATGAGCCTGATGTATTACGCTGCTGGCTCATTATTAGCTGCGTGGGACTCGATTGGCTCCGCGGGACGTGTGGTCAATGGACTTAGGTTCAACATTGAGTCTGGTGGTGTAATTGTTGGTCAGAACCAGCCGTGTGAATATGGATTGCACCCACAAGCCCTCATTGAATGCCGCCGGCGGACATTCTGGGTCGCTTTCCTCTTGGATGTGAGTCTGGAAAGGCAAGGTCATCAACAAAAGCATCTCAAGCTAATCATTCCGTTTCAGCGAATCTCCTCATTTTTCTCAGTCCCAGTCATCTCGATTCCCTGCGACTGTGCACTCATTCGACTGCCGTGCCGGGAAGACATTTACGAGGCACAACAATACGCTACCGCCCCCTACTTCCAGAACATTCTCAACCAGGCCTCCGGCTTCTCCGAGGAAGACCGACATTCACTCAGTCCCATGGCATTTGTGATTCAAATACTCTCCATCTGGGGCGACGTATCGTTCCAGATATTGCGCCTATCACATACACCACCCGAGTGTTGGCCACAACTGGCAGAAGAATTCCACACAAGCACAATTCAGAGGACGGAGGATTGGCTCACCCAACTGCCTGAACATCTCGCATTCTCTGTCGTCAATATGGAACGGGCAAGCCAAGCTAAGAAAGTGGATGCTTTTGTTGGGATTCATATGTTCTATCATGCGACCTTGATGCGATTGTACCGACATGCCAGATACCAGAGTCTGCGATCGGAAATTCTTGTTCGGCATATACATCAAGCACGATATCATGCGGTCGAGATCCTGCGTATTGCTTTGGCTGTCGTCCAATACGCACATGATGTCCAGGCCTCTCGGGCCACATCTGATTCCTCTACAGCTCATGGGACGCTTCTGGGCCCCTTTTTGGCATATGTTGTCGTCGCTGCGGTGGACGTTCTCAGTGCAGGGGGTATGATTGCTGAAGTGCCCAACCACATTTCCTTCATCAATGGGGCATATGGAATGGTCCAGCTATTAGGCCACCACTGGGATAGCTCTATCAGCCTGGCCAGTCTCATCAAGAAGCGACTTGACGCAATGATTGACTGCGCAAACGACCGGTCTCGCAATCCAGAAAAGATCTGCTTTGCCGTTGACGGTCCATCTCTCGAGAACAGAGTACCCACCGCAACACCTGCACAGCCTCTGGCTACCCTGGAGGAAGATCTGTTCTACGGAGCTCTTCCGCGTGAGGTCTTCCTCCGGGCTTTGAAAGCAGACGACACCGTGTCAGTCGATAAGAATGTCGCCTGGCTGAGGGACTAATGATTCTGACTCTTCGAATGTCGTTCAACTTGGTATTCCTATCGTGTTTTACCACCAGGACACTTCTCTTGATGTCCGCGTTTGACAAAAGACATCTGTCAATAAACGCACGTGAAAAGCATCTGCTTGGATAGAGCGCGCGCCAAGCGACTTTGACACAGTCGCTTTTCCCTGTACATTTTTCCTCTTGCATATACATGACCCCGAAATCCTCCCATCTGCTTCCACAATAGCGAGCATCTCCTCATTCGACACTGTCTACGACTCTCCCAACATGCATATATCGTTACGATTTGGCCGATGCGATGTCGCCAAGTATAAATTCTCAGTCTCGACCGGATTTTTCCGGAGCTGAAAATTTCATGTATTATTTATTATACATGGCCTTTTTCATGGCCATCTCAGTCTTTATTTCAGCGTACAAATGTTGACCTGCACACTTACATCTGGTACTCATCGTGTATATAGTTTAAATACTTGATCGGGAGCTTGAGGCATCTCAATTGTGCTAGCATAAACGATTACCATTCTGACATACTGGCATTGAGTTGACTAAATAAGTCATTTTGAGGGCCTACTTTGGTTCTTGAGATCCCTGCTTGTAAGCTGCCCTACAATCATGAGCCGAGGACATTCTTTCCTTTCTTCGGGTATTTTCCTTCTACCAAGGTTCCAATCCCATGCTACCGTGCCCATCCATGCTAGCACGCTCTTATTGCAAGCATCTACCATCTACCACCTCTAAGCTCTTTTCCCCAGTCTCACTCATGTTCAAGGGGTTTTCCATGGTCCTTCAAGCCATAAGAATGCACACTCTTGATAGCAGTTGCAAGTAATCAAGCACTATGTTCGGACCCATTTGTTAACGCAAGCTTGACCGTTCAATGCCCCGCTCGGGTTCAACCTGAAGTTGGCCAAGATGGTTTCTGCAGGTGTACTGAGTGAACAAAATGTATTGCCCTCTCCGGGTGAGCTCTGGAGGTACACTTTTGTTACCCAGGATAGGACTGATTGTGTATTCGGGGAACTTGAGACTTTCTCTCTCTCTCGAGGTTTATAATTTCAATGTTGGATAGCATGGCATTAACCTTGGCGTGGATACAGGACCCCCTCGGGCGGGGAATCCGCCTGAGGCTCGACCGACCGACGGAACTGCAGAGCGGAGCAAACGGAGCTCCAGCAGAGTTTCTCCGCTCTCATCTCACCCTGGCTTTGGTACGGGAGTTACGATTAACTGCGTGATCCCCCTTCTGCTGCAGAGGAATGGGTTCTCAGTACAGGTATCTCACGACGCAAACTTGACAACCAGCCCAGAAACAACAACCTAAAAAAGAATCCCGAAGCCAGCTCCATGTCCGAAGCCGACCAGTCGAGCGCGGCCCACGCGGCGGCGCGGGCCTTTGGCTTCCACGCGGAGGGGGAAGACGGTCTGGACGGCGACTCTGGGATAGCGACCGAGTATCCGGATCAGCTCGACTATTACTCTCTCCTGGGTCTTTCACAGAAGCCGGCGCCCACCGAGACCGAGATTCGATCTGCCTATCGCAACCTCACCTTGATGTTTCACCCGGACAAGCAGCCGCCGCATCTTCGGGAGTCGGCCGAGCAACACTTCAAGCGCATTCAGACCGCGTACGATACTCTCATGGACCCGAAGAAGCGAGTCGTGTATGATATGTTCGGGGAGGAAGGGGTCCAGAGGGAATGGGGTCGTGGTGGCGCAATGGGACGTGGAGGGGACGCTGAGAAGCAGCAAGTGGGCGTCAAGGCCATGTCGCCTCAAGAGTTTCGTCACTGGTTCACGAGGACGATGAAGAGGCGTGAGCGCAAGGCCTTGCAGGATTTGGTGAACAGTCACGTATGTGATTCTAGGCACTTTGACACAATCAAAACGTTGATATATCAGTCGCTAATTCTTGCGTTTCTGAATCGTAGGGATCTATTACTCTTGGACTCAATGCCGAGACGACCATTCGAGTCGACGAGGACGATGATATGACGATTCATATTCCGGAGAGGGTTGTTCCGGTTTCTTACGCTGCCAAAGTTTCGTTTGATTCTCCATTGAGCCTGCCCAGCTTCAGATCAAACGTGAAGGCAGATACGATAGCAGATGAGCAGAAAACGGACCCAGATTCAGAACAAGATGACGAAGTGTCGGAATCGCCTATTCAAGTCACGTTCCAGGCTGGAATTGCTGGCAATATCGTTCATCGTACGCAGGAGGCCAAGGCTGAATTCGCTGATGGAACGGAAGAGGATATCAAGGTCCGTAAATCCATGCAAAGCATAAAACACCCCCAGTTCTGTACTTGGACGCTACTGACGTGACACAGATTCCGCTGCCGCCCGTAGTGGTTGCTAACAATGTGAATTTGGGTGTGAATCTGAAACCCAATATGACCGAGTTGATTGGTACAAAGGGTATCTGGAAGAATCGATACTGGTCGACTCTGCGAGAGTCCACGGTCCTGGTAGAGGCCAATGTTCTTCCTCTACCGCTGCTGAGAACGACTGTTGCACGGGCGTTCCAGCCAATTCCCGGGATTAAGCCTTTCCAGGTCACCACAAAAACCACGTTGATGCGATCTTTGTTGGAGTCTCCCCCGTCATTGGAGGTTCATGTAACCAAAGAAATCGCAGAAAGGAAGCTGGCCTTCTGTGCGTGGTCAAGCGGGACCTGGTATTACCCTGATTTCCTGCTGGATAACTTTTTCTTCCGGGGAATGACGGTTGCGGACATGTATGCCTTTTCTGGTGATCTCAGCAGCCTTCAAGTCGGCTTGATCTCATTACCGAAGCAACCTACCCAGACAATTTCCATGGACGACGATGATGCCGATGTAGAGGAAGAGAGTGCCGCGCGCAGACCGAAAAATCGCGTGGATTCATCGGCTGAATCCTGGCAGACGTTCATTCAAGTTTCTCCAGGTGGCGGAGGTCTCAGTTTGATGTATTCTCGAAATCTGTTCTCGGGCACACCGGCTGATGATTTGGCAAAGTCTGAATGGACCGAAGAGGGATACAGCCCGGTGATGAACATTGAAGGGCCTCGAGCTGTGCGGGTTGAGCTCTCCACTACCGTCAGTCCAGATCTATCATTTACTTGGAATATCAAGGGTACTCGCCGCGTTGGTGAATATACCAGAATGGGACTCGGCATTGGTCTCACTCATCAGGGCATTCTGATGACGGTTGGGTGGACAAGGCTCGGCCAAAGCCTGAATTTACCACTTGTTCTCTGCTCCAAGGATGAGGCCACGCATGATGCGGCCATCTTGGCAGGCATCTTTACGTGGGCTAGCTATCTCGCTATCGAATTCGGCTATATCAGACCCCGCGATCGAAAGCTCCGTCGGGAGGAAGTTGCGCGGCGTCACAATCAATTAAAGAAGTTGATCCCAAAGAAGCGTGCGGAAAGCGAGCAAGCCATCCAAATGATGACCGATCAGGTTCGCAGGCGACAATTGAAAGAGCACGACCAAGACGGGCTAGTGATAGACCGAGCGGAATATGGTTACTGGCCACCCACAGATCGCAAACCCCGTCGAGGACTCGAGGAGGCTCGAGTCGCAGATGTCTTATACCCAGTGGCGAATCTTGTCGAACGTGGGCAGCTAGTGATCCGTTCAAGCACAGTCAAAGTAAGTGGCAGAATTTCCCTTTCTCATATGGTCAAGAGTCAAACACTGATCGATCCCTCAACCGCAGCACCAAATCATTGGCTTCCATGACCCTGCACCTCTGCTCAAGAAGCAATTGAAGATCTGGTACACTTTCCAAGGTCGCTCGCATTACGTGGAAGTAGGTGACAAGGACGGCGTTCTTCTGCCGCAGCGTGGCCACATGTGTCCTGAATCTGAGCAATTCAATTCGCTCTACTTATAGCATGTCAAGGTCCATTCGTTGAGGCTTTCCAGGACAACAACGAGCTACCTATCCCATGTGGATAGTTAGTACCGAGTTTGCTCTGGCACCATGTACCATATCTGTTCTTCTACGTTGTTGAGATGTCTGGCTCTTAACGTGGTTCTCATTGCTGTTCTGCATACATCGGCGTTGAGACTGGATACCATGTCGGGCCACTCGTCAGGAGTTGGAAAATCTTCATTTGAGATTTCTTGTTATGCTTCCACGCTAATGATTCTGCTGTAGAGTCATTCATGTAATTGCTTTTTGTTCCATAGTAGTTTGATGGTCGTGACTTGTAGCCGTCTGAGCCTTGGCCGCTTCCGCGTGGTATCACGTGATCTAGAAAAGACATTGACATCAGACAGCTGTGAGTGGAGCATTCAACGCAGACCATTTGCGCAAGTCTGGAAAAGCGAGGTGCATCCCGACAGCGGTCTCTCCTCGATATTAACTCTGGCCCAGAAGTCCTCGAATTGAGAATTACATCCTACCATGACATCCCTCGCATCGGGACTCTTCAAGTCTCTTCCAAAGCCAAAATACACAGGCGAGGAGGAGGAGTTGCCACAGCATGCGCAACCACGGGGTCCTCGTGTTGTGGGCGCTGACCAGCTTGATGAGACACAGGTTATACTGAGGGTGAGTGATCTTTCTTGCGGTTCGTCATCTCCCGCCTCTACTGATTTTTCCGCCCTCTCTCGTGACTAGAAAACCGGCCCCCCGCCCTACGGAAATCGAGCAGGATGGCGACCACGCGCCCCAGAAGATTTTGGCGACGGGGGCGCGTTTCCCGAAATCCTTGTTGCACAGTACCCCCTCGACATGGGCAGGAAAGGTGCTTCATCAACGTCCAACGCGCTTGCGGTCCAGGTCGATGCGGAGGGAAAGGTCAAATATGATGCCATCGCACGCCGTGGCCACGGCGACAACCGAATCGTCCACGCTTCATTCAAGGATTTGATCCCGCTCCGACAGCGGGTAGACATGGGTGAAATTTCGCTCGACAGACCATCAGAGGAAGAAGTTGAAGCTCAGATGGAAAAGACCAAGGCCGCGCTTGCGAGTCTGGTGGAAGGAGCAGTGCAGTCACAGAAACCGAAGAACGTCAGAGGTGGCCGACGGGCAGAGCCCACCTTTGTGCGATACACGCCCGCCAACCAGATGGGAGACAATTCGAAGAAGAACGACCGCATTATGAAGATTGTCGAGCGACAGCAAGACCCGATGGAACCTCCCAAGTTCAAGCACAAGAAAATTCCGCGCGGACCACCTTCACCTCCACCTCCCGTGATGCATTCCCCGCCGCGCAAGCTCACTGCGGAAGATCAAGAGGCCTGGAAGATTCCCCCACCTGTGTCGAATTGGAAGAACCCCAAGGGTTACACTGTACCGTTGGATAAGCGATTAGCTGCCGACGGTCGAGGGTTGCAGGATGTGGCAATCAATGACAAATTCGCCCAATTCGCCGAAGCGCTCTTCACAGCCGATCGTCATGCTCGTGAGGAGGTGCAGCTTCGGGCTCAGATGCAACAGAAGCTGGCCGAGAAGGAGAAGGCTCAAAAGGAGGAACACCTACGCCAGCTTGCCCAAAAGGCACGCGAGGCTCGTGCTGGTCCCAGTCGTCGCGATTCTGTCGCTCGCTCACCCTCTCGCAGCCGCAGTCGGAGCTTCTCACCGCAGTCCTCAAGGTCTGGAAGTCCAAGTGACGATGAAGAAGCCAGGGAACGTGAGCGACAGCGACGCGAGCGACGACAGGAAAATGAACGTAAATTGCGACAATCTCGTATGGGTACCGAACGCCGCATCCAGGCCATGGCTCGTGAACAGAACCGTGATATCTCTGAGAAAGTGGCCTTGGGCTTGGCGAAGCCTACACAGAGCTCCGAGTCCATGTGGGATTCTCGTCTGTTCAATCAGACAAGTGGAATGAGCACCGGATTCAACGAGGACAACCCATACGACAAGCCGCTGTTTGCCGCGCAGGACGCTATCAACAGCATCTACCGACCCCGTGCTCAATTGGATGCCGATGAAGAGGAAGGCGGAGACGCCGAGATGGGCAAGATTCAAAAGGCCAGTCGCTTCGAGGTCCTCGGACGGGCGAAGGAAGGCTTCAAGGGTGCAGCAGATGCCGAGGTACGTTATTCTGTTCGACAAAGCCGGATACGTGCCGGGTTTTCTTTTCTTGTTACGTGCTAATCATTTTTTTTGGTTCCGCCTTCTAGGAGCGACAGGGACCAGTTCAATTCGAAAAGGACACGGCAGATCCATTTGGAATCGATAGTATGATTGCTGATGTGACCTCTGGCCAGAAGCGTTACGGTATTCAGGAGGCCGACAGTGAGGACCGAGGAGCCAAGCGGGCTCGCGTTGATGAAGAGTAAAAGTGGTGGTCTTCTGCTTTACCGTAATATCATATATTCTACAGGTCAGGGTCTTTTTCCATGCATTGCGGGAGTTTCAAATGCAACACGTTGAATGATCCACGAGTGGTTCGCTCGCTGTCTCAAGTATCAAAAGAACCTCTTTAAGACGGATTTCATTTGGCAGTGCCTCGCAGCGTAGAAGGTCGAGAAAAACCAGCTATGATTGTTTTCTATTCACAAATATACCTGTTCCACTTTCATTTTTACAAAGCCAAGGAGATTAGAGCTTCTAATTCTTCAACTCGGGCTGGTTAGGCGACAAGACGGATTCCAACCACTGGTACGCGACAGGCAGACTGTGTGGATAGCCCATATGGACCAAACCCTCGAAGAATCTTCCTTCCTTGGGACCACCGTGATTGAAAAGAACATGGCAGTCTTCGATCGGGACAACGCCATCGTCCACGCCCTAGAGAGAGAAGAGTAAAAGGTCAGTGGATCACATGTTTTAAGTGGCAGCGTATTGGAGACTTGGTATGTCGCTAGGCTTACATTCAACAAGAGCAGCCGGCAGTTAGGGTTATCCATGACGCCCGTTTCAACCAAGGAGAACTTCTTCTGGGCGTTCTCGATGAACTCCTCCGTGCTGGAGTAGCCATACTTTTCAGCCCAGGGATCGGTGATTCTATCAAGACCGATTAGCGTTGCTTTTTCAACGTTTCTCTTCAACCCGGGCCATCAGGTTGAAATTCAACGACGCATGAAATTCAACGACAGACTCACGTGAATGGATATTCATGATCGTTCACCCGGCTCAACCACTCCTTGTTCAAGAAATGATGAGAACCCGGCCCATGGGCCACACATCCCACCAGACGTTGCCTGTGAATGACAGACGCGCGGATGGCATAGAAGCCTCCCGCACTCAGTCCCCACGCAGCGACATGGCTCATATCCATCTCTGGCTGGGTCTTCATCCAATTCAACACGCTCGTCCACAGACGGTCCGGAGACTCAGGATCCGCAGGGTCAGCCGGAGAATCCGCCGTCCCTGGAATCTCCACGATCACCACGCCCCAGCCACGAGCGATGATCTCATGAGTCCGCTGGCTGTTATCCGGTCTGTATCCGTCCAGGCCGGTCATGAGCAAAACAACGGGCACGGGGTGTGACGCAGACGCTTCCTCGGGGAGACGAAGATATAGAGAGATCTGTTGTCCCTCGTGGCTCAGACCTTGTTCGTGGGGGATCACCACCTCTTTTAACACCGGCTGCCAGAGTGCGGTGGCTTTCAGATAGACCTTCTTCTGGCGTTCGAAGGCAACTCTCTTGAGTGAGGTTTCGGCTCGACTGGCGGGACTGACGTAGGGGAATCGCGAGATGCGAAGAACTACCGCGGCGCGTCGGTAGAGATCCGATGCCGTATCGCGTTTGCCATCTTGATGAAGTATATCTGCCTGTTTCTCCAAGTCTTCTGCGATTGGTAGGAATGCCTTGGTGTAGGCTTCTGAGGAAGCGTCGTTGATGTTCTCCTATACTCTATCTCAGCAAATACAGAGTCATGGCAATTGCTAAGCCTGCCAACGCAAAAAACCACGGCGCGCATACACACCTTGATGAGCTTTTCGAAAATGGGTTCAAAGTCCTTGATATCGCCGTCATGGAAGGGATAGATCGCCTTGTCACACTATGCACATGGCATGGGCACGATGGAAGGCCCTCTGATTAGTCGCTGATTTGATCCTGAGCCATCAGGGTAGAGTGTGTTTCCAATTGATAGGGAATTAGCCCGGCATGGCTTCTCGTAGACGTACACAGAATTTCCACTTTGTCTCCCACAGAGCTTTAATAGAACCCTTGTGTGGATACACAGTATTGAACTTTTCTCCCATCATCCATGGTGCCATCTTGAATGTTTGATTATCGTGCCTGTTACAGATGGGATGATGAGTGAGTATAGCGTGTGGTTTTGATGTCCAAGTCAAACGAAGCGAGTTCTAATCTTCAATGTCAAGAGCTGGAGGAAGGAGAAAAGAAAAACTTGCGCCCAAAGATATAACTAAATGACTGCAGTTAAGACTATCCTGGTCCCATGACGCCAAGTCCTCGACTCAATCCTCTTACGTCTTCCCACGCCATGACCAGTGATCTACTGTCCAGATTCCGAAAGGCCTTTGGCTCTTCAACCGAACTCGTCCGCAAACAAAGACCGCGCCTCGATCATCCCGATCAAATGGCTCGTCCGTCTCTAGGGATAGAACTTTCTCCAGACCACGCATGTGTGCCGTACGTTGACAGCGAGGACGAAAACGGCCGAGGCCATGCGATTCCCGTATGCACACTACGCACTTCTTCCCTGCCCTGATGACGAAGCGCTGGAGATGGGAGGAACGTGAATGGCCATGCGGAGTCAGACAGTGCGATCGACAATCCGGCATGGCTCGACAAAGTTTGTCGACTAAGCAAGGGGTTAAAAAGGGAGGGGGCGGCCGTTCTGGATGGAGGTGTAAGACGTGAGATTTGAATCCACATGCGGGCGACAGAGTTCGAGGAATGGAAGGGCTTGAAGGAAGGGCTATGTGGAGGTGGCTGGATTTCTTGACTGGGAGGAGGGGCCCTTGATTCGTGACTTGCGGCACTTTGGCTCGACAAGACGGGATTTTTTCCAGCTAGCTTGAATTCTACAGCATCATAATGTTCGAAGCCCATACGGATATCAGGGAAAGGAATCTTGCTTGAACTTAGAGCGCGATCGGGCAGGGCATGGTTGCATCGAGACGAATTAATAAGTTTGTGTAACGTGTTTGAACGTGCTGCAACCATGCAGACCGGTGATCAACAGTCAAGATGGAATGGAGCTGGGCTATTTGAAACACACGACATGGAACTTGACAGACGGAAGCCTGTCGGACAAGAGGCGACACATGTGCTAGAAAAACCTGCAGTTGCTTTTAGGATACAGGCTGATGACCCGGGGATCCGAAGATCCGACGCTGAGTTATCAAGGCTAGCTCATGCATACAAGCGCAAGATATCAACTAGCGGTGACCTCGGCTGGTTACCCAATGCTCATGCAAGATTGGAGGAGGGCGGTAGTCGAGTGCGACGAAGATAAGTATGAGATGATTCGAAACGAGGATGGTATTCTTGAGATTACTGCCTTGCAATTATCATGCCTACTCCTATGTCTAAGATCTCCATCGTACAAAGGATCTATATGCAAGATACAGAGAACATGAAGGGGAATAGTGAGAAGAAAAAAGAAAAAGTCGGTTCATAAGGGGGGTTGGGCCAGATGACCAATTACTGGCTGTTCGCGTATTGCTGCCAATACTCGTAGCCTTCAGGAAGGGTCTTGGGCCTAAGACGAGAAAGAGGTCAGAACGGGGCATGTAGAAAGGGTGAATGAACGTGACTTACCCATTATCGTGAGTCTCGATCTGGTGGTGGCAGGTCTTGACATGACGATTGTTCTCCGAGGAGCTAGGCCATGATCCCCTATTTTCATTAGTATTCCACGAACTTCAGGAAGTACGTTAATATGGAATTTTCGACTTACTGGCTATCCTCGCTGTAAACCTCAGTGGGCTCATTACAGTCCTCGTTGCCGATCAGCGCGGCTGCTTCGTTGACCGCAGGCTCAGGCCAATTCCCACTGAAAGAGATGTTAGTGATGGTCAATGACAAGGAGACATCGATACACTTACGACTGATCATGCTCATATACAGCGATAGGCTGGGCGGAAGCGACGGGCGCAGCTGGCTTGTATGGCTGAGATGGCTTGGATGGTTGAGATGGCTGAGCTGCCGTGTCTGGCTGACCTGGGTAGATTGGATCCACTTGAATATCAGAAGGCTTCGCCTTGACAGCGGAAGCCATGGTCTGGATAGTAGTGGGCTGAGCCTGAACAACGGGTGCGACGGCCGTGGGGGTCTGAGCCGAGTGAGTCGGCACAACAGGGGTTCCGGCAGCGGGAACACCAGGCTGGTTTTGGGGAGGAGGACGGTGACCGTGAGCCCCATTCCATCCAGCTGAGCCACCGGGGCCGGACGCGCTTGCTGGCTCAGCAGTCTGAACGGGAGACACAGATGAGACAACTGCGGTGGTCGCAGCATAGTACATGGCACCGTGATTGTCTGTGTTGACCTGGGTGTTGGCACCGGCCAGGTCTGTCCCTTTCTTGCCAGCGGCATTGCCCTTTGACGGATCAGGATAAGCAGCACAGGCAGCCAGATGGTCTTGAGGCGCGGCCTCGATCTGCGGAATTTGCTCGGGAGCCTCGATGATGGTGGCGATGAGACCGGCCTCAACGTGCCATTCGATGTGACAATGGAGCAACCACACACCGGGGTTATCCGCCTTGAATCGAATGACGGCGTGGCCGTGGTTCTGGACCATGATGGTGTCGCGGCGGACCGGAGGGTGACCCAGATCACCGATGGTACCATTGAAGTAGCCGCCGTTAACGTCAGTGCGCTGAAGAACTTGGAACTGATGACCGTGCAAGTGCCAAGGGTGCAAGTTGTTGTGGTAATTGTTGATGACAATTTCAACGACTTCTCCATACTTGATCACGAAGGGATTGACTTGGCCGTAGACAGCGGGATTGGACGAGAGATCGTTGCCCACAGTTTGAGCGGTGTACAGGGATGGAACATCCTGTGGGATGTAGGTGTTGTTGTTGACCACGAAACGAGGAATCCCATCAATTTCAGAGGAGAATGTGTGGAGAACAATTTGTTTGTCCACGGGGCTCAAGGCAGCCTCACGATCCAACGGGGTGAAGTCCAGATCATCGACAAAGTTAAACTCGTGAATAACGGGAGGAGGGGGCAGAGGCTTGGCCTCATCGTAGACCAACCAAGCAGTAACATTGGGGTTGTAATTTTCAGGGATGGTTCGGTTCTCGTAGATGAACATCATATTGATGTCAATGGTGTCCCAGATAGCAAAGTTCTGGCTCGCGTCAGGCTTGGTGTGGATCAGGACACTGGTCCGCTGGCCGGGAGCTATACGAAGCATCTTTTGGCCCACAGTGAAAGGCTCAATATAGACCCCGTCGACCTCGACAACAGTCATGTCGTGACCGTCAAACACCCAGGTGTGACCGGGCCAGTTGCCCACGCAGACAATATGAACGAGATAAGTCTTGTTGGGGAGAACCTTGAACTTAGTGTCGTTCGAGTCATTGATCAAAGCAGAATCGGGAATGGGCTCGTGACCACCCGCGGCTTGATTTGCGGCTGATTGATACTCGTGCAGCAAGTCAGGCATTTGACGATGGTACCACTCGGTCAGTGTCATTGTAAACTCCTCATCATATTGAAAGGGAGGCTTGGGGTCATGGACGATGAACGCCCCGCGGAAGCCGTCAGGGTATTGGCCCATGTTGTGAGAGTGATACCAGTAAGTTCCGGTTTGATTTGCCTACATCAAGTACGTTAGTTGTCATGTTGATCTCTTTCCGCGCCCGAAATCGTTTGTGTTGAGGTCGACTCACATCAAAGGTGTAGCGCATGTGACTACCGGGGGGAATCGGACACTGAGTGACGCTGGAAGTCCCATCCATGACACCTGTGTGGTACTGGTTGAAGCCATGCCAGTGAATACCGGTCGACTGATTGCCTAGTCCGTTGTACACATCCACGATGACCCGGTCGCCAAGTTCAACATTGACTTCGGGGCAGGGATAGACGTTGTTAATACCAATAGCAGGTCGCTCAAATCCATCGGGGGCGGCGTTGACCCAGGTGACATTCCAGTCGAGATAGACATCCTTTGCAACCGCTAGCTTGGCAGCAAAGCCCGCCAGCAGAAGAAGGTTATTAAATTTCGCCATCATGGCTATACTCTGACAAGCGAGTGACACTCGGTGTCTCTGATTTTCTCGAGGATAGCTTGGGCCCTGGAAAACAGAGAATAGCGAGGAAGATATATCAAAGATTCGATAGCAAGAGCGGAAAATGTGATGATTAAATAGGCATGGGTTTCCTAAATTGGAAAGAAGCCAGAAAGTCTCGCAAATGTCGGCGAGTTACGATAAACGAGAGTCGTCGCAGAGTCGGGTACTGCGGTGTCGGACAAGCCCCAAAAGCAAATCTGACCTGTCTGCTGCGGAAGATCACCACTTTAAGTACGCGAATGCGATGTCGATCTCGATCGGCTCCAAGGGCGTCGCTATTGTTGTGGTGGTTCCTGGAAATCCAGAGTCATCATACAGTATGCGCGTTACCGCATGCAGAGCTGCCAATGAAGGAGCGGCAAATCACTTGCCATCGCGATGACGGTAGATTCTGGTACGAATCTTTCCTCCCTGTTGGGACCTTTCCTACTTCTCGCGGCATTCCTCTCAGCCAATGTTCTGGTTTTGGCCGCGAATCGAGTTGGGCACGCAAGGGATGCATGCTCGGGACCTCTGGCCATTGCGGCGCTCCATCGACTGCAAATGCCATGCTTTACGGGCATCGGCCAAAAAACTGCCCTGGCAATCTCTTCTTAGACAGTCTGGAAATTTCACAAGCGCAAGCCTGGTTTGCCCAAGGGATGGGAAGTTGTGGAAACGCAGTGCCTGCACATAGTGCAAACTCTTGGCATCGGCCAGGGCATGAGGATGGCATCAAGTGCCTCATCGCATAAGCAGTAACAATACAGTGCCATGCTTTTCTTGGGTCGTCTTTCACTCTGTTTGCGACCATGCTCACATCCCGCCTTGCCCATACGTTTGCCACAAGCGACCTTCGGTCGGAGCTCGAGTGGCCACTAGAATCATCACGATGCAGATATCAGCGGCCATTTCTTGAAGTTGTTCGGACTTTGGCCACCGTAGAGTCGTAGTGATCCGTATTGCAGTCCAGCTCTGCTGTCCTCATGTATATCTTCCGGGTCCACCCTCCCAGGATCGTCAGCTCCACATTGAATGCACATCCACCTCGTACCGTGGGATCGGCTTTTTACCCAAACCTCCCGAGTCTAGAGTATTGACAGTTCACTACTGTTCGGACTTCCGAAGGTTCAGATATGCCATAGGACATTCCATCGCATATGCGGCAGCCCATGGTCGCCCGGCAAAAATCTCCCTTGCGCGGGTCCCCGTTCTGGGGGAGGCTAAGTCCAAGCCATGAGAAAGATAGACTGTACTGACTGACATGGTCGCAAGTCTGATCAGAAATGGCAACTCGCCGTCATCCTTCCACTGTGATGATGATTCACACCTCCTGAAGATTGTTCTTGCCTTTGCCACCGGAGTGATTCCACGAGCACCTCGAGAACAACGTGCTGAATAGTTAATCCCCTCTTCACCATGCTCTAAGCTCTTCAGGACGAGTTGCAGCACCCATCCGAGTCGATCTCGGACACCGCACGTGGGGGTCGCATTGATGCTATCGTGAGCTCCCGATTGGCGCAGCCTCGACGAACTGGGGCGCATCGGAGCCAGCACAGTGCCTTTGTCGGATCAATTTTGGTCACTGCAGGACTGGCTTGACAAAGGCATCACGAGCGTCATGGTTCAAAGACTTTGTTCAGTGAAGCTGGACCATCCTCGGTCTGACTTGGCAGCCACTGCGCCAGCAGCAGTCACAGGGGTTCCCCGCACTGTCCTGGATCAACCAGTTGTCCGTGTGCTGATCCTCGACCGGCGCCGGTGCATCCAGTGGCTGCGAGTTCTCCAGGCGATTGCAAGGCTTCGAGGGCTCAGGTACCAAATGGCCACCATGCACGACATGAAGTCCGTGCAACACCGGGACCAGCGCCTAGCGCGGGGCCAGGCGATAAGCAGTGGAGAAGATGATGGTTTGGGTGGATAATCCGCAGACGCACTTTCCAGTAGGTCTGCAAAGCCCGTATAGCTTAAGCCGGAGTGGAGACGGGAGAAGTTTTTTTTTCCCTCTTTTCGTCTCGTTCTTAGCTTCTTCTCGACTTGCGGTTGGACGAGATAAACCACTTGCGCAAGTCGATTGGGTAATACCTACAGGGCAGATGTAGATAGTGATACACTCTGAAGAAGACGAGAAAGTGCATGGACGATATTAATATCGGCGAAAAGCTTCAACCCTGGGTGGCTTTACTGACCCCACGTTCCCTTCTTCCAGTTTGCGTCTGTATCTTTTTTTCAACCGGAGTCGACGAAGGTTGGTTGCTTCTTTTCGGGCTGAATCCTCGTGAACAGTCGGTTGCCTTCTGTGCCTCTTCCGTGGCTTTCTCTTGATTTCAGCAGTAGCTGTGATGTTAATGAGTCAAAGTATGCGACAGACTGAATGAGCGTCCGAGTGAAATAGATGAAGTGTCCGACCAACATCAGTCCATCTAAAACACCCGTGATTATTGAGTCACTGGATCCAAAGCCCGCTTCTTGCCCGCGCTCGCCGACACTGAATCGGTCACTTGACCAATTTCTTTCGATTCTGCTCACGTGTTTCAGCGTTGCGAGTCATTCACATACAACTCCTTTGGAACTGGTATATGATCAATATTGTCAATTGTCAATATCTCTCCGTTCGCCATCAGTGCAGCAGCGTCCACGGGTCTGACGCCATCCCGCATTGCAGTACCGTCACCAGCTCCGCTCAACTGGTCATGGTGCAAGAGAGCGGCCATCGAGCAAGCATCACGCGATTCTGAACTATTTCCGACCCGGCTTTTCAAAGCCATCTTTGCCTTCTTCTTACCGGGTTTGGATATTGTATGAGAAGTTGGACAAAGAACCAGCGGGTGTTGACTTTCTTTCTGTGGTCTTCACTCGGTATAGCTCTCCCGACCGGTATCCTTGCATAGATCATACGGCGCGGAAGTAGCCCTCGTCTGGTCTAGTTCGCAACGGGTACAAACGTGCTATGCACCACGTGCAGTGGCAATGATGAATCCATCAATGAATTTGATCAATGCCCAGGTGCATTTTTTGGTAAGTGGTGATACCCACATTGTCCCCTCGAGCTGGATTTTCTACTTGATACACTTGGGTTGTCAGTACCCAGTACTCAGCACACCTCGGCAAGGTTGATGTATATCTTCACATTGAGGCTGACCATGCTTCCCGCTGTAGGAGGACCACCTGGTCCTTGTACATATCCCTCTGAGCCTGTATCACTATTTCTTCAAGACTATACTGGGAATACTGTTTGATGAAACGCCTGCTCTGGACTGCCTTCAAGCGAGAGAGGACATTGAGGAAAATGCTCAGGATGAACTGGACTCGACCTCTGATCCAGCCTGGTATCGAGAACCTGCGTTTTTGAATGTCTCTATCACACCAGTCGAGGTGTCAATCATCTGCCCCAAACGTCTTGTGAAGAGATACTTGGATCCAGTCCTGGAACAGCTCGGTCAGATCAATCACTCGCTTCGTGAGAGCGTTGATATCAGCAACCATGAATACATCGCCATGCAAGTCCTCGGCCAAGGCCTTGAAGCTGGCAAACGAGTGTTAGAACTCACCAGCCCACTGGCCATGGCAGGAATGTAAGTATGATGAAATCTGGATACATGACTGCCCAGTTTGTCATCTCTGGCAAGAATATCCTCTATTCTTTTTCTTTTTCTGCTTTTTCTTCTTTTTCTTTTTTCTTCTTTTTTTTTTGATTGCAATGGGTGTTAGTTTACAGCGATCATCTTTCCCACCATACTGACTATCACCCATAGTTCCATCTTCTTCATCACAACCTACTTCTCCGACTATATTCTCGTTCCGCGGCGTCACAAAGCCAGCGTTATCTCAGCCCTTGAAAGTAAAGGATTCCAATTTGAAAATGCCAATGATGCATTCGTCAGTCCTCTCACTCCGACCGCTGAACGGAAACTCAGCGACGCCATGTCCCCCGTCACACCACCTCCATCCACCGTGGCCGAGCTCCAAACTCGCACTTTTCAAAACCTTCGAGCCAGACACATCTTTCCCACCGTAGACGACAGCATCCGTCTGGTGCAATGTGCGGTTCACCATGAGTACTATTCTCGAGAAAGCTCACTCTCAATCCTCCGGGAGGCACTGATCACCACACTGGTCGTCGATGATCCTCGCTTCCTCTCGTTAACCCTTGCCGCACTGGACTCGTCTGCTTCGTTGCTTCTCGAGAAGCGTCTCCTGCCCCGCTTTGCCCGGCTCTCGCAGGATGGAAACGACAAGGACTTGCTGCTCGGCGCACACGGGGATACTCTGGTCCCGATCATGCTGGACCTGCGTGACCTGCCGCTCGAGGCTTCGGGCATTGTCTGCGGCGTGGCGGGTCGACTCGCCGAAGCCACAAGCTGCCCTCCATCAGCAATCAACAGCGAAGATTCAAGCGAGCCGGGCAGCACAACCCAGCAAGCAACGTCTGCATCGAAGGTTTCCAGGGAAATCAGCACACGCTTGACGCTGGGGTCGAGCGTCACTCCCAGCCCGCTTTCCCACCATTTGAAGCCCGACGTGGATCCCTCGGCGGATGCGGTTGAGATCAGCTTTTTGAGTACCGCCCGTGCAGGTACGATTATTGTGGGAGTAGACGAGCTGCAGAGAGCTGTTGATGCCTTGGAAGCGGAGAAAAAAAGCAGGGGTCTACTGCAGGTGACCCGTCAGATGAGTCCAGCGGACTGGGACTCGGTGTGAGAACGATCGACAGTTCAACGCAGGTCTGAACGGGTAAAAACGCGCAAAGATTCAATTTGAACATCTTCTTCTTTTTTTCCTTTTCACAAACACGTCGCTTATTCTAGGTTATTGTGAGAGTGAATTGAGGGAAACAATAAATTTGCTAGATCTATGGGCCAAGTGCTACTGGATATTTTGTCTCGGGGGGAGTGCATTCGAGGAACGCGTATAATATTGAATCATTCCGACGCCGGAATACGGACACCGGTACGAACTACATAGTTTTTGTGATACCACTTGAATATTGTGTTCAGATTTGCGTACCATACAGCGTATACGTTCATATTGCCTTCGATCCGATTATTGTCTTTTGTAGACAGAAGGGCTTTCTGCGAGAGTCTTTACGAGCACCTCTCTATGAAGACTTGTCTACTGGAAATTATAGGATACGCTAGGGATCGTTTGTTTTCCGAGCTTCCATTTGAACAATAAACAGATGCCTCTAATGATCACCAAACTTGCACTGATAAATGGGCATCTGGTACATTTCTTCGACCCATCATGGGTAGCGGGTCGATTTCTCAGTAGATTCCAAAGACGTGTACCTTAAGAACGCCTGTGGAGCAGTGCATCGTGCAGAGAAATGTTGGAATCCCGAGACCGCTAGATTCGAGGCGAGATGTACTGCAACAGACTGCCCAGAACCCGTTCATGTTTCCCATCGCGATCACGGAATATGCTGTTCAAGAGAGGCGACGCGACGAGACATTCAAAATGACCGAGTCCACATTCAATTTGCTTTGGCGACTCCACTCAGTGAGGTGAGAAGTTTGGCTCGCAAGATTTGTGAGAGATTTGCTCTACCCAAACAATCTGATGGTTTCATGTGTTGTTTAAGAAGTCACCGTGCATCCGATAGCCTTGTCAGCAGATGGGTCGAGTCGACTACACCCTCACGATGTCGATGACTCGAAGACGACTAGGCTGCAGCTGCTTGTCAATTGCAGAGAGGATATTCCGAAGCTCTTTATCGTGTGGATGATGGTCACATTTGGAAACAGATTGCCTCGATGGATCAGAGGAATTGACTGCCAACGATCTCGGCATTCGGATCATCCAAAGACTCGAACAGTCCCTATAGCACGGGTCAATCGAATCAGCCGTCGAACAAAAGAGAGGCGCATAAATGGAAGCTTACCGTCTGCGCAGCCAGCCACCCAGTAGCCCGCTGGGTTCCATGCCACACAGCTGACAGCCTTCACATTGGCCCCCATGGGGACTTTAGTAACGATTTCCCCACTCAAAACATCCCACGCAAATACTGCGGCGCCAGGGGCCACGCCGGCGCCCGGCGGCTGGGCTTCGCTACCACTCAGAACTACCGCATCATTTTGTGCGAAGGTGGAGCGAACCCGCAATTCGGTGTTGCGGTAAACGTGGTCAGGTGTAGGACTGAGAATTTCTCGCACAGGTCGCTCGTTATTCTTAACAGTCCCCCCGAAGGCTGCAAGTAGTTTACCGTCTGCGCGATCCAGTAAACGGATATAGCTGTCCAACGTAGAGATCAGCAGTGCGTTGCCGTCCGATGAGCAGCGCACGCTCGTGACTGGATGCGCAAGTATATCGGTCGTTGTCTTGCCCATGCGAACGTCATAAACCCGGACGTGGCCGTCGTAACTGCCACTGGCTATGGAATAGGTAGGCATATGCACATGCAAAGAGGAGACTGTATCAGTCGCTTCTGTCAGGGTCTGAATGGGTTTGTAGGCGTTCGAGCGAGTGTCCCACAAATTGATCGTGGTATCTGCACTGCCTGAGCGGGTCATAAAGAGTCTGTCAGCATACACTGAGAGCAAAACCCAGGAGAATGAGAAAACCCGCACAGTCTCGTCGTACCTGAAACAACTACAGAGTCGCCATCACCAGCAAATTGAACGGCCTCGACTTTGCTATTGTGACCGGTCCACCGTCTCGTGGTCCCACCTTGCTCGACATCCCACAGAAAGACTTGTCTGTCACCTCCCACACTAGCGAAGCGAGCATTATCCGCCGTGACTGCAACATCGAGGACCGAGTACCCATGCGCTTCATATCGTTGAATGGGTTTGGTGGATTCTGAAGGTGTCGCGGAGCTCTCCGAGTTTGCAGGAACAGCGCGAGAAAGGTGGATGGCCCGGTCGGATGAGCCTGTCAAAACATAGGTGCCAGGATAGCTCGAAAATGTTACCGCGTTGACCGGACCTGGAGAAGACGATCGGTAAGTGCTCCATCAACAGCCACGCGGCGAACATGTGATAACATACCATTGTGCGTCTTGAGAGTGTGGAGGTGGCGGCTTGGAAGTTCTTTACGGTGCATCGCCTCTTCGACATCACCTATTATGAATGAATGTGGTTGCTTATGGAAGGTGAGATATGCCGTGCGATTCAAGGTAGAATCACGATGCGCACACGGCCCAAGCTGCTTGCCGTCGGCGAGTACGTCCCCGAAAGTCCGATGGAGCTCCTCCCGGGCACTCGCGACCGACCGATCGTATTATTGTCACCATTCTTGAGTGCGACTGTCCCGACGCAACAGTACAACATCATGGTATTTCACACAATTTTGAGACCTAGAATACATCGAAAAAAAAAAGAATCATATAGACCTGAAAACCTAGAATTTCCGAACCGAGCATTGACTCTGTGATTCCCACGCTACAGAAAACAGGAGGGTTATTATCAAGGATGTAGAGGAACCATCGCTAGCTACCCGCGGTAAATGGATATAACAGAACAAAACAGACCAGCCTCTCACGGCGAAGGTACGCCCTCCATGGCATTATGAAAGACAAAATATTGGGTAGTAGAAAAAAGAAACGAAAAGAATGGGGGTAGGCAAAATGTAGCCCAGCCCCGTTTTGGAGTGACCACCACTTTAGCGACGGCCGTGGCTGCGAGTGCCAGAGCTCTGGAGACCCTCGATCTCTTGCTCGAGAGCTTTGATCCTGCATGAAGTTAGTTTTGAGTGTCAAAGGGTAGGCGTCAGAAGGAGTACGTACGCAGCATGGGTTGCCTCGAGATCCTTGTTGAGTCGGTCGCGCTCGGAGATGAGTTTCTGTTCCCACTGACGGAAACGGCTCTCTTCGACCTTGACTTGCTCGGTGAACCGCTTGCGCAGGTTCTCTTCCTCTTCCTTGAACTTGGGGTTGTCAAGTTTGCGGGGTCGGGCTTCGCCAAATTTACGGGTCTCCATTTGCTGAGCGCGATAGGCCTCGTAATGAGACTCTTCAGTAGTGTGGATGAGATCGAGCATGTGAGTACGAATCAAGATCGAGCGAAGCTTCTTAAAATCGCAGTGGTCATCGTTCTCCACCTCCGCAACACCCCAAGCATACTGGCGACCCTTGACAACACGGCCGTCGTTGGCCTTGACGTCCTTCTCAGAGCCGATGACAGCGAAAGGCATGGCCGCCATCAGGGTACGGGCGTGGGTGGCAGCATGCTCATCATCCTCCTCAACGGGCGGGGTGTAAATCTTGATTCCTTGAGCCTCAATGACCGCACGAACCTAGAGTTATGTTAGACCAAAGAGTCCAGGGTCGCCTGTCATAATATACACTCTCACTCACTCTCGCTTTGTACTTGGCCAGGTCTGCTGGGCTGAGAGTATCGGCCTTGGCGATCACTGGAATCAAGTTAACCCGGGTGCTGAGGCGTTTCATGACCTCAATGTCGAGGGGCTTGAGGGTGTGTCCAGTAGGGCGAATGAAGTACAGGCAGGCGTGAACACGCATATCAATCTTGTCGGTACGGCGGGGCTGCTGTTCCTGGAGCATGTAGCTCTCGTGCTGATCATCCAGGAATTCGATGATTGGCTGCCATGAGTCGCGGTTGTTCACATAGTCGCCGAAACCAGGGGTGTCAATAACAGTCAATCGGACTGCGGGGTTGATCAAATAAGTCAACATTTGCAACCCAACTCAAGTAAAGGGTCCAATGAATTCAGGAAAAGAATTGTGACTGAAAAGGCAGTACACACCTTTGAAGAACTTCTCCTCCAATTCAGCCTTGGTGATCTCGATCTCGACAGTGCGGTCAACCTGCTTCTGGTGGCGGCGCTTGTGATCGGCGTAGTTCTTAATTGTGGTTGAGAAAAGAGTGTTGATGAAGGTAGTCTTTCCAAGTCCCGACTCTCCAGCGACCTGTAGCATCCCAGATATGTCAGTACAAAACAATTGAAGTGACAAGAGTCTGTGCCTTGTACACACCATGATTGTGAAAGCCGCACCCCGCTTCGCAACGATCTTGTGTCTGAACATCTAAAATTAGATATGGCCATTGTGCCAACAATCGGTAGCTGGAATTTTGGTCGACATACCGCTGGTTGGGCAGCTGAAGGAAACATTTATGTTAGCTCTGCTGACCTTATTTTGGAGCTTGCGGAGATGCGGGAATGGGATGGGTTCTTACATTGGCAATGCCAATGGGGCTAGCGGTCTCCGTTGTAGACATGATGTGGATGTGTGTATCGGAGGTGGGAAAGCTTCGACGGTGGCTTCGAGAGAGCAAAAAGCCTTTCAAAGATCGTTCGGGCGGATGTAGCTCGAAATGATCACGGAAACCCTGGTGGATAAGGGAGGAAAGCAAAGAGAGACGCTGAGCTACTTGTTGCTTGTCTCCCCCTGAATCTCCTAGTTTGGTTTTCTGGAGTACGGTTGACTTGGCCTCTTTCGGACTAGCGTTTCCACTAGTACCCTCCTGGCGCGGGACCGGACTATAGCTGATCCGAGCCTTATCTTTTTTGGATTTTGATCATCGCGACCAAGGCCGAAATTTTGACGGAGCAGATTGAGACTGTCGCAAAGGGAAGATGAAGACTGACTATAAGGTATGAAACCATGGAGGTATCGAAGCTTTGAACCAGCAGCTGATGAAATTGCATAGTTTTCCAACTTACTGGGGACAGTCTATCGCAAGGGCAATCTGCTCTTCACTCCCGATGGCACCTGCTTGCTTTCGCCGGTAGGCAATCGTGTCACGGTCTTTGATCTTGTACAGTGAGTTCAATCACTGCCACCTTTGACTGCGATTAACTGCCATTACTTACGCATAATTTTCACAGCAACACATCGTATACTCTTCCTTTTGCGCACCGCAAAAACATTGTTCGCCTTGATCTCACACCACGAGGAAATCTCTTGCTCACCGTCGATGAAGATGGGAAGGCCATTTTGACCAATTTCAATCGGCGTATTGCGATTCACCATTTCACCTTCAAGGGCAAAGTCTCCGCTCTGAAATTCTCTCCCTCCGGTCGTCATTTCGCCGTGGCTGTTGGTAGGCGGCTTCAGCTGTGGCAGACCCCGTCCACTCCCGGCACCGAAACCAATGGCGAAATAGAATTTGCTCCTTTCGTGTTGCATCGTGAATTGACCGGCCATTTCGACGAAGTTCAGAATATCGAGTGGTCGAGCGATTCGCGCTTCCTGCTTACGGCATCAAAGGATTTGACGGCACGAGTATGGAGCCTGGATCCTGAGGATGGCTTCGAGCCTACAACCTTGACAGGACACAGATATGGTGTCGTGGGTGCATGGTTTGATGCCAATCAAGAGCTGGTGGGTCTCTATACAGGCATTTCATTCACTGGCTTAGACTAACGCCGCGAATAGATCTACACTGTTAGTCAGGATGGTGCTCTTTTCCGCTGGGAGTATCTGACCAAGAAGGATCTGGAGACGGGGGAGGATATCGCGTCGGCGCGCTGGCGGATCACGAAAAAGAACTTCTTCATGCAGAATGACGCGAAAGTCAACTGTGCCACTTTCCACGCGAAGTCGAACTTACTGGTGGTTGGATTCTCGAATGGACTCTTTGGACTTTATGATTTGCCAGAATTCAACACCATCCATCTCCTCAGGTTAGTCGTCTCCCAGAGTCTGCCAAAGTGACAATTTACTAATGCCACATCCACGCAGTGTCTCTCAAAGCAATATCGATGTTGTGACGATTAACCAATCAGGCGAGTGGCTCGCCTTTGGATCGTCCAAATTCGGTCAATTGCTTGTGTGGGAATGGCAGTCCGAGTCATACATCCTTAAACAGCAGGGCCATCTTGACTCTATGAACGCAATTGCCTACTCTCCCGATGGACAGAAGATTGTCACTACCGCTGACGATGGCAAGGTGAAGGTATGGGATGTGAAATCGGGATTCTGTATCGTTACCTTCACGGAGCATCAGAGCGGAGTGACTGCATGCCAATTTGCCAAAAAGGGCAATGTGCTGTTCACAGCCTCTTTGGATGGTTCCATTCGTGCTTGGGATCTCATCAGATATCGCAATTTCCGCACTTTCACTGCACCTACCCGCCTTTCCTTTTCCTCTTTGGCTGTTGACCCAAGTGGCGAAGTCGTGTGCGCCGGTTCCTTGGACGACTTCGACATCCACGTGTGGTCTGTACAAACCGGACAATATCTCGACCAGCTCAATGGTCATGAGGCGCCTGTGTCCAGCCTTGCCTTTGCCGCCGATGGTAACCATCTGGTCAGCGGCAGTTGGGACCACACAGTTCGAGTGTGGAGCATCTTTGGCCGTGCTCAGACCAGCGAGCCTCTCCAGCTCCAGTCCGATGTGCTAAGCGTCTCCTTCCGGCCTGATGGATTGCAAATCGCGGCCTCGACTCTGGATGGTCAACTATCCTTTTGGAATGTCTTTGAAGCCGTTCAAGAAGGTGGCCTTGACGGACGTCGCGATGTTTCCGGTGGGCGAAAACTCTCTGATAGACGCACAGCCGCCAACTCCGCCGGGACTAAGTCTTTCAGTCGTATCACCTACAGTGCGGATGGCAGCTGTGTCCTCGCAGCTGGAAATAGCAAATATATCTGTCTGTACGACGTGACAACGGGATCTCTCATCAAAAAGTTTACTGTTTCAGTAAACACGTCCCTGGATGGCACGCAAGAATACCTGAACAGCGGCGACCTCACTGAAGCCGGCCCACGCGGTCTTATTGACGAGTCAGGGGAGATGTCGGACAAGGAAGACCGAATTGATCGATCTCTTCCTGGCGCACACCGTGGGGATCCTGGTGTTCGAAGTGTTCGTCCGGAGGTACGAGTGACGTCGGTAGATTTCTCACCCAGCGGTCGCTCATTCTGTGCGGCTTCGACTGAGGGTCTTCTCATCTACAGTCTGGACACTGACTTTGTGTTTGATCCCTTTGACCTGGATATCACCATCACACCGTCGACCATCCTTTCTACCCTGGACGCTGCCAAGACGGCCGCCGTATCTGGTTCATTGGATGATGACAACACTTTCCTGAAGGCTTTCATCATGGCCTTCCGTCTGAACGAATCAAAGCTTCTACGGGCAGTCTACGAAGCCATTCCACCATCCGATATTCCACACGTGGTTAGGTCTGTACCTAGTGTTTATCTGCCCCGCCTCCTACGCTTTGTTGCACATGCGGCCGACGAAACTCCGCACTTGGAGTTCAATCTCCTGTGGATCGAGTCTCTTTTCAGCTCTCACGGTCGCTATCTCAAAGACAATTCCGGAACTTTTGCGCCGGAGCTGCGTGCGGTCCAGAGAGCCGTTGATGAAATCCGGGAAAATCTTAAACGACTTACGGAGAAGAACGTTTATGACCTGAATTATCTCCTCTCGAAGCCTGTTCTCGCCGACAAAAAACCACCAACATCCCTGCTTACCCTCGACAATGCTGAAGAGGAAGCTGACGATCAGATGGTTGCAGCGTCCGATGATGAGGAAGGTTCATGGATCGGTTTGGAATGAGTACCGACAGAGATTCCCCCCAATGTCTATTTTGCATGTGCGCCTGGCGTTTGTATATCAGGAAAAATGGGCGAGCCCCAAATGTGTATAGAATAGGGTCCAATTTCAGATCTTTTCATTAGACAATTGTACGAGTCCTCTTGCTGTGAATGTACATTCAGCGCCAACTTGGGAGTGCAACTTGATCATTGCACCGAGCATCTCGGCCACTTTGTCCTCGTCGCTTAACCTTTCTTGAAATGTGTCAATATTATCCGACATGTCTCTGTGTCACCCTCCGAACTTTCGTACTGGGACAGAGAGCCACATCCATACTGCGATTAAATTCCTGTGATCCTCCATCCCCATCTGTGCCCAGGTGTCCTCGTCCTGTACTCCACATGGCTTTTTGCATCGTCTGGCCCATTCTGGGCCTGTTCCTTGTGCTCTACCTTTTGCGCCAGAAGCCGGACGCACGACTCGCAAATATCCCCATCTTCAGATATAGTAACTTGCTGCCAGACCTCTTCAATCGATTCATTTTTTACCCCAAAGGAGTGTCTCTGATTTATGCAGGTTATCAGCAAGTAAGGAGGACCCCTAATCTGACAATTTGTTACATTTTCTCTAAAGCGGATCGATGTGTCTCTCCATTTAGTATCAGAACGAGCCATTTCGACTTCTAACCGGCGATGGCGAACTACTTGTCTTGCCGATGAGGTACAGCGAAGAGCTGAAGCATCTCCCGCCAGCCATTCTGAACTCTTTGGACGCACAATATGAGGTATTGCCCTCGCCCTGGGGAGAATTCATGGTCAGGCGAAGCTTTCAAGAGGAGACTATCAGAAGCTGACAGGCCGTGTCTCCAACAGAATGCGCTCGGAGATTTTACCAACATTTTGATCAACAGCTATCTGCCGTCTAATACTGTTAGAAAGCGTTTAACACCAAGTATTGGTAGGATACCCGTGTTCGACATCATATTGTGATAGAATGACGTTCTCTAGCTAATCGTAGAGATTGTCCGATACGTGACACAGGCCGCATAACTCCATGGATTATTGATGAGCTCGCAGATGCGTTTCGCACTGTGCTCCCAGAATGTGAAGGTAGACGTCTCCAAAGTCTCATATACCGTGTCATGCGAGCAATGATGAATGTTGGTCTAATCCTTCGATTTTGACACTCTAGATCGCTGGACTAGTATCAAAGCCCATCAAATGTTCGTCCATCTGATTGCTCGGTCAACATCTCGAATCCTGACCAACTCTCTCCGTCGCAATGAACAATGGCTCGAAGTCGCAAGTAATTACTCTGTCAATGTGGGTATCACAATTCTTCTCCTGCGGCCTTTCCCACACTTTTTGAGACCTTTCGTCGCTCCGTTTCTTCCTTCGGTCCGGCAAATGAAGAAACATTTACGGACCGCTAAAAGCCTCTTCATCCCCATCATTCAAGAGCGACGTGCTGCCGAAGCTGCTGGAGACCCTCAATACGAGAAGCCGGACGATTTTTTGCAATGGATGATGGACATGGCGGAAGACGAACAAGATCTCGACCCAGAAATTATGGCCCATCACAATCTGATCTTGACCAGCTTGGCTGTGGTGCACACGAGCTCTGTCGCGTTGTGTCATGTTCTCTACGATCTCATTCAACATCCCGAATACATCGAGCCTCTTCGAGAGGAAATGGCGAGGACGTTGAGCAAAGGGTGGGAGCATGCCAACAAAGCATCCTTTGATGCTCAGAAACGTTTGGATAGCTTTCTGCGCGAATCCCAGCGTTGGGGACCCCCGGTGAATGTATGCTTTCTCTCCTGCAATATGAACTTTCCTGAACTGACTAGCATTGCCCTTTAAAGTGTCGATGCACCGCATCGTGAGAGAGCCACTGACGCTATCAGACGGTCTTCATCTTCCAAAAGGTATACACATTTGTTTCCCATCTGGACCTGTCAGTAAAGATCCAGCATTTGTCTCCAATCCAGCCGTCTTTGACGGGTTTCGGTGGTGCCAGGACCCCAAGGATCGTGACGTACTCAAGGTTTCGAGTCTGCGGTCGAGCAATCAAATTGGCAACGAGGCAAAGACACCAAGTGGAGTTGATTCGAACGCAACACCAGTCACGAGCTTCATCAGTATCAGCCCGTCAAACATGCACTTTGGATTCGGTCGTCAAGCTTGTCCCGGTCGGTTCTTTGCTGCCAATACTATCAAGGCCATCGTGAGTCGTCTCATCATGGAGTATGACTTTAAATTCGAGAAAAATCAGGTCGGCTGGAGACCTGCGAACATCGGAATTGGCGAGCATGTCTTTCCGAATACCCAGACAGTGGTCTTGCTCAGAAGGCGGCAGAAAGGCATATGAAGCCTAAGCAAAGGTTCTACGACTCCTGGCGTGTTGGAGAATGGGGCCAAATTTTTTGATCTCTGTGAAGCAAAGTGGCCAAGCTGTCTGTTAATAATTAGCAGGTTATGGGCAATACAGTCATAACCTGATTCAGAGACCCGAAGGCTCCCAGGTGCCAAAATATATCGATTGACTTGTATATTACATGACCGCGTATCTTCCTTCCGTAGCCATTCCGGGGGGGCGCCTGCAGCGGATCGTCGTGATTGAAAGGCAAAGTAGACATATACAAGACCCCAGAAATCTCGGAAATCTAGGTGGCCGCGAAAAGCTTGCATGAATAACTGGTGTCGGCAATCACGGGTCACTAAAAATTGACCCTCAACTGTATCTAACTACTGGCTAGAGACTGCAGGTGCGCTGCCTTGTGCACCACGTCCGCGACCTCGTTGTCCACTGCCACCACGACCACGACCGCGTCCGCGTCCGCGACCCCGGTCCAGTCCCTGCGGGGGAGGCACAGAGGACATGTTCTTTGGGCGGAAATTGGGATTGTTCTGAACAATTCCCTCACTAGGATCACTGTTGTCAACAGAAGCGTAGCCTCCTCGGAACCCGCCACGGGCACCCCGGTTGCCGTGCCCGCGGGGGCCTCGTGGGGTGCCATTTCCGGGATGGGGACGATGGGGGAGGGCCATCGGCTGGCCGTTGTTCATGGCGACATGTCCACCCCGATGGGCGCTCTGACCCGAAACCGCACCCCTGAAAGAACCTCGCAATGGCGGAGGGGCAGGTGCATTTCTCAGCTGGCCTTGCCCGTTCGGACCCAGAGGAGCGCCATAACCACCAACAGTAAGCGGCATTGGCTGCTGGTTTGGATGTTGGCTACTTGCTGCTCGAGAAGTAGCGATCAGTTGACGATAGGAAAGATTGAGGACAGACGACGCGAGCACAGTCTGTCCGCGGAACGGAGAGCAGCGACCCCCGAGGGTGGTACCACTCATGAAAGACACGTCGAAGAGGACATCAAGCAACAGTGCGCGAGAAGTTCTCGTAAGACCGACGACTGTACCGCGAGTGGCGATGGGGACCTTGCCCGAGTCTTGACAGTAGACCACACGGTCACCGAGCTTAAACGTCTGATTGCCCAGTCGATGTTCGACATCAGCGGGGCGAAGAAGCGCCCCACGGGGTACACCCCGAACTTTTTTGGCCTGTATCTCGGAAACGCTCAGCTTATCGGCATCTTGCTCAATCAGCGAGACGATGTCGGAATCGAGTTGCTCGGCATCAAGAGGCACCCTTTCGAAGTTTTTGCTTTCCAAGGACTTCAGCCACTCGCGGATATCCTTCATCTTTGCAAAAGCAATATCTTCCGGATAGAAGTCCGTTGGCGCATATCGATCCTTTTGAGGATTTCGCTGAATGCCAGCAATGAATTCTGGGAAATTGATCATGTACTGCTGCAGCAATTCTACTGCTTTCTGACTGAACTCCCATCCGCTCTGTCCACGGCGAGAATATCCGAGGACCTTTTGCTTACGAGCCTCGAACTTCAAGTTCAATCCCAAATTGACCCTGGTCCCGCCGATGTCAACAGTAAATGAGGACGTAATCTTGGCTAGTACCAGAGGATTGAGATTGAGACTGCGAGCGATGGCATAGGAAGGCATGTACGGGGAATGATGTTCAGACTCACGAACACGAGCTTTACCAAAGTCAGGTTCTCGATCCTTAAAGGCTGCGATAAACCCGTTAAGCTTGCCGTTCGAGTGCCCTGTGATATGAACTGGGCGTCCGTAATTGAATTCACCGAGGAAGAATGCCCGTGAGCCTTCAGGGAACTCTTCTTCGATGGGAACAGCTTCCTTCTCGATGAAGCGTTCGTCTGGGTTGATAACATCGTCAACGACGGTTTGAAGTGAGAAGTCAGTCTCTTGACCAGGTATGTCGGCGAAGTCCTTGACCACAGCACCGTCATCCGTCTTGACCATGCCCTTCAGAGGTTGAATATGGACCATCGATTCCACAGTCCCGATGATCATTCCGAGACGTTTGCTATAGTGACCCTCGATCCTGTCCGCTTTCTTCTTGAATTGCTCGATCTGCTGAGGCGTGTGAGGAATCTGCACAACGTGCTGCTCACCAGGCGGAAGGATGTAGTCAAACAGCTCATCTGAGACGCGAACGACAAGCGCTTCTTGAAGATACGGGTAGCCTACATGGACACGTTTCCCAAGTTTTTGTTTGGCCAATTCAATGCTTGACCGACTGCCGGGGTCGATGAGTGTGATGACTTGACTTTCGTTGCGGCTTTCTTGCTGGAAGACAGTAACGCCGTGGAAGCCCAACTGTCCGACATGGGGTAGGGTCTTGATGCTGGGAAATCCGGCCAAAGCGGCTTCACCAAGATGGACGCCTTCCATCAGGCCGTTGTAGGGTTCCAGCCCGTCCATTGTGGGGAGGTCGAAGATGTTCTCCACGCAGTGACAGTTCGGAAGGTCGGGGAAGACGCCAGGCATGGAGGACGGATACACGAAGTTGACCTCGGGGGAGTATGTGAATTTGAGACTGACTCCAAAGCTGTTGCGAGCCTTCTCTTGTGGACTGAGCAGTTGCTCTTTGGTTTTCAGGGCTTTCAGAAGACGCGTCTCATCAATGAAAGGAATCTTGACAACTGCCTCCCACTCCATCTTCTTCCCGTTCATATCCAGATCAAAGTCCCGGGGATAGAAGTCAATGATAGGCGAGTCGGGAGATGTCATCAGATCCCAATAGGCAGTGGGTACAATTTTCTTACTGCGGTCTGGTAAGACACCCATAAGCTGCTCGTAAGGTCGGAAAGGCTGACCCAGCTTGAAATCCATGTCGGCACCCAGTCCCTTTTTCACATCTGCGAGGGGAATTCAGCAAGAGCACGCAAACCAGTCCGTGAAAGGGGATTCATACCTGAGATCATGGGTGCATAATGATATCTGAAAAACCACGGCCATGAGGCGATACCGCGATAGTAATAGAAAAGCACCCATTGAAGGCCTTGGACGTAGTTTTCGGTCAAATTTTTCATCTCCTCCTCGTTATCGAGTCCCCAGCCAAACTTCGAACGATAGTACGCATCTTTCCATTCTTGGAATTTTGCATCGTACTTCTGCTCGGCGGCTTGCTGCGCTTCCTCGACAGTCATATCCTGAACTTTGGCACGTTCGTACTTGCGGATGATACGTTGCACGGCCATGGACGCCTCTTCATCTTCGTCATCGTCTTCATCATCCTCGTCGTCACCATTCACATGTACTTGTGGAAGCTGGAGGCGCATGAAGCGATCACCATGCTCGTTGTCAACGGTTGACCACTGAAGTCGCAGTTCGTCTGCGAGTGTCTCAAGGAAAGCGCGATCACGGGCTGGCAACGTGGACGGGAAATCGAGCGGCTTGGGCTCTGTTGCCTTTCCCGGTCTATTCAAAACGTACTTCTTCACCGTTTTGAGGAGATCTCGCTGACTTGTGGTGATGGTTGACTCTTTGGGCTTCGGCTTCACCTCGAAAGATCCCAAACCTGCATTTTGCCTAGCCTTGATCCATTGTGCATCTGAGTTTTCGGCCTGAAAGAAACGATGCTCAACCTCGCTCAGAGCTTCGACCAAGACTCCAAGACGTTCCACGTTGATCACACCTTCCTCATTGATGTATCCACCCATCCTCCGCAGAACATCCTTGTAGATCTTAAACATGAGCGCCAGCGCACCTTCATTAATATGCAAATTGGGCAGATTGGGCAAAAAATCGTTGCCGACAAAGAATGCCATCAGGATGAAGTCGTCGATCACACGCTCCATGTCAAATTTGAAATTGAGTGCGCCTTCTTCTTCCAACTCCTGAAACTCTAGCTCCAGGTACTCACGGACCATGCTGAGGTGCAAGAGGTAGAAATTCTGATGCTCGAGTTCCTTGGGCTTCTTAGAAACTTGACGACCAAAGGTCACCTCCTCACGAAGAAGACAGAAGTGAGGGTCGTGACTGAGAAGACCCAACATGATCAAGTCAGCATCGAGACCATAGAGACAGTGGCGAACATTTGGATGATAGCCAGGCTGCGCTTTGGCGCGCCGGATATACTCCATGATCTTGTGTTCTCCCTCACCCGGTACTTCATGACCTGAAAGAACAATCTCAACGCCTTGCCAATCGGAATCCTCCGAGATTTTCTTGTTGATAAAGTACTTCAGTTGTTGCGTCAACTTCTCCATGAACTCGGTGCCCGGTGTAATACAGTTGCTGTCAAAGGCGTCCTCCTTGGGCATTTCCAAGCCTTGTTGAATGGCCTTATCTTTTGCCACCTCGGCATCCAGCGCGGTTCGGAAGCGACGTGCGCGCTGTTGGTTCATTTTTGCTCGCGGCGCGACTCCGTCGACGGCCATGAAGAAAAGTTGCTTTGGTTTGATCTTGCCAAACAAGTGCTCAATGTAGTTGAAAATGGCAATAAACATCTGCTCCTCGGTCATACGAAACGTTGGCGAGTCACTGTCCTTGTGCGTGCAGTTGTGAATGATGCCGTTCATATCAAGGTATAAGCTATCGAACTCGGGGATTCGGCTCTCGGCGATGAGCATCGAAATGGCAGGATACCGCTCGCTCAGCCAGCGGAAGAACTTTGGGACACCCATGATGATTAGAGGTGCAGATGGTAATTCTTTGAAAGGGAAGGGATCGCTTTCAAAAAAGGGGGACCAGCGAGGCTCTAGCTGGTGAGTGCAAGTTGCGGGCGACTCTCAAAAGATGCGAATGCGACCAAATAAAGCAACCGCGATTTGGACTCGACGTTTCTGTGCGAGACGAATGTGGAAATGGAAAGTCTCAGAAGATCAGGAGCTTTCGAACAGCTTGTGTTGAATGAAACACCCCGCAGGGGAAAGGAAGGGGAAAAGGGAAGACGTCGACGGTCGTCACAGCTGTCAAGGTGGGAAAGCTGGCCAAGATTCTCCCGGCAGATCTTAGTCTCACTTGCTGCTCACGGAGTCATCGCGGGCCCCGCCAGCCCGATTTGGCTAAGCGGCGGTGCAGCTCCACGGCATTCTTTGGCCTGAGGCAGCAAGAAGTGATTAACGCGGTCTGAGCTTGCCGTCTTGCCGCATATCGCGTTCGTGTCAAAAGAATTGTGCCACTTTTTGCGAAGCAACCTCCACTTTCGACACTTGGTTCCAGTCCTTTCTGGCTCAATTGAACACTTTCTTCTGTCGCAAGTAATTTGAGATCACTCCAGAAACCCTCGCACATGACCATGGACGCGTACGAGGATGACCATAGTATGTTTGCTAGAATGTATGCGACGCGATTGGTAATTTCACGATTCATCTAATCGAAGCTGCAGTGGAGGAACATGAGAGGGAACAAGAGCATACACAAGAAAAAATTATCAATGAAGGTATCAACCTCTTTTCTTTTCACTTTCCTTCAGGGTCACCAAACGCCAACATTAAGACATCATGGACACGGCTAATCTCGATGAGTTCCACTCAGAGTACAAGACATGGAAGAAGAATGCGCCCTTCCTCTATGACATGATACTTAGTACGGCCCTTGAGTGGCCGACTCTTACTACTCAGTGGTTGCCGGACGTTCAAGCGTCAGTCACTCTCGAGTAGCTTTCCGCTAGGGCATGTGAAGCTAATGTATTGCTTCCAGCGTCCCTGACAAGCCTTATTCGACCCATCGACTGCTCATCGGTACTCACACCGCTGGAGATGCACAGAATTATCTTCAGATCGCTCACGTGCAACTCCCTCATGCCAACGCCCCCAACCCTGACGACTACGATGAGGAGAAAGGCGAAATTGGAGGCTACGGCAGTGGCTCCAAGAAAACACCCATGGAAATCAAGTTCAACATTGTTCAGAAGATCGACCATCAAGGTGAGGTCAACAAAGCCCGCTATCAACCACAGAACCCCAACATCATTGCAACTATGTGCACGGATGGTCGAGTGATGATCTGGGATCGCTCAAAGCACCCTAGCATGCCGACGGGGACGGTGAACCCTCAGATGGAGCTCCTTGGTCATGAGGCAGAGGGCTTCGGCCTGAGCTGGAACCCTCACCAGGCCGGTCATCTTGCGACAGGCAGCGAAGACAAGACCGTCAGGCTTTGGTAAGTTCTTTCAACCTTCAACCGTACTCGATTCACTTCCATCTACTCAAAACGCTCACGCTGCTGTAGGGACATTACTACCTACACCAAGGGCAACAAAGCTGTGAAGCCATCACGTACCTACACCCATCACTCGTCTATCGTGAACGACGTCCAACATCACCCGCTCCACTCGTCCCTGATTGGAACTGTTTCGGACGACATTACCCTCCAGATCATCGATGTGCGCAATGCTGACAGCACTCGAGCTGTGGCCTCGGTCGGCGGTGAGCATCGTGATGCCATCAACTCGATCGCCTTCAACCCCGCTTCTGAGACGATTCTCGCGACTGGCTCAGCTGATAAGACCATTGGTATTTGGGATCTCCGAAACCTCAAGGCTAAGCTGCATTCTCTCGAGGGGCACACAGACTCGGTGCAATCCATCTCATGGCACCCTTTCGAAGAGTCCGTGCTGGCTAGCTCCAGCTATGACCGAAAGATTATGTTCTGGGATCTCAGTCGAGCGGGTGAAGAGCAAACTCCGGAAGACGCTCAGGATGGACCTCCTGAACTGTAAGTTTGATGACTTGTGGATCTGAAACCATCAATGTTATCCCTTCAATGAAGTATTCTTGACTAATCATCTTCCTCTAGTCTGTTTATGCACGGTGGACACACGAATCGCATTTCAGACTTTAGCTGGAATCTCAACAACCCTTGGGTTCTTTGCTCCGCAGCCGAAGACAACCTGCTGCAGGTGTGGAAGGTCGCAGATGCCATTGTGGGCAAGGATCTTGACGACGTTCCTATGGAGGAAGTGGAAGCTTGATGAAGGTCACGCGGCTTATGTTTTTGCCTTATAAATCCCGTTCATGGCGAATGGTGTCTGCCTTGGCTCGGAGATGCTAATCGATGGTGCGAATTCAATATTCAACCCCAAGCAAGTCTAGCAAGTTCCTTTCAAGCTCGTTGATTGACACCTCAAATTTCCTGGAAGAACTAATATACGATCCTGCTCAATTCAGACCTAGCATTCAGTCAAGAGTTGTAGTCAATTCCACCTGGCGGTTTCTCTCTAGGTTCCTATTAGCCATGCATGTCCACTCATTAGTTCAGCCCTCATGCGCGTACCTTTAGTTGCAGATTTGACATGATATTCGTCCAATAACAGGCCGTCTAGATGCTCTGTCTTTGAATGACAGTCGAGCGCTGATTGGCCTGGTCAAAATATGTACCTCGGCAGTGCATGAATGATATCAAGCGGGGCGCGCGCCATTAAAGAGGTAAGTTTCCCAAAGCCTGTCCTTAATTTTGAGATCTGTATTACATATGTTAATAATGTTACTATCAAAGTCGGGTCCCACAGCGTCGTCTGCAGTCTATGAGCCAATCCACTGACACGTGATATTGATCACATTCTGAGTCTGTGTTTCTATTCTTCATGAGAACGTCGGCTCCGCCCATCGTACATAATATTCTGGGTCACTCCGGAGCTAGAGCGATCCTCCGCGGGCAACGAGATGGCGCCACCGGAGACTGAGCGCCAATTGGGGAAGCGGTGTCTTGCAAGTGAGGGGAAACTGATTAGCGTCTCGTGATTTTGGTTTGGCTTTACGGCAAAAAAAAAAGAGTCATCAGTCATCACACTTCTGGGCCAAATTCTTCTCCCAAGCCGCTATACTGTCCTGACCTATCTGATTTGGAACTTGTTCCAGATTCCTTGTTACGATCGATCATCACTCAGTTACTGCTTCATTCTCATGGGTGCTGGTTCTCCTCCGGGTCCGGCCAAGCCGTCGGCCATCCCACCCCACATGCTCAATGGCAGTTCGCCCCTCCAATCGTCCACAGCGTCGGGTTCCGGAACTCGCACTCGCGATAGTCGTGAACGTGAAAGTTTGAACTCTTCAATCAAGTCATCCTTTGCTCCTCGTGTCCCGGCCGAATTCGAAGCCATTGAGACAGTATCTCGCCCGGATGTACAAAATACATCTTCTGCGGCCACGGAAGCAGCCGACTCCGAATCCACTTTGACTCTCCGGTGTGTCTCGCTGATGGCATGACCTGTACAGATGATTTCTCACCATAGAGCAACAACTGACACATTGAGCAGTGGTCGAATGCCATTGAATGAGCCTCCTCGTGATCCTCGCGATGAGGGTGGTCCTTTGACACCTCCGGCGACCTCAAGCCGCCCGGCAAGCCCTTACACCCTGAACCCGCCCATCGACTTTGATGGACTCAGTTGGCCTTGTAAGCAAAACACTTGATGAACTCACATTCACCTGTTGGTTACTCACATCTTTCTTCTTCCCACCGTGCAGGCCCTGGTACACGCCAGCGGTTGGAATCCACCCCCGAGGAAAACCAAGAGCGCATCAACAAGCTTGCAGGAGCTGTGCGAACAATCCTTGAATGTGTTGGTGAAGATCCCGAGCGTGAGGGCCTCCGTGAGACTCCCGAGCGATATGCCAAGGCCATGTTATACTTCACAAAGGGTTACGAGGAGAATGTTCGTGACCTAGTCAATGGCGCGGTCTTTCACGAGGACCATGACGAGCTAGTCATTGTCAAGGATATTGATGTCTTCTCTCTCTGCGAGCATCACATGGTTCCATTCACTGGCAAGGTGGGAGAGAAGCCCTTTCTAGCTTATGATGTTCTGCAGTAGCGTATTGACCGTTTGATACAGATGCACATCGGATACATCCCGGACCGTCGGGTCCTTGGCCTTTCGAAGCTTGCACGTCTGGCAGAAATGTTCTCCCGCAGATTACAAGTTCAGGAACGTTTGACCAAGCAGGTCGCTCTGGCTATTTCCGAAGTTCTGAAGCCCCGCGGAGTTGGAGTGGTCATGGAGTCATCTCATCTCTGCATGGTCATGCGTGGTGTCCAAAAGACAGGCAGCACAACAACTACCAGCTGCATGCTAGGATGCATGCGTTCCAGTGCCAAGACCCGAGAGGAATTTCTCACGCTCTTGAACCGCCGATAGAGCTTTGACTCATGATCAAGATTTCACCGAACATCAAAGTTCTCCTGCATTTTCTTTGATGTTGTAAAAATAAATAATGAGTACGGAGTTTGGTGACCTTTCAACAAGTCCCTATTTTTTTTTGGTTGATTTCCATGATGGCCCCGGGTGGTCATCACTCTCGCGCTGGTCTTGACTGTGATCTTCAATCGCGGATGGGATCATTCTTGGTGTTAATTTTTTTCGCGACGAGCTTTTCGAAAATACCATAAACTGGGCCCTTGCTGTGATCTTACCGAGAGCTGGCTCTGTATGCGTTTGAATCAGCATTGTCGATTCGCCACGCTTGAACCCTTGTCTCAACGACTACAGGAATGTGATGGATGGTAAGTACATTCAATATCATTTCATGAGGGTGACGCTCAATATATATCTATTGCATCTTGAATATATCACAATTTGAATTAAAGACTGCTAGCATGCCTACGGCCTTGCCTTCACGCAGGCAGATATAGATCTGAGACAACTTTTACATCTATATCCGAACCACCGTATCCGTATCAATAAAACACTCTGTAATGGTCCAGAATATAAAGGTCACGAATGGCTTCAGACACAACGCGTCAACCCGAGGTTGAATCATGCTTCTATGTTGGCTTCAAAGCGTGTCATGATAGCGATTGAGATATAGTCGGGTGGTCTACTCAGTGACCACGCACATAGGCAATATTCAAGCTGTGATTGTGTACCTAGGTCCAGCGTAGAGATGGCCCCGTACTCTGGCCTAACCTCATTGAAGGAAGTCGATCCATCTCGGTTCCTGGTGCCTGGCCGCAGGGTCCTGTTAGAGCGCCGAGAAGAACGGTTCACGCGGGCCTGGCCATACGGCACTTGCATTCAATGTTGGCCGTACCTGAAAAGGTGAGCAAACATTATTATTCAACACCTAACCGGGAAATTGGCGCCTAAGGTGCTTGCCAACAGTACAAGGGTGCCTACGTGCATCGTGGACAATGGGAAAGTGGTAAGAATAACAAACATTGGCAGAGCGGCATAAAAGGGTGCTGCTGTCCACACACCTTTTCTCTTCAACCTGCACCATTATTTCTCGCTTCACCTTCGTTTCTGATCGTGGCAAATTGCTCCCAGCACTTGGAACTTGACCGCACAGCTTCTTTGATAGCATCGTCCAAGTGAGTGAGTCTTCGGCTTCATCCATCTAGACTGCCATTTGCAAGATTCCGTTCGATGGAGAATATCCTCTGGCTTTGCGTTTGGTCCGTCGTGATGGATCGTTGTGGTTCAGTATGATTTGATACTGACTCATTTTCGCATCAGAACCACTTTCGCAGAGACAGACTCAGACTGGAACGCTTCAGTTCAATATTGCAACGATGGACAACACAAATCTCGGTGCGATCTTTGCGGAAGACCAGAACATCCAAGACGAGCAGGGCGCTGATCAGCAACCTCAAGTCGAAGGAAACGAGGAGCCTCAGCCAACTGGCATGAACGCGCAGGCCGATGAGACGATCGACTGGGATGCACTAGACTGGGGCATCTTCGACAATCTCCCACTGCAGGCCCATGTCAACAACCCGATCGGTTTCCCCGAGAGAATGCTGGTCACAATACCTCCTGGGGCCAGTGTTCAAAGACGGGTGCATGTGAGCCCGCAAATTACCCGTGAAGGATACCTGATCCAGATGCAGCTCTACGCTGGCATCCTCCCTACCGACCTCCAGCATTCTCAGGTACGCCAAGTGCCACCAGTAGTGCCACGCACGCCCATTCAAGTCGGCCAGCGGACCCGTGAAGGACAGGTCAATCAAATTTCGCAAGCGCGATACACTGGCCTGCTGCCTCCGATGGCACTGCGCTCAGATCTTGCTGGGTCCGTTGAGACCGAGGCGTATGTGCAGATGCTGTCCTTGGAGGAGGAGCCGCTTCTGTTGATGGTAAGTTCACTTTCACATTTCCCTGGGACAAGCATTGTGTACTGGCTTGCAATGATAGAAGCAAGAGGTTAACCAAAGAGAATCTGCAGGCACAAGGACCACTTGCCGGAACATTGGTGTCTGAGGCTCAAATTGGACACCATCATCTGTCCTCTGTCGGCAATGTTCCTACGTCAGATCCTCGTCGAAACCCGCAGGGTGGGCAGCAGTAAGGGAGGATGGCCCGTCAAGAGGGCGTTGTCGCGTTTGTACTCGTCTCCTACCGAAAGTGGACAGTCTGAGCCACCAAGAGCTGGGGTTATCAGCGGAACAATCATGCTGAATGTATTACTCTTGCCAATTTTTAAGTTTCATCGTATCATACCCAGTATATTATTGATTGAGTGGGTATGTAGTTACTCAGTCGGACATAACGTTGTGCAAATGGCTTGAGTTGTCGACCATTACTTCAGGTTGGTATTGGTGGTTATTCATCCTGCGCTGCAAAGACAAAGTGGGGCTGATCCGATCCCCACTTGGTCATGTGACATTTTGCTCACATGATAAGACACTTGTCCGAAGGCATCTGAACCCGCAACGGCTCACGTCCTACTTCCCGACAATTGATGCAGTTCATGGACAGAGTTGTTCACAACAAATGAGAAATCATTTGCGTATTGGGACCTGCCGATTAGGAACTATTGTTTCACACTCGACTTTCCCTCCATGCAGCCCACGTGAATCGTAAGGAGCCCAACATCTGGACTTCCAGGTGAGCTTATCTTGTCCGAATGTTGGCTTGGCCAAGCCTGCACCGGACCATCTGCAAGAAAAGAGCCCAGTTCGCTTGGAAAAGAGAGCAGTTCCCCCGTACAGCCAAAAACTTGCCTCTGGATAGGGCGTCGCTACTCGACGGGTTGCCTCGACTTGGCGTTCGATATGTGTTCTAGTTCCCCCCGTACCGACCATCCAAGATTTTCCCTCGCAGGACTACGCGCCTGCTGAGTCTGTTGAATTCCTTCAAAAGGCACTATATGGTCACTTGCAAATTATACATCGGTGCACTGAGTCCAAACATCTCAGGCTCATCATTCGTGAATCATCGTCCAACCAAGGCCTCATACGGCTTGGTTCATTGAGTCGAACGACGTCCGAACCTGCCATGGGCTTTATTGCTACCCACTAGCTGTGAGCTTTCACTCAGCATATACCTGCACGGGCGGTACTTATCACCCACCGCATGAGTTGATGACGCGTTGCCCGACTATGGCTCATTAGGTAGGATATCGACCCTTTGATACATCCGAGCGACACCCACTCATGAGAGAGATTCTGTGAACATCGGGCTACCTGCGACAAAAGGGAATTTGATGACAACCGGTGTCTGTCGATCGAAGGCCGCTTGAATTTCTGCGCAAATTGGTGCTTGGTTCTTGAACATCTTGCATTTTGCAAAACGTAGATAGAAGCAGCAGCACTATGGGGGAGATACCTCCTCCGCTGCCTTCCTCCGCGCAAATATCTTCTTTGGGTCTCTACATCCAGACCCTGCCGGCTGAAACTGGTTGCAACCACGCGAGCCAAACTTGAATCGACAGCAGCTGCAACAAGAGCATGGTGCGATATGTCAAGTCAAAGGTCAACATCGGAACGCATGGAAGGTCCATTCTCGGTGTCTTCCTAAACGTGTTTGACGTGGACTTTACGACCACATCGGCCGCGTCTTAACTGCCTTCTCACGAAACCTCCATGCCCAGCAGCTAATGATCTCACCTAAGGCTTATGTGTCTTCACTGACTACATTCCGCTTGCTGCTCTGAACGAGGCGTATAGCCTTCCGAAGTCAACTGTTCACCGCCCCCATCAGAGATCTCACGGAGCCTTGCTCTTGCAACAACTCCGGCACAGACCTTAGATTCACAGAAACGAGTAGTCTGCTAAATGCGATGCGCAGTAAAGCCGTGCATAGCGAGCAGTAAACTAGAACAAAAAGGTGTGTTAAAGACACCTCCTCTTGAACTGACTTCCAACTCACGGCCTCACAGCGCACCGGATTAATAGTTGACCCGGCCTCTCCCCCAGACCCGAAAGACCTTCCGTCGCCGCGTGTGCACTCGTACCCACCGAGAGGATTCATTGACTTACCTCCCACGCCTGTTGGTCCTTTGTCAGCATCACCCAGGTAGCTGCTGCCTGCTCCTATCTCTACACCCGCCTTCTCCTGTTCGCGGCATCGCCAGATGCTGTTAGTAAATACCTAATGGCTGGGACCCATCGGAGTCCGATCCTGAGAGACTCCAGGAGCGGCGACTTGGGCCGTGAAAGCCGGGATACAGAGCTACGAAGAGGCCGGGGCTCAAATCGTGATCGTGGTAGGGGTCGCTATTATGATCGAGGTGGGCGATCTTCGCAGTCATCTAAGCAACATTACGACAACTACAACCGCTCACCACCGCGTGGACCTCGCCTTGGCTCTGACGCATTACACGCCTCGAAAGAGTTTCCCTCCAACCGAAGCACTCGCCCCTCTCCTGGACCAGCTTCAACGATCCGGGATGATCGAAAATTAGGTGTCCGTCGATCATCAATTTCCAGGGACTGGGGAGACACATGGGATTCGAATCCTACGGGGAGTTCTCGGACTTCCCTTCGTGAACATTCGCCATCTGCTCCGCTGGCAAAGCGCAAGAGAACGCGCAGTCCATCTCCTCATAGTCAGCGACCACCGCCACGGCCACGTCCGTTCCAAAATGGAAATAGACGCGACCGTAGCCCTCCATCGGGACCGCGTGGCCGCCTCCCTGGACGTGGCGGAATTCGCGGTCGAGACCGTTGGGGTAAGGATCACCGTCGATCGGATAACCTGCGATCTGCTCGTTCACGATCACCTGCGCGAAGCGGCAATCACGGCAACTTCAGAGTTTCGCCTGACCATCGTCCTAGATCTCCTGTGGATGAGCAGGGTGAGAAGGGCTCTCGGCCTCGACCTCGACCTCGCTCACTGTCACGACACTCTGCGCGTTCAGCAGGATCAAAAGAATCCACTTCTTCAACATTTCCGCAGGATGATAGCAGCGTTCACAAGAGTCGTGCGTATCAGACTGGCCGCTCTGGTCACGATCGTCCTCACTCGCCTGGTCACAGCCTACAAGCCTTCAATGGCAACGACGTGACCAAGCCAAATGTTGGTCGTGGCGAATCACAAAATGGCCCCTTTGAGCAACGACAATCCTCATCAAGGCCTCCTCGTGGGTATACACGGTCGCCTTCACCGGGCCGGAAATCCTCGAGTTGGTCTCGGTACGGAACCCCTCCTCCTCGGTCACCTAACAAACGGATTGGTGCAGACGACGATGGATGGGGAAACTCCAAATCTGGAACAGGGTGAGTTTTTTGTCTTCTTTGGATATATCCTTTTCACTCACGCTTCAAAGTTGTGAGCACAAACTGACCACCTTGCTATAACTGATCCTAAAGAACCTCATCTGCCATTCCTCAAGCAGTCAGAGCTCAATCTTCGGAGCATCATGAACGAACTCGTCATTCCTCGCCTGGCGGGTCTGCTACCATGCATATACCCCCTCGACACCCGTCTCGCAAAATGGGTGGTCGTGGCAGTCAACCGGGTCCGCGTGACGCACCGAATGCCCACCTTAACAGTGCTCACTGGACCGCTACCGATTCTGGCAATCGGAACGGGAAAACAAGCCCATGTGGAGATCAATCAGGCTCAAATTTCCCTCCAGATCGCCCATACTCCGCCAACATGCCAGAATCTCCACGTCGACCTAACAGGGACGATTGGGCGGCATCTGATGATAGAGTTCCTGAGCTTGGAAATGGCGGCCGAGATCGTCCCGCAGAGAGTGAGACCTCAAGTCAGACGATGCCAGCGCCGAACCGTGACCAGGAACCATCCACGCCCGCCAACAAAGGCGGCAAATTCAGCTTCACGTTGAAGCCCAAAGTAACGCCAACGACTGGTCCTAAACCCGTCCCTGACCTCGCACAGCGGATGCAAGTACGAGGGCCACCGCCTCGTGCTCCGGCAGCCGAACCTCCCACACCTCGCAATCGATTGACCAATGGACCCATGCCCACATACAAGCCCGAGCCACGCTTTGATCGGAGAGACCGTGGCCGTGACCGTGGCCGTGACAAAGGACGTGAGCCTAGAGACCGCCGCGACTTTTGGGATCAACGAGAGCCAAGAGATACACATGGTGATTTTCGTGATCGTTGGGAAGATCGACGGGCTGAAAATCGTCGAGACCGTCGTAAAAATGACCGTCGGTCCGATTTCCGTGATGATCGTCGAGCCAAAGCGATGTCTGAGCCGCAGCGGGAAGCCGAGCTCAAGCCTAGAAGGATACTAACTCGATTCAAACCACGCCCAACCATTTCCGATGAATTCGCCCAGGCTGATTCTGTTTATTACCGGAAACCTGGCAATGAGTCCGTGATTGGCGCTGGCACCTACGGCAAGGTCTTTAAGGGTATTCATGTCTACACTCAACGAAAAGTCGCGTTGAAAAAAATTCGCATGGAGGGTGAAAAGGATGGTTTCCCCGTGACCGCCGTGCGCGAAATTAAGCTTCTTCAACATCTGCGCAATGATAATGTGGTCAGTCTTCTCGAGGTCATGGTCGAAAGAAATGAATGCTTCATGGTCTTTGAGTACCTCTCTCATGATCTCACTGGTCTTATCAACCACCCTACCTTCTGCCTCACCCTCCCACACAAGAAGAACCTCGCCAAACAGATGTTCGAAGGCTTACGCTACCTCCACCACCGAGGAGTCCTTCATCGAGATATAAAGGCTGCCAACATTCTCATCAGCAACACGGGTCTGTTGAAGTACGCAGATTTTGGCCTTGCTCGATTCTTCTCGAAAAGTCGGCAAGTTGATTACACCAACCGTGTGATCACGATTTGGTATCGTCCTCCAGAGCTCCTTCTCGGCGAAACCCGATATGGTCCCAGTGTGGACGTATGGAGCGCGGCCTGTGTGTGTATGGAAATGTTCACCAAGAAGGCCGTCTTCCCCGGCGAGGGCAGTGAGCTCAGCCAACTCGATAAAATATACCAATGTTTGGGTACTCCGACTCGAGCTGAATGGCCGGACCTCGTTGAAATGCCATGGTTCCAGCTCATGCGGCCCACTGAGCGGAAGAAGCGGGTTTTTGAGGATCTATATCGCGAGACGCTGACTCCGGCCGCGCTGGAAATGGTCACGTCTGTGTTCCAATACGATCCCAGCAAGCGGCCAACCGCGGACGAAGTTCTCCAGCACCCATTCTTCACCTGCGAGTCACCGTCCCCACAGCAAGCCATTGAGTAAGTTCCTGCCTTGCTCGTCGCCGACTATCCCCTTGACCTTCCAACTAACCACTTGTCACAGGCTCGAGCATGTTGAAGGGGACTGGCATGAGTTTGAGTCCAAGGCCATGCGCAAGGAGGCCCGACGCATGGAGCAACAGAGTCAGCGGGAGCGTGATAAGCGCAAGGCGGAGGCGTCGGTGTCAACAGGCGATCGAGATGCCAAACGGCCTCGTGCAGCGGGCGATGACGCGACCTGGTGAATTCAATGCACATGGAGGAAATTTCAAGGGTGGCTGTGATGCTACGTTGTACTTTGTAGTACGCCCACTGAATACAATCTAATACCCTGCCTCTTATGGTCTCGAGTCTATCTTCGACCCCTCATGCCTCGTCCGTCTTCTTTGCCAATAGACTATTTGGAAACACATCGGTGAATAATCCTCCGTCCATATTAAGCTGCGTTATACGAACTGATGGCCCGGGATGGTGAGTGGTCTTGCGCTGAAGGCCCGGAACAACATCGCCAGCCGTTCTAAAGTCTAGGAACCGCTGCTGTCTGAGCAGACGCCTCTCTGCCGATGTGAGATGCTACTGCCAGGATATTGGGGTTAGCACGATCACTTCTCTATTGCAACTGCCATGCACCAATATACGCATGTCCATAGCGGTCAGACTTTGCCAATTAACCTCACGCTCAACCAGCCTACGTAGATTGGTGGCGGTTGAGGCCTCGGATTACCAGAGAGCTCAAATAGACTTTCTTCATGAAAGGGACAAGAATTTGCAGAATGTATTTTCATTAAGGCAACTCCATAGGAAGCAGCAGGGCACGTAGACCTTGACTGTTCCGGGCAAAAACAACACATGACGTACCCTGGCAAGTCATCGCCAACCAGTCCGAACGACCAATTGGCGAAACGATCCGAGGATGGAGACTAGAATCAAGGATTGCAGCTGGGGGAAATGGGAATGTCTCGTCTGTCAGGTCATCAACGCATCCTGGGAAGCTCAGATGAGCCCTCGTGATGATGGTTTTAGAAGCGACATTTCATTCTCGACACACACGGCGGAAACGCCAGGGCAGTGGGAAAGAACAAAGAACCCTGGCGGTGATTTGAGTAGGTGGTCTTTGATTATTTAAAAAAGAAGAATCGATGGGACGGGCCACGCAGGTAAAATATAAAATGGGCGTCGGGCGGAAAAACAGACGGTGCGGGCGGGTCCCCACCGCCCGCAGTCATTGGCGGACGCGCAAAAATGGCCCAGAAATGCCCAAACGGTGGATGGCAGCTCTTTTTGGCCGCCGAGAAAACCACAGCGACAGAAAGCCACCCCCCAAAAGACGAAACTGTCCGAGAGACTGAAGCACTGCCTTTCAATCCTCAATCAATCTTGCAACTTGCCCACTCTCATTCACCTTTTGATCAAACCCCAAACCTACCACCTTGCCGTCTCCGTCTCCGACCCCTTCTGCTCCTCCCACTTACCCTCTCATTCCACACTTTGCTTGCACCCGAAATTCTCTTGATCTCCCCGCATCCTTCATCCTCTACCCTGTCCTCCGACCGCTTGATCTCGGCCGCCTTTGCATTATTCAATTTTCTGATCCTCGACCCTCGATCCCGCCCTTGTTCAACGACATCACTCGGCTGCCATACCCCCGCCACTTCATCCGCACCCTCCGCCTCTTAACCACCTCACGCCTTTTTTGTGACGTTTGATCTGGAAAGGAACAGACAATTATCATTTTGTACTGCTAGTGTCTAACCGAATTGTTTTTTTTTGGACCGAGATTGTGAACCCAGGTCCCACGTCTTCTTGGGCTCTCGACTTCGCTCCCGCATGACCGCGTGCGTCTCGGGCACCTTCACTCGCTAATATGGATAACGCCAATCTGTGGACTCGTCGGGCCAAGTAAGTGTCAGGGATTGAGCACGGGCAACCCTGCGTGAGCCCGAAGGAACGAGTTCTGTGCGTGTGTCTAATTTGTTTTAGCTCCTCCAAATTGTCACTCTCGATGTCCGGTACAGACGGCAAGGACGGTGCTCGCGTTGACCTGCCCCGCCCCTCCAAGCGTTTCGGTCCTGATAGCTCGCATGGCCGTTCAAATCCGTTCAATGCCATCTCCCCTCTTTCAGCCGGTGTCTCGTCCCCGTCCACCAACGCCTCATCGGCCTTTGCGCTGGGCACCGGGGCTTTCGCCTCGTTCGGCGCGCCGAAGACACCCGGCGGCTCGGCCGATCTGAAGACGCCCGGGGAAAAGCGCGACGTTTCCACAGACCAGAACGACTCGACACGGGCCAAGGCGCACGCCAACGGTCACCCCGGGGCGGGGGAACATCCGCTAAAGTCGACCTGGATCGTCTGGTACCGTCCACCAACCCCCAAATACTCCGACTACGAGAAGTCGACGGTGCCATTGGCCGCGATAGCTTCCGTGGAGAGCTTCTGGGCGGTCTATTCGCACCTGAAGCGGCCGTCGCTCCTCCCGACCGTGTCGGATTATCACATCTTCAAGAAGGGCATCCGCCCTGTCTGGGAGGACGAGGCCAACAAAAGGGGTGGCAAGTGGATTGTCCGGCTGAAGAAAGGGGTCGCTGACCGATACTGGGAGGATCTCCTCTTGGCTATGGTCGGTGACCAATTTGCCGAGGCGGGCGATGAGGTATGCGGTGCTGTTCTGAGTGTGCGAGGTGGTGAAGATGTCTTGAGTGTATGGACCAAGAACGACGGTGGGCGTAATATCAAGATTCGGTACGGTGACTCCATCTTCTAGAGATCTGCGGGATACTGCGCAACAACAAGTGTAGACTAACATACTCTATCACAATAGGGAAACCATTAAACGCATGCTCGCATTCCCTGCCGACACCAACATTGTCTGGAAGAGCCATGACGACAGCATTGCCCAGCGCTCCGCAATTGACCAGGCGCGCCAGGAGAAGACCCAAACCACGGTCCCTACCCCAGCTGGCCATCCTGGAGCGGAGCGGCGCCGCGCCGATCACGATGACTCGGACAAGGGCAAGGGAAGCCCCGCTCTGTGAGGTCAGCCTCTTATCATCTCGGCCTCGAGCCCTGTACAGTAAAGTTCACTGAAAGAAAACACAAAAGGGATATCATGCACAATCTTACTACTCATTGGGACGCGTTTGGGTCGGGAGGGACGGCGGGGCATTGAGGCGAACTCAGCGGTTTTGATTTGATTCTTTTATTGTCATGTCTGCACTGCCCTATTTTCTGTGCTATGAAGTTCTTTCCTTCCTCTGAGTTTTATTTTCACGTCATCTTCCTGCCTTCTTCCTTCTCTTCCACCTTGTCTCCTCGTCAACCTCTTGTCGCCTCTTGCCTACACCTTTGTCACGATTTGACCGACAGCGACGTGGGTCTTGTTTGCATATCTTGCTTCTTGTGGGCGGCTCTCTGATCGATCATTCTATCGATCATTTCGACCGATAGATGCCTTGACAGCCATGAATGAAACCTCTGAACTCATAATGCACCTATATTTGGTACCGTGAAAGAGATGAAGTACTCTCCTCCAAGATTTATCAACTCACCCACTGCAACTACCGCGGCTCATGGCCACCCAACACCACCTAGTCACGTAGCGGCGTTTGCCTGAATTATCAGGTGTATATACATGCTTACCGCCTCCTGTGAGATGATGGCATAAAATTAACGGAGCGACCGATATTCAGTTACGTACATGCGGTTAGTCAGAAAGAGAGACCTCTCGACCAAGACGCGAGACTGTGGAGTGTCTAAGTTGTTTCAAGGCTTATTTACACATGGCAAATTATTTATCGTCCCAATCCTGGTGTTGGTTCTAGCCAAGTCTAATCACTCTTGCCGCCTCGTTCCCGAAGTGACGATCGTCCACGACCGCCGCTAGAAGGCCGCCGCAAACTAATTTCGAAGCGTACCAACAATCTTTCTCCGCACGGCGACCTTCTTCACCTCCACCATATACTCAGCTTATGCCTTGCGCACTTGCTCTAATACATGCCAGATGCTACCGACTAGAGTACTCCAGGCTATTGCGAACATCACAGGAACCAATCGTTCTTTCCTCCGACACTACCTATAATCACCGAGCTCCACGTTCACTGTTCTGCTGGTACGTGCAAGGATCCTTTCTTCGATGGCAACTTTTATTGGTATCAGAAACCGCCCAATGGGTACATAATATTTCGAAAGTTGCGAAATTTCGACATGGCAGCTCTGGAGTCCTACATTGAGCCCCGCGTGGCTCTTTATTGTTCGAACAACAATGATACTTTTTTTCTTTTCTGCGCGTCGCCAGTTTGCGCTTCTTAAATCGTGCTGTCACTCTCATACTCAGTTTCTAATTTTCATCCAGACCATTCAAAGTTATGTGCAAGACCTTTGCTTCGAATACATTCTGGATCCTCTCTCTAGCGGGTGAATACCGCTCCCATCTACAACCTTTGACCTAGGTTCAAGCGCTTGGTAAACCTGCCGATATTGACCTGCTTTACACCACCACTGGGGAGACTTGCTTTCACTCAAGACAAGCACTTGTCAATGTTGAGCCAGGACAAGGAAGACGAGGCCCGACTGTTGGGAGCTGTCCGTCGGTACGTCATCCACTCTCCAGGAGACGTGCGTGATTGTTGAGGGTGGAACCATTGACAAATGCTTCGACTGCTGCCTCTAGGCCCTCGGGAGCATTGGAGATCAAACCAGGCGCAGGAAGAGCGAGATTGAATAGGCCAAAGCCTGGAGTAGGTATTGATAATTGCGTCTTTTGTAGCGATCATGAAGCTGATATCCAATGCTCAAGGCTTCCGGCGCATTTCGACCAGCTGACCGCATCTCCAAGAATGCTCGCCAAAGTGGGCCGGTCCGTGCCTCGCAAAACTCAAGAAGCTCCGAGACGTACCTCGATCGCACTCACCAACAAGCGGAGGAGCTGCATGACTTTCGTGGGTCTAACCGACCGAGTAAGCGTCAGCGCCAGGATGATTCTGGACACATTACTTCCCCTCGGAGAGGACGAATGAGCTCACTTGTCGAACCTTCGATTCCCGTCACTCACTCATCGCGGACCTCTCCAGTCTCGACCTTTTCCCATCCAGGTGTTAGGAATAGTCGCCAGGCGCCTGTGGTCTCCGAATTTCGAGGTGTAGAAGCTACAATTGGCCGCAATAGCCATCCTTATTCGAGGGGCCGGTTTTCATCCGTTGCCAGTTTCACAGACGAATCATTCACTTTGGGGGCCGCTGCCCAGCGACGATCGTCGGTCTCTGCCGCCGACTTGAGCGAGCGAAATTCAGTGTTCAAATACCTCAAAGGTTCCAAGTCAAAACGAGCTCCAGTTGGGACGATTGAAATCAAGGATTTGGATGCAGTCCACCAGGATGAGCCTCTACAGCATTCCCCCCATCGAGGAAACCACAGCAGGCATTGGACCCCGATGACAGTCCTGACGAACTGCAAGGCGAGGCGACAACGCATCCGCCTCCTAAAAAGCCTGATTATAAACATCTTCTCAAGAATCGCTTGCAGGAGCTCGAACACGCACCTCTTTCCCCTTCGCGGAAAAGATCACCGTCTGACATTGAGCCCACTCAGTTTATCCCGCAGCTCACAAAGAAGAACAAGAAGACGCCACGAGACAATGCTGCAGTCCAGAAATCCACGGTCTCACTCCAATACATCAGATTTGGCCGAATATCCAAGCTCGTTGAGGATGACCGAGAAATTTCAGTCGATGTTTACGTCGATCGATTAGTGCTTGGGGCACCTGTGACCGATAACAATCGGGAAGAGGTTCTTTTTCGTCATGTGAGAGCACTAATTTATGCCGAGAGAAGCCTTAAGGTGCGCCTCCAGTTGAGGGACTATCAAAACGCTCCTGGTAGTCTCATTGACATGCAATTCACCACACTGAGGGACAGAGACTCTGTCCGGCATCTGATAGTGCAAACGCAAGATCGCAACACCAAATGCGTTGAAAAACAGCCGTAAGTGATGAATAGTTCATGGATGGCGCCAAGTTCATAGAAATAACCATGTGACAGGGAGTGGCTGGAAAACGCTTTTTCAATATACGATCAAGACATGCGCCATCGCTCCAATCACAGCAAATCTCTCGTGGCAAATCAATCTCGACTTCAGACGCTGCCTTCTCCCGCCAGTGCTACTGGTAAGATCACAGGCAAGAAGCTATCCTCAATGTTGGAGGGCTCCGCCAGCGAATCAGATGGAGAGCTACCGCCGACAGATCTGGCTCAGGAGCGACATGATATGAAGAAGCCAGAAAAGGTGACAGATAGTCCTTTGAAGAAGGCACAAACACCGCTCAAATCGGATTTGGGAGTGGAGATTCCAGTCAAGAAATCCTTCACTGGCAAAGAAACGGTGCCTCAGACCCAACGAGAAACGAGAACCTCGACGCGTCGGACCAGGGCGCTGACGGCAAATGATCCTCACGCAAACTCTGAGAAGTCAGAGTCTACGTTACAATCAGACACGTTCAGGAAGAACTGGAAGAAGTCACTCGTCTATCCCAAAGTCGGCAAGAAAAAGGAAGAGGTGAACGTTGAAGACCGTGATCGGTTGCGCGAGAATCAGTTGCTGAATGACAACTTGATCGCATTTTACATCCGCTTCCTACAAGACCATCTGGAACGTACACGCCCGGACGTTGCCAAAAGAGTCTACTTTTTTAATTCCTACTTTTTCGCGACTTTGACGAACAAGGGGGCCCGCGAGATCAATTATGATGCTGTTGAGAAATGGACACGGAATGTGGATCTTTTCAGCTACGATTACATCATAGTACCTATCAATCAGAGTGCGCATTGGTACCTCGCAATAATCTGCAACCTGCGTTGTCTGGCGCAGGACCTAATTGGGGCCCCAGAGCCCAGCCCATCACATCCAAAGGAGGCCGTTTCGTCTGGTCAGCCGGCACAAGGCGCTAGGGAGACCCCCGAGTTCCCTGGCCCAGTGGCCGAAAAGGCCTCACTGGGCCCTGAGGAAATTGAGGCAATAAAGTCTCGGAAAGTGGACTCGAAACCCTCGCCCTCGGAAAATGCAGTGCATTCTCTCGAGTCTCTGGCCATTGGAGACCAGACGAAGGCCATCTCCGAGGGAGAGCTTTCGACAATTCTGCCTGCATCAGTCGATGAGGCGCTTGCATCTGCTCGAGAACAATCTACGACCAAGCAAACAAGCAAAGGACCCGCCAAAGCCAAGAAGAAACGTGGCGGAATCAAACTTGACCCTCGCCAGACGGCAATCATTACCTTCGATTCACTTGATGCGCCACGGTCCCCCACAGTCAAACTTCTACGCGAGTACATCTGTCGAGAGGCTGCCTCGAAGCGCAAGATGAAGATTCGAAATCCAACATTGGAGATCAAGGGTATGCGGGCGCAGAACATTCCTCTCCAGCCCAATTACTCCGATTGCGGGCTGTATCTGATGGCATATCTGGAGAACTTTGTTCGCGACCCCGATCGTTTCGTGGCCAGGATTCTTCAAAGGGAGATGACCGAGGAGGATGATTGGCCTCCGCTAGCTTCGGGTCTGCTACGACTACGCATGAGGGATTTCCTCGATCAATTGTATCAAGAACAGAATAGTGATGAAAGGGACTGTCTGTTGGCGGATCGACAGCCTATCTCTTTCCTCCTTGGCCCGCCCATTTCCGACAAGAGTGATGCAGAAGACATGCTACTCCCGGGTCGAACGGCAACGCCTGATGCAGACTCAGGCCATGAGAGCAAGGCACAAGAGAAGCTCGGGGGCGAACATCAACCCTCACAGAGAGAGCAAGAAGACGAAGATATAAGTCCGGATCTCCCAGTACTTGTACCCATGGCTGCAGTTTCGGTATCGAAACCGATCGAGACTGCCACATCCGGTGAAGCCGTCCACAAGAAACATCATGCTGCGCCTGATGCAGATGATATATTGGAGATTCCAGATAGCCAGGAGACTGCTGGTCCAGCGCCCCAAGGACCCCAGACGGAACGATTGCACAGACACAAGCTCAAACCCGAGCAAGTTGAGATGTCTAGAGATGAAACCAATTCGAAGAGGCTGTCCCCCATTACAGGGCTCGGGCGAGCTGGTAAAGCCCCTGGGGAACCGTCGGCTCATCTCCAGCGAGTTGAGGTTCAAGTGCAGCCTGAAATCCAGGTCCTCCGCACCCCTCCACGCGAGGAGAAGAAGCAAGTGCAGCATGGTCACCACACCTCCGTTCAAATAGATTAAAATCTTTCGAAGCTTTCACTGGACCCTGATTTGCCATGCTTTCCTCATGGGCGAGTTCTGTCGCACTATGTCTTGCGATGCATTGACCGCGTGTGGTAGACGGAGCTTCGAGAAGCATGGCTCAGTGAATGCCGAGCTGCTTTTGATTATCCATAGATCCCTCTATCTCTCTATATTCTACATTTCTAGATTTCCACCTCGTTGTTCTCGGCCCCGAAGTACACACAGCGGTCCTTGAGGTCGGTCACTCGTAATTCTCATTCTGTTTCACTTTGGATCAATTTCATCGAACGATGGTAGAAGATTGTAAGGTGCTGACGCTCGTCTATCGCTCTCTATGGGTCTACTAAGAACACACGAATCTCACCAAGACTAGGGCGTGTTCCAGCCATTTCGCACTTCTGCCCCTCTGCCGAAGCAAAAGCAAATCCCCCAACAGAGAATCTACCAATCTTTCTCGTCCATAGCAACCCACCAATCCAACTTCTCCCTCTTGAACGTCTCAAAATCCCATTCCCGCTCCTCCAGTTGCTCCCTGCCCGCAACCCACACATACGTCGTCGCAACAACTTCCTCCCCCTCAGTCGCGGTGCCCGCCCCCGCAGCATCAAGTTCCTTCACCAACTCGTGTCCTGACACGACTTTGCCATCCTCGTGGGATTCCGTCCGAAGCGCGCGCACTCGCACCGTCTGTTTGACGTATTCGGCGCCCTCGTACCGGTCGAGTCGGTACATATCCGCCTCGGTTAGACCGGAGACGAGGACGCCTAGAACGGCGGTCTGGTCGGAATCGGATGGCTCGGCGATGATGCCTGGGTACTCTGCGTTTCGGACGCGATGGCGTCGATAGCCGTGGAGGAGGGCGGGTTGGAAGCGCACGCGGTCTTTTTGCCAGGGTTCTGGGGTGGGACTGCCGTGGATGACGCGGTAGAGGACCTCTGGTGCCATGAGAGTTCCTGTATGGTTGGTAGGGGGGCCCTAGTTCAGCTGAAGGGTGCATGGTGGGATTGGTGGAGTATATCGGGGGATGTGTACCATAGCAAAAGAGTGTATAAGTGTCCATGATCAAGTACTGAGGATTGGAAAGGAGGTTGTTCAACGCTGGGTATGATGTGACACAAGTGTAAAGTGTATTTAGTTCACTGGATAGAAGTCCCAATTTGAGGATGTTGCGGGGTAACGATTCTTCGCAAGAGTATATAGGTGAACGTCAAACGTATGCGACTACCTATCTTCTTCATGATGCGATTCCACCCCATGGGGTCCTCCGGAAATAAGCTTTTACCTGACCGGCATCGGCGCAGGTACCTCTCCAACGGATGATAACAATGTCCCGCAAGCTGCCAGACTACTGTATGCCTCACTACTGACTTACTCCAACGGGCACTTTCCCCTCAGCCACGCTTCCGCTGCCCCAAATCGATCTTATCTCTGCGCTCTTATCTTTATCTTGGCATATCTTATCGTCCTCGGACTCCTCACAGCTCGTCTTATCGATAAGATCTCCCCAAACACGCCCAGCTGGCTTCATCGGCGGAAACGCTGCTTCGACCCTCCCTGCGTAAGAGACCAATTTCCCTCCCCCTGCCCATTTCGCAGTGGACCTGCGACCAAGACCTCGGTCCTTTGGGAGAATTCGCTCGAAGCATATACATCTACAATTGCCATCTTGTCGATTTTCGGATCCCCCCCCCCCCCCCCCCGGTGCACCATGCATTCAGCGTTGAATCGCTTACAAGCCGTGTTTGGCTTCTTCACCACCGTCGCATTGGTAGTCGCCGGAGCTGCTGCACTCTCCGTGCTATTGTTTCCCACCGATGCGACGACGGCCTCGGTCTCATTGAAGAACGTCCAGGTGTAAGAAAGCATATCCTCTTCCTCCCCACAGACAACCTGGACCACACAGAAGATGATCTCTAACCCAAAGTCCAATTCGGGCCGCTCCCTCGCAGCGTCAAAGGCCGACCCCATTACTACTCCACCAAACGTGAAGAATACGCCCAGATCCGCTTCGATCTCGACGCCGACCTCACCCCACTCTTCACCTGGAACACCAAGCAACTCTTCGTCTACGTCTACGCCACCTATTCCTCCTCTGACAAGCCCGACTCCACATCCACCACCCGCGCCTCGGAAGCAATCATCTGGGACTCGATCATCCCCGCCGCTCCCTCCCCGTACTCCTTCGACCAGCTCAAGGAGAAGACTCTCTCTTTACTCCCCGCGTCCCTGAAATCAGGAACAAGTGCATCCTCCAAGCGCTCCGCCAAGCCCAAGTCCAGCGCCAAGTCCCAGAAGAAAGAGAAGGCGAAGAAGCTCGAGACCCCGGGCGTGCTGCGTCTGCGCGGACAGAGAGCCAAGTATCAGATCAGTGATATCACGGGCCGACTGGCGGGACGCGAGAACGTCACCCTGTCGGTGGGCTGGAATGTGCAGCCGTGGGTCGGGGCGTTGTGGTGGGCGCCTGCGACGGGGGCGGTGCCTCACACGCAGGGTCAGTTGGTGAGTGCGGAGAGCTTTGATTTCCCGGCTTTGAAGGGGGCGAAGAAGCCTGTTGAGGGGGCGCAAGGTACGCAGGCAAGTGTGTAAAATTGAGACAATTGTGGAAAGGGAGACAGCTTTTTACAAATTCTATCGTGTTTCCCCCTCCTTTCCAGTTCTGAGCGCATCCGGTGCAAGTTGGATGTCGACGCTCATTCTGCTCCTTTTTTTTTCATTTTCTTCTTAAAACAGGCCTGTAAATGTTGATTTCCCAGGGATATTCATGTTTACGCGCAGTTGTGTCAAAAGGGCAAGACAGTCGGCATCTGTGAGACACTTGTGCATTGACCCCCAAAAATGATGGGAGTCTCGAATATGTATTACAAACTGGCTAATTGGGGAGGGTAATCATTAAAAGTTTAAACAAGCAGCAACGGAAGCGATCCACCATGCGACAAGAAGCATCATGAGTCAACAACCACCATAGAGCGAGTGAATTGGAGGCCTCGGCACGACATCAAGGGAAGACATCGAGCAAGGGCCCAAAAGCTTAGACGGCAGCGACAGGGCCGTCATGGGAATGACCGCCGTTCTGGATGCGCTCCGAGTAGACGCCCGAGGCAGGCTTCATTGTGGCGCGCGTTGCGGGATCGAGATCACGGCGCTGGTAGTAGACGTATTCCAAGTAGAAGGCATGAATGTGGCCGGGGAAGTATCTGACAGGCGACCAAAAAAAATGGTTGTTGATTAGCGTGTTTCATCCCTTTAGAATCGTCACGAGATTCCCTATCATCTGTTGTCGGAAGAAGCAACTCACCCGAGAATGGTCAAGAGGACATTGATCCAAAAGTCCATGCCACAGCCGCTGATCATGAATACTCCCAAAGGAGGGACTTAGGCTGTGTTAGCTGGGCAACCGTGAAGAACAGGTAGCACGTGATGGATCTTGATTTTGGATTTGGAGCTTGGAAGTTCGACTTGAATTTAGGGCTTGGCGCATGGCTTTTCATGCAGCCTCAGCTCTAGGCAACAAGGATTCCAGTTGCCTGGCACACACTGAGGCGAAGGAAGGTATCGCGACACGTCCAGGAAAGAATCCCCCTCTGTGAAGAAAATGCAGTGACAAGGCTCGATCGTGGAACGACTTACTGAAGATGGTGATTAGGATTAAACACAAAGTAGAACAGGCGCCCATTTTGTGAAGTCGAGAGATGCAAGATGGAGAGGTGGAGATTGTTGATTGTAGTATGAGAGGTTGACACTTGACAAAGCAAGAGGAGAGTCGTGATCGGTTGTCTGGGCTGGTACCAAGGAGTGAAAAGGCAGAGAATAACGACGGGATTTCAATGAGGGAGCACAACAGGGTATAAATAAGGAAGAAGGGAAACCAGCCCTGTGGCTCATTCCTTGTTAGGGCGCGATAGTCGAGACGATCTCGTCTGGGCGCGAATGATCGACAAAGACGTCAGTCCGACAGACCAGCGGCTGCAGCTCCCCAGCGGCAGGGAAAAGGATTGACTCGGGCCGTTTGTTGACGAGAAAGGCGCGATCCAATTCGGTTGCCTAGTGAGTACTGAGTACCACTTTGGAATAGGCATGTACTCACTACTTCATGACTAGCATGGTCGTACGATAGAGCCGAGCCAGTCATGGTTGCTCTCTTAATAAATCACGATTAGGAGCGTACAAGAAAGCAGAGTATGTGTTTTACAGGTTACGGCAATTTGAAGAACGAGACTTTTGCTGCAAATCGCATCGATTCCTCATTCTGATTGTCCAAGTCTTGTCGGTCGTAGGGCTGACGGATTCCATCTCGGGAGCGTTGCGCCCAGCCGCGAGAGCGTTACGAGGCTTGGCTGAATGCCTCGTATTCCAGGTTTCCCATTCTTGGCATTGAGCGTGCCCAATCGCGCTCCTCGAGGAGGTACTGGAAGTGGACACTTCCCGTCCCGTCCAGGTGACCCGCTGACGTCAGCGTCCTGCTGCCCCGGCCGCAGTCCAGACTCGGTGAAACAGTCGAAAGAGACGGACCTCCCGACGCCTCGACTTGGTAAGCTGCCGGAATCGCTCAAGACATGATATTCATGCAGGTCTGCAGACTGGTTGAAGCTGCCGACTGCAGAATCACTGCGTAATCCGGACGCACAAGATTGCCCACGACTCGGCGCCCCTTTATCTGACGGATGTGACACCCGTCGATCGCCAATGCCCGCCAAGACAGGGGGAAGGAAGAGTGCAGACTGCAGCGAGCAGGCAGCAAAGTTATCGGACAGATTTGTATAAGCGCCCTTCGCATTCACCCGCCCACCACAGCCACAGGCCAAACGAGCTTGCTATTTGAGGTGGCGGTGCGTGTGTGTGTGTGAGTGTAGCCGACACACGGTCAACTGGCCAGCACGAGGCAGCCTGGTTAGGTAGCCAAGCACTTCTATCATCGAACCATATAATCGGGACAGCGCCTCGTAGAATCCAAGCAAAAAAAAAAAAAAGAACAGCCATCCTCCGCCCACCTGGGTCCGCCATGACTTATACGGCATCCATAGCGGCGCGGGTCGTTACTTGCTCGTTCTTGTTTCCCAATTTGCAAATCTGGAGGAAAGCATCCACCCCGTATCCCTCCAGACTATGGAGCTCCAAGCTACCGGCCCAGTACTCGGCATAGACCCGACTCATGGGCAGTCCCATGCCCAGTCGAAGATTGGGGGGTCGTGAGGTCAGGGAATCCAGAGAGCCCTCGTGCCAGCTGTCTCGTTCGACCTTCCGCTCCGGTACCTTCAATTCCTGCATGGTGGCAGCCATCGCGGGGACCCGACCCAGATTCTCGAGTCGAGTCTGGGTCCGTGGACCCTTGCTGAAGGACCACAGGTACGGCAGGATCTCTTGGGGAATCCCGCCGCCTTGGTCCGAAATGCGCATGATCACGTGCTGTGGCGTTTCACAGATCAGCACTTCGATGGGTGGCGGGGGATGCGGCGAGTCGTGGTATTTTTCAACCACAGCCTGCACAGAGTTGCGCAGCAATTCTCCCACAATATACTCCAGGTGGCTCAGAATGTACGGAAACGTTGCATCCAGGTGACCTTGCACGATGATCTCGGGGAGCTGCGCAGTACTCGAGGTTCGGCGCATCAGATCTTGTGCGACTCGTCCACATCGCTCGACCACCTGTTTCGCCTTGCACTTCAAGAACACCTCTCCGACAAAGTCCGCGTTCAAGTCGGTCCGATCGTGAGAGTCTTGGAAATGCCAGGGAGAGTTGAATGTGTCGGTCAGAGCGAGATGTTGCTCCGCAATGACCCGCCGCGAGATTCGCTAATAGCCCCAAAGCCAGGATCAGCTATCATGGCCCGAGTTGAGATCAGAAACAAGATGGGGGAAGGATTCGAGGCATATATACCGCTCGTAACAGAGTATTCATAAACTTGTCCATCTCGTTGGGTGAGACAAGGTTGCGGCACTCGAGGACACCCATGGCCAAATTGGGGATGACAACCAAATGCTCTCTCAACATGTCTCGTAAAATGTCACAAAATCGATCATTATCATCCAACGACTGGATCTCGGGGATCACTCGAAATCGCTCAAATGCCTTGTAGTATAATTCGTAGACGAGGGACAGGTGTGGATTGGCCACCACCACGTAGGGCAGTTGCTGGATATCTCGTAACCGATGCGCCAATCTGGGGGAAGGTCAGTGTTTGTCCTCATTGAATCAGTGTGACAGGCACACCCCCCCCCCCCCCCCCCCCCACACACACGCAGCCCCTTCGCTGCCATCGGGTACACATACCGCGTCGGTAATTCAGTCCGCACATAGTTCGCCGAGCTGATCAAGCGAGGCTCGGTCAAGGTGCGGCCGAAGAAAGTCAGCTGACGCAGACTGATCGGGCGGGCCTGACGCTCAGCCCATCTATCATGACCACAGCCAGACGAGTCAGTTGAGGGGATCCAGTGGCCTTGACGGCGGGGGAACAGTGTGAATCATACTCGTCTAGAGCGGTGGCGGGCCGCCATGGGGGCGGCTGTTGCTCCCGCACGCTGGAATAGAAGCGTGACTGGGAGACACGCCGGAAGCCATTCCAACGTCGGGCGGGACAGCTTGATCGCATTATCACCCCATATACTCCCAGTCAATCTGGGACAGCGAAGGGCCAAGGCGCCATGCGATGAGGAGGGAAATCGGAGAAGAGGAGAACGAGCTGCGTGCATTATCCCCACCGGCGAAGGGCGGTGAGGCATGTGACGTTCTCGAGAGATCGCTCTGGAGGCCGAGACTCGGAGCCAATGACACCGGGGAATGAGCTAAAATCAAATCATGTCTTTGGGTGGAGATAGCTGCTGCATGGTCAATTATGCAGCGCTGTCCCTAGTGACCTGTTTCCCCCTCATTTGTAGTGGATCGAAGCTTTTACCCCGGGTTTTGTGTGAAGTTTCATCGTCAGTAGTAGAAGAAGAAGAAGAAGAAGAAGAAGTAGTAGTAGCAGCAGCAGCAGTAGTAGTAGTAGTAGTAGTAGTAGTAGTAGTAGTAGTAGTAGTAGTAGTAGTATTAGTAGTAGTAGTAATTGACATTTTGGGTCTTCCTGGATACTGCACTGTTGAGCTTGTGTCAGCTTCGTTAGCCATGATTACCGCGGTAAGGTGATTCCAGGCTTTGTAACACTGAATACCAATGCATCAATGATTCAATATAGCTCTTGGACAGAAGAAGCAGAAGAAGAAGAAGAAGCCTTGACACAGGCCTACTCTACAATCAAAAAAAGGGTTATCCAAGGTAGGTACCATTCTGGAGCCTCGAATTGACTAAAACATCTTAGGGAGCATTAGACCATCGGGCATGAGAAAGTGTTCCAGGGGAAGACTTCCCACAAGCTTAGGAGTGCATTATTTCAAGCATGTGATCACGGCTACCGGAGAAGTGCAGGTGCCCGGTGGAGTAGTACAACACTATATCTATCCATGTATTAGCATGTGGGCTGAATCACTGGGTTGAATACTCCCCCTTCAGTGTTTAAACAGTCAATTGCGTGTACCTTATTATGAGCATCTGCCTTCCTTCAGAGTATATCACATGACGGCGTCAACTCGTGAATCGTACTCCTGCGATCTCATTGAGGTTCAAGTTCTTCAAAGGTTACAGGTGGTTAACCCGCACTGCCAGGTGCCCATCTGGACATACTTGGATGAATGTGGCCCATCCATCCACCGTCTCTGCGTGTTCTGTAGGTACTAGACAAGGAATCCAAGCTGGAATACCTACCTTCTACCCTACATATCACGGTCGCGGTGGCGGCCTGTTTGTCGCCTGATGTCTGGGTTCTCGAACTAACTGAGGTGATCGCAATTGAGCCATAACCCGAGACTTCATGGAGGCTACCCATGCCTCTGGTAGTTTACAGGGCGAAATGAACTCATGAAACCGACAGAACTGAAGCCATTCCACGGATGTCACTTTCTGACTACCTAAGTACCTATAGATGAGGGCTAGAGTCCCATAAGAACGAGCTCGAGCCGGGAGCAAATCCCAGTATTGAAGCGAACACCTGCACCCGTATACTAAAAGAAGAAGCTCTGCGAAGTAAAACAAGATAATTATGAGCCTCTATATTCCTTTGCAGTAGGTAGGTCTGACCTGTACATGAGGCTTAACCTACCTAGGTAGAAGATGGAGATAACAACTAACTTATTAGGCATGAGTTCGGGCTTTTGGTTCCCGATTGTATATATCATGTCGCTAGCAGATCCATTGCGGTCCTACCTATTGTACCATGAACCTCCTCAGCTTTCAAGAGAATGCCTCGGCTTTTGCTCTCGCTGAACAGTACTCAATTCAGATTGATTTGTAGCGGTCATTTGAGTCAAAAAAAATTGAGCAACTGTGTGAGAGTCTCTTGGGTACCTCCGATATATTTAATAGGTCGCACAATGGCCGCCCAGAGTTGAGCCTCAGGTCCACTTACAGAGCATCACCACATCAACCGGTACATCAGCGTTCAATTGTGATTCTTGCGTAAGAGTATAGCTCAATGGTACTTGGAAATGATTCAATATCTTCTGTCAAAGTTATATTAACGATTCATTCGTCATGCAACTGATAACTACCGGTTATGCGAGGCACATGTGTCGCTGGATTGCCGAACCGGGATTGGATCATCGCAGCCGGAGGCAGCACATCACCAACAGTCAGCGAAGACTAACAGGATCTCGGTTGACAACCACCTCACCCCATTCATGATAATTCGCCAGAGAATCGTCAGAATTGAAGTCATCTTCGGTCCAATCTCACTTGGCTTTCGAATCCTCTAGTCAGTCTCCCCTCCCCACGCTCTCGAAGCTTGCTTTGCCCGGAGCGGCAGTGAACAGTACATCATCAGAGAAAAATAGGTAAGAGTGCTCTCTGAGTCTCTGTAGGTGCCAAGTCTCCACGGGCTCCGCCACCGCTAGCTGTCGGACCGTCTTCCCTCTCTCTCACAATAATCTTCTAACCACAAAAGAACTTCCGCCCGTCTTAAAGATTCTCGACTCAAACCCGCGGTCATTCTTTTTCGTGAAGTCTCTACAACAGCATTTCCCTTTAGCTTTTCCTTGAAGCCTCGACAGGTGCCTTCCGGCCGGACGGAAGGGCCTCTTTTCGCGATGGAAAACGTGAGTTGCCGTTTGTCTCTTTGCCCGCGCCGACCGTGCCCCTCGCGTGTGTCGTCATTGCAGATCTAACCGTGCTTCTTCAATCCAGCTTGCGGATAACGAGATGCTTGTCGACGACTACGACCAATATGCGAATGAGAAGGCCGATGTCGTCGTGGTCTCTCCCGCGGGCTCCAACGAGCCTGAACCGTCTGCCGCTGACCGTATGTCTTGTCCATTAAGTTCATTTGTGATGTGTTCTCAGATCGCATCTGCCTATCCTATCCGCTCGCCTATGCCACAGCCTACAAGCCAGGAAAAGAATCGGGAGCGCCAGCGCTCTTGGTCCCGCCTCTCTGCGTGTCCTGGTCGCACGACCTTGGGATAACATTTAAGAGAGCTGTGGCGGGTAAGCGGAAGGCGGAGCGGATTGATTTGATGACACGGCTTCAGCGCAGGGCTTGCGAGAATCCAATGCCAGACTGTGTGTCAAGATTGCTAATTAAATTTTGCGAAATCATTTCAGACGCGGCCATGATGGCGCGAGTACTTCCGCAGAACTCCGATCTCGAGACCTTGGATGAAGTGCACCACACATGGCACATCGAGAATTGGAGGAAGATGGACCGAAAGTCGCACGGTCCTATCTTCAAGTGCGGCGGATCACCATGGTGAGTTGAAGCTCTGCTTGTTCTAGGCCGCGAAGGTGAGACGAGGGGAAAAAAACAACACTAATCCAAGTTTAGGCGCATCCTGTTCTTTCCCTTTGGCAACCATTCAGAGCATGCCTCACTCTACCTGGAACACGGGTGGGGAGATGAGCCGCCAGAGAATTGGTATGCCTGCGTTCAATTCGCTTTGGTCCTGTACAATGTGAAAGATCCCACGGTGTTTGTCTCACACGGTAAAGGCTCAATCACACTCGACAGATAGACACACACACAGTCGACTAATTCTCTGATACAGTCGCGACTCATCGCTTCAACGCGGAAGAAGCAGACTGGGGCTTCACTCGATTCTACGACCTCAAGAGCCTCTTCACCGATTCGTTTGAGGGCAAGAACGTTCCACTTGTACAGGATGACGAGGCCATGGTGACCGCCTACGTGCGAGTCGTCAAGGACCCGACTGGAGTGCTTTGGCACAACTTTCACAAGTCAGTCCCGAAACAATATTCAACTCCCCGTTCCAACACGCTGACTTTCGATTAGTTACGACTCCAAGAAAGAGACCGGCATGGTTGGTCTTCGCAACCAAGGTGCCACCTGTTATCTCAACTCCCTCATCCAGTCTTTGTACTTCACCAACGCTTTCCGCAAGGTACAATCATCTGAATGTGAATTCCTTCGTCGTTGCAGCTTAGTTAATTGAGTGTCTTGACAGGCTGTGTATGATATTCCCACGGAGGCAGATGCATCCCGCGAGAACAGCGCTTGGACTCTCCAAAGACTCTTCTACAATCTTCAAACTGCGGAAAAAGCAGTGTCGACCACCGAACTCACAGCTTCCTTCGGTTGGGACTCGAGACAGACATTCGAGCAACAAGACGTTCAAGAGTTGTCACGAAAACTCATGGAACGACTAGAGGAAAAAATGAAGGGCAGTGTTGCCGAGAAGGCTCTACCGGAGTTGTTTGTCGGCAAAACCAAGACGTACATTTCATGTATCAACGTGGATTATGAGTCGTCTCGTATCGAGGACTTTTGGGATATTCAGCTCAATGTCCGCGGGAACAAGACCCTGGAGGATAGTTTCCGTGATTACATCCAAGTGGAGATTCTTGAAGGGGAGAACAAGTATGACGCGGGCCCTCCATATGGTCTACAAGATGCCAAAAAAGGTGTCATTTTTGAGAGCTTTCCGCCTGTACTGCATCTCCACCTGAAACGATTCGAATACGACCTTAATGCCCTTACGATGATGAAGGTCAACGACCGCCATGTGTTTCCGATGGAATTTGATGCTGCACCTTATCTGTCTTCCAACGCTGATATGTCCGAGCCTTGGATCTACGAGTTGCATGGTGTGCTGGTTCACAGTGGCAGCCTGGATGCCGGCCACTACTACGCATTTTTGAAGCCAACCAGGGATGGTCATTGGTATCGCTTCGACGACGACCGTGTGAACCGTGCGACCGAGAAGGAGGTGTTGGAAGAGAACTATGGAGGAGAGTACGAGTTTGCCAACGGTGGCGCTGGAGTGCGCCAGCCCTACACCCAGAAATACTCCACCAAGCGCTCAATGAACGCGTACATGTTGGTCTACGTTCGCAAGACTCGCTCGGACAAGGTTCTCCATCCCATCACCAAGGAAGATGTGCCTTCTCACATTGGTATGCGTCCCCTTGTGACTATTTCGATTTGACTATCGCATGCATTGCAACTAACTTTCAGGTAACAGCGGAGCGCCTCGCACAGGACCGAGCGGAGATGTTGCAGCGACAAAAGGAGAAGGAGGAGGCTCACTTGTACATGAACGTTGGCGTGCTCAGTGAAGACACATTCAAACAGCATCAGGGCTTCGACCTTACAAGTGCCGATCTCCCAGCTGAACATCCGGCTCTCCCAGCCCAGTATCGAATCCTCCGCGCCAAGAAAGTGGGCGAATTCGCTCAGGAGCTAGCCAAAGAGCGTGGTCTTGACGCAAAGTCCATTCGATTCTGGGCAATGGTCTCCCGTCAGAACAAGACCACTCGGCCTGACCAAGTGATCAAGGACAACGAGATGACGATCGAGGAAGCTTGCACAAAGTATGGCACTCGGGGCAACATGTTCCGGCTGTGGATGGAAACTGCACCTCTGGGTCCAGATGGACAGCCCCAGGACTGGCCTGACAACGATTCCATCCTCATCTTCCTCAAGAACTTCGACGTGGCCTCCCAAAGCTTGACAGGCGTGGGACCCGTCTACGTCCGTAAAAATCAGAAGGTCCAGGAACTGGCGCCGATCATTCTCTCCAAGATGAACTGGCCTGCCGGAACCGATTTCATGCTGTTTGAGGAAATCAAGCATAACATGATTGATGTCATGAAGCCCAAGCAGACTTTCCAGCAGTCAGAGATTCAAGATGGCGATATCATCACGTTCCAGCGGACAGTGAAGGATACCGAGCTCCCATCTACGGCTCTTTACACGGATGCACGACAATACTATGATTACCTCCTCAACCGCATGGACGTCACGTTTGCTCCTATTCGACCCGGCGAGGGCGAGGAATTCGTCCTGACCCTGAGCCGTAAGTTGACCTACGACCAATGGTCTCAGAAGGTGGCCGAGCATCTCAAGGTTGAGCCCACCCACTTACGATTCGCCCCTGTCACGGCCAGCAATGGCAAGGCCAAGTCATTCCTGAAGCGGACCACCACATCCAATCTTGCTCAGATTCTCAACGGCCAATACGGCGCCTATGGCTACACTGTGCACCGGTCTGACTCTTTGTACTATGAGGTGCTCGACATGAGTCTGAGCGATTACGAGAGCAAGAAATCTTTCAAGGTTGTGTACCTGCCGGAGGGAATTACTAAAGAAGTAAGTTTGCAACAACCCACGTTTACCAAAGTCTCTCCGGTGACTTGCATTATTGACTAATGAGCGACGGTCCAGGAAATGGTCGAGGTCTTGGTTTCCCGTAATGGTACAGTCACTGAGCTTTTGGCCGCCTTGCACAAGAAAGCCAATCTCGATGAGAACGTACTCCAGGAGCTGAAGCTCTTCGAGGCACACAACGGCAAGATTTATAAGGAACCAAATGGTGAAACAAACGTCTCAGCTATCAACGAGTACTCCACGATTTACGCAGCTCGCGTCCCCGCCGAGGAGCTCAACATGGAGGAGGGTGATCGTTTGGTCAGCGCATACAACTTTGACAAGGAAGCCAACCGTACACACGGTGTGCCCTTCAAGTTTGTCATAAAATCAGTAGGTCTATCGATAGCTTTCCTTGATCCATCTAGAGGTCACTAACAGAGGAACAGGGCGAGATATTCAAGGAGACCAAGACGCGTCTTTCCAAGAGGACAGGTCTCAAGGGCAAGCCCTTTGAGAAGATCAAGTTTGCCGTCGTGACTCGAGCTTCGTTCTCGGCTCCCAAGTATCTTGAAGATGGTAAGAGAAACCCTTACTTGCCCGCGAAAATTTTCTGTGCATATTTCGATTTGCTTGTTCCTGACACCCATGTGCTGACTGTATTATTTTAGACGATATCCTCTCTGACATTATTGGCCCTGACGATTATCTGGGCTTGGATCATCCCAGTAAGAGTCGCGGATTCTGGGGCAAGAGCGAGAGCTTCTTCATCCGATAAGAGTGTGCAAAGGCCCATAGCCCTCAGGCGTTTTCGAAAGTCGGGCTTGAAAATTTGTTCATTTTCCTTTACAGCAGATGATAAGTTGAGGGGAAGAGCAGATGCTTGTTCTATTTTGAAATACATTTCACATGAATCTTTATTCTCGAAGTGCCCTTGACATCCGCCACGGCCTCGAGAAAGAACAAATCATTTTCGATTCTCGTAATATACTGTGCACCTACATTGAGAAGTACAAATGTATCACAAATATGGAAGAAGTGTATCAGAGCCGGTACCTTTTGTCTATTTTGGCATGCCATTGATGCGTTGGAGAGGACAGCGAGACGTACGATATCTACATGGATTGCTTCAGGTGGCCAAACATGGAAGTTAACTAGTAGCGTACCTGAACCCAATTTGACCTGTGCTCCGGTAACTTGGTAATTGTCGCTGCGGAGTTGTTCGAGTCCGCCGCGTGGGATTTAGCGGGGGTGCAAACACCGCAAACATGTGCCCTCCAAGCTGGCCAGAACTCCCAAACACGGGATCCCCTACCACCCGAGCTCTTGTGAGTCCTCAATCCATTGACCCATCAATATAATCAGTTCTCAGGCAAGATGCGATTTGCTCTCCTCGCCAGCTTGGCCTCGGTGGTCGCTTCCGTCAGTGCAACGGCTCTGACCTATAAGCTCGAAGCCAATGAGAAGGCGTGCTTCTTCACCAACATCGAGCAAGCAAATGCCAAGGTGGCATTTTACTTTGCTGTGCGTATCTCCTAAGGGCGCCATGTTTGGAGAGGCCCGAATGCATGGGTGCATGTCGTGCTCTTCCACGAAGAAGCGGAAAGCTAAACTTCATTGCGTGTCCAGGTCCAATCCGGAGGCTCTTTCGATGTCGATTACACCGTGACCGCACCCGGCGGCAAAGTCGTGCTAGATGGAACGAAAGAACGTCAGGGCGACTTTGTTTTCACTGCCCAGAGCACAGGCGAATACCAATTCTGCTTCAACAATGAGATGTCAACCTTTGCCGAAAAGATGGTGGATTTCGAGATTGCTGTACGTTTTTTTTTCTTTTTCCACTTGTCATCTCCTGTCCCGGACATGCAATCGGAACTCAGGTCTATTCGAAAAATAACCAGAGGCCGTTTGGATTGTTAATGAATGAGATCTTCATGTCTAACTGGTTTCTTACAGGTCGAGAACGAGCAACGCGCCGAACTCCCATCTCGTCAAGGTGCCAGTCCCGAGCAGACCTCCAACCTCGAGGAATCCATCTACAAGCTCTCCGCGCAACTATCGACCATCGCCCGCAACCAGAAATACTTCCGTACCCGTGAGAACCGCAACTTCAGCACTGTCCGCAGTACCGAGCGCCGTATTTTCAACTTCAGTGTTATCGAGAGCTTGATGATGGTTTCCATGGCTGCTCTGCAGGTGTTTGTTGTGCGCTTCTTCTTCCAGGGCGCGCGCAAGGGTACGTTTTCCCCCTGTCTCAATTATGAATAAAGGAAGACGCTTTCGAGCGGGAGTCTGAATTGATTCTCGTCCGAATGCACTTTTTGATCCTTTGCACTTCAATATATGCCGTCTGACTGGATGTCCCAAGCTGACTGTTTGCTCAGGTTACGTGTGATGAGAACGAATTACAATAATATGATGCATTTGCGTTTTCTACTTTGGAGCAAAAATTCCCAGCGTGCGGTTTGTTCGATTGTATCCATCTTTCTTTTGCTATATTCGTTTGCGTACCATCTACTAGACTCATGTCAGAAATGAACACGGAAGCTGGTTTTCGTACAGTGCGAATCGTGAAGCTTCATGGACTCTTATCCTTCGATCACAGCCAGGTGCCTGTACAGATTGCGTATCCAAATCCGAAATCAACCTCAGGGGTATCAGGGTCGACCGCGACGAGGACCAAGCAGGAAGTCGTCTGCTAAGGTTTGTTGAACGCTCGGGCACTATCATTTCAACAGCAAGCGCGCTACATTGGTCCAGTGCGGAGTCGCATGCTGTCACACATCAACGCAACAAGCCAGGCGTGCATGTAGTCAACCAGAAGACAGGAACCTGCGACCGGCTCATCGAACCTTTTGCTTTCGATGGACGATACGCGTTTAGGCTTGTCCTTGCCAACCTTCGAAGTAGTACGACGGGACATTGACACGGGACTGTCACCGCCTCCTTGTCGGAACGCCGCTACTGGCTTTTGACTCCTGTCCCACAGTCTCACCAGTCTTCCCATGTCTCTTCGTGCCAATCCACATCCAACTTGTCCAACTTGTCCAACCTGTCCAGCCATCCGTTATCCTGCCGAGTGTCTGACTCCGTGATGTGGGCGCCAGCGATCGCCGTCGAGCAATTGTCGAATTGGTGATATTGCGGTCATGTCACTGGGACAAGAGGAGACTCTAGTGATTTTCTGTCAGTATAATTAATGTTTAGCACGGCCGAGGCTGCTATTATTTTGATGGATGGTAAGGTTGTTCGGCCACATGATCAAAACTATCGACTCATATTCACGGGGACTGCAATTGCCGAGCTAACGAGTCCGCTGACAATGTCCTACAAGGTTTAGTCTGTCCAGGTGCATCTTCCACTGTGCTCAATATACAGGCCATGAATTCGCCGATCCGACATATGAGACCATCAGGTGACGGTTGCACAAGAAAGACGAGACAAGCCAGGCTGAGACTTGATCGAGCCGCACACGGACTCGCCTACGACACGGGTTACGAGAACGAGGACTTCGACATCTGCTATGACGCGCTGGAGATCCACTGGTCAATTGTCCAACATCCCGAACCAAGCGGAAACCGCACTGTATGACCTGCTTGATGCATGATCTCATCCGAAAAGCTTCGGAGTCGCTTGTAGCCGAGCGTGCAGAAGCTACCCAGCCTGAAAAAAATAATAATAAAAAAATGGCGGAAGCACTAGCATGAAAGCATGAGATTCCGGCGAACACACAGCGAGTCCATGTACTTAGGTTTCTCATGGGTGGCCAAGGTAAGCGATACCGTGATATCATCCATATAGAGGCGCCCGCCACTGACATTCTGGGCGCGATGGGATCGGCGCGCAGAGTGTAGTCGCCGGTCTCGATCCTGATTGTTTTTGTGGAGCAAAGGTCCCTTGTGCGAGGAAAATCCAAATCCCTTTACTGTTGTTCTGACCAGATTCGCAGATGAGTTTTGCACATCGTCGCAGAGCCAAATGATGCCTGTTGTTGCCCCTGACAAGCACTGTCGGAGTAGCTGAATTAAGGTCTAGGCCATGGCACGGCCTCTCTACATAAGTGACCGAGGAGAGCAAGGGAGTGACTTTGCATGCGATGACAGGTTTCTTAGCGTCATGGTCATGGTCATGGCCATGGACGTCGACTCCGAACAAGCAGAAGATAATCCGTAGTCCAGGAATGGGCGCGCCATTGTAAGACAGTGTACGCTTCCATGGAGTCAACAACATGTCATTGAGCACCAGCAAGGAAGGATCCTCCATCATACGACTGGCGGAGTTGTCTAGCAATAGGGGCAGCAGCTCTTCATGAGCTTACTGCTGATGGAATTGTGGATATCTCCTACGAGAGGACCCCAACGTCCCGATGAAGTCAGCCGGCACCTCGACCCATCTGTGGAACTTGTCCCCTTATTACAATTGCGGATGACATCGCGCCAAGCAATCCAAACAGTGCCATCTCGTACCAGTGTGATAGGCCACACAAGTAAAAATTGCGGGGAACCCATAGTATTATCGGTGCTATAAGCATCATGTTCGAGGATCAATCAAACGTCAGGAGTTGGGTTACAAAGTAAGACCGTGCATGAGGCGATGCTTGGAAGGAGATTCACTCCAGTGCTAGATGTCACATTGATTTGCAATAGATTCAGTTGAGGAGGTCGCCACAAGTATCATACAGTAGGAAGGTCTGGGTGGACCCGAATGATAATTACATCGGGCGAATGGTCCTTGCACCCATAAGTGAGTGGTGCCTGGATGGCAAAAGCGAATGATGCAATAGGCGATGATTCAATGCGGACAAGAAGCTCAATTGATGCACTCTTTATGTCTCTGTCTCTAGTTCGATGTAAAGTAGAATACACTGGTAGAATCATGGAGAGATAGATCTCATCGGCCCATCCGTATGCAGTAGTGTAACAGCGTCAAACAACTTGATGGCTCCATTGTCCCTTTCCTTTTACATCTACAGTACATGGTTCACTAAGATAGACAGGCCACGCCGCAGATATTGTCTTGCGATAGAGGCCAGATGACATAATTTGTGTAGACAGGTATCATTTCAACCAGAAACCACTGAACTTTCAGAATAACGTGCTATTACCATTATGGTCGTACACAGAACCCGCTAAATGTTTGATGCTTACAGTAGCTATTGTTATTGTTAACAGAGGTCCGGAGTGCACGGGGAGAATGACAGTCCAGGGGGGGGGGGTGAAGATGCTTCCAGTCAACGAGGGTGGATATCGCCTCTTGAATCATGATCTGCAAGTCCATCGTCGATACGAGTCATTGAGCTGGAAGCGCATAGTCAGACCACAGACATCATAGCACAAGCATCATAGCTCGTGTGGAGTACCGGTGCGATCAGAACGGAAGACTTCTTCGTTCTAAGTTTCCCTCGTCCCGTCACCAGTGAGACGTCAGAACACACGAGTTGAGCTGAATTACCCGTGTCGTACTGATGACATGAAAGTCCAGTGCTGGTGGATACCCGACAGTGAAGTGGATGGAGGTGTGGTGCGTGCATGCTATGATGGACGGTCTCAACTTTTTGCCACAGTCATGAGCTTGGCGATGATCATCCACCGAAGCGGTCCTGTCGTTGGGGCACGCTTGTCCAGAGGCAGTGGCTGGGCTGGGGACAGTTTCAATGGCTGAATGTCATAGTGTGCAGATCGTGCTATCTTCAGAACATAGCAGAGCTGAATATGTACCAATCAAGTCAATGGTGCTTGATTATTTTTGCGTACCTGTGCATGGCGAAGATGCTCAGGGCTTCAAGTGTAACGGGGGGATCCGTTATTGGGCGAGTCTGAAAGATCAATTGATTGAGTTCCGTTAGAATCGGGACGTATTCGCTACTTTCTGCTCAGTCATGATGATGTGGTTGGGAATTACACAATGAAAGATTGACACTTCTTTCTAATTTTGGTGCTGATCCAAAGGGGGATCTATGATAGTTAGGAAGAACTGCCTGGGATGATGATGATGATGATGAGCAGCGTCAACAACAGATGGGCTGCATTCGGAAAAAGGAGGCTCTCCTATGAAGCAATCAGGGCTGTTGACGTCAGGTGCCACTTGGGGGCCTTATCTCTCAGGTGTCAGTGAGGCTCTCTCATGAGTATGACCGTGAGACAATCAACGGTGACCCGAGGAAAGGCCTGGACACAAGCGACAGCAAACACAATTTAACGCATGCGATCCAATCATCAAGCACTGTGTCCGTATGCCTTATGCAGGATGTAGGAACTTGTAATTCTTTTCAATAATCTTCAATAAGCACTCCACAGGACGAATCATAGCTTGTTCATGGTCTCAGTATATATGAGATGCGGTTGTTTAAGCGCAAGAGACAACTTAAATCTCATCCTTATGTAATTCCCAACCATACATAGCGCTGAGATAGGCTACCATTGGCCCGAGGCGGTTATACATCCATGAGATGATAAGTCTTATGTTCTAGAGGAAGTTGTTTTCTTCTGTGCAGTGTATACACAGCCTTCTGATATCCCATAGCACGGTCGCGTCAATGAGAGACTGATTTGTATATATGTTTCACGAACAAAAATTCTGTTTGTGATTGGCGCTCATATATACTCAATACCTAAGCTTGTGTACTCTGCAACAGCCATTCCGACTTGCCGATTTCTGATTATATTGCAAACATCTATCAGACCTTGAGCCCAAGCAAAGTCTCATCAGGTACCGTAATGGAAGAAAGGTCGAATTCAGATTAGCTAGTGAGAGCCTTTGACGTCATTCCCATATCGCTGGATACCACTTCGGCGTGCCCAGCCACAACCCGCGGTCTGGGTATGTGCATCAACAGGTCGAAAGAACCATCCCCGCATTTTCACTGTTCAGGTTTGAACGGGAGTCTCAGCAATCCAGAACATCAATGCTACTCCCCTTGAAAGGTGCTATGAGATGATCAAAGGTCTCCTTTCATGACATGACCACATAGTTTAAATGATAGACCAACTTCCTTATCCACACGGGTCTCCACCTCCAGAGTCCCGGACAAAGATGATAGTCAGAACGAATGGTCCAAGCTTAAGGTTACGCCATCAAGCCACGACTCACGGGCCGTCTAGTGCGTAACTGCCTGGAGGGCATGCTAATTCGCCTCTGGACCACGGAAGTGAGGTATGAGCCAGCTGCATGGGCAAGTGGGCCATGGGACATCACTTGTCGAGAGTAGTATGGGTTTCGCGATTGCATTCTGAACGGAGCAATATCAGACACTTCGATGCTGTGATCAATCAATATTCAATACCATCACGAGTTACTTACACTAGTAATGATACGGCTGACTATCCCTTAATAGATACGTATCTCCTGAATGTACCTTTTCCTATACAAGGTACTCCTGTAGTATGAGGGTAAGGTCCTTTCCACGACACTTACTATAGGATTAATTAACCTATGATACCAACCCTAGGCTATCAGACGTTCGGAAATAGAGCGGGATTCGCACAAGCCCTTGTCGATCGACAAGCCCAAGAGAGGTGGAGGCATTTGTTGGAGTTACCCGTAGTAGTAGTGCAGAGACAATTGCAGTTCCGTCCGTCCTTCTGCAACTCGGCTTCTAACCATCCTCCCGGTGTCTCTGCAGTCTGCACAACCTCCTCTCCACCTCCATTCATGTTCGGTTCCCACCGTCATCCACGCTCGTCGGCCCTTGGTAGCCTCCTTCGTCCAGTCTGGATGGCGTCGTTGGACGATCCCAAAATTGATATCCGTTAGTGCGATAAACCGCGACCACCCCCCGGTATGATGGAGGTTCCATTGCACCTGAGAGCCCAGACCCGTCAGACTGATGCCATGGCTCGACCGTCAACTTCTGCTGGTTTTCCAATGCTCCACACACACAGACACACATCCATGCATCCACCCCCTGACGACCGTCATACTTGACAGCGGCAACACAACGTCGAGCGATCGCCCGGTGGAGACCATCCGACACACGGCTTTCCTTCTGTGCTTTGAGAGTCAGAGAAGATTCCCCCAAGTGCCCGTCTGCGATGATCCGTGATGATGTGAATGCATCTCGCCTCCGTCCTGGGGTGTCTCCGCCCCCCCCCTCTAGATGGCAAAATCCGAGACGGTACAGCCCTCGGCCATTCACATCCAACGGACTCTCCACTTGACTCTGGGTCTCCCTCCTCTCTCGGCAGATGATGTCACTGCCTCTCGAGTCCTCGATGGACGAGGTCGGCGCAATATGGCTTATGATTCATGGAACCCTGTCGTCGGACAGGAGAAGAGATATAGAAAGGGCCCTGTCGATGCTCTCACTCTCGCCAGGATTATTCATTACAACAACAACTTCATTAGCCATCAATTGCAGCCATTAGCGGTCTTCTTCCTCTATATCCTATTTCCCGATTCAGCATCCTGAGAGCCTCCCGATCCAAACCGAATCGGGCAACATCGATCACACACTTTCACGCCCACCACAAGCCCTAACCCTGCCGTCGCCGCCCCCATCGGCCGAGCTTGGATTCTCTCACCGATACCCAAGTGTTCGCAACCCAGTTCGAGACCCTTTGACCGTCTCCCCAGAGAAGAGCCAGAACCTTCCTTCACACTCCCACCGTCGCGGATCGATCAGTCCCCGCCAGCCTCACGAGTCCCACCAGAGTCCGATCTTGTTCCCCAGGTAAGCCACTGCAATCTGGTCATACATAATACCTACACATTCAGGAACACTATCCCTGCACCCAGCCGTTCCGTGGAGTGAACTTGGGCATCTTCCCCGCTCCTCATCTCGTATCAACACCTATTCCCTCCTCACATGGTGGCCCCTATCCCTCGGTACCCTCAAGCACTCTACTCAGAACTCCATATTTCTATCACCACTACCACCAAGGATGTGTTTGTACCTCGTGACTGCCTGGGCAGTATGGCCGTCTATCACAGTCTCGCTTTCCCATGCTGGCCTTTCCAGACACGGGGAATATCAGACCTCCTGAATGCTACTACATCACTCTCCATGTTCTTGCCAAACCTTTTTGTGGTTCCAGCACGTGGGAAAACATCTTGCTGGGTGAAGAATGTTTGGCTAACCATTTGACGATCTGTCTCAGTCATCACTATGTCCGAAGAGCAGAACATGATGCAGCAGCCCGCCTGCACTGTCCAGTCCATGTATCCCAACCAGGCAGGAGGGGACTCCTCTCTTCAAGGGGCTAATGTCGAAACCCAACGGGCTTTTGACCCTCGCACTACAATCGAGGACTACAACCGCACCATGTTGGAGTACACTCAGCGCCAGATCTCTTCATTTGTTGACTTGGATGAGAACAACAATTCCAACGGTACCCGCAGCCGTAGCAGCCAAAGCAGTGGCAACAGTGAGGCATCGTCCCACAGCAACGACTCGCGCCATCGGACCGGTAGCTCCTCGCCCACCTCTGTGAATCCCGGGCGGGCGACCTCTACACGAGATATGGCCGAGGGGACGCACAAGGCTTCGGCCAAGCACAACGACTATTAGACACATCAGACCATCACGAGAGGATCAGGTATGAGAGATTGGATTGCACTCTTGAAAAGGATTTGCCAAATTCTAATATCCTCTTTCGTCTCAGTGGCAAAGCCTTTTTACCATATTGATACCCTGTCCCCGCCCGTATCGCTTTTGATAAGCCGATATAAGTGCGGTGCATATTTACTCGAGCTACTGATTTCCACGATCATGAGGACATTGAGCCTGGAGCTTGATTCCCCGGATACCAGCACAGTTCCCAGCAGTCTACAGTGCTATGGCTGATGGATTGGCATTGTAAATGGCCCGCGCTGTGATCTTCCATTTTTCCATTTGCATTATATAAGTTTGACCAAGTTGTCAATCTACTTCTCATTGTTTTCATCACGACATACACGATTTATCCCCAGGAACTGGGTTCTCGCACAAGGAATGCTTTAACACCAATTATTGAAATTCAACATCATTGCCTCCAATTTGATTGCAGAGATAGTGAGCGGATTCCTGAGAAGGGTCATTGCCTTGTGTGTTTCGACTCTGGACGCCTTGTACTACATGGAATGTCTATGACTTTCGCCCATGACGGCGGACTGAGTCCTTTTCTTGCCTTGCATCATCTTGTTCTTGATGTATCCATTTACTCTGCACGCATACGATATATCACAAATTCAATATTTTCTCTCTTCTCTTTGGAGGGAGTTTCTCACCAATTTGCCTCCAACTCGATCCCTCCACTTGTAAAAGACATGCTTGTGACAATTACAGGTCTTGATCGAGCACTAGTGTACACCATGGTCAATGTTGTTACTTCAGGGTTCTTCGGATCTGGAGGATGTCCGACTAGATCAAGGGCGCGGGATCGTCAAAAGCACATGGTCTCCCATCGCGGTGCAGGTCTTATACTCACTCTATAGTGAATAGTTAACCTGTGTATTCATTTCAGCGGATTCATTGTTCATGATTACCTAACAAGCTATTGTCTCAAGGGCCAGACTCCGAACGATCCATTGAGTGGCTGGTGCAGCAGTACGGGAGTGTCTTTTGGCATTCCTCGTTGGTTTCCAGCCGCGGCCCTTGCATCCTCCGATTCACTCAAACTCGGAGGTAAACAAAGGCCTGCCGACTTCGAACAGTGCGGTACTTGTTTTGGATGCGAATTTGAGTGGATGAAATAGAGGTCTTCGTTTGAACCATGTACATATTTCCATCGATTTGGGAACTTCACGGGTTCTTCCAGGAAGTCCGGAAGTACAACAGTGCGTCCTAAGAGAATTGTCTGAATTATCTCTCACAGTGCCCGAATTACGCCATATTCCCGCAGGTACACATTCCTGGCCACGTTGTATGGATGGAGGATCTGATGATCCTCATCTGAAGCCTTGTCAAGGGGGAGGGGCTGCTTATTCCAGTTGTTCCACCTGCGCAGTCAAATCATGCAGCCAGAGGTTGATCCTGGATTCCGAGTGTCTTTGCCGTAGTCAATCGTGCTGGGTCAAGGAGTGCACAGGGCTCGATTGTAGAGGGTTTACTTGGCGTGATACATTGCCAATTCAGTCCAAGGCAGCTGGGCTCTCTGCCTAACGAGGGATGATTCTGCACGGGAGTAGGGCTTTTCCCCGGCGCTCTTTTGAACGTGCTCTTCTTCTTCTTCTCTTCCCCGTTCATTATTGTAATCGTCGACATTCACCCAGCGCCCGTCTCGTTGCTCAGCACTCGTCATTCATTTAACGTGCTCTAATCTGCTTACATACCAAGTCTGACTTGCGAATTCACACTCATTCCCTCTTGATTTCAATCTTTTTTTCCCCCGTCTGAGCAACGCCGATATTTGGGCAATCGTGGTGATATCCAAGCTGTTCACGGAGTCTCGATCTAGTTCAAACCACAAAGATTGAACGATTTCGTCCACTTCCCCATCCAGTTGGCACCGCTCTTCTTTTCAGAACCAGCAACGACGAAGGTCCTCCCTCCTCAATTGCATTCATTCAATTCACACTCGCCAATACCCCCTAAACCCACGACATAATGCACCTCACCACCCTCATCTACACCCTGACCATGCTTGCCATGACCACCAGCGCCATTCCTCTGAGTCCCACCAGCCCCAGAATCGCTGCAGTCGAAGCATCCAAGACCGGCCCTTCTCCGCTGGCATCTCCAGCCGTCGCCTCATCCGCAGCCAAAGCCTCGGCAACCCCCGTCGGAGCTTACCAGTGCCCTCCGAACAAGTATAAGCGGTGCTGCATGTCTGTTCAGGAGGGCTCGCGCGAGCTACTTGACAAGGTTGGCGAGCTTGTGCCGACGTTGGGTGGAATCGCCGTGAGCTCGCAGATCTCTTTCTCATGTATGGGTTTGTGGCTCTCCCTTGTTTTTGTCTTTTTTTGGTGTTGGGACAATCCAGTCCGATTGGGTTTGCAAAGGTGTATATGCTGATCAGATGGTGCTTTTGTTTTTTCTTTTTTCGTCGTATTAGGTAAAGCCATGGCGGATGATGTCTCTCCTGACACGTGCAATGCGAAGGGATACCTTCCTATGTGCTGCGACTCGAGCACCTCGGTAAGATGGAATCCAGGGATCCATGCGACAAGTCATTTCTATTCCTGCATGGAGTGAGATACTAACTCGATTGGTTGAGGCAATAGGGCAATGGAATCTCTCCTGGATGCAAGCCTTTCGAGGAGGTCAAGGAACAGTACTACTCTTCGTTTGGTGCGGAGCGTCCACAGACACAGGCGGAATTGATTAATGATGTCCTTTCTTGAGTTGAGCTCGTGGGGATGGAAGAAGCTGGTGAGATATGGGGGGCCATCAGCGTCTCTTATAACTTTCACCTTCATTGGAAAGGCTTTTACTTGGGAGTCCTTCTGTTGTTGTTGTTATTGTCTTTTTTTGTTGACACCTTCACTTCAAGTCCGTACGGATGTCACTTGAAGGGCTGTTATTCAACTTGGATGATTACTTGAGGATCTCATTTACCGCTGTGAATGAATCTTCAGTTTTCTGATTATTGTCATACCATCATCATCCTTTATTATTCTTTTTCTCAGGCAATCTAGATCTGGAGTTTGACTATCCAGCATCGGATATTCCTGATAGTTCTAGGATCCCGATCCTCCTCACGAGGCACTTGCAATAGAATCCAACCTCCATGCTACGAAAGCACCGCGAGATGGATCCTAGAAAAAGTTAGCCACGTATGCCAGGCCGCTCAACCCCGTTCTGAAACTACACTGACGTCGACTTGACTTACCAATCCTCAAGCTCCTTCACCTGCAGTACCATGTTCGCCGAATCAATAGCCTGCGGAAAGCCGTAGCGCTCACCCACAAATTTCAACCTCTCCACTGCATAGTCCTTGGCGTCGGCTGGAGCAAAGCGGAAGACCGCAACGCCCGATAAGCAGTATATCAGAGATCGAGCGGACAGGTTCGGCTTGTCGTAAAGTTCAAGGATATACGCTACGCTGTACAGGATCTCTAAGATCATATCGACTGCGGTCGTCTGGACTAGCTTGTGAGCTCGAGCACGCAGGTCTGGTTGCATGTCTCCCGCTTGAGCTGGTATGGATATGAGAGCCTGGTCAAGCATTTGGATGACGAATAGCCGCACAATGCGCATCGTGTTCATCGTGCGCGCAGCTCTAAAAGACGGATACTGATCGATTCGTCCACGGAAGCCGCATACGGGCTTTTGCAATGTCGTCGCGTCCAGAGAGCGAAACGGCTCATCTCGGTGAAGATTGGTCAGGATCTTCGACAGGGCCGAGTCCAGTCTGAGGAGACTCTGGAAGATCTCTGATGGAGAGAGTTCGTGCTGTCTCGCTCGAAAGTTTGCAATGCCGTTGACGATTTGCCCGAAGAGCCAGGTATGCTGGTGCTCCCTTGGTCTTGGACAGTCGAGATACGACGACTCAAGTGTGCTTAATGACAATGGGGCTTGCACGCCGACTTGAGCACACTGGGTACGAATATTCAAGGACGCATGCCGATATAGACGGCGGCCCAGATCTCGCTGAAATTGTTCCTCCCCCCTCAGTCGTAGCAGCTCCATGGCTCCTTGGGTATGCGCATTCCAATTGACAGGATCAGAGCGACCCTGAAAAATCAGTGCTTCGAAAAGACTCAGTAAAAGAACGGAAAGGAGGGTGCTGTCACTTGTCGCCAAGTCGGGGCTGGAAAGCGACTTGTTCGTCGCCCTCAAGGCAAGCGCATAATGTTTTTGAGCAAGAGACCGAGCCTGTGGATATCGCCAATTCTGTGAGAATAAGAGCAGGGCAGGCGCTAAGAGAGCGTCTTCTGGAAGGTCTGTTATCAGCGCAGCAGGCTCGGCCAAATATTCGAATGTGGAACTCGGCGCATAGACATGGATGAAATAGCCCATGGCTAGTGACTCTGGACTTTGCGACGGTCCTTGAATTTTCACGAGAGTCATAGCATCAGCGTTGCGTGTCTCGCTTTTTTCATCCGGCGTCGAACCAGTCGAGCCCGCTGATCTGGACTTCTGAACCTTTTGCGCCGCCAGCGATGTCTGATCGCGGAGCCGCAAGGAAAACGAGTCCCGGTAGCCCCCACATTCAATGTTTGCCCTCTTGCATTGCGAGCATCCAGGTCGCAACATATCACACTAAAGAGAGGAATGTGTCAAGAACTTTTGCCTTCATTTAGTAGACCCGGGTCCTGGGCCATGACCTTACCTTGCGTCGCTTGACCCGGCATGGCTGACAGGCCTTTGACGGAGTCGCTGGGTTTCCTCCCATGTCCTGCGACGAGAGTCCCACGAGAGACGAAGAAAATTCTCATTGGTTTCAACATACGTGTCGAGATTGACTCATCGAGCTGGTACATTAGACGCAGCCCATCAAAATTTCGGCTCGCTCACTGAAGACAGCGCGATTGTTGAAGGGACGAGCACTTGACACTCGAATGCTGAGGCTGGAATCTAGGCTGACGAATGGACCCCCACGTCAAAAGTTCCAAAAGTTCTCCGGGCTTGGCAACAACATGCGGAGCGTGCCGATCTAGCCTTGGACTGCTTGGTACCAAGCTTGCTGCATTGCCTTTTCTAGCTAATAAAGTGGGGCCAATTTTACCTCAAGTCCATCAGGTTGTTTTGTGAAGCGGACATCCTTCAATGATAAGCAAGAGTATCAAATGCGTCGCAAAATCAATTCACTGAATAGGCAGTGGTATGCTGGAGTCTTGGTGTCCACGTGATGTCCAGGGCGAACCATGCTGACGGACAAAGAACCAGTTACCTTTGACAGTTCTTTCACACTATGTAGCTTTCTTGAATGCATATCGCTATGAGTTTTGTCAAGAAGACAAACGTGTTGAGAATCTGTGACCGAGTCCTAAGGCAAGGTCGGAATGACAGCCGTCAACATATTTGTATAAATGAATGGAAGGCGAGGCACGCAAGTGGTTTCATTCTTGTATCACTAAAATTACATGCCATAAATTACCGACAGCTACTGCCATCCTCGCCCATCTTGTTGGTTCCAACCACTGCCGCGATGGCTGCCAGGATGGCCAGGATATTGATGCTGTCCTTGGGGTGGCTGTTGACCCGGAGCCATAGGCATTGGATGATGCTGTCCAGGGAACAGGCCAGGAAACGCCGGAAGGTTCATACCTGGGCCGAGCGGATACGGCATTCCTGACATATGTGGGGGTGGCACAGGAGGCCAGGGCCCGGAGTAAGAGGGTGGAGGTGGATGATTGAAGTTGGCGCCGGGAGTGGGCCCGTGATAAGAGGGGGGAATGTATGGATTGTTTGGCTGGTAGGATGCGGGATGACCTTGGAGAGAAGTTGGAGGGAGAGGAGGAGGAGGCGGTGGTGGTGGTGGTGGTGGTGGTGGTGGTGGTGGTGGTGGCGGCGGAGGTTGGTGAGATGGACTAAAAGAGCTCTGGCCAGGAGGTGCGAAGCGTGATGATGATGGCTCGCGTGGCCTGTAGGAATCCTCACTCGAGCGTGATAGTGATCTATCACGGGGAAAGCCTGGAGAGCGTGAGCCGAGAGGTGGGCGATGCCCTCGGTCCCGATCGTTCGCGCTGATCCTGCCATGTGAACGCAATCTTTCACTGTCGTCACTCAGCGAGCTATCGCTGTATCTCCGTTTGTGGCTCACAGGCGATCTGCTGTTGCTTCTGGAGCGACTGTGGGATGGATGTGGCCTTCTCTTCATCTGCTGGCAGAAAGCTCGAGACCAGCCGTAGTATGTCTCCCCATCCAAAATCTCGCCTGTAATCTCATCACGCGTGATCCGTTGACCAAGCTCGTCAATGTCCATGTATTCGTCATCTTTCAGAAGCTCTTCCGTGTCATAAATTTGATTCACTTCTTGCATAAAGTCTTTCAGAACTTGAACCAGTGGTTGATCTGCTGGGCCAGCCAGAAAGTGCAATGGCTTGATGCTGTCCGGGCGAAGTGGAATCGTTGAATTGGGAATGATGTGAGGGATCCAATTGCCAGCCGGGAGGTCGTAGTATGGGGTAGCAGGATCGCCATGTGTGGATGGCATAACGAATGGAGTCTCCTTGCCAGCGGCCTTTTTCACACTATTTGACTCGTCGATCAAAACATCTGCCGACGTCTGACCTACCACAGTCCCAGTCGATGACGAATTCTTGACGGTCTCTCGTAGCTTCTGAATAAGATCGGCGCCGAAGTAGCCGTTCTCGTACCAAATTTCCAACAGTTCGTCAAGACGCCGATGATGACGGGGGTTCTTTTCTTGATCATACGCGGCAGCGCAGTCGACCAGCTCAATGATGTGCGATTGTAGAGACCCGCTCACAGTAGAAAAGGTGGCCGTTGTCTCGAGGTGGTATTTGCTGTGATGAAGGAGATCGTTCAGAAGATACAATATGTGAAGCCGGCGACGCTTTGTCGAAGGACCAGATCGACCACCACCGCCAGTGGGCGGACCACTTTTCGTGCCTAGTGTAGCCGGCTCATCAGCCAAGCTAGCGATTGCGACAAGATACTTGGCCAACCCTCCAACACGATTACCGGAGGAGGCAACATGTTCAAGTAACCATGCTTTACACGCCTGTGTCGACCGATGGGCTTTTTTAGCATGACTGTGGCGCGACGGGGAAAAAGAGCTAGTCACGGATCAGACCTGGATATTTGCTGGGGAGCAATGATTCAGCGCGCGGTCGAGGGTCGAGTGAAACGAAGCAATATCATCCCGCGGAACAGACAATGGATCTGGGCGCAACAGGCCAGCCGCAAAGGAAGCTTTCGCAATGGCTATTTGGTGAGAAGCCATTGAGACTATGAGGCTTCAGTGCTCGAAGTTCGCGGACTGTATGGTACCGGGCAGAAAGGCATGGTGCATGGGAAGCTCGGAATGTAGGCCTGTTTATCTCACGTGACTGGATCGTGCAGTCCCCGATAACACATTCCCAGGCACCCAGGCACCCAGGCCCCAACATTTCCAGCCACAGAGTCTATAATTCTATGTTGAACTATCAAATACACAAAAATATGAATCCTTTGGCCGAGGTCATAGATCAATTCTACATGTCTTCTGAATTCTCCATGAGAACATAAAGTATGTCCCTCCTGGGAGATTGCTTTGCTCACGACGGTAAATGGCTTTGTAATTTGTGCATCTCTCAAACGCTAGTGGAGGCACCTGATTGACGTTTTCAATGAACTATCAACTACCTTGTTCGTTGCTACTCAATAAGCCTTGGAGAGACTCGGTGGTTGTAGACTATCCAAGGCATCCTTCAGTTTATTGCATACCCATGGTGTACCTTCGGGCATTGTGTGCGATGTGAGATGGCAGGGATCCTCCAATTTGTGAATACTGAATAGTAGGGATATCGGGGAGAATCTGGCAGATATAATGCTCTAGCAACAAGCTACCCTTGCCAGCGGTGTCTCACTGTATTCAAATTGGAGCGGAATGGTGAAATTGGAGGTATAGAATGATCGCTTGAAATGGACATCGTGGTATAGTGAGTACTTAGAGTAGTAGCGAGGTAGGTTGATGAATATAGCTTACTATGGGTCAGGATTGTGAAGGACGCGTTCTCATAGCACCGGGCCAGCTTTAAAATCTTTCAGAAGCAATCAAAATCAATCAAAAGCATGGGTCCATGACTGCTATTCCAGTTGGGATGTCTTACAGCAATATAATCTCCAATATAACCGGCCGTGTCGACGAAGTTCGGTAGATGAACTGGGATCCACACCGGATGCTTGGAGCAACGCGGCCACCCTCAACGCTTGAACCCCTGAGCGTATAACGCCAAACGCCCTCTCGTGCTAAGCTACCTAGTCCCCTCTGGATCCTGGGCCGGGCAGACTGGCAATGCTTAGGCATCGAGAGCTTGGCTTTTCCGTCGCGTCCGCTAAAAATGCCTCCCGACACTGCCACCTAGTGATCTTGTGCAGATTCTCGTCTCCTCTGCGAATCCATGCAAGAATTTTCGATATGACATTTCTGTACTGTGTCGATTTTCAAATGCAATTCATTCCGGAATTATGGTGCAAATGAGCAATGGCTGTCTCTTCTTGTTCACGCCTCGCCTGGAGAGGCTAGGTCGTCATTAGGATCCTACAAGTGATTCGCTGATTGTCGGTCAATATTCGGTCGGACTCCGGCAACGCTTTTCCGGTCACTATCGTTCCAGAAGGAACTGCAACATCGAGAACCAGTGGAACCGTGGAGCGCTCTGTTTCACCTGTATGGCGAGAGTACCGGGAGACAGCGAGGAAGAAACAATTAGGCGGACCATCAGATCGCAGGATGAGCGGTGGAGTGCAATGACAAGCCTGGAAGAGAACCGAGGCGAGATCGCGTTGGACGGAGAATTGCCATCTTCGTCGATAGGGTAAACTCCACTTTGTTTCAGGGTCTCATCTTCATCCGGATCAGGAACGAGGGCCCGATGCCACCTTTAGCCGATCATCATCAGGTCATCCTCATACGAGGCGGATGTCCCGACAGAGGACCTAAACGTTGGTCTTGTCAGTCGGTAGATCATACTCTCTCTGCTCGATTGATGGAAAATCCTGCGGTCATGGACTTAGCAACTTGTGAACTCTGGCTAAATACGCCAACTTCCATCTCAGTCATTGGTCGAGTGTGAGACCTGACGATTTGAGTTGACAGGGAAGATAGCAGGAAGCTTCCAAAATCTCAGGCGAGCCCAGGTGATGATATTGCTCACTAGGTAGCTTTGACTATGACGGGGCCACATTAATCTCGGATCTATGGAGTATACTCCACAAATTTGCACTGTCATGTCGTACTGCAATCCCGAGAGGCCAAAAAAAAAAAAAAAAAAAAGCAAAAGCCGTTGAAGAGTTCGAATATCCAGGTAGCTACTTTGTTGGATATAAATGACCTTGATTTCCGGTGCTTTAATGGAGAAATCATCCTCGTGAACAATCCCTTCTTTCCACACCATCCTCTACCACCTCAGCCAACCGCCAACATGCACTTCTCCAAGTACCTCTCTGTCGTACCGGTCCTCATGGGCCTTGCTGCCCCCGCCCTTTCCAGCGCTGTCAACCCCGAGATCGAGCACGCAGAGGGTGTTAACGTGACCGAGGCCGCTCTCGACAAGCGTAGCTCCGTCCTCATTTCCAACAGCAAGGACGGTGTCGACCAGGCTGGTTTCTACTACTCCGTCTACAACGACAACAAGGCCCCCATCGGCTACACTGAGTACTCGGACAGTGGCCGTTTCGAGCTTGGCTGGAACACTCCCAACAAGGAATTCCTTGGTGGAAAGGGTTTCCGTGGCGGTTCCCCTCGGTGAGTTCTACTCCTTGTCCAGTCCTCGCCTTCTGGGCTCGGCGCGCGTATACTGACAATCCATAGCACTATCTCCTGGGACGGTTACTTCCAGGGTAGCGGTGACTACACCCTGGCCATCTACGGCTGGACTACTGACCCCGTCACCGAGTGGTACATTGTCGACTCCCACGGCACTGGTACCCCTGGCAACGGACATATCCTCGGTCAGGTCTACAGCGACGGCGGTGTCTATGATGTCTACAGCTTGGACTACAACAATGTCCCTATTATCTACGGCGTCACCAGCTTCAAGCAGTACTGGTCTGTCCGTCGCGAGCACCGCACCACTGGTACTGTCAATGTTGCCAACCACTTCAACGCCTGGAAGAACATGGGTCTCCGTCCCGGTAACCCCGTTTTCCAGATGGTCACTCTCGAGGGCTTCAACGGTGAGGGTTACCTCGACTTCACCGTCCGCGCTTAGATGGATAGGAACGAGGGATTGTTCAGAAGTGTCGGGACAAACACATTGATTGTGACGGTTTGGGCCAGATGACACTGGGATATTCTTTTCTTTGAGCCCTCAGGAAGGGTGAACTGTTGAAAAACTGATTTTGTGCATTAATTTGGTTTCATTGAGATCATGGCCTCAACCCTGTATAGCTTTCCACCAGCCTTGAAGCGAGGTGAATCCATTCAATTTGTTGGACAGCCATACATTAGTTTTTTTGAGAGTCTATACCATTTAGGCCTTTTTAAAGTTCGACGTTGGCGGGGGTTTGATTTTATCCAACTTTTGAGGGAATACAGGACGCTCTCTTTTCATGGATTCTAGGCGTGTAGTCATCGTCGGCTGTCTCTTCATTCTCTATCCCGTTTCCTTCCCACAACCTTGTAATTGGCTCACAATGTCGGGGTGCATGGCAGCCGCGAACAGATGCCTTCGGTGCCCGGGTGTCCGAGTCATGGGTTCCATGGAACCTGGAAGACGACCGGCACTGGCTCAATTTTATAAGTCGAGATTGACAAATTCTCTTCATGGCCACGGCATCAAACCAGAGGTATGCTTGCCTTCGGGTTAATTGTCCCAGCGTGGCCTGTGGTGATGTACGCCCATTCTCGTATATATAGCCAAGGTCTAACGTGTACAGCAACATCGAGCATTACATGTCCCAGTCGAGTGCAATCTGTTGATGACTTAGTATGTTCAAATATGTGGTGCCACCAGATAATCCAAGCTCTTCGCGGCTTTATTCGAGACTCGATTAACACCTCCAGCGCGACGGGAAGTGATCACAGGGGACCTTCGAAAACTGTCCTCGTTGTATGGTGTATACGTGTTGAACCTTGCAACTGGAAATGTCATGTGACGCTTCGAACAGTCCAAAACCCCAGCCAGGGTTGGCTCCGGTCCGAAGCGAGTCAGCTTCATTATGCAGAGGAGAACCTTGATGGACGGTAACTTTCTTGGGCAGCGGGGGATTGCTAATGCATCATTCTTGATTCGACAGTCTCCTTTGTGGCGTACGCTCAACGTTCCACATGAACTTTGTGAAACTCTACATTCGATTCTGCGCGAAATACCTAGGTAGTCTCTGGGCGTTGCTTCATGACTACGCCCAAGTGCTCGTTCACGTGGTTACGTCGAGGACTGAACGGCAGTCTCCTCATCTTGTCCGCTTCGGCTGGTGGGGGAGTGGGGAGGTGCTTGAACTGCTGACATGATTCCTACCCCACTTCTTCGGCCGACGCTGGTAGTGTACCTCGTGTATGAGCTGCAACTGGCGTATTGGGGCATGTACCCAAGTCATTTCCAGGGGTGACTTCACATCATACGGTATAGATCTTACTAGTAGACTGTCCAAGCGTGGTTCTCCAAGTGGTAGATCTTCAAAAAGATACTTTGGAGATTTGTTTAGCTGGACTTGGTGAACAGAAGAGGTCCCCATGGGTTGTATATCATACGGAACTTACTCGGGCATGTACTTGGTATAAGCATCTCGGATAATTATATTTCACTGGGTGCCTAGTCGTGAAGAAAGCGAATGAAGCTCTTTATAAGATCTCTGTCGCATGGATCATCACTTTGATACTGCAGACCATAGGAGCACGTGCCCTTGCTGTAGGGTTCCTCCATGGAGTCCGTGACGGGCAGTGCGGCTGCAGTTTCAGCACGAGGCGCGAGGACGACAGAGCAGCCTATCAAGAAGTGGACTGATTTTACATCAGCTCATCCGGCTCCGCAAATATGTGATGTCCGAGTGACCCGATTGATTTCCTTAGTGAGCACTGGAGGTACGATTCCATGGTGTACCTGCTCTGTGAGTCACAGTGGCCCCTTCGCTCAAATTTCAAGGCTGCTGCTGCCTTGGTGATCAGGATAGCAGGGTACTCAGTTCAAGTCCGAGGTACCCAGTCTCACTACTACCTCCGACCAACTACCAGGTACCGACCTACTGTAGTACTATGAGCATCTGAATGGTGGATCGCCCATGCCGAGTGGTGCACGGAAGGTGTGGAGTCCCAAATTTAGCCCCCCACACGGATCACTCGCTCGGTGGGATGGCCTGACTGTTACGAGTATGACAGTATACACTCATAAATAGACCATTTCCCCTCGTTGGGCGGCAGAAAATGGCTCAAAGGTGGCCCTCACAAATCTACAAGACTGTGTCGCCCCTTCATGTCCTTCTAGAGAATCGAGAAAACCATCCACCACCGCCTTGGATCAGTCTTAGCTCTTGTTGACTGCCTGCTTTGGCTCGCTCCTGATCTCAGCTTGCAAATCAACCCACCTTCAACACTTTGGCGCTCCACGTCCTTTGATTTCCAAGATTCCACACATGTGCCGAACTACGCTCAACATGGCTTTCATGGCTGCCGCCGAGATCTCACGTCCCCTGGTTCGACGTTTCTCTGCCCATCGCCCACAGCATAATACACGCGCAGTGCGCGCAGTGGCGCTGTCGTGCATCGTCTCCGGCGTGGTCCTTCCCTTTGTGCCGCCGGCCCTAGAGAGTTCCCGACAGAGAAAGGCAGGCTCCTCGGACAAGAAAAAGTATGCCTCCTCAAGCTCTTAGTTGACAGAGAAGTCTGGCGTGATTTGATGAGCCCACGATTTCCAAGCTGCTTTGCCTGGATATCCCCATTCTATAATTACGCCATTTCCCCAATCTTTTGTGCGCACTCAAGAGACTGACCATCCACCCCTCGACAGACCTCATCCCCCTCTGTGCTTCCACGCTCGTTAAAGCTCTAGCGCACTATGGAGCAACGTTCCTGGAGTCACAGGAGCCCTATGCGGTCACATAGCTCAGTCATTATCAGTGCTGGCACCCCACTTACGACGTTACGACCATTTGCATATTTTTACCACGAGGCGTTCATGGGTCGGATCTGCCACTGGCATGCTTAGCAAAGATCTCGTTTGCTTCTTAAGGTTTGACTTTCAATTGACCATCCTGATTACTCCAAGGCCCAACTGGCCACACAGCCGATCATCGCTTGTATCACTACGCAGCTGGATGCTCCCGGCACACAACTAGTTCAGAAATACAGACTACTTTCCCATCCTTTCTTCTCTAGAGCTCTCTTATGGTCGCCGAAGGAAATGGTGGCTAGGCAGGCCAGTGGTATCCTAAAATCACAAAGAGATAAATGACTCCGACTCTTCTTCTGTTCCAAGCCCGATGTACATATTTTGCAGATTTTCCCGACAAGGTTTCCCAACATGACCTGGCCATCTCCTTGATACCTCGAACGAGTCCAAGGGCTCTTTTGCAACGCCACTCATACCTCCACCTTCTTGTTTTCCCCTGGTAATCCTACACCTTTCATCACCCCTACACTCTCCACAGGATGAGCTGCATCCTTTAGCTGAGACGGTTTCCTCGCGGTGGCCGATACGGCTCCACCGTCTCGTATTTTCCCTTCTCGAGTACTCGTTCAGTTTCACTCATGGGCTCGTGCCGCGTGGCTGCCGGATCATGAGAGGCTTCGGTGCTTGGCGAGGCAACGTCGTCGGCAGCGTGCTGGTATCGGGTCATGTTGGCTCGCTTCAAGCTGGGATCATCGGCAGGCTTCTGCGGAGTGGTGGTCAGGTTGGCCTGTCGCATGGACTCGGCTTCCATGGCCTTCAATTGGGCCTTCCGTGAGACTTCAGCCTCGAATCGAGCCTGCCGATCAGCGTTGATTGACTGTTTGGCAAAGTAGTAGGCACCACCGCCAGCTATCCAATTCAGGTTAGATCGTCTGCATGGAACTTTTCGACTGCCGACCATGTCTGTCGTGCCGGTTTGGCAATCAATTAATCCGGAGATTGAACACACCAACACAGAGAGCACCCCACCCAATCCTAACAATCGAGCATGGTTCCTTGAATCAGCGCGATGCCGGCAAATGTGACACGGGCCGGCGCCATCTCAACAGATGACGGAATTGTATGCTCACCAGGTCGATCTGATCTGAGAGGGAAAGTCATGGTCAGCTATATGACTCAAAAGAAACTCCTGTGGTCACCGATGCTTACAGTATTCATAATGGCTTGTTGGGACAAAAATATGTCAAATGCGTTGAGGGAAGGGAATATGGCATGATCCGTCCTCTTCAACTGTACGTCAGTGGGGCCGAGAGCGAGCTAGCTCCGAGGGCAAGGCTGGATGCCTGAGGCATATATCTAGCCGGATCACGAGCCGATAAGCAATTAGTGACGGAGTTGCCTGTTACATGAGTGCTTGAGACAGTGAGATATTTCTACAATCATCCCATACCCGGTGTCAATTACCCTTTGTGAATTTCCTCAGCTTCTAGCACTCGGCTCGGGCATACAGCTTGTGCTTGTCCTCGTGTGCCTCTTCGAATACAGAAAACCGTGCTTTTCACGAGCCTCTTCGCTACACTGGGCGCCTGTTACTCGCGGCGCCTCTGTCGTGGCATGCAGGCCTGAAGCCGTCAGACTTGAGGCGGTTCTCGCCTCACTCAATCACGAGTGGTGTTCATCTCTCTCTCTCTCTCTCTATTTCTTTTTACCTCCACCATATTCTCCTACTTTTGGTTCTTTTTTTTGCTGTCAAATCCCCCAACATGCCGCCCAAGCGCAAAGCCGCCGATGGTAAGTCGTGAGCCAGGTCTTGCCACCTTCATGTCCGTCTACAACAGCTGATACCTTCTTGACAGTTGGCCGATCTGCAAGGGAGTCAAAGCGAGCCACTCCAGTACCTGATGTGACAGAAGTCTCCAGCAGCGATGAATATTCGGACCCGGATGATGGGCCGGTGGAGGACAACCTGAAAGGTAGAGTCGAGCGCTCTATCCATGACCCGAGTATGATGACGTTGCTAAAACAGCCGGGAAAAAAGACGTGGTGAACAAGTTTTCGCTTGAGTCTTTCAGCAAGCGCTCGCAGTCTCAGAAAACCGACCCTCGCTTCGGTTACAAAGATCTTTCATATCTCCCTCTCAAGCGCGACCACTACAATCGACCGCTGTGGATCGAACCGGTAAAAGGCACGATCACATTGGAGAGTTTCTCGCCTCTCGCACCCCAAGCACAAGACTTCCTGACTACCATCGCCGAACCGCTTTCACGTCCCACTCATCTTCATGAGTATCGCCTTACCGGCCACAGCCTTTACGCTGCTGTATCGGTTGGCCTGAAACCTGAGGATATCGTCGAGTTCTTGGATCGTTTGTCTAAGACACCGCTTCCGGAAAGCATCTCACAGTTTATCACTGAATTCACCAAGTCATATGGCAAGATCAAGATGGTGCTGTACCATAATAGGTACTACGTGGAAACGGTGGAGCCAGAGATGCTGCAAATGCTTTTGAAGGACGAGGTCATTGGCCCTCAAAGAATTTCGAACGGAGAAGGAATTATTGAGAGAGCCGCACCGAAGATGGGTGCCCTCGTCATTCCGGGAACGAAGGATGCAGCCGGTGTGAGAGAAACTGCAGAGCAGACAAAATCGTCGGCTCCCGGTCAGAATGAAAACGAAGGCGGCAGGCAAAACTACGGCATCGATGATGTTGGAGACGAGCCAGCGGAAGCTCTCACATACAGTTTCGAGATTCCTCCCGAGGGTGTCGAAGTGGTCAAGGCCCGTTGTCAAGCTATTGGCTGCCCTGCCCTCGAAGAGTATGACTTCCAGGGCGATACCATCAATCCTAACCTTGACATGGATTTGAAGCCCACGGCGCGAATTCGTCCATACCAGGAAATGAGCCTGAGTAAGATGTTTGGCAACGGACGAGCCAAGAGTGGCATCATCGTTCTTCCTTGTGGCGCCGGGAAAACCCTCGTTGGTATCACGGCTGCCGCTACCATCAAGAAGGGAACAATCGTCCTGTGCACCAGTTCTATGTCCGTCGTCCAGTGGCGGAACGAATTCTTACGCTGGACTACCATCGACCCTGGCGACATTGCTATTTTCACCTCTGACCACAAAGAGAAATTTAAACGGTCCACAGGTATCATTGTATCGACCTACTCCATGGTGTCTCAGACTCGAACACGATCTTATGACGCTGAAAAGATGATGAACTGGCTTCAAGGTCGGGAGTGGGGAATGATGATTCTTGACGAGGTGCACGTCGTGCCGGCGTCAATGTTCCGCAAAGTGACATCGGCTATTGCGGCGCAAACCAAGCTTGGTTTGACCGCAACCTTGCTTCGTGAAGATGACAAAATTAAAGATCTGAATTTCCTGATCGGGCCCAAACTGTACGAGGCCAACTGGATGGAACTGGCTGCACAGGGCCACATTGCCAAGGTGCAGTGCGCCGAAGTTTGGTGCCCCATGACCACAGAGTTCTACTCCGAATATCTGAGGGCAAGCTCGCGCAAGCAAGCGTTGCTGTACATCATGAACCCTCGCAAATTCCAGGCATGCCAGTATCTGATCGACTTTCATGAAAAGCGCGGCGACAAGATCATTGTCTTTTCGGATAATGTCTACGCCCTGGAGAAGTACGCGCGGAAATTGAACAAAGCCTTCATTTACGGAGGTACTGGCCAGAATGAGCGTCTGCGTATTCTGGAGAACTTTCAGCATAATGAGCAAGTCAATACCATCTTCTTGTCCAAGATCGGCGACACGTCGCTTGATCTACCTGAGGCCACATGTCTCATCCAAATCTCCTCGCATTATGGCTCTCGTCGCCAGGAGGCCCAACGCTTGGGTCGCATTCTCCGAGCCAAGCGCCGTAATGACGAGGGATTTAACGCCTTCTTCTACTCGCTTGTCTCCAAGGATACGAGTGAAATGACTTACTCGTCTAAGCGACAAGCTTTCCTCGTCGACCAGGGCTACGCTTTCAAGGTGATTACTCATTTGCAAGGCATCGACGACTACGAGGGTCTTCACTATGCGACCCCGTCCGAGCGCCGCGAGCTTCTCACCGAAGTGATGCTGCAGAATGAGTCCTCCGCCGATGTCGAACAAGTGACGGATGACTTGTTCTCGATGCGTAGCGGAGGACGCAACACCGCGGCCGCGAAGAGGGCCAAGGCCAAGCGTAGCGCCGCTACCCTCAGTGGTCTGGCTGGCGGTGACGACATGGCGTACATTGAGTACAATAAGAGCAAGAACAAGCAGTTGAAGGAGAAGGCGGCCCAGCATCCTTTGTTCCGGAAGATGGAGCGCGACCGTCTTCGTCGCAAGAAGGAGCGCGAGGCCGCGTTGCAATAGTCTTTGCGCTGAGATTGAAGTTGAACAGGAGAAGTCACGCAGTCGTCAGTGTTTCTGCCCCGGACCTGCGTGGGTGCACAGGTGATGATGGCGCGAATTTGACTGCAAAGTCCAGTTATCGTATTGTGCAATCTTGACTCGGTACAAAATCTATTCAATAATAGACCGTTGAGGTAGAATCATCATGAAGAGGTACCAGGTAGTAATGTCCAGGCTCGCGCATTCGTCATCACGTCGTGTATTCGATTGTGTCGCTATAGTAGCGTTACACAGGTCGCTTGAGACGTCGGAGATAACCGGAAGTCTCGGACTCGCCCTAATCCATTCTCCCGGGCCTGACTCTGTAATCAAGTTTCATCTTCGGCCCCCTTCTTGTATCAGAGTATCAAGACTTTTGTCTCCAGCCTGGCCCTTGCAAGTCTTTGTCAGCCTGTCCGGCTCGGTACTTGAAGATTTGTAGTCGTTCGCCGATGCAGATAGTACTGTCGCGCTTTACTGGGAGCTCTGGACTGCTCTCCGCAGTCTGTCTATTCTAATTCATACGTGGGATGTTGTTGAAGTGGTGTTTCGCACATAGTTACTAGGTAAGTATGTTCTGTTGTTCGTGAAACCCTACAAAATCGGGAATCAGCGATTTTGATGACCGAGGTATACTGAATACATGTATTTCATGGGCATGATTCCCATTCATTACCCTATATATGCGAAACATACATCTCAGACGACTATTCCATGTTATATTAGACGCATCTACTATTAGCAAGGAAATAACGGCCATCGATGTATATAAGGTAGTATATAGTGTGGTATATACTATGTGATAAATAAGTGAATCGTACTCGATACCGGTAGAACGTGAGAAAAATGACGTCGCTTCAAAGCGGAGAGCCGAAGCTCCGAGATCTCCGCTGTTCCAGGGTCTGACGGACAATCGACTTTGTGGATGGATTCATTGGTCCATGTCTCTCGTTTCATCAACTTGGTCGCGCAGCCCATCAAGGTCCATGGAGGTATATTAATAATAGACCCGATGCTGCCACCAAGCTTGTACACCGGTCTACGCAAGTTACTCGTCTGGTCTAACAAGGAACTAGTCAGTACTCAGTAGTCACCAATTCGTTCGGTCTCGGCGAATTGAGTCCAGAGGGGGTCCAAGTGGTTCGGTCCGGACCCAGATGGTTGGAAATACAGCAGATTGATGTCACGCGCTAGTTGAGGTCCCGCCATAAATCATACAAAAAGCGCATCATGATTCCCCGGATTATTCAAGCTTCTCTGCGCACTGGATCTCGACTTCATTGTCATTTTCACAGAACAATTAGTGGAGGTTTAATAAGCCAGCGCAGCTATTTTCATACTAAGAGTGCTTCGCCTGTCCTGAGAAGATCAGCTCAACACTCTCATCGTTCCACGGACCTGCTGCTGCGGAGGTCTATAAGTTCTGTCAATCTTCCACGCCAGCAATCAGGCAACTTGAATTCACCAATCTCGAGCTCATCCGAATTGAAAATGGCGACCGCGCACCAAGTCTACATATCTCCCAATTCCGACGTGGGAGTTTTCAGTTGCGCTCCAAAGGAAGATACAGCCCGCGTCGCGAGTGAGGCGTTGCAGGAAGACATGCTGAAGCATCATGTTTTCTTCAACCAGCAAGGATTCCACAGTTCGTATCATTCCCTATTATGAGTCGATTGTTGAGGTGTCATACCTCGATTGGGACGAAGCCTGAGTTGAAATCTCCACAGATCATATTCCCCATTCACTGTTGAGTATCTATGCCGTTGGCGGCTCGCCCGATGATATCGAGGCAGCCTACAAGAGGAATGCATCATACCAACGGCCTGTCCTGCCCACTGATAATGGAGTGGTCGAGAAAATGCGCCAGACGGGCAACCTTAGGGAGCATTTTGGAAAGGAAAAGCATTATCCGAACTTTCTGTCCTTCTTCCAGAAAGAGATTGACGAAAAGGGAGTCGATACGGTGCTAAATATCTATCTGTTTGCTGAGAATGATCAAGCACAGAACCTTTTCTGTCGATTGTGGGGAGGTATGTGGGATCGAAATGTGTCTGACAAGGTTGTCTTGACCTTCGCGTACTAATGAGCCTGTTCTCTCTACAGGCTTGGTCCACCCGTTGATTCATCTCGGGTTTGGTCTCGAGTTCAAACAACCGGCCATTGTGGCCGAGGCTCTTGCTCAGGCTTCTGTGCATGAAGACAAACTCGGCTATGAATTTTTCCTTCTGGCAGAGAAGCAGGCCGGCGACGCCGGCAAGGCAGGGAGCAAGACGCTCATGCAACTTCTGGACGAGATTCGCACGAACAAAACCCTGTCCACGTCGGCCAGATATAGTGACAAGAATAAAATCTTCGACGGTGTGCTAGGTCGAGCGTCTCAGGAGATGCTGCGCTATGCCTCGCAGTACACGGTCTCCCCGGATCAGGTGGACGAGAAACTGGCAGATATGATGAACACTGTTGGTGAGCAGTATATCCATACCCACCACATTGACTGCAACTTTTTGGCCATGTACGGGGGGTCTGACTCCACTCAGTATACTACACGGCTGCTGCACAGCGACCAAACAAGGCGATCAAGCTGGACTTTTTCTTCCTCCACTGTGTCAACTCGGCTATCTTCTTTTCCCGTCTGATTTGTCTGCCCGGCGCAAGCCAGCGGACACGACTGCGTCTGCTGGAATGGAAGGGTCGCCTCGATCTCTTGATGTACGTGTCACGCGGATGCCCTGAGCTTCGCAAGGAAGATATTCTCAACCACCCGGCTACAAAGGACTGGTCGGCTGTCTTTGCCAGCGCCGCCTCGCACCCGAAGGATGACGGCCATCTGGTCAAGTTTGTTCGCGCGGTCGCACACGCAGAGCAGGTTTGCAAGCCGTATGAAGATCAAGATCGAGAATCTATGCCGGTAAAGGGCAAGATGTGGCTCCAGATTGCCAATATGGGTGAGTTTGCACCGTTCTTGCTTCTTTTACCTTGTCTCCGCTTCGTTTGATCGACACAAGGTCATGGTTTTCATCTCTCGCTTTTTTTTTGTTCCCACACCCATATGAATCTCTACCTCATGCACCTGTCGGCTGTCACTCTGGCATTGCTAACAGGCTCTTCTTACCCAACCAGCTGTCGACTCCACTGTTGGGGCAGAGGATAGCGCGATGTGGGTCCGCTCCACGGGGTTCGAGGAAGCCTGGGAGAATGTTGCTGGACGCTCTCGTCTGTAAATGATCGCTGCAGATATGTCTCGGGGTGGGCGGATCTGGGGCTGTCACTGACCCCTTAGAAGGTGCCAATTGACAGAGCGAATCCATTTCTGTTCAACGATCGGGTGGCGTTGACTGGGAGATGTTTTGCGCCGGCCTCAACGAATGGCAGTATGACATCGTCGCATCCTCGGCAGCAAGTATCAGTAAGTGGGTCTAGAGTTTAGAGTCCGGGCTCATCGTTCTGGTGGGCGTTTGGAGTAGATCCAAATTCGAGCTAGCCCGCTAGCCTTAAGAGTCAATGTACCAATCTGAATTCGGATCGGAGCAAATGAATCGACGCGTTATCCAGTTCTGTTACAGGCAATGCATCGCATGTGTAAAGTCAGCGTGGTCAGCCTTCCATGGAAGTTATGGTGTTAGTGACTGAGTGTAGCTCATCAAACGTTCTTCAACCGGTCGAGCCACACGGCAGTTCCATTTTGTGTGGAGCTCACGTGGCGAAGTTGAGTGTGGGGCGTCCCAACAGCTTCACCTCTCGACTTTCCTCGCAACTCATCAGCGCTAACTGTCTATACCTTTCTTTTTCCAGTCTACCTTCTCAGGCAATTATCGCCGAGACCACCCACTCCCAAGCCTTATAATGCCGTCGGATCGAGACTCCGAGGACAAGAATCGCGACGACAATTCAAACCCATCCAACAAATCACGAGATCCCCCACCCGAGAACGAGACTAACCCGTTCGTTGCCTTCCGGCGCTTCGCTGACGAGCAAGTCTCGGCCGTTCTGCAATCCATCACCGGCCTTCCATCCACCTTTTCACCGCCCCAAACCGATCGCTGGACCATCTTCACCGACGACGAGACATACGAAAGCACAAAATATCGCCACCGCGACAGCGACAGCGCCAGCGACAGCGCCAGCGCCAGCAAGACCGACGAGCAAAGCCACGCATCGTCGAGTGGAGCTGATACGACAACTTCATCCGGTAACCAGGACAACACCGACAAAACCACTAACAGCGACGGAGGCACACCGGCCCAAGATTATCCACCGCCAAGATCCGACTCATAGAACGAGAGCGGCTCAGGTTGAAGAGTCATGGGTTCGGACAATTCGCAACCATCCATTCCCGAGTGGCGCGTGGACCGATTTGATCTCAGTCCATACGAATTCTCGTTTCCGCGCTTGTTACTTTCAGCACTGGGCCTTCCTTCCTTTCCATTCCTCGACTCCATCGAAGAATGGGACAACCAATGGCCGTTGAATTTCATCTTATACAGCTCCTACTCGCCCACGCATCTTGAGCAACAAGCATGCGGCGGCGCAAACACTGGCGCAGGCGTCTTCTCTTCCCGCACACTCGCAGACCGTAATCCCAAGGAGCCACAATGGCGTGAGGCTTTTGAAGATTTGATCCGGTTGGAAAACGGCATCCCGATGCTTGATCGCAATCGGATAATAGACGGCAGGGCCGAGAATAGTGACGAATGGCTGCTTGGTATGCTGCGCCGTGGCAGTATGGGTCCTCGCTTCAGCAGATTCACCCTAGAAGAGCGGCCCGGTGGATCTTTCTACCACCATCATCTCAAGCCTCGTGAGCCGGTCATGGAATTCGGCTCAGAAGAGGAACTCGCTATGTACGAACAATTCCTCGAAGACCTCGACGTGCAGAGGCGCGAACTTCCCGCAGCGTTCCAACAAAGCCAGATTTTGGCCAACGTGATGAGAATCAAAGGAACCAGGGAGGATCAAGCGCCAAATCCCCGGGATTCCAACAAGATGGAGTTGCAGGGAAATGCCAAGGGTGGGAAAGGAAATCACGGCTCAGAACAATCCGGTGATTTCAGCCAGGGCAGCCCGTCGGACTCTACCCGGATTATTTCCACAATGTCGCAAACAGAAAAGACCCATTACTCCGACGGGACCGTTTCAAGCAGAAGGATCGTGACCAGACACTATGCAGATGGTCGCGAAGAGACAGACACCTTCGTCGAAACAGATCTCTCTCATGTCAATGAGGATTGGAATGATGGAATCGCCGACACTTCACGACGAAACGAGTCCGAGCCTAACCCCAAATCCAAGGGTGGTTGGTTTTGGAATGATTGATACTCTTCGGCAGCAATTCATCAGTCATGATTTCGCTGTTCAAACAGTGCCCACACGACTTGAACATCAGCTTCTTCCCTGCTCATTATTTGCGTCTTATGTTTTTGTTTTTGTGAAGCGTCTTACGTTTGTCTTTCGTTCTTGTTTGTTTTTGCGAAGGCTTTTCATACCATAATTTGCTGCCTAGTTTGTGGACTCGAAATGCGATCGTCTGGTCTGGCCAACGTTCTTGGGGAATATGTGTCCTGCTCTTGAGGCGGGGTACCAAGCCTTTCAAATCTTAGTTCCGCCTTAGCCGTACATTGGTCTATTGTAATAACCTTCTCTGCAAGACATTATCTCGCAATACCACTACATCATATCTCCGTATATGGAAAGAAGAGACCAGTGGAAAATGCTCGATCAGACCAAGTCCAACCACTAGGTACGAAATCTCCATAACGGTTGTCACTAATCCGCCTTGACACTCTTCTTCTGTCCCTTTCCAGTATTCCAGCCCTTTGTTTCCCAGAACTCGACATTTGCAAGCATTTTCTTGTACGCCCATGAGAACGGGGGATCTGAGGTTGACGCAGAGTCAGTATCAAGCAGCTGTCAGTTGTCAAATCTCAACGTGAAATATAAATACGTACACAAGAACTGTCTCAAATCGTGTCTGTTATCTTCGGGAGAGTAATCAAGAGCGTGGCTGTTTTAAAAAAGGCGGAATATCTTAGCATTTTTGTTCAACCAGGTAGAAGAAGCATATGAGCAGGTGAGTGATGACTTACTATGCCGGTGTGATTGTAGTCATTTTATGACGATTGATAGCTGTGAATGAGAAGGGATGAATGAGCCAAACCGTCTCAATAGCGAAGCGAGACTGATCCTGCACTCACCGTAGTAGAAATAAAAGTGTCGGACCTTTTCGTAGATCTCGCGAGGACTGAATTCGTTGCCCCAGACATGGAGCAACTTCTCATACATGGACCAAGGACCAAGTTTCGCGACCTTGCGAAGGTATCTGAAGCACGGCGGGATTAGCGTAACTGTGCGATGAAAAAGAATGAATAGATCTGTCACATACCCGAAGGTACCCAGCTCGGAATACTTGACACCCATGTCGACTTCATCGGACTGGGCCGCAGCCAAAGGTTCCAGTTCAGCGGTAGGAGTTGCCTCCAAAAACTCTGTAAGGATAGGCATATCGAATTCCCGAACTCCCCACGCGATGAAGCGTTTCAAATCGACCTTGTTGAGACTGCCAATTGGGTTCAACTACTGGGCTGTTAGTATCCATCTATGTCGAAAGTGGAAGTATTTCCGATTCACAGCTGCGGACTCACATCGGCGGAGGAAGCGTCGTACTTGGTCAGATAGCCTCTCAAACTGTAGGAATGAGCAAGGGATCAAATAATAAGTAAGGCCACATGCACATACCATTCTGCAAATATCGTTAGCGAATGACTTTTGTGAGCTAGTCAGAGGTCCAATTACTTACCATCAACGTTCGACGATGCCAGAACTAAGAGACCGCCCCCACCAGGGCGCTGCCGTACCGTCGGTAGCAATGAAGCAAATAAGTATGAGAGGACCATTCTCATCCGAGCTTGGACGTTTTGTAAAGCTAAGTTCTCCGCGGGGGCGCCGCCGTGGAATTTAAAGCGAGGCTGGAAGCTGGTTACCGCGGTGAAGACGTTCATGATCGCAGTGATGACGGTATCAAAATTGAAATCAAGGTGATAGGCACCGATTTGTTGTGCAAGCCTTTTGGCTCGATCCCGGGTCTCATTACTTGAGTTTTGGGTCCCCATGTAGGCCGTGTGGAAGATGCACATGCAAATCTCCTGGCTTGAGGAAGGTAGCCAGTCTGAATCTTCGGGCTTGGCGCACAGACGGCGGACATCCTTAATGACCTGTTCGTTGCCCTCATTAACAGCCTTGAGGACTTGTCGACACATCGAATGAACGATGAGAGCAGACGAGCAGCTGTCAATTCCTCCACTCAAGGCTAGGAAGAACCCAGCAACACCACAACGCCGAAGGTAATCCCAGAGCCAGCAGGCTGGCCCAAGAGCAATCTCCTCTTCCGGGTCATGGATTCGAGGCTTGCGCGGTTCTGAAACCGTCAGGCCAGGGTCAGCCTCCTCAGCCCGGCGAGATAGTCTGACGTCAAGATCGATTCTTTGATATGGGGATTGCTTGCTCGCCTGCATACTACGGCTGGCGCTGGACCGATAGGTGCGAACCTAGGATAGGTCAGTCAGTCTGCTGATCGGAGGTTTTGTTCGGGCTCGGATAATCACACCTCTTCAATATCGACGGTGGCAGTCACAACCTCTACGTCGTTCAGAGAGAATTGAGATCCCTGAGCAACAATCTCACCATTGATGACGATCATGGCACAGCCATCATAGTAGAGTCGGTCTCCATCGCAGCCCTGCTGGTTTGCGTAGAGGTAGATACCACCACTCTGATCAGGTCAGTTGGTGTAGAACATCGAGTCAATGCCAAAATCCTTACCAACTTGGTGGCCTGTGTGATAAGATTAAGGCGCGTGTCCAACTTCCGCAACTCATGGTGGCTACCAGACGAATTGGATATGATCTCAACACCTGTCAAAGCGAGATGTAAGTTGATGCTCATGTTCTGGTCTAATTGAACACATACCTGCCAGTCCGTACGGAATATGAGGTCTAGTGAAAGTTCAGCATTTATGTATCCAGAAGAATTTTCCATTCACGGGTGAATGGACCTCGATTGCAGATACAGAGCAAAACTGACCCGTTTGGTGTGAATAGTTCTTCGCACGTCTCCAACCCCAAGCAAGTGTCACGTGTGCTGATGACGGCATCACCAAATGGAACCTTGTACTGGCCCGTAATATTCCCAACGATTTGTTCGAGATAGTAGTCTTCGGTCTCTTGAGGGCGCTGCCATGGGGTGAAATGCCGATATTCGCGGTAGTTGCCATCTGAAGCATCGAACAAGAGTTAGCAGTGTCCCAGGAACAAAACGCCAGTCAATTGAAGGGTAGTCAGACCATTGGCCAGCCACATTTTGGGGCGAATGAGGACAATCTTGCGATTGTAGAAGATAATCCTAGCGCACAATTAGCGCAGTAGATTCCCAGTGGCCGCATGGGAACATACCGGCAGTTATATCGGACGTTTCTGTGCCTGACTGGCATACCAACATCGACCACGATGTCTTGACAGTCTTCATGGTCAATGATCTGTGCTAGCATCTCCCAGGAGTGAAGGAAAGTGTCGCCCTCCATGAATGCATCAAGACAGCCATATCCTTCGAAACACATGTCAATTTATAGGCGCCAAAGCATCTTCCAAGGGAATGGTTACCGGTGATCTCAAGCTCGGGGCCAACTCTCAGGGTAGCGCCAGCAGCCTTGGCTTGTCGAATACTTTCAATGATGCGATCACGATTGCCTTCCCAGTCCAAGGCCCATTGGTTGAGATTGCTAATATCGAGTCAGTCTCAGATAATGGCACATAATGCTCCGCGAAGCTGCTCAACAGCTGTGTCACTATGATTGCAAGAAGTCCAGCAATATTTTATCCAGTCATACCATGTTGCTAATGTCACCAGATGACCCATGGTGCCGGTTTGGTGTCTGTTGTTTCGAGGCTCAGATACCGTTCAAGCTTCCCCTCCTTCTCCGAGATAATCTATTGATGTAGGTCACGTGTGTGGGGAGATTACTTTCTGGACAATGCCGGATCATTGTTCAATCTATTCTGAACGCTAGCCGATATTGGCTTAGCGTGACATACATACTACAACAGGAGAGTCAGATTACCAGCGGAAAATAACCTTGTCGTGCACTCGATGCTGGATTCAACATGCGGAATATGCGTGAGCCGATCTTGCCAAAATCTTTATAGCAAGCCACATCCAATTGAAAAGATCCAACTGGGCGTCACTGTAGCACCATACGAGGAGATGCAAAGAAAGGAATCTTCCCCGGCTCAAGTCAGCCCTGCCTGCTTCCGCAAGCCGTCAAGTACAGTAGCAAGCTGGCTCAGCCGGGCGATAAGGCTACCGAATGGGAGGAGTCTCAGAGGCTTTCCTTTTTACATTTTACACTTTACCCATCCAAATCGGTGCAACTCCGATGAATGGAAGCGTAGAATAACTTACAGTACAGCTGCGAGACTGTATCATGTAGATTGTACAGTATACCGACTTAATCTCTTATCGAGCGTGCAATCAGGCCAGGGAGTGGAACTAGAGGGAAGCTAGTTCGAATCCACTTCTCGCATTAATCAGCGAGATCGGATCGGGCGTCATCTCGTGCCTGCCGAGAGCCCTCGAGCTTATTCACTGTCGGCAACAGACGCATCTTCTCGGCTTTCAGAGAAGTGTGATTATCGAGATAGCTTTACCTGTGTTACCCCTGCATTCCGGCAGACCGCCCCAATCCTTGAAAGTTTTTCAACTGCTCTGAATATCCGCCATTCCAAATCGAGACAATATGACTGCACCCGCTCAGATTCCTAGCCCGGCCCATATTCTCGCAGAGACTATGCTGTCCCGCCGTTTCGGTAAAGAGACGGCCAACTACTTCTCCAGTAAGTGCAGGAGTGTCCGTCGTTTACGATCCTCACATCACGCAGAGCAGTTCCTAATCAAGACTAGGCTCACCTATCAATCGACTATCGTTCCTTCGAAATGACCACTCATTCATCTCCTCGGCGTTAAAACATCCATCTACCAAATTTCTCCTGTTGAACAAGCTTGCGCCGCTCACCCGATCTCCAGCAGAGCCATACTATGCTCAATACGATGAGGTGCGCGGTCTCATTCCTCAGGATCTCTTTGACAAGACCGAGGATGAGATGCTCAAGGAGTTCGACTCGCGCAAGACACATCCAAACCTGATTTTCCTCGGCCTAGACGAAAGTCGTAAGGAGAGCAATGATTTGATGACCTATAAGAACTACGCGGGACACCCATTCTTCGCCGTTGATGTCACCCCCGGGGCTCCGATGAGCAACAAAGCGCTTGCTCCAGTATTATCAAGGCCATGGAGGAAAAGGGCTTGTCATTTTTCCAGACAAGGGTGATTATGACGTTCCCGCCCGAAGAAGGTAAGTGCTCATCACCCGACCAATTGGCCAAGATGGGAGTCGTTATGTTGACATGGATACAGCGGCTGTTTATGCGCAAGCACGTGCGCTGATGGATTGGAATACACGGAATACTTTCTGCGGCACTTGTGGCCAACGGACGCTGTCGATCAACGCAGGTACTAAACGAGCATGCCCTCCTACGGATGTGGCGCGCTTCGCCGAAGGTCTCCCACCAAATCGCCCCGAATGCAACACGCGCACCACTCTTTCCAACTTGTCCTTCCCCCGTACAGATCCCACGATTATTGTCGCTGTGGTCTCTGCTGATGGGAAGCGAATCCTACTTGGTCGGAGCAAGCGTTTCCCACCTAAATGGTATTCCACGCTGGCGGGATTCATCGAGCCCGGCGAGTCGATCGAGGATGCCGTCCGACGAGAAGTCTGGGAAGAGTCGGGTGTTACGCTCTCGCGCGTGGTCATCCACTCCTCGCAACCTTGGCCATATCCTGCCAACTTGATGATCGGAGCAGTTGCACAGTGCAGTGATGCAGCCCATGAGAAGATCAGCCTCGAGCATGATCCTGAGCTCGAGGATGCTCGGTGGTTCGAGATTGAGGAAGTTGAGGAGGCCCTGCGTATTGGTACCAGTGACCTTAGCACTGGCGCTGGCCCTGAATACAAGGGTGGCTTGCGACTCCCTCCGGCGACGGCTATTGCCCATCAACTAATTCAAGCGGCGGTCAACGCAGACTACTTCCAAGCCGACAAATCCAAGATGTGATGATGACTCGACTGTATAGATGGACGGCCTACATAGATGACTGAGATCCTTGTATAAAGGGCCCAATGCGGGCAGGACGGACGAGTGATTTTGGACAATTTTCCACGTGTCCATGGCATTGTTGTACATAAAAAGAACTGGGCGTCCTCTTGTTAGAGGAGCTCACTCGTTTACATATACTGTTCCATCGCGGAGCTCATGAATACCATGCTGCCCGCTCGGTGATCCGATCTCCGTGTAACGAGTCCCATCCCGTAATTCATGAATGATCACCTGTCGATGACTCCTTCGAGAACGCCTTGAGCTCCGCGCAGATGGCGTGCCATCTTGGCTACCAACCTCACTAGCCGTGGCGCTGCTGGGAGTCCTGGACCGGCTTTCGATTGCAATCGAAGCCTGAAGCCGGTTGTCGGCGACCATCCCAGCGCCATCTTCAACATACCATCGCCGCAAGTCAGAAGCAAAGTCACTTTCCTCGGATCCGTACTCCACAGGCGGACCATTGATCGTCGGCTCAGACCCTGTATGGGCGAAGACAGCCCACGCGCTTGAATCAACGCTGATGAGAACCATTGAGTGCTGGTGGCTTTGGACCTTGAAATCTCTGAGCAAGATGGCATCGCCTTCCGTCACAGTCGGTATTGCAGATTTGTAACGTCGGAAGATTCGAGCCTCAAGCGTCGTACCGGCCATCGATGGGTCAGTGAGGAAGATGCTCATGTAGTAGTCTCTGGCTCCGGACGTCGCCTTGGCAATGGGACTGTATTCGTAGACTACTGAAATTGTATCCACGAGAGCATTATAATGATCAGCAAGCGAGGCGAGAGGGGCAAAGTAAGATAATTTGCTTCGAAGTCCTTGAGCCTCTCGATCTGGTAGCGAAGCTTTCCTGACAACAACGACGGGCGTTTGGGGCGCATCGGGCAGGGGTTCGGTGGAAGATGCTTGCGGCTCATCTGTCTGCATGGTATCTTCGTGTATTTCCGATGAAGGCAGAGACCTCGTCGGTGATGACGGTGGCGTTTCCTCATCCACCTCGTCAACGTCCGGTTTCAAGGCGAGCTTGTCTTGCTCTTGCGTGATAGCTTCCCCATCAAAAACAGCCAACGGAGCGGCATGAAGCTCATTTGAGTCTGCTGGCAATGGCTTTTCACTGCTACTTGCGCCTCTGCTCCTTTCATTCTCGGTGTCGACTTCCTTTTCTATAATCACGTCTTGCGTGAAATCAGGGCTCAGCAATTGCTCGGTGGAGACGGGATCTGACACTGATGCCACAATGCCTGCAATGTCTTCGGTAATAACTTGTTCAGTGTCCTTGAAGACAGAAATTTCGTTTTTTTCCAGCATCGTGACTTCCGCTTCTACAAACCCGGAAAGGCTACCACGACTCGACATTTGGCCTTCCTGAGGATCGACTGAAACTTCCCAGTCTTGTGCACTGTCCGCTCCGAGCAAGGAAGTGAGAGTGCCCTCGGGTCGTTCTTTGGTTACTTCGACCAAGACGTCAGCTTCTTCCTCCTGTGGAGCTTCAGGCCTCATAAACTCGCCTGTGGAGGAGAACGTCTCATTGATTGACGTAAATCGAGAGTCCGTCCCGAGTACCATGTCCTTCTCCATTTCTTTTTCCTCTGGTCCGTGTATGTTTTCCTCGTCATCCTCGTCGTGGTCTTCCACCACCTCGTCTCGCTCAACTCCAACTTCCACAACTTCGCTTTCCTCAACGTCATCTTCCCCAAGATCTTCGTGTTCGCCTTCCAGACGTCCTTTCTCTTCATCTTCTTCGAATTTTTCCAATCCTGCAAATTGAGCCGAGCTGTCTTCTTCGATCACTTCAGCGGGAGCTCGACCGATGGTCTGTTGGGCGGCGTCGTCGACTAGTTTGACGCGCTCATGGTTGTCCCCCTGAACATCATCGCCGGAAGAGGACTCATCATCCAAGTCACTATCACGGACTCGTTCGTTCTCCACATAAGGAAGTTCTTCGTCCTCATCCCCTTCTGAATCGAAGTCCTCTGAGTCTTGGTCACTCGTGACCTCAGATTCTGAAGTGCCATGACCGGAATAAATACCTCGTTTGTACGTCATGGAGCGTTGCGAGTCCATAGTGGCGCGCGATGCATGGGAAGGGGAAGATCTCTCCAAGTCCACCGAGCGGGATGGGGTTGACACAGGCGCATCGGCGGTCGTTCGTTGAGGCCGATCTTCATATTCGCTGTCACTGTCCAAGACGATGACATCTGGTGACCCTGCCGGCTGTTGACGCGTAATCTCTTTGTCATCACTCTCTTGATCTTCATGCATGTCCTCCTCACTATCATATTCGTCCTCGTACAGCTCGCTTGCTGAGAACGAGTCTGCGTCTGCATCTTCATCTTCGTCCATTGAATCAACAGCATGTTTTGCATTTTCGTCCATGGGAGTTGGAATAGCATATTTGTCTTGATCAATTTGCCACGATTCTGCTTCCGCGTCTTCGTCTTCGTCCTCGTCTTCAAGACTTGCATCGTCCGCCTCATTTGCTCGAAGGCCATCCCTTCTGTGCTGACGAGGTGTGTACATCACGGCTGCTTCGGCGAATCTTTTAATTTCCGGGCGCAGTGAGATCTCGTCCGCTATGACCTCGCGCGTCTCGGTGTCCCCATGGACTTGATCGGATCCAGGCTGCATGTGAGTGAGAACGTTTGTTATATCGGTTTCAGTATCTCTTGCCTGCACTTGTGGCAATTCTTGGGCCTTCATATGCTCGACAAGCACTTCCTCATGTTTTTGAGACGCAGGGTCTTCGACTTCTTCGCTTGTGACACCCGCACGCAACTCGTCACCGGCTTCCAACTGCATATCTCTGTTCACTAAATCTGATGATTCAATCTCCGGAGACTGCGAGAGCAAAGGGTCCATGAGAATTTCTGGCGTTTCCTCACATGCGCTAGTGACAGACTCTTGGAGGAAGGACCTCGGTATTTGTTCCTCATCCTTCGCCTGGTGCCATGATGAAGAAGGAAAATCTTCGTATGTCGAGTCCTTTGACTCCTCTCCGTGGTCAGTCGATCCATATGGCATTTGAGTGTGAAGCTCTTTTTCATGTAGGCCACGCTCTTCGGCAGTAACCTCGGAAGATGGTTCGAAAGATCCATGTAAATGTTGTGCAGGTGGCGCGGTATGAATAGTTGCAAAATAGTCTTGTGAATGATGCTGGTCGGATGGGAACGGTGATGGAATTGGTAACCCAGGAGATGGAACTGGCCGCAGCTGGGGCGTAGCTACCGGTGCTGTTGGGAGAGATTCCAGGCCTTCCGACGGAGACATAGCCGAGTTCCTGTCGGACTCTTGCAAACTAGGCCTGATGGAGGACACACGGCCAATATCGAAATGCGGCTTGGCGAAGACAAAAGAATCGTTGACTCCAGGCTGAACACCTGCACTTGCCGGGTTGGTCTCTTCCACATTCGATGCGGCTGGAGATGCGGTTGAGAATGCCGTGGCCGTAAATGTTGGTGCGGGCGTGTCCTCCGTCTGGTCTGCACGGAATTCGATCTCCATTTCGTCCTCCAGTGACTTCTCCCAATCCACCTCGCCATCGAGCTCGGGAGGGCTGCTAGGCTCGTTCACAACGCGCCATTCATTCCGTTGCAGACTGTACCTCGGTCTTTTTCTCCCTTTGCCTGGAACATAGCCGTCTTCCTCGATAAACGGATCGAACATAGAATCAACCGCGCTTCCCGAAGATTTTCGTGAAGATTTGTGAAAAGCAGGTGATCCCCACAGACCACGAAGGGCGACGGGGCCAGAATCGCGATCGACAGAGTGTGATTGAGGTGTCGACGGAGGCTCTATTTCAGGCAGCGCTGAGGGCTGCACAGTAACGGAAAGTGAGGGCGCATTTTGAGATGTCCGGTTGACCTAGAGCATCACGATCAATTGAATGTTCGATTTGACACGGCATAGTGCCGAACCTACCTCCAGCATGACACCGTCGTCGAAGTGCAGATCCCAGGGCACACCTTTCTGTGGGGTTTGCGACGCATTCTCCTTGGACACCAACCGCCCATGTTTCAATGACAGGCATACTGTTTCGCCGATTCCAACGCGCTGCTCTGCGACACTTTCTGCGACGCGACCGTGGAAAATCGCCTTGACCTGGCCATTCGGCCACCGCAAACGAGAATCGGGCTCGGCGAGGAGTAGACTCAGACATTTCTGGAAAGAGGAATATGGCCATATTAGACTGACGGTCGCGACGATGCATCGATTGTCAAGGTCATCGAGTGTCGGTGCTAGTTGCGCGATCGGTGTTTTGCGTTGATTCCGCAATGGCGTCGCCAACAGTTCGGAAGACAAGGGCTTGTCGGTGGCTTCCATCCTGAGATCCCCGTCTACTTCTTCACAGTCGACATGGCGCAACCACTCTCGCTGTTCTAAGATATCGCCGCGGAAGGGTTTGGAGACCAGAACCGCTGAAAGTGAGAGAAGGAACCAGGATTAGAAGCAAAGCGCTGTGGAGCGCTGGAGCGAGCCGCGAGCTTTATCTTGCGGACCCGCGGGAGACCGACCACGGCCTGAGCTTTGGTCGCGAACGAGAAGCAACAGCAGCAGCAACAGCAACCGGCACAGCTCTAGAGTATTAGCAGATTTCCAAAGGACTCGTAAGCTTTCAGTTGTGATGGTGTTTCGGCAGTCTTTGTTGATCATCGACCGACTACAGATGATGTAACGATCTGATTATATAATGTCAACTCAAATCGTTCCAAACGCGTGACAAAGAAAACCTCATTGACATGCAGATAGGCTGTGTAAGCGTGTAGTGTATAACTGTATATACTGCATCCATACGATGAAGTGTTCGGACCTTTGGTCTCATTGAATATTTGTGTGCTTGAAGGTATGCTTGACTCCTGGTCGCAAATTCCAACTTGCCAGCCACGAAGTCCCGCGGTGACCGGGTGTTTGATGCAGGCTCGTGACCTTCTTCAAGGTTGAGCCTCGAAATCCATTCGGTGGACGCAAGGAACACGAGTGCATCGATGTCGACAGCTCCAGCCTGGCCTCAACTGAAGAGTCCTTGCCGGTCAACAAATAGACGTCTGATCGAGGTTAGACAAGATTGAATCGACAGGTTCTATACACTTGGGAATCCCATAACAGGTTGAAGCCAGCACGATACCCGCCAGCTATGCGACACAAGGAAGCAGGATTACTCCTGCTGTACTCTCCTTGACAGTAGTATCGATTGTCGAGTCAATGTTGTCTGCCTGACGTGGAACGCTGTCTCCTTCCAGAGGCACCAGAAGTAAGTCGACATGCGGAGGTTGGCCTCTCTACCTGGAGGAGACCCCACCATGACGATCGGAAGACCCAGTACAAACTCTACGGAAGCATCCCGTCGTCGTCTTTCCTAAACACTACAACTACTCATTGGACCTTTTCCCAAGACTAATCATGACTCTTGCGCATCCTATTCGACGGGTTGCCATCATTGGGGCGGGACCGTCGGGGCTGGCGGCGTTGAAGTATGTATGCTCGGCGGTGGCCTCACCGGGCGAGATCGTCAGTTCGTTTTCGACTCAGAACTGACCGTCGCGAATAGATTCCTGTTGGCAGAGGACTGCTTTGAATGCATTGACCTGTTTGAACAAAGAAGCTCGGTCGGAGGGGCATGGGTCTACACGGGTGGCCCTGCGAAGGCTGGGATGAGCACGACTGTTCCGCATCTCAACCCACATGAGCCAGTGCAGAGGCCGATCTGGGACAAGCGAGAAGATGGCTCGTCTCAGGCCATCTTCGTATCGCCGCTGTATGAGCGACTGGAGACCAATATTCCCAAGGATTTGATGCGCTTCTCGGATTTGGCGTTCCCTTCCGATGCCCAATTGTTTCCTAAGCACCAAACGGTTCAGGAGTACCTGGACGCGTACGCGGCACCGGTGAAGGGTTACATCAAGTTCGAGACTCAAGTGGTCAGCCTAAGGTTAAAGAATCCAAGTCTGAGCACTTGGGAGTTGACCACCACCAATTTGTTCGATGGTCTCAACACGACGCAGATCTACGATGCGGTTGTCGTGGCCAGTGGTCACTTTAACGTTCCACATTTACCCGATATCACGGGAATTAAAGAGTGGGATCGCGTGTATCCTGGAGCAATCTCACACTCCAAATACTACGACCGGCCCGAGCAGTTCGCGGGCAAGAAGGTCGTTGTAGTTGGCAGCTCAGCTTCGGGGCTTGACATCGGAGGTCAGATCAGTGAAATGAGCGCTGGTCCAGTCATCGTGTCCCAACGGTCCGAATCTTACTTCGCTGCCGCATCTGGAACGGCAATCAATAAGGTCTTTCGGCCCGAAATCGTCGAGTTCCTCCCACCAGCGAAATATGACCGAGGAGTTCGATTTGCAGACGGCCACATCGAGGAGAACATAAATGCCGTGGTCTTCTGCACGGGCTATTTCTATTCATATCCCTTCCTCTCATCGTTGAAGCCTCCTGTGATCACGGACGGCTGGAGGACCAGGCATGTCTATCAACAACTCTTCTATACAGAGCATCCAACTTTGGTGTTTCCAGTGCTTCCTCAACGCGTGATTCCCTTCCCTTTGGCTGAAAATCAAGCAGCTGTTTTCTCGCGCGTGTGGTCTCAGCGGCTCCAGCTCCCTCCAAAAAGCGAGATGGAGGCCTGGGAGGCCGCACAGGTAGATCAAAAAGGCGATGGCAAGACGTTTCATCTGCTTCCATTTCCTTTGGATGCTGACTATTTGGAGTTTTTGTATACTTGGGCTGCCTCGGCCGCGCCACGCCCGGCACTTTCCAATGGAGGCCATGGCCGGCTCGGAACGTGCTGGACTGAGCGAGAGCGTCAAATTCGGAAAATTTTCACAGAGATCAGACAAAGTTTTGTGAACAAAGGAATTGAGCGCAGCTCGGTTCGGACGCTTGAGGAACTAGGTTACACCTTTGATGCTCCCATGGTGAAGGTTTAGTCTAGTGGTACTGTGGTACTTCATCATAGCTGGGGAGGTGAGGACCAAATGATAGATCGTTGAGTGTCACGTCGTTCAGTAGAACAACCTTGTCCGGTTACAGACAAGAAAACAAATCTCGTACCAGATCACTCTCGCCAAGCTCCTTAAGCCTGGATCGCTAAACATTGAGCACTTTTTTAAGCAATAGTTGGCGCTATCGATAACGACCCCAATGTACTCGATCACGTGAATAGCATGGATCTCCGCCTGGCTGGCGCGCATCCACTTCCTCCTCCAACGACAGCGACCACGACCAATAACCCCTTAAACTGCATACTGTCAAACTTATTCAGTTTCAAATGGTCCACAGATCTTGAGAAGGGAATCCTGCTGGTCTTGAAAAGTATATAAATTCTTTGAAGATGGAGGATAATCCGACCCCGTCTTCTTTGGGTGATATTGACGCTACAGTACCTACATCTAATCCGGAAAGCGTTGCGCCTCTGAGTGTACGCTCAGACGCGAACCATGTTCTGCACTCCCACATTGGAGTTCATCACGCACATCCTGAAGCTATGCTGCTTGGTCACTCAGCAACGGATGTTTCGCTCTCCATGCAAACAATCCAGCCAAGTGCCTTAACGGTCGAAGATGCCGAGGAGATGCCGAGTGGATCAGTTCGTCTTGGACCCTCTGAGTTCGCAGTCACACTTCCAATGGACTCGCGTGTAAAAGACTGCTATGACAGGGTGATAGCTGATGCATCGCCTATCTTGAAAGAGCTTCTTCCAAGTTCTGCGCACTCGAGTCAGATCTTGGACACGAAGGTAAATCGTTTGTCTCACTTGTTGCTACGCATCCAAAGCTGATAAATTCTGGCAGCGCGATGAACTCTTGGCTAAAACTCAAGAGGTTGTAATGAAGTTGAATAATGTCTCAATTCATCCGGATCTGAACATTGTTCAACACGTGCTGTACGAAGACTCCAAGCTTGATCGAGAAGCTGAGTGGGCTGAGTACTCGAGCGCTAAGTTTCGGCTGCTCGGATGGCTCATCAGAGTTGGCTGTGATCACGACCTTCACGTGATTCTCGCTGTTTCAGGTGAAGACAAACGGCAAATAGTCGAGCGCTACCTTCTTGGCAAGGGCTTCAGCTTTACCAAGCCTCGAGATCAGCTCGGAGGTAATTTGGAGATCTCTCTGCAAAAGGACGCCCTCAGCTTTGCCATCCACTTTGATGACAGTGTGCGAGGGGCTTTCAAGCCACCATCTGCAGTGTTCGTATTTGACACATCCTACAAGCTGGATCGTCCCGCCGTACAGCACATGAGGACAACCTACTCAAGGAATGGTGCTCTCCTTCCGGTCATTTGGTTCCTTATTTCCAACTCATGTGAGCACATTGAACGCTGTCTTCCTCCACTCCCAGAGTTGGAGAGGCTCGGCCTTTTAATGCAGTACACGACTTCTTTTGCCGAGGAAGTTGGGGACTTGCAAGATGATGCTTTGAACGTCTGCGAAGATGCCGAAGAAATATTGCGGTTCATTTCAGATCCATTTATTTCTTGGCCAATACCGACGATTGAGCCGTTGCCATTTGTTTCGCCGGACGAGTCGAGCTCAAGCCCTCTGTCTTCTGACGAGCCCACGCGTGCCACTCAAAAACGTGCCTTGGTAGGCTAGAACACCTCTCGTATAACAAGCCTAGAACTATATGTTAACGAGCAATGATGCAGGACAACGAAAAAGAGCCTGAAGACTACATTTTGAAACGAACGAAACTTGACACACAAGAAACAAGTCAGATGACGCAATCGACGAAGCCACCCAGCCAGAGCCTTGATCGTGATCTTCATTCTCTGGAGAGAAGCCTAGTCCACATGAAGGCTGTCCACGAATCGGAGAAGACTGCTCTTCAGCATGAATTGACACAAACTCTCGCGCGTCTCCGAGAGCTCGAGGCTTCTTTAAGCGAAGTTCAACACCGTTACGAAACTCGCACGGCAGACCTACACAAGGTTCGCCGAGAGCGTGACAAACTAATTGAGGACAAAGCATCCCTGGAGCAAAAGGTCGAAAAGCAAAAAGAGGACGCTTTGAACTGGAAGACTGCACGCTTGCAGCTTCACGCCGAGCTGGAGAAATTAAGACAGGAAATTCAAGACGGCGGTGGCCCCCTCTCAGAAATGGAGCAGCTGCGGGAAGACAATCGTCGTCTGATGGCCGAGAAAGCAGGCCTCGAGCGAAAGGCCGAATACGAAAAGAATCAAGCGGAGTATACCCGCGAGCAATATCAGACTGCCTCTCGAGCCGCCGCGCAGTCAGGAAATGAGCTTCGTCAGCTGCAAGAAGAGAAAGACGCCCTGGCTCGCAAACTCCAGAGCAATACTATCCAATTGCGGGAAATAAACATCAAAGCAGACTCGGCACGTCACCTCGCTCGAATTAATGAGCTGGAACTCATTCTTGCATCTCGTGATGACCTGTTACGGAAGAAAGAAGACGAGCTACGGGAGATTCGAAAGAACCGACCCTCAACCCGATCCACAAGTTCCCAGCCCCGTAGTCCAAAATGGGCTACGAGTAGCCGCCCCACAAGCCCGGGAGTTGGCTACAATGGTAATGGCAACGGCAACGGCAACGGTAATGGAAACGGCTTTGGTGGTCGAGCTAGTGCTCTACGGTACAGCTCTGAGATGCCATTTTGAAGAACCTGCATTCGTTTGACATCCCCGATTTTGGCTTGGCGTGCTGCATTTTCAGAGGGGAGTTTCATTCATGAGAGCATTGGCAAGGAGTTCATAGCCTAGTGAGATAGTATTTCCAGAAAGGCGCCTAGCAGATTCATGGTACATCTTTTGCTCGCTTTATCAGGCTGCCCCCCTTTCATGCGTCAATTGCAATCCACCGTTGGGACAGGAAACAAGGTCGCATAGTGATACAGGTAATTGGTCATTGAAACTGACTAGCCTTTGACAATGGACTGTTCAAGGCTACCAGGCCACAGACAGAGGCGGAACCATGACTACATTGGCAAGTCTAATTGGGTCTCACTACTCGAACCCGGCGCTCAAGAAATAGATCAATTGCATACCTCAACACCCATAACCATTCCGTGCTGAATTGGCCGCCAGTGCCAGTCGAGTCGGGGTCGGCTCTACGGCGACTCGTCTGGTCAGATTCCTAACTGCATTGCGTTACCAAGGACATTGATCTTCTGCGAGCCGTTTACTTTGAGATAGACTGATAGAAAAAGAAATTGGAAGTATTATGTATTGGAGTTGAACCAGTCAGTGCTTATGTAGTATAGAACGACGAAATTGACAAACAAAAAGGAATGAATACATGGGCTAAGGAATTGGCATCCTTGATTGCAGACAAATTGTGGGAAAATGAAGAAACAAGAAAGCCTCCAACTCCTCTGTGCGCGCAAGGAGCAAAATTGATCAAGTTCAATGAAAGACAATGGAAACCAAAGTGGCAAAACAAATGTCTTCGAAGCGAAGACATGCACATCAATATACAAAATAGATCTAGGAAGAATTCATGGCATTCGCGATGAATGCCGCCAATTCCTTGGCCTTCGCACCCTGGGTCATGGTGAAGTGGTTGGCATCTTCCATGATTGTGATACCACCAACATTCTTGGTTCCTACCAGTGTGTCCCAGCCGTTGGGACCGAGATCGGTACGATTATTCAACAACCACTGCATCTCACGAGGGTCAGGGCTACCATCCTCGGCGGGCTCAGGGCGGGGGTCGTTCGGTTTGTTGCACACTCCATCTTTGGCCCAGACTATGAAGGTCTTAGGAATCTTCTCTGCCTGCTCCTCGTCATTGAATGGGAACGGCGCAGCTTTGTAGGCGTCCAACGAGTCGATGAAAGCAAGGAAGTGAGGGAGCAACCACTTGGGAGGTGGAGCATTGCCTTCGCCAAATAGGCCAATGGAGTCGAAGAATCTGTAGAGGCGACGAGGAAGCTTCTCAAGTCCGATGGGAAATGGGGAATCGAGAAGGAGCAGGCGCTCAACGCGCTCGCCTTCCTCGAAGATCAGGTGACGGGCAGCATCGTAGGCGCAGATACCACCAGCTGACCATCCACCGAAGTTGTAGGGTCCAGTGGGCTGTCGACGTCTAATCTCTGCAACGTAGGGATATGTGAGCTCTTGAAGGGGGAATGTGAGCTTCTCAGGCGTGCGCATGTACGGGCAATTCAAGCCGTAGACACAGACGTCAGGAGAGATGCCCGGGATCGTAGAGTAGGAGGTAGCAGAGCCAGATCCGTCAGGGAAGAGGAAAAGCTTCTGCGTTGCGGTTTTAGGGTTGCCCTGAAGGAGGATTGATGTGGCAGGGGGGTGCTGAATCAATGATTGAGTAGGCGTAGGCATCTTCATATTTAGTTCTTCCGGCAGTTTGATCATTTGTGGCGTAGGAGCCTTCGGCTTCAAATCCAAAGCGACTTCGACTTCGTCTAGAGTCTGGTTCTCAATGAAGAACTCTCCAGACAAGTCCATGTCAAGATTTTCGCGAATCTTGCCCAACACTGTGAGAGACATCAATGAATCCAGACCCATTTCTCCGAGGTTTGCGTCTCCAGGGAGCTCTTCTGGTTGAACTCCAATCTCCTCGGCAAGGATGACACAGATTTCTCTCATTGTATCATTTTGCTCAAGGGTCACAGTTTTCTCATTGGCAGGGGTTGGCAGGCCGCTTGAGTTGGGAGTCGAGATATCAGTGGAGGTATCCGTGGAGGAGCCTCCCGCGTCGCTGCTTGATTCATCACTGGCACTGTCGGATGGGCTCATCTGTGCCAACATCTGCTTGAAGTCTTTAATAGTGGGACAGTCCACAAAGACACTTGATTCGAGATCGAGCCCAAATTCTTCCCGGTAACGACCAGTAACTGTGAGGGAAAGAAGGGAGTCTACCCCATAGTCGGCGAAATTCAAGCTATCGGTCATCTCTGACGCAGACAGTCCGACCTCTTCGGCCAATATACTAAGAGCCTTCGAAATGATACTATGTCCAGGTGACTTAGTTGAAGGCTCCGCGGACTTCTTTGCCTTCGGCAAAGGAGTCTTCTTCACGACAATCGGAGCAGGTGAAGCCTTTGCACCGGCAGCCGAAGGCTTTACAGTAGCTCCACCCGCCGGCGGCAGAACAGTGTCCAGAATCTTTCTTGACAATGCTTGGAACTATTGAATGGCAGTCAGTATTGAAATTGGTGTTGGAAAAGGATCAGCTCTGACATACCTGTACACCTCCGTAGACAGCTACAATGTCTTCTCCGTCAAAAACGTATACATCACCTGCAAAGATAGCGTCCCGCCAAGGTTGCATGCGGACGTAAGTACGGTATGTGACACTGGGATCGAACTTTTTCAAGCATCGCATTGAGTCCCAGCCGTGGTTCACATAAACCGTGTTCTTCGAATCTGTTGCATCGCTTGCATTCATAATGAAGCCAGAGAGGTGGCCAATACTGTCGATCCAGAAGGGGTTGCGGTGGAAGTTACCAGGAGGGGCCTGGAACTTGACCAAAGCAGTGGCTTCGTGTTGTTCGCTGTCGAGGATGACTTCCTGAATGGACTTGTAGTTCTCATCATAGTCGACCAGGGAGCTGAACAACTTATAGACCATTCCTCGCTTCATTCGATGAGCCTGTCCACTTTCCGTGCTCTGCTTGAGGTGCTCAATGCTTCGCTTTATGAGATATGCACTGCGCTTCCAATCATTGGCGGCGGCGCTTGTGTCAAAGAACTTTATGGTGCAGCTGGCGTGATCAAGAATCTTCTTGCCCTCGGAAGTCACAGACCAAACCTGCATCTTGGCGCTCTCATCAGCCCATTCCGCAGTAGCAGAAACTCGGAAGAGTTGCTTGCCACCCTTAGCAATCAACGGCTTGGGAACAGCGACATGACAGACGTCAAAGCCACGTTCTTTCCACTCGGGCTTGTACTTGTCAACGAGGAATTCTGCCAATGTTTGCGCGATGTCCGCGTAAAGAGACTGATATGTGTGTTAGTTTGAATTAATCCAAGCACTCGATGGTTAGAGCTGAACATACCGATGGGCAAAGTGCTGCCCCATTAACCTTGTGTCCTTGAATAACACGATTCAACTCAGGATCGGCTATGTCATTCTCAACAACAACGGTCGCAGACTTAGCGTCCGAGGTGGTTTCCAAAATCCTTTGAGCGGACGTGGACAGGAAGGTTGTGATAGGTGCAGCATCGGCCTTGGCTTCAACGGGCGCGCCCTTTGTGAGACAAAAGTTGTTTCTGTATGGAATCCAATAGTTCTTGAGATCCCACTTATAAGAAGGCAGTGCGAGGACTTCGTGCGTCATGTTGAAGTCCTGATGATATTCTTTCCATTGCAAGTCAACTCCTGCTGTGTACAGTACTGACAAGCTGTTCGAGAAGACCTTCCAAGTGTCTTCTTGGCGGCGAAGAGAGGGAGTCGTGGTCGCCTGCGGTCCGAATGTTGACTTGACCATACCGGAGCAGACCGGATGAGAGCCGATTTCGACCCAAACAGTTTTGTCATTCATCAACTTTGCGTGTCGAGTTGCTTCCAACCCGCCAAGGAAGTTGACGGCCTCCCGACAATGGCGCGTCAGATAGTTTGGGCCGAGAATGTCAATGTTAGACTCATCAATCACACTTCCAAGCAAAGCCGATACATATGAAATCTTAGGCTTGTGGAACGTCACGCCCTTGGCGATTTCGTTGAGACTCTCAAGGATGGGCTCAACTTGAGCGGAATGGAAAGCGAAGGGAACTTTCAGCTTGGTAGCCTTGAAGCCTTCGTTTGTGAGCTTTTCCGCGAGTTGCTCAATCTTGCCAACGGCACCGCTAATAACCGTTTCACTAGGCGCGTTGATGCACGCAATCTCAGCGGATCCGTCATCAATAAACTGTTTGACTTGTACGACCGATGACTTGACAGCCAGCATGGCATGAGTACCAACTTCACATTTCTCTGTCAAAAGCTGGGCGCGGCGACCAGCAAGGAAAATAGTGTCACTGTTGGTGAGGATCCCGGCAGCGTTAAGCGCGGCATACTCGCCCAAGCTATGGCCCAGGACGAATGAAGGCTTGATTCCAAGAGAAATCCAGAGCTTGGTGAGAGCCATTTGCAGACATGTGGTGCCAAGTTGTGTCACCACAGGACTAAGCTCCTCGATCGGAACACTGCCATCGACAAGCGGCATAACAGAAGGGAAGCCATGGCTCAAAGCAATACGATCCAAGTGCTCGATATTGTCACGGAACTGCTTGTTATGGAGGAACAATTCCTTGCCCATTCCAGCGTACTGCGCGCCTTGTCCAGTGAAAACAAATCCAATTCCAGGTGCCACTGACGGAATAGTTGTTGTGTCCCGATTCGAACTTGCGTTCAGCGAGTCTCGAATTTCTTCCAAGGTTGCCCCAGTCACGGCGACGCGGAAGTTGTGGTGGATGCGTCGCGCAGTTGTGGTGTAAGCCAAGTTGCCAAGAAGATCAGCTTCGTTCACGGTGAACAAGTTCTTATTCTTGTCAATATACTGGACAAGTGCGCTGACGTTGGCCTTCAAAGCTGAATGAGAGCGCGCAGAGACAGCAATGGTGTGGAAAGTTCGTGGGTCAGTGCCAACACGTTCGTGCAGAGGACCATCCTCCATGAGAATGGCAGTATTACCTCCAGCAGCGGAGAAATTGTTGACAAATGTTTTGCGCTTGCCGCCTTCAGGACGATTCCAGGGAGTTGGCTTGAGGGCAATGTGGACGTTCCGCTGGTCGAGATCAGTGGGGAAATTGTGGTTGATCTTCGTTTTGATACCGCAATGAGGAGGAATTGTGTTTTTCTGCATCATCATCAACACCTTCAACAATGCGCAGACTCCAGATGCAGACTCTCCGTGACCAATGTTTGATTTAGCTGAGCCAAGATGAAGGGACTGGCTAGGTCCTCGTCGGTAGTCGGGGGCGAAGACATCCAGAACGGATGTCATCTCGACGGCGTCGCCAGCCTGCGTACCTGTACCGTGCATTTCGATGTAGCTGACCTCTTTCGGGTCGTAGTTATTTTCATTGAGAAGCTTATCGAAGATGAATGCCTGGGCCCCAGCGTGAGGTCGAGTAATGGAGACAGCCTCTGCAGAGTGATTGGTGTAGGCGCCGGCAATGACACCATAAATGGGGTCGTTGTCGGCTTGTGCATCTTCCAAACGCTTCAGAACAACAGACCCGATACCATCGGCTCGGCAATAGCCGTCTGCTCCATCATCGAAGGTGGTACAGTTGCCAGTGCGCGAGAGGAAATGACCCCGGTCGAGACCAGCATGGTTATCAGGATTCGTGAGGATGTTCACACCACCGGCTACCGCAGAGTCGCATTCATTCCGCCAAAGCGAGTTGCAAGCCACATGAATAGCAGCGAGACTTGAAGAGCAGGCGGTATCCACGCTAACGCTAGGACCACTGAACTTGAAGTAGTAGTTGATGCGGCCAGGTGTAAACGCTCGATTTCCCCCGGGAATAAAATAGGTGTCAATATCTTGTCCGCTGTTGATTTCACGATAATCGTCACTGGTCATTCCGTAGAAGACGCCGACTCTGTTCTTCTGGGTAGATGGTGTGCTGTCAGGGATGAAACCAGCCATCTCGAAAGCCTCATAAGCCGTCAGCAGCGCGAGTCGCTGAGCAGGATCGGCTTGAAGAGCCTCGCGGGGTGACATGTTGAAGAATCGAGGATCAAACAGGCCAGGCTCTCTGATCCAGCAACCATATTGGACTTTGCTAGTGTTCCGTGTGTTACCTTCCATGTCGACATGAGCCTTGACATCCCAACGATCAGCCGGTACTTCACGATGAACATCAAGTCCCTTATACAGGAGCTCCCAGAACGCTTCAGTATCCTGGGCCTCTGGGAAGCGTCCCGACAAGCCGATGATGGCAATCTTTGACTGGTCGGAGCGGCCGCTGCTGTTGACATTCTCAGGCTCTTTCTTCACGTCGCCGATGTTGCCAACGATCTCGATATTCGTAATCCCAGCCTTCTTGAGTGAGTTGTGAAGGCTTTGCGTGGCGGTGCTGCAGACCGGGTATAAGGTGCAATTGGAAGTAGTTTGCTTGAGAACCGATGTGCAGGATTCGATGACTTTGTCCCAGCAAAGCTGTCGAACAATGATCTCCCGGAGCACAGCTTTCAATAGATCCTCGAGTGTCTCTGCGGCGAGAACTGCGCCAGTCTCACATGACAAGAGGGGAATTTGTGGGACGTACTTCGAGAACTTCTCTGTGGGCCACGACTCCATGATGCGCTCTACATCTCTGTCGTCATAAAGATGCGAGGCATGGTACGGGCCGTGGATTGGAGCTCTCGTTGGTTTTGAATCCTTGGGCAGATGTGAGTCTATGAATTCTGCGAGCAAGCTCGGCGCTGCACTGATAGTCAGGCTGTTTGGGCTGACCGCACTGATCCATGGCTTAGAAACATTCGGCAGTCCCTGAATCCTATATTAGCCGTTGTTTCGACGGGAATTTTCACGAAACAGCTCTCACCTTCTTCAAGCTGAACTGCGCAATCAAGCTGTCTCCATCTTCCGGGCGAATGCCTGAAGTAAGTACAGACCAGCTTTGAGATGCGCGGTTCTCTTCCACCAGTTCACGGACTTTGATAACACACGCTCCCAGTCTTAGAGCCACAACTGCCGTTTCAACAGCAACTGGGATGAGCTCTCCCACAGTCTTGGAAGAGCTCACTGCGGCCGAAGCCAGCTGGCCTGTACAAATACCGAGGATCAGGGTCTCGGATCTAGAGGGATACTCATGGCCCAGATCACCATGATAGCTATGTGCATTGTCAGCAACGATCACAGGTTTTCATCCTGGGGAACGATGATTTCTTGAAGCCGAACATACTGAATGAAGCATCCAAGCTGATAGATCGTGGTCAGTGCTCCCTCCAAAGCTGGGTTTGGACCAAATTCCCGGTAACGCGCCAACAAGTCGACGATGCTAGTAAATCGCGGGAAAATCTGTCGCTGCGAAGGCGACAAGGCACTGATCTCTTTGCGCAACGCATGATAACATTTATGGAAGAAGGATATCACAAGTGAGTCGTTCTTGGCTTGTAAAAGACGGCGAAGGCCCGAGTCGAAGTCGGCAGTCTGATCCCCGAAGAGATACACACGACTGGGGCTCTCCATCTTCAGGTAGTACCTAACACTAGCCAAAGAGGGAAGTCCGTTTCTAATCAGAGAGTTGAGAAAGTTAATGTCCAGATGAGGTTGACTGTGTGGGACATGTTCTTTATACAAGCAACGAGCGACGGGAGAGCGCTCTTTGGGTGGGGCAGTCTCATGCCAAAGGACATCATCGATTGATCGAGAACCTTGGCAGTAAGAGGGAACGCCTTCGATCGTTCGAAATATCCCTGTTTTGCATTGAAGTCCGGGGCACGGTATGGGAAGGTTGACCTGACCCATCATTCCATGGGTTCGCAACCAGGTGCATGACTGCCTTGATGCTTTTGGTGCGCGACGAACAATCGGGGTCGCCAACGGTCGGCCAATGATACGTTTACGGTGATTGTCGATCAGGCAAACCCTGCAAGGTCGTTTTTTGCGCCCGTGGGGATGAGACACAGTAAGGCAAGGACTCATCTACAATCGGCATAATCCCTGGATTGGGGGCTAGACTCTACTCAGCGCCCGCAAAAGAGAGCAGAAGAAGGGCAGACCGCCCGAATTACTGCACCGTGCGACAGCTGTTTGCGGACTAGCGACGATTCAGATCGTGGAATTCTGGGCCAAAAAGGTAACATCTTGACGATCTCCGCGACCCGGATGGAGAGGTGCTCAAAATAGTTGCACTGACAGAACGGGTGTCAGTCGCCGCATTCGGCAGCGTTACACGCGCGATGCCCACGAGAACGGGTCATGTGACCCGTTTGCCCTAGAAACGCCCTTTGGACCTGGCTCGTACCTGCGATGCTGTCAACCTATATCACCCTGTGTCATCCTCCCGTACGGCGCAAAGGGAATATCTGACTTTTCTTCGACACAGACGTGTCATGATCCCTATTTGGTGCCTGTCCGTACCATGACGATCGAAGACAGGTTGGAAATTGTCAACACGTCCTTGAGGCAGGGACAGGGAGGGGGTGAAAGGATCAACAGGGATTTGGAAACCAGGAACCCGTAGAATACGAGTGCGCAGTGTACCATCAAAGCACGCTGCCAGATGCTCGTACAGTGCCTGTGTCTCTGATATCGATGTAACAGCGCAGGTGATGAAGTCAAAATGAGCAATAGAGAGGTTGAATCCAGTCTAGGCACTGTACTGGAGCCCACATCTCCAGACTCCACCTGATGTGAACAGACCGTCCTTGTACGTCATGAGTCCATGAGGTCTTTAGAGCTCAGGTCAACGGAAGGCCGGCGCTATAATGCATGTGAACCCAGTAGCGTGTACACCGCGTGCTGTCTTGTCGATCACCTTCTAGAAATACTGCAGGAAGGCTGGGAAAAAAAAAGTCGGGGTCCGAGGCCGTCGGACCAAGGCATCTCCACTTTCCTGAACTTGCAATCTTGCATACCACAGCTGCATTGAGCTAGTCCTGCAAGTTGACCTCGAGTACACCGCAACTAGTCTGGTCTAGGATGCATTTCTGAGTCTGAAAATCTGCATCGGAGATCCTATTGCTTTCCAGAAAAATTTCATGCACTGCAGGCCTAAGCCCGACTGAATCATGGCAGATAAACTTTGTTCGAGCGGACCCAGCCAACGTTAAGGGTAATTAAGTGCGATCCTGGCGATCGGCGGCTGCGGACCGCAAGCCACCAGATTGCGGAAACCTTGGATCCCAAGCCTATGGCTATGTAGATGAGAACTCCGACGCTGCCGGGGACAGGTGATTGCATTGAGGAAGGTACATGCTTTCCACATTCAGTGGGCAAGTGCTGCGAGTTTTTACATGCAATGAACAGACAATCAAGAACGAGCAAAGATCTGGTAAACTTGGATCTGGTCACAACGTAAATAGTACAGTCCCTATGTATGTTACTGGAAAATGATCGGAAGAAGCCCAAGCAATGCACGTTGTAAATACCCCTCTGTGAGATGGTGCCAGTGAGTGGTTCCATTCATCCGAGAAAGTCAGAGTCGGGTTTTCGGCACGAGGTATTTCATGTTAGGCGGCCAGAAAGTAAAGGTACTCGTCTGAGAATACCGAGATTATAGGCCCCTGTTATGCATGCATCACCGTACTCCAAAGTAAGGCAGTGAAAGCGAACAATTTGAGGACGTTACAATTGATCCTGACCGACTCGGAGGGTGATTCAACCGATTGGTGGAATGCTCAGTGTCGACGCAAGCTCTGATCCTCACCCGCGGGAACCTGAGGCCATTCATCAATGCCATCAAGCAAGGCGACGGCCATGCCGTTGGCCAAGTGGGTCTCAATGTGACAGTGGAAAAGGAACGGACCAGGGTTCACCACTTGATAACGCAACATCATCCAGATAGGACCACCTGCGGGGCTGATAGTGACAAAAGTGTCTCGTCGTTGAGGATTCTCGAGGTGGAACAGCTCGGGATGCTCGCTCATGGCTTCCTCGGTGCTCGACCAATTGAAGATTCCAGGTCCAACTCCAAGAATATAAGCTTTGTTCGAGTGCTTGTGCATGACATGTGGGGCTTGGGTGCTCGAAGTATGCGGCATTTCTCCCAATTGCAGCAGAAGGTCGACCCATGTCCCATTCTTGGTTTGAATGGTAACTTGGTCAGCGAGATTCTTTTTTGCGTCAATGTTGTACAGAATCGGATCATTCCAATTCGCCATCACGTCATAGAGTGCGTCGCCGGCAGCGGTCCAGGTGTAAGAAGATCCATATCGACCTAACGTCAGATTGACAAGCTGGTCCGCCGTCTGAGGGATGGTGACCGCTGGATAAGGGTGGATGAATTTGGGTTCCAACTTGCTGACAGAAGCCGTGGTATTTCGTCCACCATAATCAACGAACGGTTGCGAAGGTTCCGAGTCGGAACCGGGAGATCCCTTGTAACGCAGAGTGGCGAAGCCCGAAATCAGCTGATCGTCCTGGGTGTCGGGCACACGAATAGTGTAGTCCTTGACAGGTTTGTCGAGCTTCACCATGACACCGTAGCGCTCACCATTGAACAAGGGCACAGTGTCGGCGGTGAGTGGTTCCATGTAGCCGCCATCAACCTCGTAGATCCACAATTGATGCTCATCGATTGAGAACATCAGTGCTTTCATAGTAGCAGCACTAATGAACTTAAGAGACACCCACTTGTCTTGCGGGTCAACTTCGATAATCTCGTGCTCGCCGGTTGTGGGAACACAGCCTGAATGAAGACCCGCCGGAAGGCGATCTGGATAGGTAGGTGGGAAATCGCCTTGTGTCTCGTAATTGAAGGGAAGGCATCTGTTAAAAAGACTGTTAGCTGGGAGAGAAGGGCAGCGTCGGAGAGTAATGCCTGAATTTCACGAATCTTTCACATACCCTTTATCAGTCAGAGATTGATTGCCAGCTAGATTCTGCAAATATGGAAGTTCAACAGATGAAATTCGGTCGGCACCAGGACAATAAACGGCGCCTCTTCCATTTACAAGAATACTGTCCATGCAGCTGTTGTAGTGTCAGCCCTTGTTGACTTCAGCGGCGGTCGGGATAAGAGCAACATACGCGATGTTTAGTCGACTGTCGACCTGGGCTTGTTGGTACTGGGCCGCTGTCAACTGGTCCCAGTCCGAAAGGATGACCAAGTGTGGGTTTTCCTCTGCCTTTCGCATTGCTTCAATGTCCTCAGTGTTGTTCGAGATGAGGTGAAACGGATCAGGAATGTCCGCAGCAGGACTAATTCGATCAGCAAAGAATTGACGATTGCACAAACGAGTGCCTACCTTATCCAGATGGGCCCGTAAAGACCATCCATCATCTCCGATTTGATGTGTGCATGATACCAATACGTGCCATACTGAGTGGCTTTCCAACGGTAGGTCCAGCTGCGACCAGGTTGAATTGGCTTTTGTGTCAAGCCGGGAACACCGTCGGCCCAAGGTGTACCCAGTTGTTCAATGCCATGGAAATGCACAGAGGTCTGGAATGGCAAATGATTGTGCACGATAACCTGTGATGGCGTTAGACTTTCGGCTTAGCAATGGGAGGCACGGTTCACAGCGTACTTCGACATCATCGCCTTGGGCTAGACGAAGTTCAGGTCCGGGGAATTGGTCGTTCATGAAAATCATGTCCCTGATGTTGCCGTTTGGGGACCCCTTTTGCCAGGTGAGATCCAACTCAAACTGCACATGCTTGGCCCATGCGAAGGGTAGGAAGCTCGAGGCCACAAAGGGCAACAGAGTGCTCAACGGAGCCATGGCTTCGAGGGGATTTTTTTTCTGGCGGCCTACTCTGCACTTACTTTCCTGTCCTGTTGAACTGAAAGCTTAGACAGAAGCTAGACAGGTCGGCACTGTGCTCATTTACATTGGCCCCTGCGAGAGGAAAGCCGGAGCCGTCTTTAAGGGATCGGTATCTTCTAATAGCTTGCTATTACACCTATTCTGCAGCACGGGCAGACCTTTTGGCCGTCAGGGGTCCGAAAGCATCTTGGCATTTTTGGTGAAGGTGGAGAAGACCACTCGCTCCGGTGGGTGTACCTGAGTACTAAGGCACTTGGGGATTTTCATAGGCTTGCCGTCCCAAAGAATGCTAAGTGAGGGGGGGGTTGGAAGAGGATCGCCACATCGGCAGAGCGGCAGGGGCAAATTTCCATATCTGACAGAGGAGAGGAGCCCTCAGACCGGCAAGGATCGCCTGGACGGTGCTACACAGTATCGACGCGAGAGGGCGGGAATTCGCCCCTGCTGGAACAGTTCACGCAAGGGGGAATGACTTTACCTGCGTGATGTGGGCAGAGTAATGAGAGCTTCTGATGGGTCGCCCTGAATGCTTGGTCAAGTAACCAAGCAATAATGTATGGGCTACGGAGTTCGATAAGGGACACGAATGCGACATGCAGTAAGTAATTTGCAGTGTTCGCATCTGCAACGTCTTGCTGTCGTCGATTGAGATCCTGCAATACAGGAACGAAACCCGCCGCCGTTTGCCCAGGCTGAGCTATGATTAGTGTCAGACGTGATGCGCCTGGATCTCTGGCCTGCTGATGCATGGTGTGAAAGAGCGGCGGTGGCGGACAGATTACATACATCATACATCCATCTCCACAGATTTTTGTCATTCGAGTTTCCTTGGCGTAACCTAGGTGGAGGACGTTATTGTACCGAGCACCGACTTGAGAGCTCGGGTTATCTGCGAAGGGCTCAGACTATTCTCGATCCCCTAGAGACAGGCAGAAAGAGATGGAGATGGATGTGTGAGACGAAATGTCTCGTTTCGGGAAACCCGCCGCTGTTCGCTGAAAACTCATACTTTGTGAACATTTTCATAAGGGTCGTAAGCTGCTTTAAGCCAATACACAAGGCTTGAAGGCACAAGGTCAGACGGTCCTTGAAGACCCGACTCTCTAGTTCAGAGTCCTCAGTCCAGACTGCCCGCGCATGGCCGTCAGGAAGCGTCCACCACAGTACCAGTCCCTAGTCACTGGGATTAAGCCACAAAAAGACGGACACAGCAGGCTCTCCCGTCAGTCTTTGAGAAATCGATCATATTGAGAAGATCGAAGCAATCGACGGGTTCTCGGTTTCAAGCCCAAACACTGGATGATGACGTCAACAAATGCGTCGCGGCGTAGCTTATCGTCCTTCCTCGAATGGTCCCTCCTTACTCTCAGTACCTACTTACCACATGATCGCGCAGCATCACTCGGCTACACCTTTCCGTCAGTATTGGCTGTATTTGGGCAGCATGTGGAGCGAAGCGGGAAGTTGCCATGGCCGTGATATCAAAGCTGTTGAGAAGACGCAGTGGGTACGCCGTAGTTCATTCCATGGGTCGATCGCGTCTCGGAAGACGCCAAGCCCACCGAGCTTCCGCGGCCATCGTAGCTTTGGTCTGGTGTGACAGACACATGCAATTCTGTGGACCATCTATCAATGGGAGTAAATCATTTACGGGAGCGAAAGGATCGGCTCTCGCTGAGATTATACATATATCCAGAAATCTCCGATGATCGATGTTATCGTGAACTAGATGTGGGAGCTTGCGGTGCGGTGCCCCGGAAACGAGGAAGCTGACATAAGTTGTTTAAACTTATCGATAAGAAGGGTCTCCACCACTCGTCCGCATTCGGGCACCACGTAAACAACTCGACTCGGGCCTCACCGTCTGAACCACCAACCAAGCTTCTTCTCGTTCCTCTTGCAACCCGACCTACTGCCGTTGCTTGTAATCGACTACAAGCCCTGTAATCTGGTGGAGGTGGTAAAAGTTTCAGTGGCACTGAATACCACCATGTACAAGGATTGAGTAGATCCCTTCCAGTTTACGACCGTGCGTGCCTTGCCACAGCACTCAGCTGCTTCCGAACGTTGTACCGCGACAAATACGACAGGAACACCACGTCTTCGCCGTCAGGAGCTGCTGTGGCGTATTGACGGCTTTTTCTCCGCCATCCTCACAATCGCGCATGGAATGAATTTTCAATCAGCCCCGGCCAGTGTCTACGATCAAACAATCGACGAGGGGGAGGGTCTAAGCTATGGCTCCGAATGCGCCTCAGCTTCCCACACGGTTCCCGTGCTGGTGCCGAGCAATCTACTCATGGGGAGGGGAAACAACAAGAGACCTCGGGTTTGTGGAGGGTGACTTGATCGAGTGCTTAAATGCTGGGGACGGACAATGGTGGATGGGGCGCTTGCGCCGGGATAGGCGTGCGGTCGGATTGTTCCCCTCCAACTTCGTGGAGCTGATGAGCGAAGATTTTGTTCCAATCAGTCGAGATACAAGTCAAATGACCTTGTCAGGCTCCTCGCCCATCAACAATCCTACTTCGGCTCCGAAAAAGAACAAAACTGTCTTTCGCAAGCCTTTCCAGGCCCATAAGGAAGGTCTTGCACCCTCGTCCCAATTGGCGCGCGCTGGAACTACGACGCCTGTCAAAAGCTCAATACCTCAGACGCCACCGCGAGCAGGCAAGACTCCGAGACAAGCGAAGCCGCTGCGCACGCATGCCTCGGCAGTGAGGAACCAGTCATCATTATCACGCCCATCCTCGGTGTCATCTCGCCCCTCTTCTCGCGGAGCTTCGATGTCTCCCCGAACATCGACAGAGCCCGAAGCTTCTCCTTCTGCTCTCGTTCCGCGAGCGTACACATCTTCGACACGGCCTCCGTCGCGACAAGCGTCACCTGTTGGCAGGGAAGTCTCGGCAGCACAACCATCACATAGGAGTCCAGCCATGTCTCCCATGCATTATCAATCTTCTAGCATAGCGCAACATCAACCGTCACCCATAGCGCAACACCATCACCGTAACTTATCGCCTATGGATCGTGAAGTATCGCCTTTGCAACTTCAAGATCGAGAAGACTCACCTCCACCACCGCCTCCCCCACCACACCGAGTTGCTCTAGCCCGTCCGGTCTCTTATTCACCTCAATCACTGGAACAGTCTCATCATTATCACGAATCCTACTCGCCACAGCCGCCACAGCCTCCCACGCATCATCAACGACAACAATCAAACAATTCTCCGCAGCCACCATCTCATGGATCGCGAGTATCTCGGTCTCCAACTCCACTGAACATGAATGACCGTTACCTGATGTTTCCACGAAGCCCGTCTCCAGGTGCGCTCTCTGTCCGCTCTGGTCAGTCTGCAGCATCTGACGCGCATGGCCGTACGCCCTCCCCTCTGCGAGACGCCATGGAGGATGTCATGACCTCACTGGAAGATATGGGTCTTTCTCGCGATCAACACTCTCCATCTCCCGAACGCGGGGCTTCACCATCGCACATGGCTCCGTCATTCAACGATCCATGGTCTGGAGACACTACCAACGAAAGCACTCATCGATCACAACCCCGGGCACGCGGGCGACCTCTCACGTCACTCGGCTTCGATGGAAGCAAGGATCACTCACGTGGGATGTTCGCCCAGCGACACAGCGTTTACGCGCATGATAATTACTTGGATGGCCCGCCTCAGCTCAATAACTACGTGCAGCGGATGGAGAGCCGTCTACGACAGCTTGAAGATCAGAACAGGCCATCTGATGGTCAAGATGAAGGTCAAGAGGAGGATCAGCCCCCACCGCCCCCACCAAAGCATGCAACTTACCATCCTCGAAATAATTCCATAGCTGGACAGTACGCTCAAGCTAGGTCAGGCCATGACAATAGAAGTGACCTACTGAATCGCTCTTTCACCAATAAATCGAGCGCTACCAGCTCCAGTGGGGTTCAAAGCATTGGAACCACTTTGACGACGAGCACGGATAAAACACAACAAAGCCTAATGAGCGGCTTTTCTGCTGGAGGATTCAGTGCAACAAGCGCCGGTAGTTACGCCAGGAGGAACGGCACCCACCAGAGACCAAATACCGCCATGGACTCCATTAGATCTCGAGGCTTCAGCGATGCAGGAAACCCCGACCGGCCAGAGACACCGTTGACTGGAATCTCATACCATTCCAGCCACAATACATCCCGCCAAGGTGCTTCTTCTGCGATACCATGGAGCTCCACAGACAACGATGTGGGAGACTCTGGCGGAGTGTTTGGTGGTCTCTCGACTCCAAAGACGAAAAAGCAGGGCTTCTTCAAGAAGATCTTCGAGTCTGCCAAAACCGGAGCTGCCAGCGCTAGGAGTAGCATTTCTGTTGGGCATGGTGGCGGCTCCTTGTCCCCTTCCAAAGGCAATCGACTCGCCGATGTGGTTTCACCACTTCTACAGACTCACAATTCACATGAGGCCGGACGAGAACTGGGCGCCAGTACTAGCTCCATCGATTGGGTGCAAGTTCGCCGCGACGTCAACCGAGCTTCCTCTCCTAGTCGGAACGAGAGAATCGAGCGAGCGGAGCGATGTCAGATGATGGATCACCCAGTCATCTACGCTATCGAGGAACTGTATGATACGGCAGAGGGAGACGAAAGCATTGACGGACTACCGATTAGCGAGCCTACCAATTTCAATGCTGGGAACCTGACTCTTGTCGACAAGAGTGCGCGGTTTATTAATAGTATTCCGCCCCTGACCAATCCGGTTAGTCTTGCTCAAGGCTATATCTGTCGACCCTACAAGAGTGACGTACAGCGTTTGCGGGCCATCTTCACCTGGGTTAGTGAGAAGATCGCCTGGGAGGAACCGCTGGACGGCATTGAAGTGGATATGAAACGAGTACTGCATGCCAAGCGCGGCAGCCCCCAGGAGATTGCTTACCTCGTTCACGAGATGTGCGCGGCGGTCGGCCTCCACGCCGAAACGATTCGCGGCTTCCTCAAAAGTCCCGGTGAGCCTCTGGATCTCGAGAGCCTTTCTCGTCCGAACCACTGGTGGAATGCAGTCTTGGTGGATGGCGAATGGCGTGTCATGGACTGCGCTCTTGCGAACCCCACGAACCCACAACGAAGCAACTTCGTTACCCTCAACATGTCAACTGCTGAGACGTGGTATTTCCTCGCTCGACCCCTCGACATATGCTTTTCGCATATTCCGCTTTACCCCGAAGAGCAACACATTTGCCCTCCGGTCTCTCCGGATGTCTTGCTGGCTCTCCCCGGTGTCTGTCCACAATTCTTCAAGCTGGGCATGCAATTCCCAGACTATGACACGAGCTTGACACGGATTGAGAGTCTTGAATGCGTTCAAATTCGCTTGTTGGTTCCTGCAGATATTGAATGCGCTGCTGAAGTGGAAGCTCCTGCGTTCGCACGCGATGCCGACGGAGATTTCTTTGAGAGTGGCGATATAGTGCGCAAGCGCGCTTTGGTCCAGCCCGATTGGGTTCATGGGCAAAAGCGAATCACCATCAAAGCAGTTCTACCAGGGGACGAAGGGCAGGGAGTATTGAAGGTCTACGCCGGCAAAAAGGGCCTCATGCATTCAAGCCGCGACATTCCACATCCGATGGCTCTCGCACTGCCTCTAGTTCACAAAGGAGAAAATCCTCCCTATGATTTCGTCCAGCGTCATCCTACGCCCCACGCTCAACGCCACGATTTATACATCATGCAACCCCAATGCTCGCGCTTGGCAATCAACAATACCTTCGTCTTTGCCGTGCGCCAGCATCCATCATCAGCCCAGCCGGCACCCAAGGATGACATTCAGGGTAGCGGGAGGGCGTCTCCATCCATGTTCATGCGTCCGTCCAGCGCCTTGAGCATGGTTTCCAGCATTGCCGGCGCATCGACCATTTCCAGCAATTCCAATGAGTTTTCGGCCTCTACGTCGGCCATTTCTTCCACCCGCTCTGCGTCAGGTCGGGACAAGCCAGCCAAGTTGGCGATTCAAGCGCCATCGGGCAAAATCCTTCGTCTTACCCGCAAGGCTGACCACATGATCAGTGCCTCAGAGACGAATGGGAATTCTTTCACCGATGCTCCCGCCGATGGCAGTATTTGGGAGACTGTCATCAAGATTGGTGAGCGCGGCACTTGGCGCGGTTTGGTCCTTGCAGATCGAGTTGCACGATGGTGTGTGTTTTGTGAGTGGGAGTGTGTCTGAGAGCAGCGATAGGAACATCATCTTAGGAGGTTCCTTAGCCGCTGGCATTTATCAACTTCTGGCCGCCGTGGAGCGTGTCTACAAGGCATATTCTCCATCATACCTTTACTTTTCGAGTCTCGAACGGACTCTGCTTTTTCTGTTCCATACACTGGTTTCATTCCTGGCATTTGCATCACGCCGGCTTCTCGCATTGCATATATAGTTTTCTCCTGCATTGGTGTCGGTCTTTCCTATATCATCTTACTCTTTCCTTAGTATTTAGTGCATTATCCTGTGTCGGGGAATGTATGCTCTGGATGTTTAAGTGTCTTTGTGTGTTGAGGTAGTGTTTCGCAATCTTTACAGAATCCTAGATGATTGTCTTCTTTTCAATTCAGCATAATACCTCGTCATGGTGAGTACTCTTCGATCATTTGTTCATCAATGAGTCGTCTACAACCGAGTTAATGCCTCACGCAGCAGGGGCGCGACACGTTTCCTGCTGGCGGTGGCATTCTTTTGCAACCACAGCTGTCTCCAACCGCCAGAGGTGCCATTCAGCACTTTCCGGATCTCGTCATCAGCCACATCTACCGACTCCCCATCAAGAGAAGTCCACTCGGTCAGACCGAGAGAGGTAGATTCCTCGGCAAAATTCTGCGCACCATCAATAGGAAGGCCCTTCTCCTGCGACGCACTGACGAACAACTCCCGAGTATGTTCACCCTTGGACGAGGAGAAAGATGTCATGACAACCACCAGGTCCAGTTCCTTTTCACGGTCTTGCGCGAATTGGCGTACCACCTCCATGAATTGCTGCGGTCCACCCGCCTTCTGAATGATCCATCGCAGCGGCCTCACCGAGCAGCAAAAGCCTAGCTTGATCGTTGTCCCTGAACGATGCGTCTTCTCCACCCATTCCTTGTAATCGCGGTCTAAGATTTCCGCCGGAGTCAACAAGTTCAAACTTTCAGCTTTCGCCTTGTGAATCTTTTCGTAGAAAGCGACCATGTCCCATTCAGCGCCGACCCCACCATTCGCGCGGGAAACCATGTCTCGTAGAAAGTCCACGGATTGAATGTCCACTTCCTTCACTTTGCCCTCTGCAGTCAAATTGGATGTATCGATCAGGATAGGAGCCAGCGTGAGCTTGGCAACCTGTGCCCACTCGGCCTCAGATACTTGGTGCGAGTTACTCCCGCTCCACAGCCCACGTGTCCGCAGCTCACGCGTGACAAGCGACGAGCATGATCCCGGGCCCGGTTCGATGACGCACGGATACTCTGCTGAGTTGATTTCCAATTGTGGCACGAAACCCTCGTCGACATGGTGATCAATGCAACCCACCGTCCCAAAGGTCACGCCATCGAGTCCGCTGATCGAGCCGTACCCTGGTCCACTGTCGAGGCGCTGCGGCATGGCGTTCCAGTCCACCATGACTGTGTCAGCCTGTATTTGCGTCTCGGAGGGTGAGGAGGAGTGCTGGCCCGTCACAGTCTGAGCGAAATCCGCGACCGTGACCAGATGCTCGCTCAAGAATTTGCTCGCGGACTGAGAGGTGTTGTCGAAGGGCTCTTCGGACGGAAGAGGAGGGAAATTGGTTGAGAGCCATAGCGCCGTGACGAACTCCGGTCGCAGTCGGTAGAGTTCAGGGCCGGAGGGCACATTCGCGAGGTTGACCAGGGGGATGTACGATCGTGGAGCGTTCGATGGGAGGCGATTGTGGGCGCAGTAGGAGAAGACAATCGCGGAGATGATCGAGTCCAGGTCTGCGGACGTATTGCCGAGGACATAAACTGGGGGTTCGGATAATGCGCCGGCAAGGAATTGAAGATGAAGCTGACGAGCTTGTCGAAGGAATTGAAGAAGAGTCATTGTCTGGGTTATTTCCACCAGTGCAGGGTGCTGGAACACGAAGTCGAAGGTCTGCAGGTGGTAGCTTAAACACCGACTGGCTTTGCGAATGACCTTACTTTCAAGGTGGAGGCGAAAGCCCGTGTGTGGATGTTGCCGTGAGGGGTGGTGAAACCAGGCTCGAGGTATATATTTAAGCTCGGCGGGGACTAAGAAAACAGCTTGGGTCACCACGTCGCAGGTCACGCGGGGAGACCGGGGACAGACTACCTCGGCAGCTACTATTACGCAGCATATCGATAAGCTATGTGCCTGTTCCTCCGAGGTGGATTGCATCACAGTTTCCCTCTGAATGTTACTCCCATCACGAACACCAACATCGTGACCGCGATAGGCCAAGCCTTCCAGTTATCCTTGTTTGCAAGTGCCGGAGTATGGCGTGATGGCTACTTGAGCATGAGGCTATGGGTTTCCATTGGATCACTGTAATTCCTTTGCTGTCTTTTTTTCTTATTCGTACACATCCACGGGCAATGTTCAAGCCTCCAACGTCAACTTGGTGAGCTCCTCGCAGGCCTGGACCATTTGCTCCTGCAGGTGCTCATCATCGCCTGCCGGCAGAGATTCAGCCAGCTTTCGCTTGGGCTCAAAGTACACACCCGTCACGCTCTGATCATAATCTCCTTCCGCCAGCATCAAGTAGGTGTCAATGCCATCCTGCATGTTGTCGGTGGCACCTGCGCCTCCCATCTTCGTCTGGATCCATCCCGGGTGAACCGCTGTGACCGAGGTACCCTTGAACCGGCGTGCTGCGGCCTTGGCGAGCAACAGGACATGGAACTTGGAGTCGCAGTATGCCTGGAAGACCTGGAAGCCTTTTTCACCACGCTCCAGCCAGAAGGGGTCCTTGAGGTCGGTCTTGGCTTGCTTGTGGAGCGTTGAGCTGATCAGAATGAGACGCTTGGGTCGATTGAGCAGGCAGACCAGAGAGTACAGCGCGATCACGTTAACGAACGCCAGAGCGGGCATGCCAAAGTCAGGAGTCTTGCGATAGTCACCGTGGAACATGCCGGCGTTGAGGATGACTGCATCGAAGGTGCCGATGGCATTAGCCTCTTCAGCCAGCTTCTTCGTCTCGGCCATGGTGGTCAGGTCGGCGATCAGCACACCCGCGGCGCCGGGGCATTTTGCCCGGGCTTCCTCGGCACGCTGTTGGTTTCGGGCATGGAGATAGACGGTGTGGTTTCGTTGGATGAGTTGACGGGCAGCCTCCAGGCCGAGACCATCCGAGGAGCCAGTGATCAGGATGCGAACCATAGTTGACGTCGTGTGAGGATTCTAATTTGGTGTTGCGGGTGAGAAGGCCTGGGCCAGTCGAGTGTGAATCTTTGGAGTGACGGACGGCGGTGGAGACAGAAGATGATGGAATGAGCTGTTGACCACCTCGTTATTTCCCTCTTATATATACTTTAAGAGACTCAACGACAGAGCGGTGGAGATCGAGTCTCACTGTGGGGGACAGAAAGTTAGTCAAGGCCTACTACGGAAAACAACGATTCTGGCTTAGAAATCCTCCTTGAACGGTTCATCTCGGCCGGCTAAACCCCACGGTGATGACATGATGCCGAAGCCGAGAGCGAGCGAGCGGGTCCGCTCATTTGGAGGAGGGGAGATGGATCTACACAGTCAAGTGCACTGTGAGAATGTGCCATTTTCTGCCAGGAAAAAGGGCGCTTGAACAAAGATCACCAAGATGACTTCGATCTCACGACGAGAAATCTGCAGTAGTGAAGCACAGTCAATGTTGTGTTGGAGCAGATTGCAGTGGGCGAGTCTCGTATGAGTTCATCGAATAACTAACTTCGCGGCTCCGACTGCCATGCAATTACTAAGCTTAGTCAACTCGAGTCCGCCTTCCCGTCTGCAGGGCTTGGCGTCGAGCCTCTGAGGGGTTCAAGCATGACGGATCACCGATCGAAGACCAATTCCAAGCTAGCGTGTTCTGGGTGCACGCGCCTAACCTGATCGGGTAAGTTCTTTTGATCTTCCCTCTTGAATTTCCCTCGCGACAATCGGGCGCGTGGAACGCGATTGACGGCTGACAACCCCCTCGACGTGCAAGCGTGCGCCTTGCCAAGTGCCCTCACGTCGAAGTCAGCGCTACTCACCACCCAAATGCGACAAGATTGCGGAAGGGGACATTGATATGAGTTCTCCAGAATTGACGCCCGAATCATCCCCCTCCCCAGGGCCAACCCCGACTTCTCCGGGGCCATCTGCCGTAGTGCGTGCCTACTCCACGATGTTCTCAGTACCCGAGAACATGCAGGACCTCCGGGCCGAGCTCTTCAATATAGGTGGAAATGGGGCGACTTTGACTCTTCCGAGCCATCAGCTCAAAGCGTTATGGCCATTCTTGGACAATATCTATATCTTGCGAACCCAGAAGACGAACCCACGCCAATTGACCACTTCGTACCTGCGATGCCGTCTATGGCCGGCCAAGCCCTATCCGGGCGCAGTGACCGATGAGAACAGGAAGCGAAAACGCGCCGCCCACAAGGAGATCCACGGCTGTCCCTGCAAGGTCAAGTTTGTCGATGATGGTCTGGTTACCTGCGTCTCTCGCACCAGCGTCGATGGACATAATCATGACTTCGAAGCAATTGAGAAAAAGATCCCCAGTGGGGTGCGGGAGCTCGCCGCACAGGAAGTCGCCAAGGGCTACACCCCGAAAGAGGTGATCAGGATCCTGAGGAACCCGGAGAATGGGAATTTGAAAGCCCTGCAGCTCGCGGGCGGCTCACGCATCTCCGCCCAGGATGCTTTCAATGCGAGCAAGTCTAAGGCACGCCCCCATTCGGAGCGATCGACCCCGCTAAGTCCAGCCGCTCGGCAGAACTGGCAGGTCCAGTTCTTCACGACGTCACCGGCCAAAATCTCCGCCGGAGAACAGCTTCCACCACCAGTACCTCCTGCTGCACCATTTCCAGAGCCTCCTCCACCATCGAATGAGCCCACCTTTGCGGTGTTGAAACCAGTCGCGTCGGGTCAATCCACACAAGCTGCGCCGACTCGCGCGCAGACGGTCTCACTCGCTTGGATACCTCCTCAAACATACTGCGGGGAGCCTTACGTTATGAGGCCGGGGCGGAAGCAAATACAGATCCCTCGACCGTTCAGTCAGATCCCTCGATATCCAATTCTCTACTCCCACCCATCGCCAATCCATCTCCTACCAGTCTTATCCCACCGAATAACATCATCCAAGCCATCCCCTCCCGTCGAATCATCAGCACCTCGACCCCCGCGCGTTTCCATCTTCGTCAAGAGAGACGACCAAGCATCCCCATTAGCCTGCACGGGGAACAAATATCGGAAACTAGAGTACCTCGTCCCCGATATCTTCTCCACCGCACCTGCCTATCATTACTATGAGTTCCATCCTGCCACTGAGCCTCTGCCAGGTCCGGCCACCATCCTGGTCACCGAAGGGGCCCTTCAAAGCAATCATACCGTCCAAGTGGCCGCACTCGCCCGCAAATTGGGTCTCAAGGCCCTAGTGCTGTTAAATCGTGACACGGGCGGTGGCTTCAAAACCACTCCTTCGCCCGACACCTTCACCCAAGTTGGTAACCCACAGATCAACAAACTTCTCGGGGTCGACATTCGCATTTCCAATCCCGACGCCCCAAAAGCGACTGATGCGCAGACGGTCCTCGAGGAGCTTCGTCAGAGCGGCCACCGGCCCTATTGGATCCCCGGTGGCGCAAGCCGACATCCACTTGGAGGATTAGGCTACGCGCGAGCTGCTTTCGAGATTGTCAACCAAGAGAATGAGATTAGCCTTGGCGGATCGGGGCGGTTCGACTACATTTTCGTCTCCTGTGGGAGTGGCAGCACTGTGGCGGGCCTGATCGCCGGGTTCAAGCTGCTCGAGAAAATGCAATTGAGTTCGGGCCAGCGTCCGACAACGAATACTACCTTCCCCGCACGGAAAATCGTCGGAATTCTGAACTCGCCCACGAATCCACAAGAATGGCATGAGGAACGTGTCTTGAGATTTGCACGACAGGCCGGGCAACTAATCGGTCTTTTCAATCCGAACATAGAAATTACAATGGAAGACGTTCACCTGGACTCCCGATTTGTCGGGGAAGGCTACGGGGTCATCGATGACGAAACTCGTAAAACGATGTCAATCATGGCAGAGACCGAAGCGCTTATTCTCGACCCGGTCTACACGGCCAAGGTCGTGACGGGGATGTTGCAATGGACACAAGGCGAAGTCATGGCAAACTATGCTCGGCAGCATGGTTTGGAAAATGTGAATGTTCTATTCATTCATACTGGAGGGCAAGCAGTCTTGCCCGCGTACTTTGACCAGCATTTGGCGGGACCCATCGAATCTTCATAAACTGAACAAAATGTACAACTAGTTATACATTATTCGCGCGAGAGGAATATATCGCTGTACGAAGTTTCACCGTTGGTGTCAACTTTGAAATGTGCATTTTACCTACCTAGGTTTCTCTGGGATTTGGTCGTTAGATGCACATTGACAGTCAGCTGTCCGTGCAATACGGGCTCACATACTGCTACATATCTATAGCCTCACCCCGTCGACGAGTCTGCAAGTCGACGACGCTCCGAGTCCGGACCCGACACTGCGTATGCACTCCGGAATCTGTGGCTCAGATAGGGTGAGCTCTTAAAACAATAAGCGTTAAAATTTCACATTCACAAATACACGACAGCTGCATTTGAACTAATAATACAAGGTGTTGAGTTGACAAGTAACAGTAAGGGCTTGCTAAGTTGAGCAAATGCCTTGCACAAAACACACAGCTGTTCGAGGCTTCGGGGCGAATCATGAAGGGGACTGAACAAAAGATGTGAACGCACACCAATTACTGAAAGAGAAAATTTCGTTTCACGCGAAGTCGACAGGTTCCGCGCCGTAAACACCCAACGACAAACTCCTGGGACACAACCTCCCATGCCACCACGCTTCTTAATAATGACAAACATTAAATCAGTCCATTCACACGGATGAGAGGAGAAGGAAAATAAGGAATGGAATCTGTGGCCAAAGTAGCAGCACTTAGCTGAACAGGCGCGATACCAAGGAACACATCAACGAAGGGAAAATTCCAAGAGAGGCTGGTACTAAATAGATACCGAAAGATAAAATGGCAACGACAGAGTATTACAGCTCTGGTTCAACAGTCTCAGTTATCGCTGCCACCGCGGCGCCATTGACCTCTGATTTCTTTGTGGCAGACACATCCTCACCAGGCGATGGAGCGCGACTGCCGCCATTACTGGCATTAAGAGCTTCCAAAGCTTCATTGGCGTGAAGGTTCTCCATATCTTCAGTCTCGGGCTCGACCTCTTCTTGATTGGTGAGATCTGCGAACACATCATCCAGATTCTGTCGTGGACTGCTGCTTGCAAATTGCGCTTCACGTCCAAACCGCGGGGGGCTGAAAAGAGGCTCCATCCCTTGCTCTGTTGAGGGTGACTGAGAAAGGAAAGAAGGGGATTGTGACGCCGCAGCACCAGGGAGAAATGCTGAAGTAGTTGTCGGCGCAAAGGCAGGAGTCGAATCACTCAACGCCAGTGAAAAATTGGCAGAAAAGGGATACGAAGCTCCATTAGCGTCGGGCATTGGTGTCAATGTCGGCCCCGTTGTGGTAGGCATACCATTACTGGAGGGCGATGTAGCTGGCTGAAGAGATGTTGGCCGCGGTGTTTGCGAATCAATCGACTTGGGCCTTTGGCTCGTCGTGTGCTTAGTCCGCAAATGTTCAGGGAGATCTTCCGGTCGATCCACGCCAAGCTGGGCCATGATTTTCTGCTGCTTGGTGGGACGCGGTTTGCGCGTCGACAATGACTGCTCGAGTATAGGGGGGGCTTCCGGTGCAACAGGGGCCCATTTATGGATCTCTTGACGGAAAAAGTTGGTTTCATAAGCGAGTAGCACTTCAGCACCCTCAACCTTCCGCAAGTAGAAGATCAAAGTGGGCACCTCTTCCGTTGTCGTGCAGGCAGCGTTAGTAAAGCTGTGTAGAAAATCGCGGAAAGCAGTGGCCTGGTTGATGATGCGGTCCAAAACTTCCTCCTCATCTGGCTGAAATGGCAAACAAGCCATCTCGGCTTGCCAGTCCAGTAGATCCTCCAACTTCGGACGAGCTGCGTCTCGGGGGATCTTTTGTCGCCAGTCGCAGATTGGACAAGTGTATTTGTCAACCTCTTTGACTTTGCCGCGCGCGATCTTGAGACATTTCCCGTGATACCATTCATGACAAACTTCGCACTCGATCATCATTCCAGCTTCAGAATGACGGCAGATACAGAAGACATCACGCTTCCGAGACTTCGGGCCCCACACGCTAGGAGCTGGGTTTTCCAAAAGCCCGTCAGGAGTGTTGTCGCGAGAGGATGGTTCCACTGGTGGTCGGTAACTGTCCTCCAAATCAAAACAGTAAGAGTTTCTCTTCTCGACATATTCCATGTGAGACTTCAAAATATGAAGGGGCGCATTGGCTTTGCCAAACAGTTTCTTGCCCTTCCGCATCCAGTCCTCATGACGTTTCTGTTCCCGCTCAAGATCAATTGCACCGATCGGTCGGCTATTTAGCTGCTCGAGAGACTCTGTGAGCTCACGAACTTCCTTGTACTTCGGACGATTCTTGAAATCAGGATCTTGACTTTTCTCATAGAGCGTCTGAATTCGCTTTTGTGCTTCTCTCTGCTTTATGAGAATTGCATCAACGGCCGCGAGGGTCTCTCGGGAGACCGGGAAGCGGGAGGCTTGCGCGGACAGCGCTTCTAATTGTTGATAATGCACCGCTTCGACAGCCATCAACTCCTTGGCTTTAGCCTCCCAAGCCTCACCAAGACGACACATTTCCTTGAAGTGCAGCAATTGCTCGTTGTTGTCCTTGAGCCCCAGCTGCTCCCCAGAAGCGACTAAGTCTCGGCAATCTTGTAGGCTCATATAGAGCTGTCGCTTTCGAGTGGCGTCTTCGGACCATCTCATCTGCTGATGTATTCTCTCTAGACGTTCCACTTCCGGAATTTCGATATTGAAAGCTCGGCCGGCTTCGACAAGCTCCTCAATTTCCTGCGCTGACCGTGCGTGCGGATTGACGAGGGCCACATTAAGGTCTTGGCGGAATTTTTCGATTTCGCGGGTCTTCTCTTCCAGGGCCGCCATCTGTGGACAGTCGAAGGAAAGTTTATCAGCCTCTGCAAGAAGCGCATAGATGTTTTCAACTTTGCGAACTTCTCGTTCTCGATCGTCCAGCTGCGCGGCCTTGGATCCAGGTCTGCGCCAGGCTTTCTCGTTCTTTCTCCGATTCTGCTGCTTGCGGGTGATGTAGTTGTTTGCTTCTTCAACCCATCTATCGCAGCGCTGGACGAACGCCGCAAGATCTTGGAGGCCAGGCAGGTGGTACGGGATTTTCTCACCTTCACTGAGCAAAGCATGGAGGGCTTTTAGTTGAGGCTTGGGCTCATCCTCGAGAGTTTTGTCGAGCTTTTCTTGCCACATTTCTGGAATTTTCGCACGTTCATGGACCTTTTGCGCTGCCGACTTGAGGGATTCATCGCTCATGCGATAGCGAAGAGTGTGCCCCGGTCCAAGCAGCTTCTGTGGTGCGCCCTCACCGCAGCAGTCAAATGCTTCCGCATGGAGTAAGCAAAGTGTCTTCCCTGACTTGTGACAACGGAACTGCGAGAGGTAAGTGTAGGCTTTGCAGTGCTGACATTGGTAGTCGTCCTCCGGGAGATCATCCTCTTCCACTACAAGCTCGAGCTCGCAATCACTCTTCGATGAATCTTTACCGAGGGTGCAATGGTGAGGGGCTGCATCTCTGTGTCGAGACAAAAACGAGGCACGGTCATGAAGTTCTCTGTTGATAGTGCGGTCAAGGGCGGGAGCAAGCCACTTGGCAGTTGTGATTGACGTATCTCGCGCAGCAGCCGTAAACAGTAATTCATCGTGTGAAAAACAAGGGTATCGGCGGAATGTTTGCAGTCGCTCGACACCTGCCGCTCCATAAGGTTCCCAGTCTGCGGGCGCAAAGTTCACAGCCTCATTGAAATTGAAACCGTGGTTGAAGCCCGCATGGTAAGCCTGAGGAAAAGTGAGAACAAATTGACCTGCTCTTTGGTCCACAGCATACACGTTGACACCAGCCTTACGAAGCTTATCGGGAGGCATCAAGGTCACTAGCTGGAAGAGAAGATCTGGCTGCCCCTCAAACAGTTCAGGGATTGCCTCTCGCATCGCACTCTCGAAAGCCTCGGCATCGGCTCCTGGTATACCATACCACGTCTTCGTAGCGCCGAAGTGCTGATAATTTGCAGAATAGGCATAGTGATCCTCATTGTGCCAACAGAAGGTTGAGAAACACATTCCAACATAGACCCACGGCACGGTCATGCCTGATATGTCTGATTTGATATGTCGGAAGAGTGAATCTCCAAAGAAAGGCAACACATTCAGATTCCAAGGATCTGAAGAATACGGATCAAGCGGATTGCGCTCAATGGTGGGAAAGCCGCTGCCATGGGTAGTGGAATGAATATCAGCGCCGTATTCGACCTCGACCGTTTCATGTAGATCGACGACCAGCTTCCAGAATTCAGCCTCGACATCGTCTTCTGTCTCTCGTCGGTGCGTGTTGAGAACAGGGTCAAAGGGCATCTTCGAGGCAAAATATTGCTTTTTGAATTCATTCGCTTTTTCTTGAAATTGCTTGAGCGAGTACACGCCACCGTCTTCGAACCCGAACTCTCCGGTACCGACGAGACATTTCGGACAATGCCAGTCGTGATCCGATGAAGAGGTTGTAGAGGGATCAAGGCAAGTTGTGTGATAACCAAGCTCGCAGCTATCACAAACCAAAATTCCGGATCGGTTATCCGATTTGCCACATGACTCGCATTTCTACTCATTCACTATTAGAGGGCTGTGGATTGCAACTAGAACAGCACAGTTAAGACTTACATCGCCAAGTTTCTGGACACCATTGCGCCCTTTTGGTGGAGCCGGACGAAGAAGGGACATGTGAGACCCAGCAACGGTTGGTGGCATGTCTGTGTACTCGTGAGTCAGATTGCACAACACATGTAAGTTACTCGGGAATGATACCTTTCTTCAAACGCTTGCTACGTCGACCACTGCCTCCATCATCACCATTCTCGGCTTGCGAACTGTTCTCATCATGACTGATAGCTCGCTTGACTGTTTGTCCCGAATGGCCATTAGGCACTGGCGTGAATTGCGATATTTGCTCAGGTATACTCTTCGGTGTGGATGACCCGTTTTCGCCTTCGTGTTTGATAGGCGGCCCCTGGTTCACAGGTGTGAAAGCTGGAGAATGATTAACAGCAGTGAATCCGCCAACTCCTGCATTAACAGGTGTAAATCCAGAAGGCGCCGGGCGGGGTGGAGGAGTAGGTGTCGGCTCCACAGAAGCTGTCTTATCAGACGGTCTCTGGTAGGGAGTTCCTGTCGCTGATGCGGCAGGCATTGTTGGCGTTCCGTAGCCAGTCTTGGAGGGCGTGCCGTTTTGTTCTGGCACGGGCTTTTTCGTCATTGGTGACTGACGCGGCGATGGTGTATAAGGACCACCATTTTCCAACTCAAGCTGATGTTGAACGCCTGGCTTCGCTCGTGCCAGGTACTCTTCGTACGGTTGCAAATACCTCTGGTAAGAATTCTTCAGCGATGTTGACAGGGAGGACATAATCTTGCCACTGTAGCCAAGGTCACGGCCTATTTCTGCCCATTTTTTGGTCTTGCAAACCGACTCAAACCCGCCTCTAACCTCGACAGCCTTTTTTAACTTGTAAAGGTCAAGGGGACGTTTATCCACGCTGGGCAATCGACTGTAATTGGTCCCATGTTGTTTGTGGAACATCGCAAGCCCGTCGATATAATTCATATTGGCGCGATTTCCTGAGGCAGACACCTGGTCAGATTCTCGCTGCGGAGAAATTTCACCGGCAGCAGCCTGGGCTGAATGCGGGTTCATACCTCCTTCGACTGAATTGAGCTCTTGCCGACGGGTCTTGAAATGGAAGCGCTATGAGGGAAGTCTCAAGGTCAGCAAGGACGAATCATAAATTCAGGGGCGACTCGTAGCCGAGTCCGTCATGACTGTTCCAGTCTGCTCCTTTCAATTAAAGGGTTGGAGGCGCGGCTGTAGGCAGATCGTGGAGAGAACGTACCTCCGTGTCAATCGCGAAAGGTGGCTGCCAATTTTCTGGAGGAATGACTCGACAAATTCCATATTTACGGCCTTCGGGTGCGATCTTTTGAATATAGGCCACAGGATCCTTGAATTCCTCCTCTGTTGGTCGAAAGGTAGGAGCCTCGGGCAAGCCATGAGGACGCACGCGTTTCGACGGCTCGCGGGGCGAATTCGTCTGACCACGCCGCTCGACTGTCGAAAGATCCAAGGGGGCAGATCGCCTAGCGCTCAACGGGACATTGTGTGAATGCGAAGGGTGGGTGCTGGCCGACCGGGTGGGTTGTCGGCCCATGGAGGGTTGAGCAGCCATGGAGGTCGGACCAGTGGAGGCCGAAGCCACCATCTCCAGCTCACTTAAAATCGTAGAAAATCAGAGGCAAACTAGTAGGAGCTGAAATTCTTGTGCTTAGTTGACCAAACACCGGAGATGGTATCAAGCGTGGCGCATGAAGCGCATTCGGAGGATGGACGGGGCGGGTGATTAACAGAGCGCCAGGGCGGACGAGCTGCGATATACGCGAGGAGACAGAGGGCTTTATCGACGACTGTAACTATGCAAGGTGACACTTGTTCTGAGTGACTCGACACTTTCTCAGAAAGAATGAAGGGTTGGTAGGATATGGTGAGGAAGGGGAAAAGACAAAATCGACTGTGTGGGTTGAGGAGGGCGCAAAAGGAAAGGAAGGATGGGATTGATAGTGGAAGAATGAGATTATGTGCAGTTGTGCACTGGTGCAGTTCGAGCAGATACCTCACCCAGTATTCTGGTTGGCTTCGACGTGGCCAGGTCCGGGGGACAGTCATAATCATGTAACTTACAAGTATCTCTCGCCCTTACAGACAGGCAAATGTACACTTACAGTACCTTCATGCACGGACCTCTTTGAGCCGGGGATCACTGGCTCATCTAAATCACAACGACATCTCATTTCTGATACCGATACCCAATACAGATCTTACCATATATGTTTTTTTCCAAGGTCACCCTCGTGACTCGAGACTCAACAGTCAACAGACTCATCAGAGTCAACACCATATATGTAACAATGCCCGACGGGCTACACAAATACGTCATACAGTATATATTATAGACTAATGTAGATTTTCGATTGTAAGTTAGTTTGTATGTAGTATGTACCACTATGTAATCTGTAATATGTATGTAGTGTGTGACTGCGTTCAGACTCTGTAGACATGTATCCTATTAATGAGTCTGTACTCTGTACTCTGTAGTCCACGCACGACTTTACAGCTAAAGTATGCTACCAACATCCCTCGTGGATTATCAGGCTCAGAGGCTGTGCTGCGCCGAAATGGAGACTGATCCTTAGTGGTTGACTCTTGCCTATAAGCCCTGTACTATACAGATTACAGTATATCGTATACCGTATAAAACATACAATCATACACTCATACAGACAATCATGTACCTAAGACACAATATTTCAAGATACTGTATCGTAATTACAGACTTATACTGTATTCTAGCATAATTAGATGAGGACAGAAATACATAGAATACAGTAGTATACACATGCTTACATTACATCATGACAAAAAACGGTATTCACGATCCACTATTTAGTATTCAGTATTCAGTATTCATTCTATTAGTAAATTTACTTCAGTATTGCAGCCTGACCTGTCCGGATTCCGGAAACAGCGTGTGAGCCTCTCAGCCTCGACCGTCTCTACTCTCGACTCCTCGAGTCTCTCTAGTCTCCCTAGTCTCTAGTCTGAGTTAGGTAATTAGGTGGTCTGTACTCACTATTCTCTACTCTCCTGGTAGGTATGTATTAGTGGTCGCCGGGTCAATCGAGTCGTGAATACACAATAATCTCAGTCCAAAGATCAAATCTAACGATTCTATTGACAGACAGTCGCTTACAAACCTTGAACTCAATACAGAGGTCAACTACCAGTAAATCGCGATCTTACATACCTTCAACATTGTTGAAATAGATGAATGGACTTGAAGCAGCAGACTCAGAATATCTGGTGTTAACCAAGGCTGTTTTCACTCTGGTAAGACCTTTTGACCATATGGCCGACCACCAATATTGACATAAGACAACACGATATCTCGCAGTAACTCGGGAAGTTGACATCCACACTATGTACACACCTCTGGCCCTTTAGGTAATACAGTTCCATGCAGATGTCATGTGATATGAGCGGCAGGTGAGGATCATGTGGGCCGATCCGGCCTGACAACCCAATAGCGACTTCGACCCGTACGTTGGGTAATCAAGCTCTGGCCGCGAATGAAACATCCACCAAGGGCCCAGACTGGCTAGCCTCTAAATCGGTCTTCAAGTGCCGGTTCAAGAGCCTGCATTTGTCCGAAGTGTGAATTAGTCAATACAAGGTAAGAGAGGACAGGACTTGGCCATGGACGTCCTTCACCAAACAAAGCCTATACCGGCTTACTATTGCTGCTACTTGCTACGTTCAACTGTGCGGCACGCCTCGCTCTACATTGGCTCGACCCCAAATCCATCCAGGCGGTTGTCGCAACACAATGGTGATACCAAAGGTGGAGCCAAGCGCACATCGCGCGATAGATTGAGGCCCTGGGAGATGGCGCTGGTGGTCGAGGGATTCACAAGTCGTCTGGGAGCCTTGCAATTTGAGTACGTGACGGTGCACCAAACTTCGCCATGCTAGTTGTAACAAATGCGCTGATCTCTCTTCATAGATGGGCATGGCAACATCCAGAACAATCACGTCATATATCGACCGATGGCCAGGATATGAAAGCAGAGTCGCAAGCGTCCTCATTTAAATGTGGTAGAACGAAGACACGCGCAGGTCGATCAAGGAGATCATTGACAGCGCATCTAGAAGACTTGCACTCGCTTCTGAGGTCTGTCTATTTCGCCTCGTGGCCGTTGCGTGTCCGTTTCTTTCGGGCTGATGTGCACCGTGTTTGGCGAATTTGGAATGAACGAGTCAATACACCGCTTCCCATTGAAAAGGTACTTCTAGACGGGGATTGTGTTGCCCCAATGGAAAATGCTACCGCCGCTGGCACGGTCAGTGGGTTACCGGTGGATTACACAAATCTTGAAGGCTACTTGGAAAAGTCCAAATTTCTTCTGGAAGATACGACAGATAATGAGTGCTCACTTTGCAATGCGCCGATACTGCCCACAAGGGAACAGATCGTGGTGTGTTCGCAGGACGAATGTCGGGGAGCACATCACCTTTTGTGTCTGTCTGATGCGTTTCTCAAGGGCACGCCTGGTTCCGATATAGCTGTTCCGATAAGCGGGGCCTGTCCCACTTGCGGCTGCGTCGTACAATGGACACTCATGATGCAGGAACTCAGCCTGCGCAATCGAGGCGAGAATGCAGTCCTGGCAATTCTTGACAAGAAAGCAAGGCGAGACCGCAAGGCACGTGCGGCTGAGGCTTCATCTCGTCGCCACATTGCAAATGAAGCCGAAGTCATGGTCAATGAGCGAGATCATCAGACACGTCAGCATTCCGAGAATGCGTCCATGGATGACGATAACCTTCTCTCCGAGGACTGGTACGAAGGGCTCGACCTCGAATCTGACACCGATCATAGAGTGCCTGGCAACGGGATCGCTTCGCCGCCTACTAGGCTGGAAATCGTCATTGAGGACAGCGAATGGGATGATGCGGAAATCATCGATTGATGCATTAGGTGATTCAACAGAGACATATCTTTTCATCATGACAGAGAAGGCACACTTCCGGCTCGCGGAGCAAGCGGTCCAAGGGTTCCCAAGGGCTCGTTCCTCGATGAATTGACAAAACATTTCTCTACTGCGATGTGAACATCCTTGGCAACCTCATCCAGGGCCCTTCCTGCGTCAATCACACAGACTTTGTCCTGGCGGTCGAATAGAGCCCGGAAGATCTCGCGCACACGAGTCTGCATCTTTTCATTCTCGTATCTCTCTTCGCCAAACCCACCCCTTTGCGCAGCCGCTTCGGTAGAAATGTTCAGGAACAAACAAAGGTCAGGCTGTGGCAGCCCAATCTCCGGTTGCCAGGCCCAGTCTAATGAAAGAGTGGGGTTGGCCTTCGCGGCTGAGTAAACCGCGCCTGAATAGGAGTATCGGTCGACAACTATGCTGATACCCGCAGCGATGTCCCTTTGCATGCTCTTGGCGAGTTCCCACCGATTTGCAGAAAAGAGAAGATGGATGGAATGGTCATTTTGATCAGCCGAGCCGCGGAGGTATGCATCAATGAGCTTTCCGATCGGCGTGGTGCGGTCTGGGCATGCATTAGAGGTCCCAACAGCCAATATGACATGCAGTCCTAGGAGCCGTACCTGGAAATCGGATATATTTAACGTCATGGCCTCTTTCAGCGAGGTAGGTCTGTAGCATCTCGCATTGACTGGACTTCCCGGCGCGATCAAGTCCCTCAACAACAATCAACGCGCCTCGTCGCGCACTCCGTTCTGCAGAAGAGGACATTTTGGAAGCAACACCTTTAATGTGCCGGAGTCCCTGATCAGATGAAGATTTGAGTCCCGACTCGTGGCATATAGCGAGATGTAACAATCTTCAACAGTCAGAGGTTGAATTCACAGAAGCGCCGTTCCCAACGATAAGGCAGAGGTGGAATGGTTCCTCGGGTGCATCAACTATGGCGACCGCAACCCTCCCTTTTTTCTGCCGCCTTCGCCGCGAAAGGCACGAGATTAACTCAATGTTCCCCAGTTCAGTGAATAACGGAATACAGCAACGATGGAGTCAAGGACAAGCTCGTCCCACGAGATGAGTTTCACGGTTCTAAGCTCCGCCGCACCAGTTATGGCGCCTCGAGTAGGGACATTAGCTCTGGCAGGGCGGCAGGCCCTTGCGACGCCGAATCTTGTACCACTCACCTCGAGGGGTACCGTGCCACACATTTCACATGATATGGTGCGCAAAGAGACTGCAATCAAGAATTTTTACGTTGGCTTAGAAGACTGTAAGTGATTGTTCAACTTCTCGATTGTCCTTACCCATGAGCTTCTCGGACCGTGCTCTACAATTCTGAATGCTGACCACGCGACCACGCCTGCCATCGAATAGTCATTGAACGAAAACATCCCGCTCCGATATATAGTGTCCCCGTCAAAGCCAATGAATCACCACTTAAGAAATTCATATGTCTCAAGAATGACGATATCGTGCTCTTGGGATCACGCCGATTCCCTGCGATTGCATGTCCGCCTAATAATACCGAGACCTCCATCGCGATCTCGACATCTGTTGGATTCCGACAACTGGAATCGTCAAGGTATATAGAGGCCATACAGACGTTGAAGCCGGACATTGCCATTGGTATGGCCGATCTGGTCATTGGAAGAGCCCCGGGCTTGAAAAGGCGGGGGAAGATGGTGGATCGCACACATGCGTATACTCGCGATGCGCTGGACAAATTGTTTGGACCATCGGTGACGGAGGGGAAACCGCGGAGCACAAATTACTTTGCGCCAATTCTACCGCTGGACAATGCGCAGCAATCCATTTACCTGGACGATTTGGCAGAGGAGTTTCGAGATCGAATTTCAGGCCTCGCTCTTTACGAGTCTGCTTCCTTGAGCTTCATCTCTGAGTCGTTGAGCACTCTTCCTCGATTGTTGCTGAGCGAGCCGACAAGCCCCCATGACGTTCTGCGGGAGATCGCTCTGGGAGCTGATCTCCTGACCGTCCCTTTCCTGCAGACATGCTCGGATGCGGGTATTGCTCTTGATTTCACCTTCCCAGCCCCGCCGGCGACTTTGGCTCGAAGCGAGGCACAGCCCTTGGGTTTCGACCTCTGGTCTTCAGAAAACACCAAGAATACGTCGCCGTTGGCCGACGGATGCGAATGCTATGCTTGTCGGAAGCACCATCGAAGCTATTTCAACCACCTTCTGCGCGCCAAAGAGATGGCAGCGTGGGCTTTGCTGCAAATCCATAATCACCACGTAATGGATCGCCTGTTCGCAGGTGCTCGCACAAGCATCGAGCGCGGAACATTTGAACAAGACGTGCAGGACTTCAACCGCGCATATGTCTCTGACTTGCCAGATCGAACCGGCGAGGGTCCCCGGTATTTATTCCCAATCTTACCTCCTCAGCTGTAAGACATCATTACTGAACTGAACTAGGTTGCGTGGGTATCAAATGCCTGCTGCTGGTCCTAACCAGCCTCGCAGGATGCCTAAGGTCTATGGTCGTTTGGATGATCTTTCGCAGAAATTCGCCGAGTCTGAATCGTCCGTGGCCACGCCAGATACGGACGCCGATGGCCTTGAAAAACATGGCTTCGCGGGTAAGGTATAATCATCGTGAAAGTAAACTTTCATTCACAACTCTGCATATAGCGACTTTTATGATTCATTGTCCAATGCTAGATACTTCATGGAATTCCACATTTTGTAGACCTCGCTCTTCGACATTTCAACAGGACCAGACATTGCCGTTTGTCGTGGGACATTCCAAAGTACTGAAAATGTACTGAGCTAGAACCTAAGTCGTTGTATTGCAACAATGTCAAGCACCGTCCAGCAGCAGCGAGAGGTATTTCTGAGGACGAGATTTGCCTATTGCTGTACACGAGCGTGCAGAGAATCTGGTCAATTGGTTGGATAAGGTCATGTTATGAACAAACTTTTTCCCGTGCCGGGCAAGAATTATAGCATGATCATCAGAACTGGGGAACCGACGGTCTAGATAGGACAGGAGTAGAACAAAGAGAGGGTATATCAAGTAGATGCAAAGTCAGCAATAAATCTTCAATCACTTTCAGTGCGCCTCCCCAGCCAACACCCGCCACATCCACTTGACCTCGTCTTCTTCTTCCTTGCTACCGCGAGGCGTACCAGCGCCGAATTGCTGGCCAACGACACATACAAGCCAAGTGTCATTCTTGAGTTCGTCCAGGAAGCGTTCAGTAGGGGAGCCACGTGGGTAGATGCGACGCCACTCATCCCAGATACGGAAAGCTTCTTCTCCCCACGCCCGGAAACTAACTTCTTCGATGATGGTCGGAGTGACAATCTCCTTGCCGCGGAATACGCCCCAGGTCACAGCATTTACACTGTCAGGGTTGGAATCTAGATTGTCCAGATCGACATCCGCGGGCTGCGTGGGCAGAGATGATTCAAACGCGCCAGTGTTGTTGGTAGCAAACCAAACGAGCTTATCGTGCCCATGCTTCTCAAAGAGAGGCTTGAGGATCTTCGTGTAGTCCTTGTTCGAGCAGAAAAACTCCACGAATGGCTTTTGGAACACAAATCCCTCGCGCTGAGGACCCCAGCCGAAGATTGGGTGGTCGCTGCGAACGCCATTCACAGCAGGCTGTGAGGCGAGGGTCCACCAACCGCGACCATCGATGAGCTTGAGAAGCTCCGGACGAATGAGCTCTGTCTCCGCATTGAGGCCGGCCCCCTCGTCTGCACCACCCTCAGACCACGGGACCATGTAGAGTTCGCCAGACACGTGGCGGCGGAAAAGAGTGCTGATATCGGAGCGCTCAACTGGGTGGCCCCAAATTCGGCGGGCCACTGGAGAAGAAACATGAAGAGATGGTCCATAACCATCAATTTCACCAAACGCCGGGGAGCGTGCGTCACCCCAACGACCATTGGGGAAGTCGTCCCATGTAGCCTCTCTACCAAGCGCGCCGAGACCCTCTGAAATCTGCAGGGTCGTACTTCTGCCAGGAAGCATTGCTGGCTGTCCTGCGCTATTGGCAAGAGCCTCGTGTACGGAGTCGTGCGATGAGACATTCTCGGAATACTTGTCCACGATGACTCGATTATGTGGCTGAGAGTTGACGGATGAGGCGCGGCGTCGCAGGCGAGCTGGTACACCACCGGCAACGATTCCGTCGGCTTCAACCAGAGCGTAATCATCTTCGACGTCGGTAAAGGCGGGAATCAGATCGCAGCGTTCGAGGATGAAAGAGACCGTCTTTTCCAAGTTCAGGGTGTAGAAATGGAAACCACGCGGGCCAGGAGATTTCATCTCTTGCATCCCTCCGACAATCTCGCTTACAATATCAACACCGGCACGCTTCACGGCATCGTCGTCGTGCTTCAGCTCCTCCATGCGCTTCGCGATCGGATCAGGAAGGTGCACATGGCTAAGCTTGGTCACTCGAGTGAGAATCTTGTAGCTGTGGATGGGCATTAGACCCGGAATGATTGGGATGCTCTTGAACACGCCCGACTCGTGGTTGCGCAGCATGCTCTCAAACCTCTGATAGGCCTCAATATCATATGTGAGCTGTGTCATGATGAAGTCTGCGCCAGCAACTGTCTTTTCGATCAGATAGGGCAAGTCGCGAGCCGGGTCCTGAACATCCTGGAAAGAATCTGCAGGGTGACCCTCTGGATACGCAGCGACACCGACACAAAAGTAGTCGCCATGCTGCTTGCGAATGTACCGCACCAGGTCCACGGCGAATGTGAAGTCCTTGTTGCTATCATCTTCGCCGTGCATGTTGTATTCTTCGCTGCGTGGGGGGTCACCTCGCAAGGCTAAGATATTGCGAATGCCGAGAACCTTGGCTTCTTCCAGTGCCATATCGACCAAAGCTCTGCTCATATTCGTGCATGTCAGATGTAAGACTGTGGTCAACTGCAGCTGGCGCTGGCATACTTCGGCCAACTCGAGGGAGCGGGCCGCCGTGCTACCGCCTGCACCCCAAGTGACTGTGACGAAAAGCGGGCGAAGCGCTTGAGCCATGCGCTCAAGACGGGCAGACAGATTCGCGAAACCCTACATCAGCATGAGATCAGCATGTTCCGTCTTTTCAGCAAAACTCCTCAGATATTCTGCCATCAGAAGCGTCTCCGCGGGGCGACCCCACCATCCTAGTTTTTGGAGGGAAGAACTCCAGGGAGAAGTAGTTAGCATCTGGCGGCAAAGCCGCAATCTTCTCCGTGATCTTTTCCTTCTCCATTGTGCTTTGGGGACTGTGAGAGAGCGATCAGAGAGAGGGAAATGTGAAGAGGAGAGGTCTAAGATGAAAGTGGACCGTCTTGAATTCTCCGATGGAGGGTGGTCGCATCGGGAACCATTAAAAGTCAAGTCCACGCCCAGCCGATGACGGCCATCTCCCGCCCGGTAGCAACTCGGTCCAATTCGTAATTTGGACGGTACGGTTGCATGATTGGTGCTTGACTGCAATCCCAAGTGCTTTTTAAGGAGCAAAATCTGCTTCAAGAATTACACCAGTAGTCTGGGTCTCATAGATGAGAAGCCTACTGCGTAGTTCGGTTGACGAAAGATCTGACGGAAGCCTGAAATTTATCGAGGCTTCATTACCATCTTGATCTCCCCGTGGCGTGTGGCACAGTACTCAAGTACTGTGCCGGTGACTCTCAGCTTCAACTTGTACTGTAATTGATGCACTACCACACTACCAGTACCAGACTTACCAAGTTACCAGTAGTACCTTCAAACCTTGTATGGTACGGTAGGAGCTCTAGGTATCTATCTTACATTGATTGATCGACTTACATTCAATTTTGCGAAGGACTATACAATAAACAGTTAACACAGCTGTAGTCATATATACAGACCCCTGTGCGATGTAGCAGTATGGTACTATAGTGCAAACATCATTCTGAACACTGGCCGGTAGCGGCAAGGCATGTATGTCTGCACTCTGCAAGTCTGCAGCGTCTGCAGCGTCTGCAGCCAGAATATAGTAGTTCGGTAGTAAGAAGGTACCTAGGACTTGACAGCCTGTGTACCACGTACATAGGGAGACAAAGGCGATTAGGTTGCAATCAGGTGACCTGTGTACCGCACGTTCTCATTAAGAGACCATTTTTCACATTAATCCTTACTACCTAGTTCAATCTGTCAAGTGAAACCATGCGTTTCAATCCCAAAGTCCCCTACTGATTTTCTAAGCTTTGGCCGCTATCGGCTGCGGTGGTCGATCGGCCTCCATTCAGCCGCCACATAGCTGGCAGTGCCGCCGAGTCCAGAGCCGCCCGACACTCGACGCACCCGAGCCATCTGCGCTCCCAATGCGGTCCCAGCTACTCTGATTCTCCCAGCATACCTGCGTAGCGGTCTGGTGACACATCGTCTTTGAGCGCAACCCCACTTCCCACTGGTCACGACGTCGAGCCTCAAATTTCAATGTCTACGCAACGACCGCTTGCCCGGGCGCATATGCTTCGAGCAATCCGCACCCACACAGTCCGTTCATCTGGACGAGTGTCGCGAAGGAGCCTGGCGACGCCAGCTCACCCCCCGCCAGCTCCGAAATCCGTACCACCTCATTCGAAAGATACCCAATCTTACCTGCGGCGCTTGAATGAACGATTACCGCGCTTTCTTCGGAGATATACCACCCCTCTCCTTGGAGCCCCGGTAACCCACGTCACCTCCTTTCTGATATTGCATGAGATTACCGCGATAGTGCCTTTGTTCGGGCTAGTGGCTGCCTTTCATTACAGTGCGTGGATGCCAGATTTGCGCTCCGAATCAGAGTCAGGTGAAAGCAGCGCGTTTGACCAGGGGGTGAGGCGGTTCGGTCGCTGGCTGGGTAAAAAGGGTTGGATCGAGGAATCGGATGTGAAGACGGTCGCCGAGCACGAGGTCACCGGCATCACTTTGAGAGAACATGCGGGCGTGCGGCTTCTACTGGAGTTTGCGACGGCCTATGCAATGACAAAGGCCCTGCTACCGCTGCGAATCGCAGCAAGTGCTTGGGCTACGCCGTGGTTTGCGAGGTCCGTTCTTACGCCGACTACCAACATGGCAAGAAGGCTCTTCAGCAGGAATTAAGTACTACACGAAACCTGTCCGTCTCTAATTTTGGAGACGAGTGTGTGAAGTACCCTTACAAATCTGGACTGTCATGTGAAAGCCATTGGTGATCTTGATTCAACGCTAATCTGCGGGTTCAATGCCGCGAGGGGGCTAAGCTCAAGCTCACTTCAGGTGCAAGCCGAGAGGGACGAGCAATTTACTCGTAGACCCACTGGGCCTGGGTGGCCTTCCAGTTGAGGACCTCGGAGGGAGAGAACCAGAGGGCAATCTCCTTCTTGGCGTTCTCAACGCTGTCGGAGCCGTGGCAGACGTTGCGGCCAACATCGATGGCGTAGTCACCACGGATGGTACCGGGGGCAGAGGCCAAGGGGTTGGTGGCGCCGAGGATGGTGCGACCGGTCTTGACGGCGTCCTTGCCCTCCCAGACCATGGCGCAGATGGGGCCGCTCAGCATGTCTGCGGAAGCTTGTTAGATTTCTGTGTGCCTAACTCCAAGTGACGGTACGCAGACGGGAGACCAGTCGGGCATTGGGAGCTACTCACAGGAGATGAGGCCCTTGAAGAAGCCCTTGCCGGCGAGGTCAGCGTAGTGCTTTTCGAGGTGCTCCTGGCTGGGGGAGGTGAGCTTCATGGCAACGAGCTTGAAGCCACGGTTCTCGAAGCGGGAGATGATGGGACCAACGAGGCCACGCTAGGAAGCTGAATGTTAGCGATTGTAGCTACTGGGCCGCCAATTGATCTATTGGCGTATCACCCTAGGTCGTGTCATAGTCTTCGTACCTGGACACCATCGGGCTTGATGGCAATGAAACTGTAGAAATCTGTCAGCTCCTGGTCCGTACCCTGAGATAGAACGCAAAATAGCCTGCAAGGGAAAAGGAGCGTGGGGATAAATAAGCATTGAGTGCAATGCGGGTCACGTACGTCTGCTCGTCAGCCATTTTGATAGATTTAGCTTGAAGATGATATATATCAGCAAGGGGTGAGGAGCAAAAAGAGGAGGAAACGAGAGGGGGGAATAAATAGTCGTGAGTCTTTTTTTGGCCGCATTTGGTGGGGCAGAGGGGGCTCTTGCCTGAGGCAGTCAGCTCGGCACCTCGAGGTCAGAATAGACACCTGGGTGCCTGGTCCTGTTCGCCTTATGTCCTGAGGTGTCTTACCCCAGCTCTCCGCTATCAGGCCAGCCTGGAACTTCTGTTGACGGCCACATCGTCCTTTGAATGCAGGACTCCATCAATCACACAGTCGAGTATCAAGTCAGAGGTTGAGGGTCTCTGACTTCTCCTTTGTCTTTCTCTCAATCATGACGAGGAATAAGGCTGTGCCCTCCCTTGCGGTATTGCTTTCTCTGGTCGTCCTTGCCGCATGCCTTGTTGCTCCCGCATGTAAGTCGCGACTTCGGTTTGTTGGCGGGAAGACCAAGTGAATTGCTTCCGTTCCTAACGTTTGAGAATGTCATAGGGGCTGTGAAACATGAGAATTTCAAGACTTGCGAGCAATCGGGATTCTGCAAGCGAAACCGAGCTTTCGCCGACAGAGCTTCCGCGGAGGGCTCGTCTTGGAGCTCCCCATACGAGCTTGACCCCGCTACCCTCAGTTTTCAAGATGGCCAATTATCCGGGATGCTTGTGAAAAATGTCTCAGAGCACGAAAAAGTTCAATTGCCTCTCACAATTGCCTTCCTAGAATCTGGTGCCGCTCGCCTGGTTGTCGACGAGGAGAGACGCCTGAAGGGCGATATCGAGACTCGACATGGCAGCAAGATCAACAAAAAGCGCTACGATGAGGCGGAGAAGTGGGTCATTGTCGGTGGCCTCGAAGGCAGCAAAACAGCGACTCTGAATGCCCAGTCTGAAACAGGGTTCACCAACGTCGCATATGGACCCAATGGCAATTTGCAGGCGATCATTCGGCACTCGCCGTTTGAAATTGAGTTCTTGAGGGACGGTGAATCTCAGGTACAATTGAACAAGCAAGGGTATTTGAACATGGAGCACTGGCGCCCGAAACTTGAGAACAGTGAGAGCGAGTCGGCAGAAGATGAAAGCACATGGTGGGAGGAGAACTTTGGATCCAACACCGATTCCAAGCCTCGAGGCCCCGAAAGTGTTGGTCTTGACATCACCTTCCCAGGATTCAGTCATGTCTTTGGAATTCCTGAACATGCAGACTCGCTGTCTTTGAGAGAGACCCGAGGTGGACCCGGAAACCACGAGAATCCTTACCGCATGTACAACTCAGACGTCTTCGAGTACGAGCTTGATAGTCCTATGACCCTTTATGGATCGATTCCCTTTATGCAGGCTCATCGAAAGGGTTCTTCTGTTGGTGTCTTCTGGCTCAATGCCGCCGAGACCTGGGTCGACATTGTTAAGAAGAAGGCATCCTCGAATCCACTCTCTATGAGTGCCTCCGAGAAGGTTGACACTCACACACACTGGATATCCGAGGCTGGCCGCATGGACCTTTTCGTTTTCCTTGGTCCCACTCCACAGGATTTAAGCAAGACATACGGTGAATTGACTGGGTACACCCAGCTGCCTCAGCACTTTGCGATCGCCTATCATCAATGCCGATGGAATTACGTCACCGACGAGGACGTCAAGGAAGTTGACGCCAAGTTTGACAAGTACCAAATTCCCTACGATGTAATCTGGCTTGATCTGGAGTACACAGATGATCGCAAGTACTTCACTTGGGATCCTCTTACGTTCCCAAATCCAAAGGGCATGCAAGAGAAGCTGGACGCATCTCAACGGAAGCTTGTGGTGCTCATTGATCCTCACATCAAAAACAAGAACGATTACTTTGTATCACAAGAGCTCACCAGCAAGGGTCTTGCTGTTCTGAACAAGGACGGCGAAGTGTACGATGGCTGGTGTTGGCCGGGCTCCTCAAACTGGGTCGATTGCTTCAACCCTGCGGCAGTCCCGTGGTGGAACAGCCTTCATAAATTCGACAAGTTCAAGGGTTCAATGCCTAATTTGTTCATCTGGAATGACATGAATGAACCTTCCGTCTTCAATGGTCCAGAGACCACTATGCCAAAGGACAATATTCACTACGGAAATTGGGAGCATCGTGATGTTCACAACATTAATGGTCTGACACTGGTCAACGCAACCTATCAGGCAATGTTGGAGCGTAAAAAGGGCGAACTCCGACGACCGTTTGTGCTTACCCGTTCATATTTCGCCGGATCTCAGCGTACCTCAGCTATGTGGACTGGTGACAATCAAGCTACATGGGGCCATTTGGCGGCTTCGCTCCCTATGGTCTTAAACAACGGTATCGCTGGCTTCCCGTTCGCTGGTGCGGATGTCGGAGGTTTCTTTCACAATCCTGAAAAGGAGCTACTGGCTCGCTGGTATCAAGCTGGCATCTGGTATCCTTTCTTCCGTGCCCACGCTCATATCGATACCCGTCGTCGTGAGCCCTATCTGATCAGCGAACCGTATCGGACCATCATCACACAGGCAATCCGCTTGCGCTATCAGCTTCTCCCAGCATGGTACACCGCCTTTCATCAAGCCTCCGTCAATGGTACACCCATCGTGCGGCCACAGTATTATGTCTTCCCCGAAGACGAGGAAGGCTTCGCGATTGATGATCAGCTTTACTTGGGCGACACAGGCCTTCTCGCCAAGCCTGTAGTTCAGGAGAACACTTTCACCACTGATATTTATATTGCGGATGATGAGAAGTATTACGACTACTTCGACTACACCATCTACCAGGGCGCTGGTAAGCGTCACACTGTTCCTGCCCCCGCGGAAAAGATTCCTCTGTTGATTCAAGGTGGCCACATCATTCCCCGCCGCGATCGACCCCGCCGTAGCAGCACTCTGATGCGTTGGGACCCTTATACCCTTGTTATCACTCTCAACAAAGATAGCGAGGCGGAAGGCACTCTCTATGTCGACGATGGCGAGACCTTTGATTATGAGCGTGGCGGCTACATTCATCGTCGATTCCGCTACCAAGACTCTGTTCTCTCATCAGAGGACATTGCCACCAAGGGGGCAAAGACCGCTGAGTATTCGAAGACGATGTCAGGTGTTTCTGTTGAGCGCCTGATTGTCATCGATCCCCCGACCTCTTGGAAGAGCAAAATGAGCGTCACTGTCATGGAAGATGGTGCAAAGACTGCCACGATCGCCCCTCTCGAATATCATGAGCAAAAAGACGGCAAAGCGTCGTATGCTGTTGTCAAGAGCCCGAATGTCGGCATCGGCAAGACCTGGCGTATAGAGTTTTAGAGACTGGATGGCTGTTCACTAGAATTGCAATTTATATACTCATTGCCAACACGCTACGGCTTCCCTTCTTTCGTGAGAAGAAAGACGCGTAGCCTCGAAAACGGAGGGTTCCTCGTAGAGAGCACGATACTGATACTGCCCCTTTCTGAGAGAGATCACCTGATGTTCTGTCTTGTAGGTACCGGAGCCACCCCGTTCCACGCCAATTCTCGCGCCTTTGGGCAAGTTAACCTGTCTCACCACTATGATTGCAAACCACGGTCGTTTGGACCGACGCTTTCAATGCAGTGCTGGATCGGTGCGGAGACCCTTCTTCAACCCCGGGGCCAGTGGGTTGGCATGAGTACGAGCTACGGACACCCGAACCTACGCCTATGTCACCGAGCCTCTCACTGGCACTCGTACATAGCGTGGCACATAGGGCTTCAATGACCCAATCTGACCTTGGTGCTACCCGAAGAGAACGGCGACACCATCTGCTTGAATTTCCATCCATTGCCAAGTCTGAAGTGACGCCAAGCTTGCTGGACATCAAATCAACCGCATAGCTTTCGATCCTTAGAAAGTCAGTCTTTTTGCCCAAATTTGGTCTTTTTGATCGAAGATCCACTTTCTCTCGTTCCTGGTTTGATGCCGGCTCGGGGCGGAGCCGCTGACATAATCCCTTTTGTTGACCCCCGAGTCGATTCCAGGAAAAAAAGCCGCAAGCGGCGCCGTCGAGGAGGAATCGACGCCATCCGATCCAAGTCCTTTTTGGCTGAATTCTACGCGGCCAAAAATTGTCTCTTGGCTTGATCCTACGACCGCACTCGGGTTGACTGTATCGCTTACATTTCTGCTCTTGCGAAGGCGCAAGTGCACGAAACCTCTTGTCGGAGCCTCTTCAGATCCGAGGTGTATATGCGCGGAAGATACTCGTCACTGTCGTCAGCACCATGTGGCTCATTCAGCAGGCTCTCGAGTATGGCGCGCCGTTGTTGTATGTTCTGCAATGCAAATTGTACACTTCTCACTGTGGATTTTTGTGCTGACCAGGCTTCATAGTCTCATATCTTCCCCTTTGACGTCGTATCTGGACCAGATCCTCAGCATTCACCGGAGCAGGAGCTCGGCGGGATTCTCTCTCGATATTCCTTTGATCATGCTCGTCGCGTCGATTCTCAAGTAAGAATGATTCCCTCCATCATCTCGATACAGCGTTGCATCGATCGAGATCGTGGATGCCCCAAAGGCTCGAAAGTCAATGAGTTCCATAAAGTTGACGCACAACTTTAGAGTTTTCTACTGGTTCGGCGAATATTATTCAAAGGCTTTGCTGGCCCAGGCAATCGTGATGGTAGTGGTGCAAATCGCTTTGCTCAAGGTGGCTTTGGACAATCGACCTGCTGTGGGCGCAAGGAATGGGATTGAGCATGCGCCATTCACTGGTGGCTCTCCCGTTGGTTTCCAGCGGCCCTACGATTTCTGGCAATGGAGAAATACCAAACCGTAAGTACTTTCAAGTTCGTCAACGTGGGTCTCGTGCTTTATTGAGCTTATACTCAACTTCTTTGTCAGGTACTGGCTGTTCCTTGCCTACTTCTTCGCCGCCCTATTTGTCCTCCATCTGACTCCTCTTTCCGAGTCCGCGACCTACATCAGCACTCTTGGTGCGGTTGGACTCGCCGTCGAGGCTGTCCTACCCCTTCCACAGATCATCGCAAACCACCGTTCCGGATCGTGCAAGGGCTTCAGAGTCTCGGTCATCGCAGCCTGGATCCTGGGTGACGTGATGAAGATGAGCTACTTCTTCTGCAGCCAAGAAACCATCCCATGGTCATTCAAGATCTGCGGTATCTTCCAGTGCATTTGTGACTTGTATCTGGGCTTCCAATACTGTCTGTCCGTGGGCCTCATCCCCCGGACATTCATCCCTTCCTCGAGTTGGGCTGCTGGCAGCTCAGTCAACCGGGAAGGTCGTTGGGGTCAAGAGGAGAAGGACATTCGTATGACTTGAAATAAGACGCTTTGCAGACAAAAAGCCAAATACTATCAAATACTGCATCCAGTGTAAATATGCGGAACCGATCGCGCCATCGCAGAACAATTAATGAGTCTTTTCTATCATCTTACCAACCCTGAAACCGTATCAATGTAAAGGCCGTACCAGGCTCGCAATTTCCCGCACCTTGTCGTGATCGGCTTTCTTGACAGCCCGATGAGCCTGAAGTCTTGTGGAGCCGACGAGGTTCACAACCAGAAGCACGCTGTGGCAACTGGCCTCCTTTGTAGCAGCCCATTAGTATTTTTTTCATCATTCAAGGTACTATGAGTAATCACACCTAGGTCCATAATCTCCTCGGGCTTTAACCCATTCAGACTCTTAAAGAGTTCAGCCTCCTCCCGTCTGCTAGACACCTATCGATAATTATACTGGCGTTCGGAGTAACGTCACCATCATGTACGGTTGCCCGCGGTTGATTAGTCTGATCTTTTTCTTGTGTTTTGTCTCTCTTCCTACATAAGAATCCCGAAGGAATGCCAACCACCAACGTTCCCGTACGTTAAAGTCCATGTTCCGGAATTGCACACGCTCTCTGTTATTATCCGAGGATTTAGCAGATTCTCGAATTTGGTTCAGCAATTCTCGAGCTTAGTGCAGCGAGTTGCTCGACGAAGCTCGAGGATACAGCGATGCTCTGTTCCAAGGCTGGGAGGACCGCCTCCCAGCCTTGATGGTATCGTGCACCCTCGTCGTTGGCTAGGATACGTTCACGCTTTACCATTCGAACTGTAGCAGACTGGGATTCTCGGGTGGCCTCTTCGCGTAGCTCGGACAGCGTGTTCTCTTTGTCTACCATTTTCGACACAACGAGTCGCATGTTACCAGTTGTGGGCTGCTGTATAGTTGCATGTCAGTCTTCTTGAACTGTGTGATCCTATCATGACGAAGAGAGGACAAGATGATTGGCGTTACCGGGGGAGGCAGTGGGATTTTGTCCGCCTGTGGCAGATTAATTTTACTGCTGCGAGTGGTTGTCATGATGAATTTAGGGCTGTGAGTATGCGCAAGAAAAATGCGTTCTGTTGATTTTGATGACGAAAACCAAGGATAGGATAGCGAAGCTCTGGGGGAAGAGGGAAAATGTTCGAAATGGATTGAAAATTGTCGCTGGATTGGAGCGACTTGCCTAGCACAAAATCCATAAAGATGGAGTCATAAGTGCCAAAGTACTTAGTATTGTCTTTTACCTCGAATGAGCGATGGACTCGTGGGCCTCGAATGGTGGTTCTGGCGGCAACAAGACGAAGTGCTTCCGCTTCACTAATCATGACACTACTGCCACCCTTCATGATCAAATTCTCCAAAAGCCGCACAACTGGCGTTTCTCCTAGCTGATGGAGGACTGGAGCAGTTACGAGAAGGATTGTCAAAGCCTCATTTGCAACAAGAATCAAGATCTTTTCCATCCAGTGGAAAGGGTCCATGCGGCTCACGGCTTTGTGGCTGGGTGTGGGATACTAGTAAACTAGTAAATGATATTCGGTGACTTTGAGAAAATACATACACCGAATATTGGGTGTATAAATGGGTTCATTCCAGTCAGGCAGATCACGATGAGATTGATAGTGGTTCAAGACTGCAATCTGTATAAGGACCTGGTAAGGGTGAAAACTCGCGTTGACTTGGACAGAGGAAGAAGCTCAGTGCTATACTGCTAGAGGTTTAGTGATTCTCTGGTGGCGAGGGTGCGGCAGAATAGATGGGAGGACGAACAGTCCGATCTATCAAACAGTTCTACTCTCGGTGGAGTCAACATCGGATGAAGTTACTATAAACAAGTGTAAATACCATCCCTTGAAGGCCTAGACGGACGGGCTTGCTCCACGCACAGTAGTGACAGATTGACAGTATCACAATACCATATCGTAAATAATACAACGCTGCTTCACAGAGAGCCCGCGCTTTTCGGCGAGCAACAGGCGTAAATTACAAAGCTATTACTGCCAAGCCAAAGCGAAATAGGATTAGCTCCCTCGGCCCACTTTAAGTATTATCTCGGAGGTTACAGTAAAAGTCCACAAAAAAGTGAGTCTCCTCTGCAGGGCGCTTGTCGAGAAGCATGAATGCGACTTGTATAGTCAGTCTGCAGATGGGCTTGTGCACTGAGACGTTTTCGATCACCAATCACGGCCACTGATAGAACTTTCAAGGGCCACTTACTCCTATCTCAAGGGGCTTGATTCAACCTGTTAGTTGTTGCTGGAAAATTGGATGCTTTAGTAAGAAGCCTGACGATTGATAAGCGTCCCGAGGTCGACTCCCGACTGGTTTGTTCATCGTCTCTCTTCTGATGATCCCATCCTTCGAGAACTATTGCGCGACAAACATAAAGATGCCTCTTGACGGAGTGAAGAACATTGTGCTGGTAAGTCTCCTAATTTCTGTCTAAATGCCACATTTTGCGCATCAGGCTTTGCTCAAGTCCAACCCTCCTGGGACATTTTTGCCCCAACTTCTTGGGGCAAAACGTGCTTATCGATAACAATCCCATGAGGGGCAAACAAGATGCAGCTGCAATATACGCCTGGAAACTCTATGCATTGAGTAAGAGCTGAGCAAATCACCGATTACAGGTCCTTTCTGGAAAAGGAGGCGTTGGAAAATCTTCCGTGACACTCCAGCTAGCGCTCGCATTATCGCTTCACGGCAAATCAGTCGGCATCCTCGACATCGATCTGACCGGCCCCTCCATACCCAGACTCGTTGGCTTGGAGGACGCCAAAATCACGCAATCACCGACCGGATGGCTTCCTGTCCCGGTTCATGAGGCGGTTGTTGCACAAAATGACGATGAGCCTTCATCCGAGAAAAAGACTCGAGCCCGTGGCTCCCTTCGCTGCATGTCTCTTGGCTTCCTCCTAAGAGATCGCGGCGACGCAGTCATCTGGCGCGGACCGAAAAAGACCGCTATGATCCGTCAATTTCTGTCAGACGTTGCGTGGGGACCAACAGACTATCTTCTTGTCGACACACCACCAGGAACGAGTGACGAGCACATTGCACTGGCGGAACAGCTTCTCACACTATCCACGACGGATGCTGCCGTCGCGACACAGATGAATTTGCCTCGCCTTCAGGGCGCGGTGCTGGTGACGACTCCACAGGCTGTTGCAACCTCGGATGTGCGCAAAGAAGCCAATTTTTGTGTGTGAAGACGAGCATTCCGGTTCTCGGGGTAATAGAGAACATGTCGGGCTATGCTTGTCCGTGCTGTGGCGAGATCAGTAATTTGTTCTCCAGTGGCGGTGGAGAGGTTATGGCCCAAGAGCTGAATATTCCGTTCATGGGTCGTGTTCCTGTTGATGTGAAGTTTGGGGAGCTGGTGGAAGGAAACTTGGAAGTTGAAACCGACGATGAAGATGATGATGAGGATAATTTAAAAGACGGTGGAGAGAAAACTGCACAGAAAGCGAGTCCGGCTGAGCCTGATACAAGACCGCTTGTGGAGAAGTATCAAGAAGGTTGGTCATATACTCGCTTTGAGGAGTTTGCGCGAACTATTATCGCAAGTGCGTGAGGTTGGCAATGTTATTTCGGGTGGATGATGTCCCCACCAAGAGTGCTTGGGGGTCAAAGTGGACGAGTCTGAAAGCGGGAGGACCGAAGCCAGGTTGTTGTTCGTTTATCAGCCAAACGCACGCTAAAGGCTGCGTGCTGCATCAGCATGACGGGAGCGTTCAATATTAATTCGATTTGTGGATACGTGGGCTGCGACACCGTACGTCTGCGATTTTTAGCGATAGAGGTCCAGTGACACAGAATTAATTCGGCTGCTTTGATATCCGTTTGATATCCGTTCAAAGACTTCAATTTCCCTCAATTTCCATCAAGATTCAACAAGCTGATCACTTCATATCTACCAGATCTTCATACATTATACATCATTAATCGTGAAATAAACATGAATGTCACACGAATGTCAACTTCGAAACCGAACCTAAGCCGCAGGCAAAGAAGTTTGCTCTTCGGCGGCTTGTCTGAGCATAGCTCGCAGACGATCCTCTGCGGACCTGAACTTAGGCTGCGAGTGAGAATCCGTTCCTCCATTGTGTAAATTCAGCCATCCAAGCATTGACTGAATGAAATTGATTTTGGTCCAGCCGTAGATTGAATCTGCACCATCCACTGTACGGCGTACATGATGGTGTACCCTTTGTTCAGCACTGCGACGCCGCTCATTGTCCTGCGCATCGAGGTGAACTTCCGAGACGAGAGCGTGAGTGAACATATCATGCTGTGAGGTTGCGGCATTTCCTGCAACATCGTATTGGCCCAAGAGACTTCGACCAGAAGGCCCTGCTCTAGTTGGGTATTCAAAAATTGTTGGTAAAGGTACCTCTACAGGTCTAGTAGCCAACGGTGGCTGCTCAACGACGTTGGCATTACGCGCTGCCACCAAGGCTGGAGAACCTGCGCTCCTTTCTGGGACGGTCTCTGCGTATTGAACGTTTCCGAGGTAATAGAAGAACTTCAAGGATTGAATTTCTCGTGAGTCTCCTCCGATGATCGGTCTGTCTTCCACCATCATGACATTTTCATCGGCGGCTCGATCTGCGTCCATTGCGCTCGCTTCATTGACCGGTCCCAAGCCTCCTGCCGAAGAAGCGCGAATCTCGCCTAGGGGGGCAATGTGACTGTCATACTCATTGGACAGACTCAGCTTGCTTCGGCCGCATATCTCAGCGATGGAGTCCAGCGTACCGGTGATATCAGCATCGATGGCCTGCAGTATACTGTCAATACTGAAGTCTTCATCAGACGGTAGTGGCGGGCCCGGCGCTGCAGGCAAAGGCGATGTCTTGGACCGAAAGAATGGAATCAGTCGACGGGGAGACATGACCGGCAATCTGGACGTCAAGGCACGAGCTTCATCGCTGGTGAAAGCTCGGACTAGAACGGGCTGTGAGGGAGCGGCTGTCGGCCGCGTTGATCTGGCCTCGGAAGCCTGACCATCAATCTCAGGCACGGACATCGGATCTGGGTCAAATGTCGACTCGATCTCCGGAAAGGATTCATATTGTCGCCAGAGAGTGCCATATGCCGGGCCTGGATCGCACTGCGATTCTGACATTGTTGTACTCATAGGGTATCCTTGAGACCAATCGCGCCGCCCAGAAGACGTAGCTGACGGTCGTTGGCCTCTTCGAGAAGCTGGGGTAAAATCAACCTCCATTAGTGCCGGAGTGTTGCGATGCTAACAGGATGCTGGAGACCCAAATGCCCTGTTTGGAAGACAGACTTGAAGAAAGATAACGCAGTAAGAAATAGAAAGATCATTGATTGCAGATAATATGCGATTGCATGTAGTACCGAAGTAGAGCTAGAAGAGCTTTACTCAAAGTTGCCCAGTGTTTGTGGTGATTTGGTCACCACATAGCATAGTCAAGAGTCTGTTCTGCGGGGAGACGATCTATAGCGGTTGTATCATCTGACAGTCTTCATACAAGATGCTTCATATCTTGATTCGTATTGCGCAGACACACAGATGCTGAATGTTTATTCGCCGAGTCCTGCCAAAAAAGACACAGAAGGCAAAGTGGTTACAGAAGAGAAATGGGATGGGAGTCAACTTCAGAAATATCACATCGGAGGGGGGGAAGAGATGCGGAGGCGCCCAATCTGCTTGACGGGGCCCAGTCACCGGCCAAATCCCCGCCAAGACACAACTGGCTTGGGCGTCAAGCTCCCCCACCGCTTGGACACTCACCCGCATTGCGACTCTCACCAAAAGAGCGAGGTGTGCACGCATCATGGATCGATTTCAGGTAGGTTATTTGCAGCGACAAAGTTCAGTTCCTCTGCCGCGAAACATGTGACTGAACACACTGGCCTAGCTCGCCGACTCGGACGGAACGATCTCCGACTTCGACGAGGATCACTCCAGCCTGCCTTTCCCCGAGCCGCTCTCGCGCGCCTCCTTTCTGGGTGATAATTTCGACCCCGCAGTCTTCCTCTCGTCCTTGAGAAATCGTCATCAGACACTTGAGGATCTTCGGCAAGAGCTGCGCCAGCTAGAACAAGGATTGAACAAGGAGCTACTGGACCTGGTCAACGAGAATTACCAGGACTTCCTGTCCCTCGGCACCGCGTTGCGCGGCGGAGAAGAGAAGGTTGAAAGCGTCAAGGTTGGCCTGCTGTCATTCCAGCGAGATGCACAAGGACTGCGAGACAAGGTAGACGCCCGTCGCCAGGAATTAGAGGGTCTGTTGAATGAGAAGAGACAACTCCGTGCTCAAGCAGATGTCGGCAAGGATCTGTTGGTCTATGCCGATCGCATCGAGGAATTGGAGTATCGACTCATGATCGCCGATAAGACTACGCCGAAGGAGACCGACTCGGCTGACGCAGAGTCATCCTCGGACTCAGACACAGACCTCTACGGCAGCGGCAGCGATGACAGCGATGCGGAGAATGAGGACCAAGGCACGGCTCCCGTGTCACCCAAACGCTTAGAAAGGCACGTTCAGGCCTATGTCTTTCTAAATTCGATTGCCAAAAGAGTGGGCGAACAACATCCATTCCTACGCGCGCAGCAACCGCGCGTGTCCAAGGTCAGATCCACCATCCTACTGGATTTGAAGACCGCCTTGGAACGGGCTGGTCCCGCAGGTGAGGCTCGAGACGCACGGACTATGGCGGTTCTGCGCCTGTACGACTTGATGGGCGAAGATGTTAGCGCTGTCGCGGCGCTGAAGAACCTCAAAGTATAGAGCTGCGCTGGCATATCTTCACTATAATCACCATTTGTGGAAACTTGCGCGCAAAACTTCGCATAGCGCTGGCGTTGGGGCAAAAATGAGAGTCTCAATTGGACAATAAATATAATACCATGATACACCATGTCCTTCCCTTGAAAAAACAAAATATCTGTACACGCCAAAAGGAGACAAGTCAAATGAGATCAATTACAGGCCGGTCAGGGCAGAGGTTTCGGGTGAGTTGTCGGTCTTGAACTCGCCGTTCAGGCTGAAACCGGGGCCGTTTGTCGAGCTTAGAACCTGTTATATATTAGTGCCCGTTTAAATTACCCAAGGCAAATTCTCCGAGACTAACCACTTCATAAACTTGCTTGTTTACCCGATCAGTGAGCCCGGAAGCGTCCTTCTTGATCTGCTCGATGGTGGTGCGCAAGTTGTCGCGCAACTGTTCCGGGGAAAATGCCAGTTGGCCGATAGGCAGCCGAATGACAGCATCACGCTCGCGATAAACGGTACCACCACGCAACATTTCCACACGAGAGGCCACATCTTCCACCACGGTACCGGTTTTCGCGCTGGGCATGAGACCACGGGGACCCAAAACACGACCCAGGGCGGCCTTGTTCAGAGCTGGCAAACTGTCCGGGTGGGCCAGACAACGGTCAAATTCAATCTTGCCCGCTTTCACAGCCTCGAATACCTCGTCTTCTCCAACAAGCACAGCCCCTGCAGCAAGCGCGTCCTTGGCATGCTTTGATCCGGGAGGACAAATGACGCAGATTCGGGACTCGGTCTGGACCGCATGGGGGAACCTGATCATGTTTCGGATAACCGGTCCGTCTCGCCTTGTGCGAAGGCGAATGTGTACTTCGTATTTGGAGGTTGTTGGTTCGCGACCAACTTCGACAGCTCGAAGGTATCTGCGAGGAGGATGGCATATTAGACTAGCCGCATATTCCACACCGTTTCATGATTATGCCTCGGCTTGACGCAAGAGAGACCGCTTACTGCATCGCATCACAGAGAGCAAATTGCTCCACATCCTTCAGGCTCTTCTGACGGAATTCACGGGGACCCTTTTTGTCGGACTTGCTTTCCTTCTTCCCCTTGCCTCTGGCTTGAGGATTGCTCTTCGCACCACGAACTTGCTGGAAACCTGACAGGGCCGAGCCGATTGATGTCTGACGATAGACCGGTCGGCAAGACGATAGAATAGCGCGTGCCGCCGCGGGTAATACGGTGCCGTAGGACGACATAGCGAGTGGGCGTTGACTGATCGGAGCGTCGGAGTCGTCAACGGAGCCCGATGCAATTATTGTTTTCTGCCGGACAGCTCTCTCGGCGCCGGAAGAATATGACACCGACCGCCGCCGGTTGACAATGACTGCCCCTCCAAATTATTCGCCGTTCACTGTCTTTTGGTACAATATCTGTCAAACAGCCCACCATGGCTCAGGTTACTTTGAGCGTTGCGACCAAGGCCAGCCATGCTGCTGTGCTCCCTGTTGTCTTGATTGCAACCTCTATTAACGAGGCTTGCCCTACCCCCGTGATCGACATCAAATACGAGAATACCGACTTCCTCGGCGAAGGTGATAATAAGCAGGTCTCGCAACTTTCGTCTGCTGGAAAGTCAGCTTTCGGCACTGTCCCTACCATTGAGGAGCTTTGCAACCAGTTCCCCTATCTGGTTGGTAAGGAGGCTGCAGTAGTGAGTTAAAAGCACTCTTTTGACCCTGCCCTGCCCGTTCGCCCGGCTTCTACGAAGCATTGACTCGGTTTCATCTGACTGACCGTTTATCTTGTGCAATCAGGAGAAGGAGTGGATTTCACAGCTTGACAACTTCAATACTCTCGACTTCAAGGCACTCGACCCCGTCCTCCAAAAGCTCGATACGCACCTTCTCCTCCGCTCCTTCGTTGCCGGCTATGCTCTGTCCACCGCCGACATCGCATTGTGGGGAGCTCTTCGGGGTAACCGTGTTGCTGTCGCTGCGTTGAAGAAGGGTGCCTTGGTCAACCTATCCCGTTGGTATCGGTTCATTGAGGAGCTTTGCCCGTGGACCGCTAATGTCGTCGAGACGCTGAATTCGGTCACCCGGGACGCCAAGGTTGCAAAGTCTAAGGCCGGTGCCAATTACGACATTGCCTTGCTCAACACCGATAAGGGCGTTGTGACTCGTTTCCCTCCAGAGCCATCTGGGTATCTGCACATTGGTCACGCCAAGGCCGCTCTTCTCAATGACTACTTTGCTCATGAGAAGTACAACGGCACTCTGCTTCTTCGGTGAGTACCTCTCTCAAGGCCACGTTTTCGTCAAGGTCGCTGACAAAACCTGCAAGCTTCGACGACACAAACCCCTCAAACGAGAAGCAGGAGTTCCAGGACGCCATTGTGGAGGATCTTGCTCTCATGGGCATCAAGCCTAACAAGGTCTCTTACACTTCGGACTACTTCGACGAGCTCTACGACTACTGTATCGAAATGATCAAGAAGGGACATGCCTACGCCGATGACACTGAGAAGGAAACCATGGCTGCTCAGCGTATGGATGGAATTCCCAGCGTGCGTCGCGATCTTTCAGTCGAGGAGAGCTTGGCCCGCTTCGAGGATATGAAGAATGGCACCGAGGAAGGCCTGCGTTGGTGCATTCGTGCAAAGATCTCCTTCGATGACAAGAACAAGGCTCTCCGTGACCCTGTCATCTACCGCTGCAACCCTCACCCCCACCACCGGATCGGCTCCAAGTGGAAGATCTATCCAACCTACGACTTCGCTTGCCCTGTTGTCGACTCTATGGAGGGTGTCACTCACGCTCTGCGTACCATCGAGTACCGTGATCGCAACCCGCAATATCAGTGGATGTTGGATGCTCTCAACCTCCGTCATGTACAAGTCTGGGACTTTGCTCGCATGAACTTCATCCGCACTCTGCTCTCCAAGCGCAAGCTGACCAAGCTTGTCGAGAGCGGTGTCGTCTGGGGCTGGGATGACCCTCGTTTCCCTACTATTCGTGGTATTCGCCGTCGTGGTATGACTATTCCGGCCTTGCGCGAATTCATCCTGAAGCAGGGCCCCTCGCGAACCATCACCCTGTTCGACTGGGCTCTCATTTGGGCCACCAACAAGAAGTACATTGACCCCGTTGCTCCCCGTCACACCGCTGTTGTGAACCAGGATGCTGTCAAGACAACCATTACCAACGCCCCATCACTTTTCACCGAAGAGAAGCCACGCCATGCCAAGAACGCCGCCGTGGGCATGAAGACGGTTACCTTTGCTCCCAATGTGCTTATGGAGCAGGTTGACGCCAAGTCCTTCAAACAGGACGAGGAGATCACCCTGATGAACTGGGGCAATGCCTTCGTCCGCAAGATCACCGCTGACAATAACGGTACCATTACTCACCTTGAGCTGGAGCTCAACCCCCAGGGTGATGTTAAGAAGACCGAGAAGAAGGTGACTTGGTTGGCCGAGACTCCTGACCTTGTCCCCGTTGAGCTGGTCGACTTTGACTACCTGTTGAAGAAGGACTCCTTGAGCGAGGACGACGTTCTCGAAGATGTTCTCAACTATGACACTGAGACCCGTGAGCCCGCTTTGGCTGACAGCAATGTCGCCCAGTTCAAGGAGGGTGACATTATGCAGTTCGATCGTAAGGGCTTCTACCGTGTGGATCGCGCCTACAGCCCTGGTTCTCCTGCTGTCTTCTTCAACATCCCCACTGGCAAGGCTAAATAAATGACTACGCTTGATGTGATGTAATTATGAAAAAAGTACGCTTGTGCTATGACATTTACGGGGTGACATAACTTCGCTTCAAAACCGGAAATACAATGTGAATATTTCAAATCACGAGCCCTTGATGAGACTTACCTCATTTCACTTGTTTTTCACTTGTTTGAAGTAAACAGGTCAAGCGTATACGGGCTGAAATAGCTGGAGTTAAACTTTTAGCTGGGTTCGGAAACAGTACTCGAATCTTTTCTACTTCTGACATAACGAAAGTGAAGGCCCCAAAGTTCGCTGATCTCTCCCAGTACCACATTGTTCACTCCAGGTCCTCCTCTTCCTTGCTAGCCGAGAGAAAGTACCGACCCTTTGGCTTATTTGGCTCCTCATATTCGATTGTAAGCCGAGCGAGATGGCCCAGAACATTCTCGATTTTGATATCACCCTTGCTGCGTTTCGCACGTCCAAGGTTATCAAGCCACGAGATTTTGTTGAGAATGAAGTAGGCTAATGCGATCACAATCTCAACCCCAAGTGAGTATCCCCAAATCCGCACTACGGTCACGATATCTGTCCATCCGTCCGTGGTCTCGACGAAGCTGTCGCGAGGATCAGTGACCATGTTCTCATTCGTGAACCAGCCAAATAAACAGAAGAGAGTGGCCAGAATGTCTACTCCCAGAATCGCGGACACCAATTGAATGGATGGCCAGGTGTCACTTCCGCGAGTCACAAATATCAACCAATTCTCCGTCAATGCCACTTGCAAGAAAACGACCTCTTGGATGGAGCCCCAATTCTGAATGACACCCCCTGATGGAAGAAACATGGAGGCACGGACAACCCAAGTACCCAGTGCAAGTAAGACACCAAGAAAGACCGAGATGATCCAGATCTTGGGGAGCTGCCACTCCACCGGACGCAATTCGAACGACGCATGATCGTATGCAACCGCAACTGTCGCAAGGTCTGCAAACAAAGCCAAGAAAACGACCAACTCGACACGAATACTCTCATTGAGAATTATCATAGCCGTCACAAGATAAATTTCAAGGTGCAAACAGAGGGCAATCCGATACTGGATATAGGCCTTCATCCGATGGAAAATCTGGCGAGCAACCTTGATCGAGTCAATGATTGTAGATAGGCCAGGCTCCAGGAATACGATATCCGAAGCAGATTGAGCGGCTTCTGAAGCTCCTTCAACCGCAATTCCACAATCCGCCTTTTTCAGGGACGGCGCGTCGTTAACACCGTCGCCGGTCATCGCGGTCAAATGACCGCGTTCCTGGAGCATCTGCACAACCTGGTATTTGTGTTCTGGAAAGACCTCCGCAAAGCCGTCTGCTTTCTCAACAAGGTCACTGGCCATCGCACCACTAAGGCCGCCATGAATAAGCTTGTCAGAATTATACACCTTGGTGCCGAGGTTCAACATTTTGCATGTTTCTCTAGCAATTGCAATCGCATCGCCAGTGAGCATTTTCACGCTGATACCAAGGTTTTGAGCCTCACTGATTGTCTGTGCGGTGTCCTCTCTCGGCGGGTCGAACATTGGGAGCATTCCGAGTAAAGCCCAGTCTTCGCCTTCTTTCCGAACTGCAACACCCAAAGAGCGGAAGCCACGGTGGGCGAATTCCTGGGCTTTAGCCTTGTACACACTCGCTAGTTCCCTCGAGCATTTTGTGAGCTGAAGCACTGCTTTGGGGGCACCTTTAGTGCAAGTGTATCTGATTCCATCACAGGTCGCAACAGTCACAATTCGTTTTGATACGGGATCGAATGGGGTAAACTGCTCAGTTTTCCACCCACGTCGCAAGATTTCTCTCGCCTTAGGATATTGACGGAGACTCAAGATTGTGACCTTATCAATCGGATCCAACGATTCCACATTATGTGATGATGCAAGGGCAGCAACCGCGAACATCCAGTCCACATCGACGCCCTCAGCCACAAATGGTTCTCGAATACTCAATTTGTTCGCGGTCAACGTCCCAGTTTTATCTGAGCAGAGTATGTCAACTCCCTATCGGCTATTATTCAGCTCATCGGCATTCTTGGTATACAGGGCAAACTCGATGTTGAACTTACCGCCAAAGACTCGATTGCCGTTAGCTTCTGCACAATGGCCTTTTTTTTAGCGAGGTATGCCGCACCCACAGCCATGGTTGTAGTGGTCACAACGGGAAGACCAACAGGAACTCCAATGATGAGCAAGGAAAGCGTGTAATGGAGTAGGGTTTGCTCGCCTGGAGACGCAATTGGAAGATTTCGGTAGAATCCACCGATCCAGGCAGCGAGAATCCAAGCCATCACAAGAACTAGAAGCGAGATTCCGATTCTGTCCATCACAATTTCGAAGTGTCCTGCACCTTTAGCAGATTGGACCATGCTTGCAGTACGACCAACAAAGGAGGTCTTTGCACCAGTTTGAACCACTGCATAAGCCTTTCCACGCTTGCATCCAGTTGTGTAGAAGACTTTGTCTCCCATGTACCGATCCACAGCCAAAGATTCACCAGTTATAGCTGAATGATCACATGCGAGAATAGGATACCCACGCTTTCGGGTACGATGTGGTTTTGGCTCGTCAGCGCCTCCGTCTTCAACAACCCCCTGGCCTTCCTTGACGTTTTGACAGGCATTGTCATTCTTGGGTGCAGCATCAGAGTCGTCAGAATCGGACTCTCCATCAAGACTTCCTTGTTCATGAAGCTGACAGAACTCTTCCCAGCCATTTACGTCGTTGTAGTCGCAGATGATTTTTGCATCTGCTGGAACTACCTGACCCTCACCAATGACGATCTACTTCCGAGTCAGAACGCGTCCCTTCACAAGCCATTCGAAAGGGGCATGAGAGATACACACCACATCGCCGGGGACCAATTCACGAGCCAGAATCTCTTGTTGATGGCTGTCACGAATGACAGTTGCCCGCATGGCAATATCGCCTTTCAGACTTGCGACCACGTCGGCAGCCTGCTTCTCCTGATACCACCCAACGGAGGCGTTTAAACAAAGAATGCCAATAATGACCCCAAAATCAACCCAATCCTGAAGTCCAGCAGCCAGCAGTGCTGCAAGTTCCATAACTGCATTTAATACTTAGTAGGAAGTCTTTTATACCGGTATCAGTAGCCAAATGCGGACCTGGGAACATACCATAGAGAATAGGTCCGCGAAAGTAAGACAGGACCTTTGCAATGGGATTCTCCTTCTCTGAGACCAGCTCGTTCAAGCCAGATCGGTGACGGCGCTGGTTGACTGTCTCACTCGATAGACCCTCACGAATATCGGTGATGAGCCAGTCTTCTGGATACTGACCTGCCTGGTCCTCTGCATGCTTGGTCCGCACCTTGCGCTTTACCCATGGGGCATACCATACGCGATGTTCTTCAACCTTGTCTGCCTCTGACTGCACGGCACCAACTTCTCGATAGGTCGAAACATATTTGACAAGTATTCCATACTCATCGAGAGAGGCCGTGTCATTACGTAGTGAAGCTCTTGAGATGCGCGAGCTTCTTCTAGTCCCCGTGTCTTCAGTAGCGCCATGGTCTGCCATCTTAGTGATGAAGATGACGCTTTGGAGATATCTGTTTTTCTGAAGAGTCAACTCAAAGAACGTGATCTCACTGATTGAAAGATCTTGTTTGTCAAGATTATGGAAAATAAGCGCGGAGAAGTGATGATGGAAAAAGAAGGAGCGAGTGTGGTGCAATCTCCAAAGTCACGGGATCCTCGACAGCGAAGAGTCGACCTCATAGGCCCATCAACCTCTTTGGCTTAGTCTGAATGTCACTAGATGTGCCAGCAAAGTTGGCTCGGGATATTGATATGGCCAAAGAGATAAATGTCGAATTCCGATTCAGTTCGAAGGTTACCTACCCTTTGCGAATTACATGGTTTTCAGTAGCCCGGACTGGAAGTGCTCATCATATCGGCCTAATACGTCTCTGTCATCACCTTCGATCAAATAAAATGCCTCATACTGACGTCTCTTCGAAGTGCCGTTTACATCTGGGAATAAATGTACGCAGTATGCACCAGGTCTTCATAGCAGTCTCCGCTCGTGGTTGCATCGAATTCAACGCAGGACGGTACATTTCACTATTAGAGCAAACGAGCTGGCAGGTTCCCTGGATGGCCAGCTGTTGTGAAGCTGGGCCCTGGTACAGAAAACCCTCCATCGATAGAGAGTAATATCAAGGCTTCCTTATACGACGGGGCAGATTGTTAGCGACGACAGCATACTGGATGTTTTTGGTGAGCAATCAGAGAAGCTTGCATGTCTGGGTCCAACGTGCCGGCTGGGCCGTATTGCAAGAATACGCGTTCCGTGTCAGTATCTCTTACTCTTACAACGGAGCTGACCGGGGGATAGCAGGAGTTGTTGATCCTCTTGAATTGAGATTGTGTCACTCTTTCAAGTTGATGCGCTCAATTTGGAAGAGTCCACTGATCGTCCCGTGGCGCCTGTTCCGTGGCGATTAGCGTCTCCAGTCACGTCCACCGTGTGGGTCGTCCCGAGCCGATAAGCACGGCACTTGAAGTTTGTAGTTACAGTTGCCGGCGATCCAGTTGCGGAATCCTTCAAGCACGTCAGAATTTGCCATTATCCTAGAGCACTGAGGCGGATCGCAGATACTTCAGCAGCGATCGCTTGGCCTAAAGCTGGATCACGGAAAAACATAATTGAGAAATTTAAATATTTAGTAGCAGTGGATTTCGAGACTCGGAGCCGCAATATGAAAGCTAATTGCGACAGATATTATGGTTAACAAGGGTATTACAAACATGCGATTTCATCAAGAGCCATCAGGTGAGCTTCTAAATGATCTCGACGCCACGAAAACAAATGGACATGACACATTTTGACCTCTCAAAGGCCGATTACAGCGCTGCGGGCAGAAGCATTCTTCATAATCACGACGAAAACCTGCAGAAGCTCATGACTGACCCAAATCCCATTGGTGTGAAAGGCCTCGCGTCGCCGTGCAGAAGTTGAAGTTTAATTTGATCATCCTAGAAGGCATGGCGACGAGCATGCCGAAGAACACTTGCCTTCCTGAGATTGTTCTTGAGGCGCGAGGTGACGGTATTTGCCTGTCGCAATCCTTGCAGAAGGCCCAGGAGATCCTGGCCCACAAGGTTGAGTGAACCCTTGCTGGGAGAAGCTTTCCCAGTACCCTCCTCGGTCCCGTTAGTGGCTTGGTCAGAGGGAACAGGATCGGAGCCATCAGCAGGAGCATTTGAACCGTTATTATACTCAGAGGTATCGTTCGTGGGCTTGGTCTCGGAGCTCGTGGAAGTAGCCGAAGATGAGGTGGGAGTCGAGGCCTTTGTTGTAGCGCTCGCGACGACAGTCGGTGACGCTTTGGAGACCGACGTCTGAGTTTCGGAACTGGTGTCAACAGGCGAAGAGGAAATAGAAGCCGAGTTTTTTGTTGCGGAGCTCGCAACAACAGGCGGAGACGGTTCAGAAATTGAGGCTTTTGTCTCAGAACTTGCGACCCCAGACAATGACGGGGTGAAAGTCGATGACTTCGTGGTCGAGCTTGCAACGGCAGGCGATGGCAGGTCGGAGATAGAGGCCTTTGTCTCGGAGCTCGTAGCGTTAGGCAAAAACGAGACAGAAGTCGTGACTTTTGTTTTGGAGCTCGTAGCAACAGGCGACGACAGGTCAGAAAGCGAGGCTTTTGTTTCGGCACTCGTGGGCGCTTTCTCTGAGGAGCTCGTCGAGGTCGACATCGGAGACGCAGGCGCATCGGCTGTGTTGGGTGCAGCTGTGCTCATGGGAGCAGCTTCTGGCTCTGCGGTGCTTGTCGTGGTCGCTGCTGATGTCTTTGATTTCGAGCTCGTCGTTGTGGACGAGGTGGTGGCGGGGGGTTCGTGGTGGTGTTGGTTGGTTCAGGACCATTGGACGATGAGGCAGACCCAGAGGATGAGGAAGAGGAGGACGCCGAGGCGGGTGTATTGGAAGATTGCGATGTCTCCGAGGTGTTAGTGGACGAAGGAGTAGTGGACGAGGGAGCAGACGTCGCGGCCGACGCCGCGCTGGACGACGACGAACCGGAATCAGGCCCACCAAGCGCCTTGCGCGCACTCTCAATAAACCCAGTATTCGCGTAGCCTTGGGTCATATCCCACATCATAACACCGCCGAAGCTTTCGAATTTCTTTGTATATTCGATAATCTCGGCAAGTTTGGCGGCTGGAACGTACCCGGTGCTAGCGGCAGTTGTGTCGGCGGGGACTCCAAGCAGGACCTTCACCTTTTTGTTTTGCGAAACAGTTTTAGCCCAGTTATCCCAAGTCTCAAAATTATACTGTGAGCTTGTCGAGTCGGCGTTGAAGTTGTTGACACCGCAGAAGTTGTTGTAGAATTGGACAAAAACGGCGTCGATAGAGACGGGGCCGTTCAGGATATCCTTGTCTGCCTGATCAGGGTAGGGGCACTGGGGAGCAGCCGTCAAGAAGTATTTCTTGCTGGTATCCTGATCCATCAAAGTGCGCAACTCGGTGGCAAACGTCGCCATATGCGTGACGGTGGCCTCGAAATCAAAATCGAACCCATCTAGAGTGGCATTCCCGAATGGCCGAAGAGCGTCGGATCCCGCTCGAGTCGGGCCAAACGTTTCCCACATCAACTTGGCACCAGCCTTTGCATCCGCTTCTGATTTGAAACCACCTTCACTGTATGTTGCACCACCAATGGACAACAAGATGGTCTTGCCCTTTTGCTGGCAGGTCGTGATATCATCTCTGCAAGATATTAGATTACTTCTTCAGTCCACGCTTCTGCCTGACTCACCCAATTTTTGAACAATTCTTCAATTGGGTTCCTGGGAAGACGTCGCAATCCTGACTGGTGACTGAGAAATCAACCTCTGGAGCGCCTCCAGGCCCATTGATCATCATGTCGAATGCAAGTGGAATAACCTGCTCAATCAGTTAGATTTGCTCCCTCTCAGTATCGAAAGTCCTGGCTCACGGCTTACATCGATATCTTTATCTAGATTTCATTGTCAGCGCACAGACACGTCACTTATTCAGAGCTCTAAAAGACTTACTATCGCAGTAGTAACCCAAAGGTTGTTGAACCTGCCCACCATTTCCTTGCAGTGAATTTTGTCCTGCAAGAATGACAATTGGTCAATATCGATGCTCTTCACACTGTGATCATGAGTTGCTATCATCATACCCCAGTACACAGCGATGTTCTTGGCCGAGTTCAAATCAAGCTTTGCTTCCACGGATCTCAGACTGGCCAGCAGAACTGATCCGAAAAGATACTTCCGGCGCCCATGCATTCTGAATGGCAGAGCTTATTAAACTCGCAGATGCTTGATCCTAGTTCAGCAAATTACCCGTCGGGAAAGGATAATCGATGGGCGACCTCTTGAAGCTTTTCGATGGACGAACAGCAGCCGACTCAAATCGCACGACCGCAATGTTCGGGAGCTCAAGGCCTCAGTGAGCTGGCCTTGTTAAATAACATTGCAACGAGATGCACTCGCATGCACTCCACATGCCATGAATCAAAACAATGGCTCGAGCTTCTGCGCCGTCTGAAGGGTGATCGGCAGCTTCGCGCGTGGTTCGATCCACAAACATGTATTGACCCCACGACAGGTCGAAGTGCCCCCATTCAGAGCCATTAGGTTCCCTGTTCAAGCAAATAGCCTTTGAACCGATATGGAAAGAATCCTGGGCTAAGGGGTTTCATTGGAGTGCCTTTGTTGTAAACAAGCTCGCCTTCATTCCCGGACGGTTGTCAGGGAACTTGGGGAAGGGCCAGGCGTGGAATGTTCCTACATGTCAAAAAGCTGCCGCTCAGCATGCGCTCTAGACTCGGGATTCCCCTCATTGAGCGTTTTCTTGGTGTGTGCAGGTAAGAGAGCAGTTGGCTTAAGAACCTCCCTGCTCTAGTCATCTGGTTCTGGGCGGATGCCTTCTCGCTTTCCGTGAGTACTCTGGTGACATTCCGAGGAATTGAAGAGGTTGTGGTCCGCGTCCACACGGCCCTTGGTTGAAGCCAGGGCGGAAGACTCCAAGCTCGGACCATGTCATCCTTCTCTTCAAACGTCCAGCGCAAACACGAGCTCTTCAAACAAGTAGCGACAGAATATTCGTTTCAGTCGAAGATTGTGGCTAGGTAGGCAGAGAGAGTCTCATCTTGATGTGGTGGTGGGCTTTCAAGGCTGCCGAACAAGTTTAGAGGGACTGTCCAGCGATGGAAGATCAACTACCTAATCGGCAAGCCGCGGAACCACTTCCGCGGCGTGCAGTAAACACATACATACTTCTGAGTGCCGTTTACTCTCTAAGCCTATGGCGGTTCTTAGAGGCCATCTCGGCATCAATTATGTGCAATCCTGAGACTATCTAAAGGTAGCCACTCCTCTCCCCTCCTGAATCACCAAACAATTATCGTGTCAACGGAGGCCTGCAATAAGACGATCCCTGGCGTGGGGCTATGATTTCCAGCAGACAAGTCCTTGTAGGAAGCCTTGCAAAGTCTACTGTGAAAACCCTCGCATAAGCTATCTGCTGACAACGAGAACCACCCAAATGATAAGCCTGTACCTACTATTCAGTACCACAGATGGTAGCATAGGTGTTTAGCACGGCATCGAAGTAAAAAGTATACGCGGTCCATGCTGTAACTACATCTCGAAACCTGCCGAGTTCCAGCTGATTGGAGATTCTTCTTGCAGGCAGTTCGGGCAGTATGCTTCTTACCTGATTAATGCCGAGGTGGCCTCTAATCATCGCCATCCTAGGCCTCGCGCGAGGTCTCGACATGTAGGGGTATAACTTGGCAGTACCTATGGTCTACGGTCCTACAGTATAGGTCGTTGAGGTTGTAGAAAGAGTTCTTGTATCCAGAGTATGAGACGGTGTCTATAAGAAAATCAGACTTGAGATGTTTAACGTGGGATACCAACCACGCGCCGCACAGCCTCGTCGTTGCTCATCGCAGTATCAATAACACCCGCCACTTTGAGTACATCCACGACGCCTTCAATGACCTTGTGATCGACTCCGCGAGTATCATTAGTAAACTTGACATCCTTGAGCCACTCCTTAGCATCTTCCTCGATGTAATGACACCCAAGCTCCCCGGTTCCAAGCAGCGTCACAACTTGGCTAGTGTTCGCTTCAAACTCTTGAATGCCTTTATCCAATATCTGAAACAATTGCTGTAAACGCGAATCCTGCTGCGGGTCGGGGAACACAGCGGTAGAAGCGACGATCATCCATGATGGCCAGGGCGTGAAGATTTCTCCAATCTTCTTCAACGGGGGGTTCGGCTTCTCGGAATTTGGGTGGAAGAATGGCTTGGTCGTGAAATGCTCCCACATGAAGAACTCGGCGGTGGGGTTGGCCTCTTGGTCGAATTTGGCTTCATCCTGACCTGTCACGCCATTTCGAAGAGCACCAAAAGGACCCAGTGGTACGGTGGTCAAGCCGTCGGGTTTCCAGCCCTGTTGTTGAGCGAGAACAAAAGACATGACATGAGAGCCGCTGGACAGCCAGAATTAATCAGCTTTTCCTTGCTCACCACGACCCGCCCATGGTTTGCAGCTTGCAAAAGGTGACAAAATGCACATACCTTCCCAGTCGGCTGACACCGACTCGCTGATCCTTCAGGTCTGGCACACCGTTGATATTGTCGCGGTTGCGACCGGTCACAACCGCCCAGCGTAAAGGATTGTCTACCCAGTGACCAACGACTTTGTATCCTCCCTCAGCCGGGTTCTGAGGTTGAGTCTTGCCGGTAAGACCTGCAACCCACCCCTCAGTCAAGCCAATAGCGAGATCGATCTCATTGCTACGCAGCGAGGTGATCATATGTCCCGTGCCGGAAGGAAATGGAATCAAGGTAACTTCGCACGACAAGGCCGATGCACCCGATGAGCGGAGTGCCAAGTGTAGAGGCGTCAAATAGTGTTCTATTGCCGAAGGCAATCATTCGAATCAGCATATATCCTTCTCTCTCAAAAGTCTCTCTCTCTCTCTCCGCCGCGCTTCAATGCACATCCACAGCATATGCGCCTCGTTTCGGGCAGTGCACACGGAGAACATACCTGGCACGTAGCCGATGCGGATTCGAGGTTTGGCGGTCATGTTTGCGGCTGTGTGTCTCTGGATGACAGAGATTCAGAGGTACGAGAGGCAAATCGACTCGGTCCTCCGAGATGATCGTTGTGACACTTATTGATGTAACGTCCTCCGAAATCGCGGGGTGTGGACCACCGCATACGCGGGGCCGGTGCCGAATCTCTCGCGGGACTCGAGCGGGCGACATATTAATGACAACGTCAGTTGGTAATCTACTATTTACTAGTAGTGTGACCGTGCTGGACCTAGGCTTTCTCCTCCGTTAGACGAAATTCTCAGCAGGAACCCCCCTCGCTAAGATTTACCATTCAGTCTGAGTCGTCTGAAAGCTGTCCATTTTCATTGGAATAATCGGTGAGGTGTTGTGTCATTAGTCTATTCCAACAAACTTATAAGGCGCATCAGTTTTGGATTCAAGGATTGCCGACGGACCGCCTGGTATACATAAAATCGAATCAACCAGCTTCGCGTTGTGCCACCACGACCCTGCAAGACCAACATAGAATGAACCAAAGGACCTCTCAGCCTTGGAACAGAAGATCGACGTGCAAAATTCGAACTTGGCCGAACAATTCGCTGTTCAAAATTTAAAAAATAACCGAGTTATAGACCTAGATCGCAGCGTAAGACTCGAAAAGCGCTAAACTGGTAGTCAAAAACAGACCGCTTAGGTAATTCCAGTCTATGTACTAGTTACATAGTTACCTCAATGTACGGCAACGTTGCTGGCTTATATTTCCTTCAAGGTTCTCGTAGAAGAGAAGGCGAAAAGGACAAAAACAAGATCAGAAATCAGGAGATCGTGCATGGAGGCGATGTCATTTCGGGCGCCCGCATGTTACGGATGGATACACAGTATGGTCTATGGAATCGTTTCGTGGAGAGCTAGTAATTCGTAAATTGCATACCCATGGCTAATCCTTTGGATGTAACTGTATGGATGTTGTTTTCTCCACGACGCCACACGTCACATCAGAGACTGTCTTCGCAGAACATATGCGTCAAGTGTTCAAGTCCATTTCTGGACTACCACGCCGCCTCGCTTAAAGTCCGGCAGATCAGCAAGAGCGACGTTCCGATCGCTCAATTCCTTGCTCGGGAAAGTAGTCATCAACACCCACCCACGGCCACGAGCGTCAGCGCTGGCAGCGGCGACAAACTCGTAAACATCTCCGATGGTGGCAGTGGTATTGAAGCGGGAGCTCAGTCGAGTACCATCTCCCAACCGAATCTGCAAGGTGACGGTAGGTTGCGATTCATCCACTTGAGGCTTGACGACCTCTGACGCCGAGGCTTGGGAAGGAGTAGCGGCAGCCGATGTTGCAGCGGGTGGCTGTGTACTCTGGACACCGGGCGTGGGGCTCCCCAGGCGCTGACCGACGCCTGAGAAGGGCTTGTACTTGGGCTTGGGCTTCACATATTTCTCTTCGTGTTGCTTCAGCTCGACATCCACTTCCTGTCCAGCTTGCACGTTCATGATTGTGAGAGGGGCGCGACCCTGACGGATACCCTCCAAGATTTCGGCGTTTCGGGGGTCGTCGGTGCGATAGAGCTCTCCGTCGTCGACGGAGAATCCATCGGCCCAAAAGTGAAGAGTGCGGTGAACGCGCTGAGGGCGCTGTGATTGAGGCTCGGACGGGGCCTCAATCACCCGGCTCGGAGCATCGTCGCCACCAAGAGTTCGGGCGGTTCCAGTGAAGTAAGAAGGTCGAGACTGAGGCTCATCTGAGGAGGGAGGTTGCGCTCTATTATCAAAAAGGGTTAGCACTTCCGTCTCCACTCGGGCAATTACCCTGATCGCGAGTCCTTACCTGCGTGCCTTTTCCAAGATCTTTCGCTTCAAATCGTCAGGGTTCTGCACCGCCAGGCCTGACTTCTCACCACCTGCGAAGAAGTCCTGGTCTTCCGAGCCATCTTCCGAAGAAGAGTCACCGCCACTTGCTGTCGCAAAGTCGCCAAGTGTAGCGAATTTCTTCTTCGGGGCACTGCGTCGACTAGACGAAGAGGCTTGAGGAGCTGCGGACGACGAAGCTGAGACGGGCTCTCCACTCAGAGTCCGACCACTGCCAGAAGAAGTCTGCTCTGTGTCTAATTTCTGCCCTCCAACTGTGCTCGTTTCCTGTAAAGCTTCGTCCTGGTCTGCGAAGTATTCAGTTACTGCGGCTTCAACATCCCATGCGTTCGCAGAGAGATAATCTATGGCCTATCACAAAAGATATTGAATTCAGTATGCTGGCGCATTAGTCAATGATCGAAGTAAATCTCACCTCTGGGGGTTTTGTGCCTGTCATGTTGCAGAACTGAGACACGACCTCATCGTGCTCTGCGGGGTTGTAGTCCATATTTGGGGTATCGAATGGACGGGCCAGGGTAAAAGAGCGATGGAAACGGAGTGGTATGCGTTCCAGATGATGCGACGCAGAAAGCTCGTATGGCTTGTGATAGCAGGGGTGGAATGGGAAACGATGTTGGTGAATGAGATGGTTGTCAATAATCAAATCGAGCTGTGGTAGCACTGCTAGGCAAGTACCGGGTACGTCACTCGCAATTGGTCCACCGGAGCGGAGGATCTTCCGATCTCCCTTGTGGATGCCTGAAGGCTGAAAACGCAATGAATGTACAGTTGAATGTAAGTAGAAGTGAAGGGCTTGAATGCCATAGCGCTCTGTTTTTTAAGGTATCTGGGTAGAATTGGTGTATCTCTATACTTTGTGCCTGTTGTCCGTTTTGCGAGTAATACTTATGCGCTGCGGGGAATTGAAGTATCGAAGCATTCTGTTGTTGTAATTGAATCTGGGAAAACTCGCGCGCACTTTCCGATTTGATCTTGGTATATTTCTGGCTTTTCTAGGTACGGTCTAAAAATATATTGTATAGTATACGTCTTCTTTGAAGATTAAGCAGTGTCTGGATCTGTCTACAACGTATAATCAATAATCTATCCAACTTCTTGTGATGGAAGCTTGGGCCAGCTCCAGCGGGCGGTGGGCGCGTATGCAGGGTAGTGCTCTTCTGCTGACATAATCTTCATCTGGGCCGCTGGCCTCAGGCCTGAGGTGTCCCACATCCAGTCAGCTGCCCGCGATCTCCATGCATCATAATCGAGGAGCAAGTCGTGGAATACCGTGAATCTTCAATCTACAGCTTGACTTGCATTCACGGACGACCAAGAGCCCGACCGCTCACTATTCTTCTTGAGAGTGAAAAAGCTGGTGAATCTTCACGTTTATCGCAATTTGTCTACCATGTCCTCCGATACCACCGGCTCGCGGGTCGAGCTATACGACTCGGCCATGACGGTCCCTTCCGACTCGGAAAACTACGAGTCCCCATCGTCGCCTCCTTCCACATCAGGATCTCCAATGATTCTCTACAAGCCGCCCTCCGTTTGGGGTCTTCTTCGTGGCGCGGCGATCAATCTGTTCCTCCCGTTCGTGAACGGCCTCATGCTGGGCTTCGGCGAGCTCTTCGCTCATGAAGCGGCCTTCCGACTTGGATGGTCCAACACTAAGGTGAGTGCCTAAGATTGCCATGTCCCGCTTGAGAGCTCTGTACTCAAAAACGTTGTCCTTCCTTTAGATTTTCCCAGCGTACCGCAGAGCACATGCTGTAGGCCCTGGGGTGGAAGTTCGGGAACTTCCTTCAGAGCGCAGGCGGTACACGTCTGCCACGGGCCTGAACGATACCACTTCTCTCGAATAAATGAGCGACCGATATCCTCAACAGACAGTACCCTATATGTGTGTCTCTTTGCAGAGTCATCCTCCGGTTTGACCTTCGAGATCTGCACATCACCAACCAGGCACAAAACAAATAACCGAATCGGCACATGTTCATCCTGGGGGAAAATACCCGATGGCGAATTATCATTTGGCATATATGTGCATGTAAATAGACTGCTCAGCTGGCGTCTGGCGAATTTTCAATATTTCCATTTCATTGAACAGTGCTGAGCCCGAGACCTGGAGCGCAAAGTACGTACATGATCAGACCGTAAGGAAGATGTTTCAATCTCGCGATACACAAATCGGATTTAGATCCAGATCATGGACTCGGGAGATCCCCGACCAAGTGTGCCAGATTCATAAAAGCCATGTCTCATGACAACTTAGAATACTATGCTGCATCAACAAATGTACTCACTTCTTCTTTTCGTGCTGATAGAGTTCCAGTGAGTACTATCACCGCTATTCAACCCTAGCCGTCAATGACTCGGGCTCTCGGCCCTGGATGTTTACTGGGGTTGGCCTCCGCCCGGCAGAAAAAAGTCTCCGCAACAGGATGCGGCATGGTGACCATGGCCCGGCCCTTTGCGAATCAACATATTTATCCTCGCAATTTTGAACCTGTCACCAGCACAATGATGGGAGCTACAGGCCTGGGCGGGCCTAGCAAAGCCGCCGCTATGATGCGACAAAGGCTTGCTACTCAGCCTCGATCCATCCGATCCGTTCGTGATCCAAAAAAGGGCCCTTTTGTTCGGGATAGGGTATCATCAGCAACTAATCGCGTCTCCTCAACTAGATCTCGACTTTACGGCCGAAGCGCTTTCCCGGTCACCGTGGTCAATTGAATTTGACATCATCTGTAAACTCCTCATGGCGTTACACTGCTCTTGCTGCCGGTCCTGCTGCCGTTCGGTTCAATTCCACAACACCTACCCCGAGTCCTGCCCCCGTGGCCGAGTCAACAACCCCGATTGACCCATCCGACGTGGGCTTCGACATTTCCCAGCTTTCGGAGAAGATCGGCTACTTGAAGGAATTGGGGCTGGACTACGGCTGGGGTCCATCCTCAATGCTGCAATATGTCATTGAACACATCCATGTCTACACAGGGCTTCCCTGGTGGGCTAGTATCGTCAGTGCTGCCGTTCTTGTGCGTCTCGCGCTGTTCAAGCCAACGATGGCTGCCTCAGATACCGGCGCTCGTACCCACAATGCCCGCGCTATCATCGATCCTATCCGTCACGAGATGATGAAAGCCCGAATGGATGGACAGACGCATCAGATGCAGATCAAGCAAGCGGAGCTCAAGGAGATCCAGAACGCACATGGTATCAAGCCTATGAAAGCATTCATCCCCATGCTTCAAATTCCCCTGGGCTATGGTATCTTCCGTGTTGTCCGTGGTATGACGGCTCTGCCCGTACCGGGGCTGCTGAGTGAATCGGCATTGTGGTTGAACGACCTGACTGTGGCTGATCCGTACTATCTGATCCCGGTGATCAATGCCAGCTGTTTATATTTCACGCTCAAGGTATGTTGACAAAGTGCATCTCGCAAGTCGAATTCAGGACCTTTAATAGACATACTGACCGCGCGTGAACGAACCCCCCGATTATAGAGAGGTGGTGAGACTGGTACCATGGATATTCTCCAGACCTCTGCCGGCAAAGCACTCTTGATCGGTCTCCCCAGTGTTTCATTCGCCTTCATGGCCTTCCAGCCCGGTGCTTTGCAGCTCTATTTCCTGTCCACCGGTCTGCTTGGCCTGGCGCAAGCCTTCATCATCAACAACAACGCCTTCCGCAACGCCATGGGCATGGCGATCCCCAAGCGAGCCACACCGGCTCAAAACCTGACCAATCTCGAGCAGCTCCAAGCTCGTCTCGCCGAGCTCCAAAAGAACCCGGAAAAGTTCAGGCAACAAGGAGTCGAGGCCTCGGCCTCGGCCCCGGCCTCGGACGCCAGCGTCAGCACCATCGACCGTGTCCAAAAGAACATCTCCAACTGGAGCAACAAGGCCCGTCAGGAAGTGAGCGAAAAGTGGGGCGAGGTCAAGGGCAACACGACCAAGAACGCGGATGGGTCCGTCGCCGCCAAGCCTCGTCTGAGCGCGGAGGCTCAGCGCGCGGCCGAGAGATACGAACAAGAGGCACAGGCTCGGGAGGCGGCTTTGCGCGAGGAACGTAATCATGCTCGTCGGGCTGCTCATATGCGTGCTTTGGCTGCGGAGCGAGAGAAGGCCCAGAACATGTCGAAGAACTTCCAGTCCACTGGGCGGAAGACCCCGTCACGAAGAAAGTGAATGATTCTTTCCCTTCTTCTCTTCTGCATTAACCCTCCTTCATCTCCCTTTCTCAAATTATGTGTATAAACTGTACAACTACGGCGCCTGGATTTATGGCATTATGTTTGTCATGTACTACTGAATAAGATCTCAATTTCATCCGTTGCTATGGTCTGGTGATTACCTTTGTGAAAACAATGTAGACAGGAGAAATCGCCCGTATTTCCAATCTACTTGAATAGGCCAGGAAGAATTAAGATAATTGATGTTGAATATGGTATGTTTCAGCTGAACTTTTGCTGAAACTGCATACGCTTAACGTATGAAACGAGTAATTTGCACCTCAACTAAGAAATGCACTGGTAAGACCATTGCTTTCATGTCTACTCTTGGTGCAATGGAAAGAGTTTGTTCAAATAAAATCAAACCCAAGTCGCTCAATCATGACAGGACCCTCGAAATGTTGACTATCGAAAAATGCGCCGGCCTCCTACACTTCCAGAACTCCATGTGACAGAACCCTTCACACCGAGATTATCCATACTCAACCCCGAGAAACCGACACCTCCCCCTTCACCGTCTCGCTTGTATCGGCGGAGCGCCTCTCGCAAATGTGACGGGAGGAGCTGTCCACGATGAGGGTTGGGAGGTGGACGGAACTCTCGTTTAGGACGAGGGGGGGCCGGGCTTGGGGCGGAAATGGGAGGCGGCTTGGCGATGGATGGGGAGGGGGACACATGTGATGAGGTGGTAGTAGAAAGAGGCCCGGGAGAGGGAGTTGGCTTGTTGTGGTTCATGGGGGCAGAGGATAATCGGTTGTGGTCGTTGTCGGATGGCTCCTTTTTGATGTCATTCACCACGGAGCCTGGATTTGCCGCTGGTGCGGGTGTGCCTGATGGTGTCTGCGATGCTGCTTTGGCTCGTGCAGCTGCGGCGGCTGCGTCGGCTCTAGCTTGAGCTGCTCTCTCGGCGGCGGCTTCTTCAGCGTCAAAGGCAGCCCTGGCGGATGCATCGAAAGCGTCTGCCCATTCTGCCTGGACAGTTCGTGCCTTTTCAATCATTTCTCCGGCAAAGACCTTGGTAAAGCCGTTCACTGTAGTGACCACACTGGCCGGGACGGATTGGGATAGCGCATGATTGACAATTCGACGGAGAGACTCTTTTCGAAGCTTGGCTCGTTTGAAAAGATCATATCGCTCGGATTGCTGGGGATTGAAGGCGTCGACAAGAATGCTGTATTAAAAAAAAATGAAACAAAGGTCAGTCAAGGGCATGCCTCGGCAAAAGAAAAACATCGTCAGACGTCAGGAGAGTGCCAACATACGCCAGATTCTTCTTCTCGGCCTCTGTATCCGTGGTCCCTTCTTCCCTTCCTAACAGCTCCCCCTCATCATCATCCTCATCATCCTCGACATCATCAGCGCCTCCACCAGCACCTCCGGCTCCTCCGGGCCCCATCCCCCCCCGAACAGATCCCTCAGCATCCACCGACCCAAGCCGACCATCACCAGCGCGCGCACTCATCGCATCCTCTCGTTCCCTTTCGCGCTCCTTTTCAGCTTTGCTTTTTCGACCGCGCTTCTTTCCACGAGCAGCACCGGCGAAGACGCCGTCGGCACTGGCACCACCGATGCTCCCTGTGAAACTCCCTGTCACGCTGCCTGCATCGCTTGTTGGGCCGAAGCTACGATCGACACCGTCCAGACCATTTGGGAAGGAGGTCTGCCGGAGAGGGTGCATGCGGGCTTTTTTGCCCACGGGCTGTGAGGCGGAGGATGAGAGGGATGGTCGTTTGAGCGGGTTGGATGTGTTTGGGTATGGAGGTGGCGACGACATCGCTGCGTTCCAATGCTATGCCGAATTTGACGTAGACGTGAGAGGGAAACAAGTCAAGGATTGAAGGGTGAGAAGAGCTGGTAAGGCGAGCGATTGCGAATAATTCGTTTGAGCAACTGCTCGGGAATGCGACTTGCGCAAGCTGCGGATAATTCGTCCCAGTTGCGAAAAGTGGTGGTGTCGGGCGTTGAACAGTTGGGAGAATTGAGATTAATCCAGGTTTGAGATCCGCAAGTGATGTCGATCGATGCCTTCCACAGGGCCTGCCTATGAGAAAAATCCAGTCGTGATTAGATGTGTGTGCGCTGAACTTGTTGAAGACGCGATCAACCCTCAAATGTCCGGCGCCCGTCCACTGCGCCTTGGACACAGACCGCTTTCCCCAAATGGCAACTGAACGCTCAGCCGGAGACGCTATCAAGATAAGAAGCTTAACTGAACGAAGATGGCTTAAGTTGATAGATTATGACCCGGCAAAACATAGTCCGTGTCATGAGTTGCCAGACTTGCACAGATCAATTTATCCTCTACGTGTCGGTTTACGGGTAATGTGGAACTAGAGAAATCTGAGAATGGTAATCAAAATAATAATTGTTTATTCACAATGATTTTCATAAGAAAAAACACAATTAATAGTCAGCTTCAGCTGAGCGACTGGAATGAAAGGACGCTCGGAGCAGGGACATGCAATGATGCGCAAATTTGTAATGACAGCATAAATGACATTTCGCACAAGTGCAGATGGACGACATCAAAACTTCAGAACAAGACTGTGCAAGAGAGACTTCAAGAAATAAGACTCGAAGGTGGTCAAAGGGCCAGAACAGGCTCCAAATGACAGGAAGCAGCGAGGAAATTAGCAAAATGATTCGCATGCAAACAAGCCTCGTGGCTGGATGTAAATGGCTACCATTTTCAAAATTTCTCTCCGAGACGAGGCGCGCCTCCCTTCCAGTCATCCCGCTCATAGTAGCGGAAGACCAGATCATATCCGTTGAGATCGTGAACAATACGGTCAACACGACGGTAGCCCTCGATTTGCTCCATCTTCGGATTGCGTCGCATGGCCTGGCGCTGCGCATGAGCCTCGTTGAAGCCAGTCGCATCGTTAGCGAGGTCTTCGACCGAAGGCTTGGTCTCGAACAGAGTGATACTGAAGCGACCGGGCTTGAAGATTTCAACAACCTGCTGAATGATGTCGGCTGTGGTCTTGCCGTTCTGCGAGTGTGGCACATTGGTCTCAAAGGACGCATACGAGCACTGCGGCTCCGGAGTGACATGGACGGTGAAGTAGTGAGTAGGGGCGTTGCCGTCCGGGGCAGGCACCACACCGTTAGCCGAGAATCCGCATGGAGTGAACAGGTACGCATCGATGCGGGCATCGGGGAACTTGCTCTTCGGATAGACGTCCGACAGGCCACATGCGTCCGACACCACAGTGCCCAAGGCGTGACCCTCGGTGGTCAGCTCGGCGGGCAGAGCATCCGCGTCGAGGTCCTCGGGGTCGGAACCATTGTCGAACACGTCGAGGTGCTCATCGTCGACGTTGGACTTGCGGTGACGCTTTTGGGCCGTGGCCGTGGCGTGTTCCAGGTAGAACTGCTTGGCGTTCTCCTCGTCCAAGTCGGTCATGAGAACCTCGAGAGTCTCATCGTGTTCGTCACAGTCGGAAATCGACGCAGGGCGGGGGAAACTGAGGACCTTTGTCTCCGTTTCGGCGAAGGTACCATCTTCTTCCTCCTTCGGGGTGGCGGGAGGAGTGAGCATGGTGTGAGGCTCCGTCAGATAGAGATACCAATGCTCGCCGTTCATCTTGCCAATCATGTAGGCACTACCGTTCTGGAACAATTTGTCCATGTTGCGAACCTCATCGCGCCAGCTGCGGTGAGGCCCCCGTTGGCGGTCCGGGAACAAGTAATTCTTCCGGCTATAAAAGACGCGGTATGGCGCCGCCGCAACAGAGATGCCGCGCGATGGCGGGGCCGTCGCACGGGGAAAGCCTGCGAAAAGAGCGGCGATCTCCAAGATGCGAGGAAGGCCCGACAGGAGGGTGGTGGTGCCACAAGTCTTGAGAATCAGCTTGTGGGGCCAGACGAACATGCTGGACTCGGACAGGAGGTAGGCGTCCACATCCTCAGAGGAGACGACCGACAGAACTTGGCAGTTGACCAGGTCCAGCATGTCCTTCCAGATCTCGCCGGGCACCTTCTTCAGGCCTTCCGGACCGGCAGCGCCAAGCTCGCTGGCAGAGGGGGCAAACCAGACCTCGAGTAATTTCTCCGGACCTGGAGAAAGAAGATAATTGTCAGAGGTATGCCCGAGCCACATGAACACAAGAGGGAGCTGTCATCTTACCTTCAAAGGCATTGCTAGAGTCGAGGTCTTGGGTAGCCTCATAGTTGATGGTCAAAGACGGAGTCCCCGCAAAAGACGACGGGGACTGCGTGTAGTTCTTCGGAATACCGACGTAAACCATATCCGTGAATTGATGCAGCCGGAGCTGATGACAAACTTGATCAGAGAACGGGGGTCGAAGATGGTCACAGTGTAGTAGAAAAAAAGTAGACGTCGGACCGCCCTGGGAGTTGGTTGACAAAGAGACAGAAGGGCTTTAGAAGCACTGTCTACTTACCCAGACGAACAAGGGGGCGATGCCCGTCTGAGAAGAGAAGGCCCTGAGGGGATTGAGAAAGCTGGCTGGCAGGCCAGGCGAATAGATAGGCTAGTAGACCTGGGAGAGGGGGGGTCGCTAGGGTGGTCGAAAGGCGAACGAGAGGAGCGAAATGTTACAGAGAATTGTGACTGTCAGTCCGGTACCCTCGTGCTGGAAGATACCGATACCGATGAAAGTATCGGGTCTAGCAGACGAGAGTATCTGCTTTAGGAAGAATGAGGTTTGAAGAGGCGGCGGAGCTGGGCGACGACGTGAGTCGTGCTATCGGGGCCTGGAAGTAGAGGACAGGTTAGTATGAAGTTGTATCTGAGTTCGCGCAAAGGTGGAGTCCATGAGGATGCGAAGAATAGACGGAAGTGAGCAACCGAGCTAGTTCACTCTGCGATTGTGATGCGCCAGCGCGAAGAACAGTCACACTGATGGGTAAAGTGAGGAGAGAGAGGAAGGAAGGAAGGATAGAACAGCAAAAAAAAAAAAAAAAAAAAAGAAAAACAAAAGAGAAGAATCGAGGTGAGTCCAATGTCTGCGTGGATCTTACTGCCCTCTCCTCTGTGAGGGGTACCGAAGAGGAAGGGAAACGAAGCCAAAACAACAGAACCGCAGCCACACATACTTTGCAGGCTTGGAGAGAAATCGCAGAAGATCCTTCGGGCTCATTAAAGGCGGGAAAGATAGTTCGGCTTCTTTAACAGAGCACGATGTCGCGCGAGGCCACAGTCGTGAACATGAGAGGAGGGGTAGTCAAAAGGCAGAAAGAAAAAAACGAGGTTTCGGTTTGGCACTGACGGAATCGGCTTTGGAGGGGAGGGAGAGTCCAACTGCGCCTCGGGAGTTGCAATTGACTGCCCTGTGGGCGATGAGACAGAGAGGAAAGCGTGTTTGGAAAAGCGAGAAACAGCGCGGTTGAATTTCTCTTGACAGCTGGTGGGCAGTGAACAAGGCCTCGCGCGGAGCAGAGGAGAGAAACGATGGGTGGGCAGGAAAAAGATTTGCCGTAACGGGCGGACACTTGAGGTGAGCGATTTTGTCTGTGGGCCCGAGAGCTGGTGGGGCGCAGGCGGATCAAAATCTCTGACATCAGGGAAGACGACTTGGGCAGGGCATGCGCTACGGAGTACGCAGTACGGAGAACGGGGGTTACGGTCTGGATGGAGGTACCACTGCAGCAGTGCAGTACTACTGTAGTCGCTATGGAAGTAGAGTAAGGTTATTAGCGGTACGACCTGAAGTAGACTCCCTACTACCTATTACCTAGTAGTAGGGCCAATACTAGCAGCACAGTAGTAGGGAACTGTGAACAACTGGATTCACCACTTCCAATTTCCTCATCGTCTTGTTCTCCCTTGTTTTTTGGGGTAACATCACCATTTCCAGGCTCTACACAACCTCGGTGAAGTCGATTCGGCAAGGAACAGTTCATTAACAGTACATCGTAGTACAGAACTACAAAACTCCCATTGACATTACAGCCACCGGAGTTCATCATGGGCGAGGCCAACGATGCAATCCAATCTGCACTACTCTCGAACCCGATACTCGAGTCATCTTGGAGGCGGAGCAAAAGAAAAGAAAAGCGTGAAAGAACAAGCGCATCGAGAATCTTGGCGCACGCGAGCGGACGGCCCAAGATGCCTGATCCGGGGCCAGTACGCCCAGGTCAATCAGGTCAGTGTACCTGCTCGGTACTCGGTAGTGCGGGATCAGCCCCGGTCGGGCACCGACGCTTCGACGGCGGTGCTCTACGACGACCTTGAAAAAGTCCATAACGAAGGGAACCTGTACCTGACCTTACGTATGCGGCAGCGGTGCACTGCATCAGTGCATGTTCTTCGGGGTGTTGGTGGTGGTCGGGAACTTGGAGGTACTCGTGTCGTCACATTGCAGTACATACTGTCAAAGGTACACACGAGTAGTTGCCCATCCAGGGCCGAGTTGTTCCCTGCACGTCACAGAAGAACTCGAATCGATCCAACCGCGGGGGAACTCCAGGAAACCTTATGCGGGTAGGTCACATGACCGGGCTGGAACTCGATCGCTCCAGGCCGAAGGGCTCTAGTTCCATACTGAATATCAATACAGTGATTATTGAATAGTGAATAGTGAATCCTCACTACTCAGTGAGTCGATTTCTATTCGGCATCAGGCACTGGGCAGGTAGGCAGAGAACTACTTATAGGTCAGTCTACATCAGATCTACAGCAGGCAGCGATCTTCGTCAGAGTAAGAACTGAGTACGCATTTATTCCTATGCAGTGTCATGCTCCGAAGTACGTCAGATCTCAATAGCATCACGTGGTAAACCTGAATCAATATCATCCCATTTCCTCCATCCCCCAAGAACGCCCCGCTCGTAACGCCATGGCAATCCAAAACGATCATCGCAATGCCATGCCGATGCAGTATGGGAAAGAAAAGGAAAAAAAAAAGAACGATCCCAAAGACGCAGAGAAGGAAAAAACCCAGCGCATCAAAGTCGGAATGGCCCCTCAACCCACAACCAACCCAAACTGCTACGATTGCAAAAGCATGTGGGCCAGTTGAACTTCATTGGCGTCGGCAATCTTCGAGGCCAACAGACCGCCAATCTTCTCTGTGAGCATGCCTCGCATGTCGTCGGAGATGGTCTCAGCGTGACCGTTGGACAGGGCAGGCTGAGCGTCACGCAGAGAAGCCAGAACCCCGAGGAGCACGCTCAACACGCGCTCGGCGGCCGGACGACGTGCGCTGTCGTCGAGGCCATCCCCTAGAAGTTTGGAGTAATCCTTCAGGTTAGGGATGACCAGCACGCGGATCACTTCAGCCCCACCCACAGCCTGTAATCCAATCACGGCACCATAATGTGCCCCAAACGGCTTGGAAGGATCGAGGAAGCTCTTCAAGCAGGAACGCACTAGGCGAGGCTTGAGCATGTGTGAAGAGTGGGAGTATTTCTTCGCAATCAACCCGAGCAGCGAGGCTGCCAGATCCCGAAGAGCAAACTGCTCGGAAAGATCATTGGCACCACCCAACGATCGGCCGACGAGACAGGTGAGAATCGAGGGGACGAGAGAGGCAATCTGAAACAAACACATCAGTGGACAGGACACAAGTTCCACGCGCGGGAATACTCACGTAGGGATCGACGTAGAGAGAAGTGTTTTGCACGAGAGCCTCGGCCATGTGCATCACCTGTGTAAGAACAAAAATGTCTTTCAGGGTGTGCGTGACCTTCTCCGCGATGAATTGCACAAAGTATGGCACCAACTGATGAAGGCCTGGGTCGTCTCGTAGACTGGCATAGGCCGAAGTCCGGTACTCCTCGCTCGTCTCGTCCAAGAACGCGCTGCAGACCTTTTCAAAGTAGAGCTGCAGCTCCTTTGAAAGCACATGCTTGACCGTGGGCTTCACCGAAACATCGCCGCTACCACTCATGGCTGCCAAGGTAGAATTGGCGTTGGGTCCCTTGGAGACCAGCTCAAGGTTGCGCGACTCGGCGGCGGTCGGGTTCTGAGGAATGGAAGGCTGAACGCCTTCGACGGCGAGCCAGTGCCCTAGATAGCCAAGAACAAGACTGGTTAGAATCTTACTTTGAGAAAGACTGCGTGATGATCCGGTAAGAGCATACCGGTAAAAGTGACTTCACGGGGAACTTTGGGCAAAGGCGCATTGATCAGTTTCTCAAAGTCCACTTCCTCATCTTCCACGTAGAAAAGCGGTTGGCCGGGACCAAGCGAAGCCTCTCCAAATCGCAGAGGGCGGAGAGACTCGTAACCATAGAGCGGCTCCACGTCCAAGTTCCTCAGAGCGTTGGAAATATCCGAGGTCGTCAGGAGAGTGCGCTTGCCGTGGCGCATGCACTTGAGTGCTTCCTCAAGCACTTGCGCAACCCGGTATTCGACATCACGCGCCAAATTCTCTGTCACGTCGTGATTGAGATTCGTGATACCGACCGACTCTGCAACATCGCGAATGTTGTCAGGATTCCAGACGGACATCGTGGAATGGTGGGATGTGAGGTGAAGTCGCGATCAGCGGTGGAGAGGAATCTAATCTGAGAAGAGGGACGGGTGCGCGAAGGTCGACGATTGGAGGTGAGAACAGAGAGGGTCACTGCTCAAAGCGCAGGGTCGCATGCTCCGGTTTCACCGACGCGAAAAAAAAGCTGGTCAAGGCAGGTATGCACTCTTTTCCAAATAGCGATGCTCTTGATTAAATGAGATTCAAAGTTGATGGGGTGAGAGACTATGAGGCACTGGCAGAATGCGAGGGCAAGTGATGCTGCGCAAATGGCAATCACGGGTAGCCGTAGGAGGTTGAGTCTCGTAGTCGTACTTGATCCTCACAAGGGCTCATATGATTTTGTCGCCGCCATCACAACTTAGGGGAGAGTTTTTCGGATCTTTACGTCTGACTGATCATGCATTACGGCAAATAGCAAGGGAGCTGGTGTCACGAACTTTTTATTAAGAATATGCCGAATTTAGTCATTAAAAAGTGGCCTATTGCCTTGGTAAAAGTAGAGAGGGCCCATTGGCGTTCCTCTGTGCTATGGGTATCATGTAAAAGGAGACAATAAGAAATTGAGTAAGCCAGGATGCCCCTCATTCACTTGGCCACCTCGCTCACAGGCTTCTCCTCCTCCGTCACGGCGGCATCCTTGGTCAGTACCTCAGGCATGGCCGGCTGGGCACTGACGGGGGCAGTGGCCTCTTCGGCGACAGGCTGCTCAACCTTCTCGGGGACGGCGGGCGCAACCACATCAGATGAGGCCTGAGTAGGCTGGCTCTCACTCTGGGCCGCCTCAGGCTCCACCTCATCCTCAACCAACTGCACAGTGCGTGCCCCCTCCCTGAGCTCGGCGCCCTTTCCGCCGTAGGTCTTGGGGATCTGATCTCCAATGGCCGAGGGGAACTCACGGGCAAGGTTGGCTCCGTTAGCGATGGGGTGGAACTTGCGGGTTGTGTTCCGGCTGAGGAAAAGCTTCATGGCGGAGAACATCCAACCCATAATGGACGGGACGTTGACGAAGAACTTCTCGCGCAAGAGCTCCGGGTAGGCAGTCGAGAAGACCTCGATGGTCTGCTTGGTCGCAGCGCGTACGACGGGATCCATGCGCAAGAACTTGACGTGCAGGTAGTCGTGGACCTGAATCATCTGGTAATGGTCCTTCTTGCCGTCGTAGTCAATGACCTCGGTGGCATCCTTCATCTTCAAGTCCTGCACGGCCATCTCCATCAGAGCAGCACGCCATTTGACAAATCTGGATTGAGTGTCAGCTTGCCCTCTCCTTGATTTCCCCTCCGCGACCACAGGGAGATGGACGAGGTGTCTAAAACACCGTGTTCACTTACTCGTTCGAGTCTCCAAAGGTTTTCTTGACATCCTTGACAGCGCCGTAAATGTTCCAGGTGAAGACCAGAGGACGGCCGTCCTGTTCATATGTGGTCAGGTAGCCCAGGCCGTCATACTTGGCAGCACTGTAACGGCCGGACTCGACCAGTGCAATGGGGTTGATCTCCTTGCGCCATTCCAGGGCCTTGCGCAACTGATCCTGGGCCGCCTGCACATTGCCCTCGTTGGCACGGAGAAACTTGATCAGCACATTCACGGTGGGCACGTCCTCGTGATTCTTGAGGACCACACCCCACATCTCTTGGTGTCCCGTCTCCGTCAGGATCTGAGGCAGCTGTTCGAAGAACTGGGTCAGGCCGGCGATCTTGGTCAGGTATTCGGGCTGTTCCTCGACCGAAGGCTCCTGGGGCGTGGCCCCATCAGGGACATGAGCAGCGGGATTGATTGCAGCCGCAGCTGGGAGAGCGGCAGCATCATTGACAGTCTCACAATGCTCAACAGGAGTCTCTTCCGTGGGCTGAACCACTTGAGGCTCGGCTTCTGTCGGGGTGACGGTCTCGGTGGGTGCCGCGGCGGGAGCGGCCGCCGACTGGTCGCTAGCTGGAAGAACTTCGGGAGCTAAAGCTACAGCCTCATCGCGCTTGACGAGTTCGGCCGCTGGAGCTTGTTCAGTGGTGTTGAGGTCAGCCATGGGGGCAGAATTGTTGTTTTCAAAGTATCCTTGAGCTGTGGGCAAGTGAGAGAGGAAAAAGGTGATGAAGAATGGATAAAAGAAAAAACCAAGTTCAGGGGGGGAGGAGAGAAGGGAAAAAGAGCAATCGCGATGCAGGGGCTCGCGGAGTTGTCGAGTCGGCCGTAACCATAGGTCGATTTTAGAGTCGGGCCAGATGCCCCCACCCGCCATCCTGAAGAGGCGGGCATCTGAAACTCCAGAACGGAGCGATGCATTTGATCAAGGAGAACAATCGATCAGATCGATTCCTGGCCGAGAAGAGACTATCTGACTCGAACGATTATCTAGTTCCGGTGCAAAGATTTCGGAGGTCATTATATCTATTCGCCGCCGAAAGATCACCCGGCTATGAGGCAGCTCCATATCTCAAGGCTTCGGAGACGCGGACTGATTCATTGAGCTGCCGGATCTGAACATAAACAATCTCAAATTCAGCCCAGCCCAGCAGCTACCCAGAAAGCACCGCCGAGTGTCGGAAGTGGCTTAACTCCAGGCCAAATGACAATACCCATCCACACATCCCAGTCTGCTGGACAAGCGGCGAGGCAATGCACATACGGTCCGCATAGCAGACTCGTCGGTTGAGAGCGAGGGAAGTCCAGCCCTTTGCATCAATCAAGCCAGCGTGTCGTGTTGGACTGGGATTGTGTCCCTCATCCAATGGCCCGGTCCATCGGGTAGAATCGATGCTGGTCACAGGGGAAGCGGATCCATTATTGTGATCCTTCATATCTTCCTTAAATGCGGTCAGTCGCTCTGCGGCATGCGCCGATGTACGTGTATTTGCACTCTACTGATCATTGATCAAGGCCGTAGGTTCGGTGAATGATCTTCAACTTGTGGAGAAACTGCGAATGAATGCTAAAGTGAAGAGTCAATAGGGAAACCCAGGCTATATCGTACACCACCTTTTATGAATCTTCTGCCTGGTCCTACCACTGTGACCTAGCAGCTAACTCGGCAAGAGGATGAAGCTCCCACCAATCTATATCTTGCTGGGTTGTGGATCACTGGATAGTGGATAGTGATACATTCAATTGTGAATCAATGTTGCATGAACGTACTATTAATGGCCATTAGGAACTCAGTATGATCCCTCGCAAATAAGTACAGGGCACCGGTCGAAGAGTCGCATACCCGATTCACTTGAAATGGCCATGTCTGAGGCACCAGCCCTACCTCACTAGCGAGTCTGACTGGTACTACAAGTACACATGTCTCGACCTCCACATGGCATGAAACGGGCATCATTATCGCGGAGCTGCTACTGCAATTTAGATCTCAATCTTAGAGACCAGAAGGATTCGCGAAGCTCGAGCTAATACAACCTTTCCAGCCGGATTTGGAGCATGCCCCATACGTCTACTTGCACAGTAAATTATCATGAGATTTCATCGATTTCAGGGGTATACCTGACACGCCCGCCCAGCGTACTATCACTGGTGATGCGGGACTCCAAGGCCGCCGTCTGAGCGGTCTAAGTGTGCCCGCCATATGCATTTAGAAGCAAGGACTGCTGAATTATTTGGCCATATGCAAGCAGGAACCCCATATATGTGGTAAACATGCCATGCCGACTTCCTGATTGGGAATATATCACCAGCGAGACTAGACTCCGGTCGGGGGTGAAAGGAGGTAAACGAATATACAATTTGGCCCTTGAACTCTTCAGGGCATCCTATTGATCTGCCTATCTCCTTCTTTCTGCATGACTTGGACCATACCTTCACACTTCAAAGTTCCCAGTCCCTACGACGGAAGCCATATCTGAGATATTCTGTTCCGACCCAGCAAATTCTTTTAATCATACCCACTCTACCTAGCCTCAAACAGGCATAGCCCATCCACCACCCATCCCACTAACTCAATAGAGTTAGCCCAGAGAACATTCATCGAAGACCCTACCTCGGTACCTTATACCTGGTAACTAACATGATGGAGTTGCCTAAATTTCCACAGCCCCACCCTCCTAAATGGAAATGAGTCACAATTCTTCAACAACAAAGCAAGCTGGCGCATAGGAAGCGCGTCGGGCTCATAACCCGAAGGTACCTGGATCGAAACCAGGGCTTGCTATTTTTGTGTCTTGTTTTTTTTTTCTTCCTCTTGTCCACGATGTCTCCTTGTTATTTCTTGCGTGCTTCCAGCAAAGTCTCGTTTCCTCTTGCTTTGGATACCAAGACTGAACACACTGCAATTGACTGCGCGTGAGTCAAATGCTTTTATCTTTCTGAGCAGAGTTGCGGACTAATAGTACGCAATCAGCTTCGCCCAAAAGGCAATATTGAGATGCCAATAATCAGGGGGACCAAATCTACTAAAGTGAGAACCACGTAGTAGCAGGTTTATGGAATGACAGGTTCCATGAATAGGTACGTATACTGCTCAGTGTCTTGAGACCTTGTCGAACTCCAAAGAGCTGTGCTCACGAGCGGCGGACAAGAAAGGCGGGGGAAACCGCACCACTTGAAAGATACTGACGGTCAAATGCTACCAAGCATACTGATACTGATCAAGGCTTCTTGAACCTACTATATTTATATATGATTTGTCATGGTTGAGTCCTCAGAGACTAATTATCAACCCCCCAAAAAAGAGACCATATGGGTAGACTGAGAGAATAAATGGATGGGGTTCAATCTTAGATAAGAAATACCCGACATGAGAAGCAGGCCGCTGGGGAATATGCAAATTGACCGGAATGAAAGAAAATCAAGTAGGAAAAATAGGGCACCTGTAGAAGCACAGCTGAAAGGACAGTTGAACAGGCACTAGATCACCCCGCAATACTCAATACCCTCAGGCGGTCAGGCGGAATGAGTAAGTGCGAAAGGCCGATCGAGAAGCAAGTAGAAGAAAAGCAAATGCTGGGGAACGTGTTGACTCGGTTGGCTTTGCAGAGCTTATTGTCCGCCGTTTTGGAATTTTCCAGGGATGCTAGGAACAGCAGGCGCGGCACCGGGCACAGTCGCATCTTCCTCCTCATCCATCTCATCTTCATCAAGTTCCTCGGGATGCCTGGAAGATATCAGAATTAGTTATGGGGCCATACAATCTCGGGATTCGGCGTCATCCCAGTTACGCATCGTTCTTGACTTACGCGAGTAACTCCTTGATATTGCGCATCTCATAGTGTTTCTTCCGATGCTCCTCAAATTGGCGGTGTTTCTCCTTTGCCTCTTCGGTAGAAATGAGATCGCCCTCTGCCGCAGTCTCATCCCCATTGTTGTCAGGCTCAACCACAACATGCTTGTCACTCTTGTGTGACTCCGTACTCATACTCCGCTCGCGGTAGATCCGAGGGGCCGCGCCTTCCTGGGCACCGGGGTTCTCTTCCGCCTCACCCAGCTCGAGGTCTGGAATGTCGTCCTCCGAAACGCCCTTCTTGTGGTGACCTCCACGAGTGGTCTTGTCGAGTTCATCAACCACTAAATCTTGCGCGTCGATCAATCTTTCTTGAGCCTCTTCCATCTCAATTTCCTCCTCATCCTCAGCTGGGTCATAGTGCGGAGCGTAGGGCGTCTTGGGCTCATCGATCTTCATCTTCGCAGTGCGCTCCTGCTCCGTGAGATAGAGATTCGCCTCGTCCCATTTCAGACGAGGCTCGTTTTCGTCATGCTGAATGACTTGCGATTGCCGACGTAGATCTGAGCCCGACCGCGCGGTCGAGGACCGTCGACGGCCCGCATTCACCAAAGTGTTCTGGAGTGTCAACTCCTTGGTGTCGCCGGTCTCAGCCAGAGGGGAAATGCTCGGCCGCGCCGCTGGAGCGGGCGCAGACACCGGGGCAATTTGGAAAGAGTTGTGATTCTTGAGAATACCTATATAGGGAGGTCGACAATGCTCGATTAGCAAGTTGACCGGATTTGGGCGCTGAACCTCCCTCTACCCCGCTCCTGGTATTCTATTTTTCTCTGCTCTCTTGTGACGAGGAGACTCACCTTTAGGTCTAATATGCACATCGTCGGTGCTTCGAGCCTTTGCAGGCATACTTGGCGCGGTCGTCATGATCGGTGAGAAAATGTGAAGCGCACAGAGACGCGGCGAGAGACTTGATCAAGTGAAGGTTGTTGTGAAGGTTGGTTTCGTTGGAGGGGTAAAATCGCACGGGATGGCTATAAGGCGGGTCTTTTCAATTTTGACCAGGCCCGGCGTTTGAGAGCAAAGGAGTTGAGTTTTGCGACGTCGTGAGACCCTTGAAAGTTGATGTTCGGCCGATGACAAGAGATATGTGAAAATGAAGATCAGCCGTGACTGTTCACTGTCAGCTGCGAGAGTTGAAGACGTGCAGATGGTGAGGGCACGTGGGGTTTGATGACGTCGGGCTTGGCGCCTGACGTCTTCCCGCAGAACTGAAGTACACTTTTGACCCCAGCAGTGAAGCAAGCTGGACATCGACAGAGGATCAGTGCCACCAGTTCCCTATTAGGCTTTATACATTGGGTTACGAGTCAGGTTGCATGCTGGGGAAGAAGTACCCACTCTAGATCTCTTGACTCACGTTCCCACCAGGGGATGACACGCGCCGATCTCCATCTATATATATGTCCCGGGCACTTGACCCGGTCTGCAATTTGCAACCCGGGTAAGGAAGCCGGAATCGTGAGCCGATACCTACTTAGCTGCTCATGGGGACCAGAAGCAGGATGATTCAGAATGTTAGATCGGAAGGACTGGCATGGTTTCAGTTCCGAGTTACATCCTCACAGTGATAAGGACTCCCCCTACACCTTAGTTCCCACTGCACAGTGCATACTGATGGCCTGGGGAAGCTTCGTTGATATCTGCGTAGGTTAGGTCTGCATCCCGTTTTTATTTATATATTCATATATTTAATTACCACTTGGAAGCTTATAGGAGTCTCAAGTCTGCAGTGGGTACCGTATATAGTATATGCCATTTCGCTATGTACTTCAGAAGGTATAATGGTCGGGATTCAATGTCGCGTTTTGGAGAGGTGCCTTTAAGTAACCCGACCGTGCATCTCCCTCCGACTTACCTGCCCGCTGCCTTGTCAACAACCCGAACACGACAGCCGGGCCGGAGGCTGATTTTAGGTAGCTTACCCAGCGACATGAGTAGATGAGATATACCTTGTTTGCCCAGATCATCACTTTCCTGGTTCTCCTGAGCGTCCACGAAATCATCCACTTGGATTCAAAGAAGAATAAACCCATTTTGTTCAGATCTACGCAGAATATATCCTATGCCCTATTCGACATCACGCCAAAGCAAAGATGATCACCCTAGAGGACCACAGAAAGTGTATAGGGTAGAAATGATGACATCAAAAAAAAAGGGGTATCAGTGTATGCATAGAAAGAATCAGACGAGATCAAGGCCTGCCCTGTCGCATCCAGAAGTAGACAAATAGATGTGCAAGAAACAAATGGGTATGAAGTCAAGAATAATAAGACGAAAATTAAGCGCGATGGAAAACATAGTCCTTCAGAGACATGAAGACTCAAAGATGTAAGTCGATGACACAATCAAAGCGCGACTTCTCATGCAATAGAATCAAATTCCTCTCGTTCGCGAAGCCGATTGCGTGCAAGGATGTCCCCTCCGTTGGCTGAAAGCTGCATCCAGTGTAGTGCCAAGCACATGCTCTGCGGATCGGACTTGGAATCCTTGTCGCGCCGATACATCATTTCAGCCTTGAATGTATCACGCGGTCGAGTCAGAGGCAGTGTGACGCGTTGCAGTCGTTCGGGATGAGTTAAATAGAGAATGGCCAATTCACGCTGCGCGATGGGATTCCCCTCCTTGGCTGTAATAATCCACATCTCTGCTGCATCGTCGATAGCATGAACCGGTCGTGAGTGAAAGCCTGCGCCAGGAAGGGGATGTCGTCGCAGGAGCTCTTGAGACACAATTCGATCGGCAACCTCCACCATACCGTGACAAGCTTCTTCTTTGAGGCTCAGAGCAGCCAGACCGAATTGAAGGAATGCGGTTTCGCGATCAGATTTAGCGAAATACTCCGTGGGCACAAAAGCAGATATGTACTGCAAGTCACGAAAGAGTGTCTTTGGCTTGACATCAAGAATCAGTTTTCGTAAGGTAGCAACGATCTTTTCCTCCGCAGGAACATCATGAGTGGAGCGAGTGGACCCGAATGGAAGAGATGCAGCTGGAGCCATTGCCGGGATCGTGGTATCTGCCTGCAACAGCGAAGGTATGTCAAGGTCCGTGAAACTTCGTCGCCCAGTGCATGCTCGGGAAAATGTCTTGGACCCTCTCCCGTTGCCTTGACCGGCCTTGGTGGCCCGTCTAATTGTTGAGTCATTCTCTTGCACAGGTACCAAAGAGGCTATCACCATGGATCGCAAGTCCCTCAATGCGTTAAGCTTGACTAGTGGATTGCCATGACGCGAGAAAGTATCGAGCAGACGGCGGAACGCATCTTCATATGAAAAGCCAGGGAAACCATCTTTGTCAGATCCGCCTCGCAGGTGTCTAGACACGTCTGCGGATGGGCCCTTTTGTGTAAATCTCCAGGAGCGGTCGAGGGATCGACTTCGTCGTGCTCCGCTTGACTGACGCTGCTTTTCAAAGTGAGATCGCTTTTCGTAATCAGAGTAGAACTTCTGAAAAGATGCTTGTTTTTGCATTTGAGCCTTGACCGGTGGGTGGCTTAGGTAGCGGGCGAACCAAGCGTCCGTTTCGCTACCACAGCTCCACACTGGTGAACCCAGATCACTCAAAAGAAGGCTTGTCAGGTGCTGGCGGAGGTCCTCTATGAATTCGTCCTTGCCCTGCACTTTACGCTCGGCACGGCGAGGCTGGCGCATAGCGCCATCGCTGATCATTGAAGGAGGTCGAGAGTAAGCGGTGGAAACACTGGCCGCATATGTGGAGGGGCCTTGATGTGCTGACCAAAATGAACTATGATTATCACTTGTGGTTGTTGTTGTTGTTGACGCAGCACGGCTGGGCGATCCCCCCATTGATGAAACTTCAAACGATGGTAGGTCACGATTCGCTCGGTAACTGTCTGAAAGAAAGCTTTGGATGGAGGGTTTGCGTCCGATAAGCGGCGACAGGTCGGGGGGCCGGTTGTAAGCATCGGAGACGGAAAGATTAGAGCCGAAGAGATGGTGCGAATGAAGATGGTCATCACTGGCTCCAGTGGAGGGCCTTGGCGTCGTTGGTATGGAAAGCCCTGGGAAGGCCCGACCAGCGTGGCCTTCGTAGCTAACGCGCTCTCTTTGAAACAAATCGCTGGCCCAGAGAATTGGGGCCTCTGCCATAGTTTCACCTACCAATCGATTCACGCTTATGCGTACCTCATAGCAGAATCGATGAATCCGCTCTTCTCCCTTGCAAAAGTTCTCGATATTGCTGTGGGCCAGCCACTTACGGGTCAAATCGACCTGTTCATCAGACAACTTCCGAGGACCGCCTTGACTGCAGGGTGCAGTCATCATTTTCAGGACTTGAACCTCAGGCTTCTGAAATAATGAGCTTCCAAGAGAGCGCGTTCCAAACCTGGAACGCGAATATTCGGGCAAATCAGTGGTCTGTGGGCGGGCAGTAGGGATCATCGTCAGGGCAGTAGTGACGTGCCGCGCCTCCTCATATCGCATGGAGTTTTTCACCTCGGTCATGTACCACATCTTGATGCGAATCTTGGTCACGACAGCCATGAGAGATTTGACTTGCGCATGAAGCCGATGCAAGCTTTGATCTATAAACAAGAGCTCCATTTCGCATCGGTCGATCACGTCAATAGATTTCTCAAGCGAGCGCATGCAGCGCTTGTGCATAGGCTCAAGAATCCAAGCGTCACTGTTTGAGCCGTCCGAGAGTGACTGTCGACGCAACTGACGTGTCAGGTTCCACCAGTAATGCGCATTAACGAAATCAGAGTTGTTCTGAGCGGAGAACATGGCACGATTGAAACGCCCCCTGAGCGTCGCCAATGCTATCTTGGGTTCAAGAGCATCTTGGTTCACCTCACCCGCTTGATGGCAGTGGTCCTCGTTGATAAGACGTATTACTGCATTGTGCAAGGCTTCATCGCCTTCCGCCTGGCCGTGATAGTCGAAGGAAGAATCTCGGTCACTACTCATCCTCGAATATGACGGCGTGATAGTGCTCGCAAGTGCACTGTCTTCAGAAGCGACGGACAATATTGTCCAATTCTCTTCAGCAGGATGATCCATCGTAACGCGTCCATGTCTCTCATCCAGATCACTTAGCTCGAAGCGAACACGCGCAGCAGCTTGAGAGATCTGGTCTTCTGAGCGAGCCATATGAGACGAATTTCCATGAGCGATACGCCCAAGTGCAGTTTTGGCAAATGTATTTCCAGTTGACGTTGCAGATCGCAGGCCGTTTGTAGCTTTATGCATTGAGGCGCCGGTGAACCCCGGCGTCGGATCGACTGGAGATCCTGGAGTTGGGAAGAGAGCATCCAGCAAGGTGACGACATCGGCTGAAGATAGGAGAAGGAAGTTTGGTGTTGAATCGTCGCGATGTGCGCAGTCGGCGCTAGACTCCGTTTCGCAGGAAACTTTCGCAGACGACGGCTGGGAAGAATGGTTGACATAAAAGCGGGAAAGCATGTTGTCCACATGAGCTTTTATTGAAGGGCGGAGTACGGAAACATGATGCCTGTGCGGATTGGATAAGTGCGAGTTCGACTGGAGGCTGGGACAGAGTGTCACGAACATTGATCGTAGGACGGCGTAAATTTGAGAATACGCGCGAAGTCCCACTTGTCCAAGTAGCTTCTCCCGAGCGTCTTTACGTATGTGAAAATCGAGCAACAGCCCATGCGCCTAAGAAAACAACAGAATGTCGAGTCAGCCTAGGATCACGAAGAAGAGAAATCAAAAGTCATACCTCCGGATAAGTCAGGGCACTGTAGAGAAATTTGGGAAAGAACCACTGCACAAAGAGATATTCAAGAAAACGGCTGCGGCTGTCAGGTGAATCCAGTCTTCCCAGGACTTCCCGAGCAAATTGAAAGACTGCAGAAGGAAATCCACAGTCTGGATCGTCTAGAACACGGAACAGGCCGTCCACTGCAGAGGCAAAGAATTCCTCGGCCACATCAGTACGCAATGGATCCAAGGCTTCCGGCGTGAAATCCAAACCAGCAGGGCTAGCTGTGTGTTCCAGGAGAAATGCGCCTCTTTGCAGGATGTCCATCAGGTAAAGCTCAAACTGAGGCCGGGCTTTCCAAATGCCGTGCGTAATTGAGGACAAAACTTGACCAACTAAAGGATAGAATTTACTGCTGCCCTGGGATATTAGTTGCGCGCAGACAGTTGACCACACATCCAGCCTCAGTCTGGACTCGGCAGACTCGGAATCCAGTTGCGCAGTGAACACATTACAAAACAAAATGGTCAGCGGGTCCGTCCGTTCAAAAGCATACACATAGTTCTTGAAAGAGGCAGATGTGGTTGAAATTCGGTTCATTGAATACTGGCCGCGGACCCGAGAAGACGAGGATGTGGCAGTAGAAAAGGAAGAAGGGAAAGCAGGGTCTCCAAAGTCCAAGGAAGAGGCTGGGGAGATAAATGTGGCCAGTTGAGCGGATGTGAAGCTGCGGAGACGATTAACCAAGAATTGGGGATCAGAGCGAACTCGATGCAAAATATCCAATAAGTCCGTCCGGGATTGGGGGCTCAGCTGGTGAAGAAAGTCCATGGAAGAATGACGGCCAGCGTCTAAGGAAGGACTTGATTCATCTGACCAGTCCGCCTGCTCGTCGGCTCGCGCAGTGAAATCGCACGACTCCCGAAGATCCAATAGCGTTTGGTAGAGTGAGACAAAGTTGGACTTGTCTTCATGTTTGAGCGTTTCGATCAAGCCTCTTTGGACTGTGTTTCCCACGCGGATCATGCGCGACAAAACTCCGGTGGATACCTTGGCCGTACGCAGGCGAGATTCCAGGCGCTGTCTTTGAATCCGTTTCCGATGGCTTTGGCGATACCGCCGAGCAAGATCCTCGAACGTTATCGAAGGAGTATCGCAGCTCACTGGCTCCGAAAGCGATGCAGCCGTGGGCTCGACTGACGTGGGCTCGACCGACGCTTTCGATTCCCTTGGAGCAGCAGTGGGTGTTCCCAATTTGGGAGTGGATCGGGCCGTGCCATCCAACTCACCTGGGCCCACGGTTGGATCCGCTCTCCAGGCGGATTCTTCTGGCCTCACAACTGGCGCGGAGGGAGTCGTGCATGGAGATGGGGGCAGAGGCAGTGTTGCGGGGTTGATTGACGGTGAAAGTTGATCATTGAGCACATTGTGTTGACAAGGAGGCATCTGCGCGGCTGAGCGGGAGCAAAATGGGAGCAGAAGACCAGGTCAGATTGAGAAGACCAAGTACGGGGTAGAGTCGGGCATCCACCAACGGCAGCTGTGCTAAGACTAGTGGCGATCCTTTGCGCCCAAAATGATTTTGGAGGAGTAGAAGGAGACACAGACAACTCGGCCGCTTTGAGGACGAGGTTAGATGTGATAATCACTCACTAGGTGTTAAAACCAGCGGCGACAGAACTGCGCTGAATGGCAGGTGTGCCATTTCGCTTCTCGTCGTGACGACGAGCGAAATGTTCCAGTCGCGAGATGGTCCTGGCCGCAGCGGGTGGATGCTTATCGCATGATTCTATCGCGGGGTAGATCGCTGACTGAAGGATATAAGGCGATCGATGGGAAGAATGACAAGGTGGTGTACCGTTATTTGCCTCTCTAGATAGATGGATGGAGCTTTCGGATTGTCCACGATTTGGTCTGCGGAAATGACCGTCCTGATCGATTCAAGACGACCACTCTGGTGGACAGTCACAGGCAGGGCGCAGCAACGGGGAGAGCAGGGGCAGAGAGCGCAAAAGACAGGAAGAAGTCGGAGGTGGCAGCAAAGATGGATCGGGGACGGTCAGATCACGAGGAAGCACGAGTAGGGGAGGTGTGTGTGGGAGGTAAGTCGTAGTGGTAATGGAGGAGGTGTTGGTGCCAGATGGTGGCGGAGGGGGAGAGAAAGGATGATGACTGTAGAAAGGTTCGAAAATCACGCGCAGCTGAGCCGGCGAGATCATCAAATCGGCAGCGAGTTGTCACTGCAGTCCGAAGCGACTCGAAGCGGACTCTTGCAGACGGCTTGTCTCAGACCGATCGCAAGCTTGTTGTCAGTTGGTTGGCAGCGGCGTGGCATGCGTGGCCGACGTCGCCATTGTTGGGGACAAAGTACCGGGTACTTGGGGGTGTTTTTCCGTTCCAAGTTGAAGTTGCACGGAGGCTGGTCTTGGGAGTCTGACAGGTACCTCAATTTCTACAACACCGACTGTAGAAGTTGAGGTAGTATCTGACCAGTCCGCCAATCTGCATCAGTAGGTACTCGATCTTCATTTCTCATCGGCGTGAATGCGAGGGAGAGAGGAAGGCGTGCCACCACAGCACTGTAACTGAGTACTGCAGGTAGGTACCTGAGTACTTACCTGCTCTTAATTTCAAGCATTGAAGTATCATCGCTGCACAAGCTTGAGAAGTCTAGTGGTAGGAGTACTACGCTACAAGTACCACAACAGAAGCGTAGTACTCTTATAGGGTTGCTGGATCTCCAGCAGAGTCCGCATCTTCGATTGTTAATTGTAGAGGTCATACCTGGACTCGATGACTCCAGAGTCCAGACGGGCCAGACTGGAATCTCGAATACAATGCTTATGCGGTCTAGTTCAACCTCTAGTGGAGCGTACTAGAATCTTAGTCGTCGCCCATATTAAGTTGTTATCGAATCGGTGATGATACTTCTTGCTAGCCGAGCGACGCAGCTTATACGTGTCTACACTCGACAGTAAGTATACTACCGACTGGCAGGTTTTCGAGCGCTTCCAGCTCGTCTTCCATTCGAGTACCTAGGAAGAAATTGAATGATTTGAAGAGGCTGAAGCAGGTACCATGTTAAATGTTCACTCGAGTACTACTAGGAACGGTTACTAAGTGCTAATTAGTGACTAGCAGTTCGTACCTTAGTACCACGTACCTGACGTGATGAACTCAAACCCTCCATCTGTGCTATACATCTCTTTAGATAGGAGGTAGTCTTTCAGTTCCAGGATGCCTTTCTCCAGACATCTCATCAACCTCAACCCATCCACCTCTACCTAGACACCTCCTCCTCAACGTAAGCGCAAGATCATGATTATTTTTGACTCACAATAGATATTCCCAAAAATTCCTTCGCTTGACTTTTCCGACCGTATGAACCAGGCCGAAAGTAGGGAAACTACTGCTGATTTCTCGAAGAATACTACCATGTCCATCATGTACTACTACTGTCCAGTGTCCAGTGTCCAGCGGTCCACTAATGCAGCAATGATGCGCTGGCACTGCATGCAGGAATGAGGTGGACAGGGTTCCCAAGTGACCCGATGATTCGTCCACCAAACCCCCTCCGGAGGACCAAAGAGCGTCGGGAGTGCATCCTGGCGGAGGTCAGTACGCGGGTTGGCAAAAGTGGATCACTAGGTCCGTCTCTGGTGAGTTGTCGTTGGCTCGATCGGAGATTCAGAGAGAGGGAAAGAAGTAGAAGAAAGAAAGAGAGAGAGAGAGAGAGAGAGAGAGAGAGAGACAGGGGGTTTTCGAAAGAGAGCCACTCGATCGTCATACTGAGGTGTAGGATTTCGAAACCATGATGGGGATCAGGGAGACGAGAGGAGGAATAAGAAAAGTACCCTATAGATCGGAGAGACCCCTAAGTCTACAGTCTACAGTCTACAGTACCATGAGGTAGGTATACTCGGCACAAGATAATCCAGGTACTCGAGCACTCGGGGGTTGGTTGCTGGCATCGGCTAGCGTGCAGCAACTCAGCTGGACCCCAGCTGAGTGGGCGTTTAATCGTCCTGGACTCTGGGATCACGATCCTCCGACTTGATGGTCCACAACTGCACATAGCTTTCCCATGGATGTACCTAGACTGAAGAAGAATAAACTAAAGTACCGGACCGGCCCATAACAAGGTGCCGTGCCCTCACCGTACTCATAGTAGTAACTCATTGTGGCTAAGAAGCCATCCGAGGTACTTTGAACTGCCAATTTACTCTTGCGACCAGTTCATGTCTAGTCATTTCCTCAGCGATTGGGTTCATAACCGAACTCGGTCTTTCCCAAGCAGATCATTATTCACTTGGCCGCAATGAAGGTAACTTGTTCAAATAGTCCAGCCTCATGCGCTGGACCACGACATCAAGATATGCATATGGCCAGAGGCCACATGCATCTGGAGGCGCACTGCGTTGTCCGAATTTGACATCATCTTGAGCTAGGTGTCCTTCAGGATAAGAGTTAATTCGGGTCATGAATGTACTCTACTGCAAGTCTGCAGACCACCGTACGTGGCTCCGATCTCGGATGCTGCCCACGTTTCACACACCGTATCAACGCCACAAGGTTGGTGCAAACGAAGCCACCGGGTATACATCCTTGCAATCAGCTTACCTCCTACGGCAGGATGGTCAGAAAGTCACTAGTGACCAACAGCCAAGTATCGCCGCTGGGGCAACGAGGATCCAATTATTCTGAACAGCTTCAATATTCCAGGGCCAAAGACCCATAAATGCTGGGCGATAAGAGATCTCATCACTGGTCATGACAGTGTCGAGGGATTCCTCCGCAACACAAAAGTATTCAACAAGAACGCCCGTCCACCATGCAAATAACCCGAGGATCAACCAATCAAAACTGTGTAAGGGACTATGTTCAATATGACATCCCCAACAATGGAAGACTAACAAGAGCAAATGTGGGCATCTCAACGCCAGACCCATCTCTTGTCCGTTTCCTTCTGACCTACTCGGACAGCATACTGTTCCAATGTGGCCTTAAGAGTATCCTTGGCAACCTTGGGGAAGCTAGAGTAAAGCAGTGTCAGTCAATCCATCGATCAAGAACAGGGAATCAAGGAGTAAAGTAGGCAGATCGGGAACGAACCGTTTCTTCAAAATCTCAATAGTTCCAACTTTACTGAGATCACTGCTTTCAACAGCTGTCCGAAACTCAGGCAGCTGTTCTGGAGGAAATGGTTTTTTGACCTTGCCGTTCATGATGGAGCGCGCCGCATTGGCAGGGGTCGTAGTTGTGGGATTTGGAACACGAAAGACGTCAAGGGTACTCTTGCTGGGTGCATGAGCTGTTGTCGCATCGAGGAGCTTGGGTTTCTCCCAATAAGCTGTGGAAAAGGGGTCAATTGGGAAGCGGACCGCATCCGAGATGGTTTCGATTTGATACGCCTTCATCTCCGCGGTCACCCCGTCGGCAGCCCAGCACAGTCCAGTGCAGTTGGGCTCCAGATCTCCCACAATGAGTCGACGCTTCCCGCCGACTAAAGCATCATCTTCATCATCAAGGAACTCAGCCATATCATCGTCGCCATCGTCGCTCTCTTCATCATCGTTTTCAGAGTCAAGGTCTTCGCCTTCTTCTTCAGGCTCTTCCCACTCCGCCTCGGAATCATAGTCATAGTTCACCTCGGGTAAGCCTCGATGATATGGGTTGCGGGCAAGCTTGCGCGCAGCAACCTCACCCATGGGCCGGGTAAATGTGCCCTGATAAGGTGGTCGTACATCTTCACCGAATCTGAGTACTTTCATGGGCACCTGGCGGAGGGCCTTGTGGGCCTCCTCGGCAGCCTTATGCTGGTCTTGAGGATCAAGGTCCATCAGAGTTTCATCACCAGCATTCTGCATTCTGCGCAGAAGGTCCTTAACCGAAGGTCCAGAGCGGCCACAGCGCCGACGAAAGGGAATGTACTTGAAAACTTCGGATGGCCGAAATGATGGCTTGAAAGAGCTGTCGGTGCCAGTTACATTCAGTGTCGCGTCGATGGCCTGACGGACGTGCTCAAGCGCTTGTGGGTCGCGCTCAAAGCGATGCAATGGGGCAATTTGCGTGTGTGACTGCAGGAAAAATTCAGGGAAAGCCTTCTGGTAATCCGATAGATCAGGCCTTGTCGGATGTTGCTCGCCACTCTCAGTGGCGATTGAAATGGGGGTTTGCACAGTGACAGAGTTCTCCTCCGTTGGTGCAACTTTGGGGCGAGGAGAGGATGGTTTGGCGAAGAATGAGTTCAGCTTAGGTTGTGCCTGTGGAAAGACAATCTGTTAGGGACTAATGTGAAACGTATAATACGCATAAGAACGGTCTGCCAGCGGAACCTACCCTTTCTTTCTTCAGCTTTTCTTCCTCTTTCCGCTTTCTTTCTTCTTCCTTTGCGGCCTCTTTAGCAGCCCTTTCTTCGTCCTTGGCTTTTCTCTTTTCCTCGCGCTCCGCTTCCCTCTTCTTTTTATCTTCTTCTTTTAATCGTCTCTCCTCCTCACGCTCCTCCTCGCGCTTCTTCTTCTCCTCAGCCCTAAGTCGTTTATCCTCCTCCCTTTTAGCCTTTTCTTCCTGTTTTTGGCGCTCTCGTGCTTCCTTGTCCTGTTGCTTGAGATCCTGACTGACTGGGGAAAGCTTGCGCTTCTTTGAAGCCCGGGCTGAGCTTGAGTCCATCTTTACAGGAGACCCGGAGCCAGCCCTTTGTGAAGTCATGTCCCCCGATGAAGATGTGCACACGAGCAATGACCCCGTAGACCCTGGTATGGCCGCGGTTGGACCACTTCCTACCAGAATTTCTACACTGGGGGGTGCCCCCCACGGGGAGGCCGCCTTTTGCGTCTGTGTAGCTTCTTTGGCCGTCACTGAGCCTGCGGGATCCCGATTCTCCTGGTTCTCAGAGTCGTAAGGCACGATCAAGGCACGCTTGTGCACGGGTGATGATTCAATGGGGCCCTCGAGGTCGTGAATTGATCGTTTCCGTGGGCTTGACGATGGGGACACCGATAATGACTCTTGATTCTGTTGTGATAGGTCGGAGGGAACAGGAGATAAGCTCATGCTTGATTCCATTGAGGTGATTAGAGAAGGGGCACAGTGACGCGCTGTTGTGGCAGTGATTCTACCGCATCGGGCGTTATAAAATGCCTGATGAAGATCGAGGGCTGGGAGGCCTGAGAGTGAACGGCTCCTTGTAGAATGTAGATGTGTCTTGTGTGTGATTCGAGCAGATATTGGGCCAGTCGCTATTTCAAGGGCCACAATTATCCAATTGTCGAGGTCGTTTCGCTCGTTCTGGGAAGGGGGAAATTGTGGGTTGGCGGGACGCGTTAATAGGATTTCGCGCCGCGTCCGATAAGACACGTGCTTCATTAGTAACATTTGAGATAACGACCCAATATGCGGGAGCTTTGAAGTTCCCAGTGAAGATGTTTACTCGCGCAGAGTGTATTAAACTAGTTACGAGATATTTAGGCTGTCAGAATCCCATGGTTTACAACATGACTAGGATAGAAGATCCAGGACAGGAACATGGATGGAGCCAGGATTCAGTAATCTGCCGCCAAGCATTTGGGATATTCGGACAGCGTCCAAGACGAACCGATGTGGCATGGTCAAAGTTGGGCTCCGGCGGAATCGCCAATGATCGAGTCGTTGTGTGTGCATGACGACTATGGTCTTACGAACATGAACAGAACAAGGATTACGAATCTCAAATTGTGTACGTGAAAGATACATAAGACACGAAGACACAGCCGCTATTGAATTTGCTTTGCGCTACGTTGATGCGGAGCTGACTAGTGACTGAGACCGCTCAAGAGCCGAATGGTGGATTGGTGAAGAAGAGCTTGCAGAGCGAATGATAAGCCTGGGTATCACTCTTGGTAAACGAGAAGAGGTACCAGCACACAAAGACATGAGAGGGCACAGGTCGACAGGGTACCAAACACAAGGAAATAGGCGAGGATGGTGGTATCAAAGAGAGAGGGTCATCAAGACCGGCACCGCACGAGCGCCAGTCACATGGATTCGGGAGGAGGTATTATATGCAACAGCGTAAGAGATTAGACTTAGTGGTCACGAGAGATCTCGCAAGACATGACCAGATAACAGTGAGAAGAGCAAGGAAAGAGGTGGGGGGAAAAAAAGGTAGACATGAGAGAGAAGACATGGAAGGAAAAAAAAAAAAAGTAGAAACGCAACGCTGCGTAAAGGAAGAAAAAGAAGAAGAAAAAAGGTGAATCAAGAGACAGCTTCAGGGGAACTGACACCCCCGCTGTTAATCGCTGAGATCCGGATTGGCCACAAATAGTCGTACGTTGGTCATAGAGGTTGTGCGGTCGTCGACACTACCACGTCGTCGGAGATCGTCAGCCTTTTTGGCCTTGGAAGCAGCACTGGTCGCCGCAGTCGGGGCTTCCATATCTGGGACGACGTCGTTTTCACTACTGTTGGTGGTGTGCGTGGTCGCTGCATCATCTTTGAGGGAGGAGAGTCGGCTTTTCTCTTCGGCGTATTTCTCGCCCGAGGTGTTCTCCGACACCCCTGGAAGATCTGACTTTTCGTTGGGAGGAGTGTTGTTGCTGCCCATGGTCCCTGACGGACGCTGATAGCTACTGGAGACTCGGTTGCTGCCAAGGGAGCTCCGGCCACTGCCCGTTCTGCGGTGCATCATGCGTTCTTCGGTGCTGCGCGCATCGTCCTCCTCCTCGCCGATCTCGTTGGCACTCAGGCGAACCGGCACCCTTGCACTAACCAGATTGGATGGGGAAAAGTCCATTCCGGCTTTGGTACCATGTCGAATCTTGCCGCTCGCGATGGTGGATGCGCGACCGGATCCATGCACCTCCAGATACGCTCTCTTCTTGTCTCGCAGCGCTTGCTCGCGCATCCGGGCATCTTCGGGTTGCGCGCGATCGCACCACACGGTTGCTTTTTGTCGCCGCATGAGCGCCACGTAGCCGAGTTGAGAGCCGGCCGAGCGGTTCGACGCGCTGCGTCGAATATCCAATCCGCTTTGGGTCATGTGGCCGGTCGAATTGGTCGAGGTGGTGGTGCTGGACAGACGGCGTGAGGGAGGGAGGCCGACTGGGGGTCCCATGGGGTGCTGCATGGTGGGAGCACCGGAAACCGCTCCGTATGGCGAGGGCGCCACACCACCCGGAAGGACGTTGGAGGATGTGGTGCGAGTGTGGCTGTGGCTGGGTGGTGGGTAGGCAGACTGCGAGGAGAAATTGCGTCGCGGGTCCTGAGGCGGATAGGCGTATCCGGCACGCGGGTGGGAGATGGGTTTTCGGGCGGGGGGTCCCTGGTGAATCGGCATGCGAAACTCGGCGGTCATGGTCGTGGGCGGATAGGGAGCAGCCATGTAGGACTTCGCTTACGACCAGCGCGGCGGAGAGACACAGAGACGTGGGCGACCAAGAAGACTAAGCTAGCTCGGCTTACCAGCAGAGCAGGCTTGGTGAATGAAAGCGGGCCAGTGGACAGCGACTGTGTTGTGTGTGTATGCGCGACGACCCTGCTGGGATTGGCAGCAGAGGCTTGAGCCGATGGGTTGGAGAGGAAGATGAGAGAGGGGGAGAGAGAGAAGAGAGAGAAGAGAGAGGGAGAGAGGGAGAGAGGGAGTGGAAAGGCCAGGAAAGGAATGCCGTGTCTGGGAAACGCGGCGCGCGCGGCTAGCGGATGTAGAGATATCGGCGGGTTGCCGATGACACGGGATATAGCCTTTTGACACTTTGCTCAGGAGTCGGTGGTTGACAATTTCCTAGGTCTAGTCGTCACCTCGTCTGGGAGATGGGGTTGGGAGTATATCGTAATACTCTGGCTGACCACCGTCGGTTCTTTTGTCGCAACGTTTCCGTGGGAGCTTGTCTGCCGCTAAGAAACTCTCGGGGAGGGAGTTCGGACCGGGATGCTTATCAAGAATCACCGACGCTTTCGAAGACCATACGACAGTTGCTTTGAAGGCCCGGTAGGTAGTGTCCGTGCCTCGGGGATTGACCTTGAGAAGAGCAATTGACGAGCGGAAGATCAGAGGGCGAGTGAGATGGGGTTATTGGTGAGGTTGAAACGGAAGTAGGAGGAATGAGGAATGGAAGTCAGGGAAGTGTCGTGGAATGGAGGGACCATCGAAGACGGCGCTAGCACGATATGAGGAGGGGGGGGAGGGGATCACCGTCCGAATGGAGACTGGAGGCCAAGAGCAGCGTGATGGCCGAGAGAGTCGTAGTCGAGGTGCGCGAGCACGAGTGCGTGAGTGAGACAGACTGGGAAGTGGACGAGAGAAGATTTGGCGGCTGCGTGGGGCGGGAACGATTGGATGAGGCGGAAGGGGACGGACCTGAATCTGTCTCTGAAGGGCCCTGGGAAACAAAAAGAAAAGGTGGGAAAAGGTGGCCAAAGGTGCAGAGCGGAACCTGAAGTACAGTATTACAGTATTACAGTATCATAGTAATACAGTTCAGAGAGACTACGAGTACGGTACGACTGGTGTGGTGGTCGGACTAGGTCAGGTACTTGAAGAGTACCACCACTTCTGAAGTTCGGAGTCCTCCAACCTTGAACTCTGCCTGGTGGAGTACTTTCCTCCGGTTTCCCCCCACCGCGCAGTGCGTAGTGCGTATTCAGTACTGTGGCTCACTTGGGCCACTGGCCAGTGGCTACCTACACTCCCGGTTTTTTTCAGTGGTACCACTACCCACGATTCCGCGATGAGAGATTTTTGTTTTCCACTCTGAACGTTACATATCATTGACGCTCGTGTATTGGGTCATCTGAGGGAGCAAAGGACAGTGGAAGTGGTAGATCGACGGTTGAATGTAGGGATGTGCCTGCACAATTCCAGTCTTCGGGAGGTACCTGAAGTTTGACCGCTTTCAGCAGGCAGCGTCCGCGTGAGAGGACTGGGAACGACGAGAGGTCTTTAGCATTTCAATGTCGGTAGCAATGATGAGTGTGAGGTGCTAGGGTCGAGTAAGACTCAGGACTAGGGTGATAGGGTCAGTTGATGCTTACTGTTGACTTGTTCCGGGCAGAGGGTCCACGTTTTGTGTCTGCGAACAGACCGGACAGCCAGCCCCCGAGAGAGGGTGACGGCACTTCCGAGAGGGTTGGAACTTGGGGGCGTGCTGAGATTCCGGGAGAGACCATTGACTCCATCGATGCCACCGCATCCTGATTTCAGCCACACGGGAGGCGGGTCCCTGCCCCCACTGACGTTACAGAATTACAGTACGACCACGACGGATAAGCCGTGTCGGGGTACCAATTCATCAACGTGATCAAGATCGCAACTCTCAGTAAGGTCAGTACTACTACTCACTGTACTCAGAAGTCAGTCGTAGTACTAACACTCAATCTACTCGTGCTGTAGCCTCGGACAGGAAAGACCCGCTGCAGTTGAAGAAGACTTTCTTGCACGAGGGCTGGTTTCTTTCAATTACCATCCCTCTTCGGATGAAGTGTTGTGATGTAGAACGAACACCCAGATTGTATGGGAAGATATTCAAAGTGCCAAGGCACTCCCAACTTTCCCCGTCAGCTGACGAGATTCTTTTGCAATCTGCAATCTGCAATCTGAATCTGAATCTACATCGTGGTATCCCTACATTTCACTTCAAACCAAGAGCATGAGGCTGATCTGCCCCCGATCTTACGAACGATTGACTTTTTAACCAGCTTCGAACCGCCAACCCACGGCCGAGTTGGACTCGACAAGCCGCATTGGGCTATCAACCACAGTTCAGCCCACCGGTGAGGATGCAACGCAACGTTGCAGTGGATCCGCCCTGCCACCCATGGTCCCCAGGTTTCGTGTCCTCGTGTTGGGGAGACTCAGGAGTGTGTGTTCAGGATTAGTAGTATTCAGTCTGCCGTGGCTGAGCCTGAGAGTACTCAGAGTAGCCACTAGCTAGCACTCAGTAATCAGTAGTAGCCTGAAAGAGGTACTCGTGTGAATCTTATCTTGCGAAGGTGGTACTTTTGCCAGGAGTACTGTTTTCTTTCCATTATCTGAAAACCAAGAGTCCTATATGATACAGATAGGGTTCTTTCATTTGTTGTTGTTCCTAAAAGTGTATTGTAGAACCTGGATGGTTGTCGTCAACGTCATTACCCATCTCTGTAGTCTATACCGGGTCAATTGAAGACTTATGTTAGTATCCCCGCCCAACCCGGACCAGAAATGCCCCATTTCAGCCTCGACCAGCACCCCGAAGAAGGAAGCATTCGGCCCTGTCCTGAGCGGCTACGGAGGACCATACCCAAGCCCCCAGGGCCCATGTCCCAACGGGCTCGTGCCTTGGAAAACACACGGACCTGACCATCCCCGGACGAGGCAACTCACGGGTCAATCGTCAGTGGTTCCTTTCCTTTGGATTTGCTTTTGCTGTGCCTGTTGCGTTTGGTTTATTATGTCGTGGATTTTTATTCACCTTCCTCACTCTTGGGATCCTTCGCTTAGAGCAACAGACTCTTTAGGCAAGCCGACCACGGCACACGGACGTTGCGAGTCAAAGCGGCAAGGCATGTTTCAGTCAGGGCGTCATCATCCAGCACCAAAGGAAACTTTGCCAATACTACAGGACTACAGCCCGGGCAGTGAGGGCACAGGTAGGTACCTACCTGAGTATGTAGTATGTACTGACCACTGACCGCTGACCACTGACCACTGACCTGCACCTAATCTCAGGCTCTCGGAGCTCGTGACTGACAAGGTAAAAGGACATGAAATCAAAGCAAATCTTGTAGTGGAGAACCCCAGAGAGTTTCAAACACTCAGCTAGTGAGCCGAGCCCGATTTAGCCGATGCACGAATCGCACGCTACCCGCGTATCGAAAAGCAAGCGCCAGCCAGTATGCGTGACTCTGCTCACGAGCATGGATGGGAATCGATCCAAGCGATCGGAAGTCAAACGATCCGTCGGTCTTGACAGAGCATCTTGGTGTCAACCTCTAACTCGATGGAGAACCACTGTCGCTGCTACTTGACACCACGTGCGTTCCCCAGAATCCTGGAACAAGCTAGGGGCACGGTCGTGAGACTATAACTAGTGCTCAACCCGCTGACTGCCAGTAACTAACTAATTTAGCAGGCTAGTACTAACTCCCGTCGGTAAGGAAGTGCTACAGTACAAGTACCTTAATAAATCACTTTAGTAGTCCGAGCAACTGAGCGAAGATTGGGGTACCTTGGTAGTAGATGGCTGAGGTTAGGTAGATAGTCGGTATTACCTACTAGGTAATCACTACGGGTGGATCAAGTGTCGCGTTGTAGCCGTTCTAAGTTCCCACCGTATCCTACGCACACACTAACAACACTAGTAAGAAATATGATCCACTGGTGAATCGTCAATTAAGTAATCCACACATCTAAGTCTAGTGCTGTAAGTATATGTTGACTCTTTTTTTATGCTATGAAAGGCCATTATGCAGTACCACGGACTGTGGAAGAACCAAAAAAAATGGCCTTTCTCGCTTGTCTCCACCATCTGCCGGTGACGCCGAGACATGCGCCGAGACATTGAGAGGGACTTCCCGCATCCCCGTAACAGCACTTCTTCCAAGAGCCGACTGCACTCAACACTCAACACTCAACTCCGTAGTCTGTACGGTCATAATATTAAGAGTTTATACATACTCAACGCTGCTCATGGGCTCTCCCAAATTCCCAATATAGCAGTTGTTGCACACAGTACACACACTGCTCTCTCTCTCTCTCTCTCTCTCTCTCTCTCTCTCTCTCTCTCTCTCTCTCTCTCAGCATTCCTTCTCATACACAACTCACTCTACCTAGTACCTACTACCCAGCAAGAAAATGTAGATGCTCGAGTCGGACATGCGCGTGCGTCGGTTCCCGTGCCCTTGAGAAGTATGACGTCAGTTTCCTTGTAATTCCCTCACATGAGGATCGGGAAAAGCGTCCCGAGCCCTTTTAGTAACCCTTCAATGTCGAATGGGATGCGCCAACGAGTATCCCGTATGATGTAGTGCAGGTAGTGGTACTAGGGAGTCGAAACTGTCCATGTTCAACACACTACGATCCTGCACAAAGGGCACAATTGCACATAACCCTAAAAGGTTGCCCTTCACACTATTAAGCTTCTTAGTTACGAAGGACCCGGGTGCCGCAGGCGTACTACTATCTAGCATCGATTCCATGCATTGTAGATCTGAGCTCCGGTGGGGGAATCACCCCCTCCCTCAAACGGGCACGCACCAGCCAGCTGGGCTCACTGTGGCCAACCTAAATTGACGCTGCCTCGAGAATTCCCCGTCAATACGGCCGTAACGGCTTTGAGAACCAAAGTTGGACCCGAGTCGGGACAGGAAACCCTCAATAATAACAGTCAACGTCAACAGTCAACAGTACTACAGTACTACATTATGTGTAAAGGGGGGGTTTTTTTTTAATTTTTTTTTTACATGCCGACGAAGCTATCCGATTTGAGCATTGCAGTGACCTCGAGATGCGGAGACGCGACCTCTCGGGCTGATTCAATGATGATTAGAAGGTAGGTATCCGTGCTTGGGTCGGGTGCATTATTTGGATTACTATTTTGTATCCTTTTGGGTGCTCGCTCCGACTGAAGAGGTTCGACCTTTCGACTGCGTTGATTCGCCTGCCGATCCAGCGCGTTTGACCCTCGATTATCTGCCTTGGGCGTGCCTGTTACGATCGTGTAAGGCGAGGGATTATTGTATGAGATGTCTGTCATGACGTGCCTGACTCCCCACTAGAGAGGAAGGTGGAGTCGCAAAGAGCAGCCCTCTGGACTTGTTTGTTTTGCTCTTGGGACTAGTTCAATGATCCAATCGAGTAATCTGAGCTCTCTACGGTCTGAAGAGCAATTGAGGGTTCGATCCCTCGCCGTGAGACATTTCATGTATATTGAAAGCAGCACCGGAGTCTTGAGTGTGGTGGTACAGCATCTACCTCCTTCTTGAAGCTCCAATAGGCGTGTCATGCAGATATCCTGAGATTGACTCGTAGGTTTGCTACCTTCGTATCATTAATGAGCCTTGGGATGAGACTTTGGAAGTTGGTGGATCAAACGAAATCGATCAAGACCTCACCGAAGTTGCTTTCTTGAATCCGTACCACACAGATCAAGATCCGGTCGGTTGTCCGTTGAGAATGGGCGACATTGTTAGGTACTGTACAATGTACATATATCGTATGGTAAAACAATGTACCTTGACATTTTACAGTCGAACTACAGTCGAACCTCTCGGCTCTCGCATACCAGCCACATCCTGTCTCTCACTTTGGAAACTGCCCCTGCGCCGCAAATCAACAGTGGGGCTCGTCGCTTCAACCCTGGCAGTCTTGGCAGGGTTGGAAGGAAGCACACGGAATGGCTTACAGTCTTGTACAACAATCCACCAGGAAACCACAGTCCACCGAGTCCAGTAGTCCACCGATTCACAGAGTCCAGTAGTCCACAACCCGGTCTCTCCAGTGCTCCACAGCTTCGTCCCCAATCCATTGCTCACAGGTTCTCAAACATCCCTGGAGACTCGGGGAGTCGGGAGACTCTGGAGACAGGTCCGAAGACCGATCATCACGGATCAGTCATTGGATCTGACTTTCAAACAATCACAATGTGTTAGTCATGACGTCAGTCAGTCTACACTCTACTATCTCCACAGACTCATGCAGTGCTCCAGTCTCCGACTCATCACAACTTTCGCCAAGTTTCGTCGGATCTCTTATCACAACTTTCGCCAAGTTTCGCCGGATCCGACAGCCAACCTGTTCCGCGGACAGGCCGTTTCCGCAACTCGAGGGTTTGGTGTGCCTGGTGACGCGCTTGCAAGTTGCAGAAAGAAATTCAGGCACGCACGGTTTGAAAAGGAAAAAAAAAGGCAATCTTTGCCATCCTCCTGTGGCCAGTGCCGAGTCCATATAGAATTTGATGTACATTGTACAGTAGTAGGAAGTCTATAGAAAGTCTAGGAACTAGGTGCTGGTGCAATCTCCACTGACCTGAGGATTAAGCATCACGGAGCACCATGAATTACCCGAGAGTTGAGCACAAGCAGATCGAGATTATTCACTCTCGAGGACCAGTATATCTACTATCGAGTAGTACACAACTATACATAGTTGCACACTGGACTTCGTACAGTAAGGTGGGTACTGGTAGTATGTACTATTCGTACTCGTAGTGACTCTAGAGTCTGGATAATCCATGCAGAACTTTCCACTCACAGGTGGAGACTGAGCAATACATTCAAACTTACTTTTTTCCTGCCTAATCAATGGAATGGCCGGTTTGACGAGGGCGTAAATTAATGTTGTCATTGATTGAGAACATCGTTATTCTCTCGGTAGTCTAGACCTCCTGGTCTACTAGGCAACTCGGAGCTGATCGACCGGAGAGATATCAGAGAGTTCTCCTGTAGATAACTTTTTTTTTTTTTTTTTTTTTTTTTTTTTGGCTGGATTCGCAAACTTTCAAAGTTCTAGGAGGGAATTGAAATGGTTTGACCTTTCGACTGGAGCTATATTGTTGTGGGAAAAAAAAAGGGTGGGTGATTCCACAGCCTCCACGGGTCCGCAGTCCACACCTGTTCGAACTGAATCCCATGTCAGGTGCGGTGATAACTGGACATTCTGCACATCACCAAGATGCACAATCACATGTGACCAGACCTCTTGTCCGGCATCGTTTACAACTTGGCCCGATCCATCAAAATCAAGGCCCCATCATCGCGCACCTGAAAATCCCTACCGGCCTCCCATCCCATCCACGAACGAAGCGTCTCCACTCCTCCTCCACCCGGTTCAAGCCCGCCACCAGTCCACCCACCTTCCTCTGCCTTGATGGGATGACTCGGCGTGCGCGACAAATGCACCGCCGGACGCTGCTCATAACCCGCCGCCTCCAACTCGGCATGCGTCAAGACAGGCGTCGCGCACGCATCAGTCCCATCAAAGACGGCCTCCCACTCCGCCCGCGTCTTTTCCTTGAACCGCTGCGTGAAGATGTCGCGAAGCACAGGCCAGTTCGACCGATCTTCACGCTCCGGTAGCTTGTCCGCCTCGAGATCGAGACCCCGCAGCAGCGCCGCGTAAAATTGTGGCTCCAGCGCGCCCACCGCAAAGTACTGCCCGCGGTCTTTGGTCTCGTACGTGTCGTAGTAGGGACATCCGCTATCGAGAAGGTTCTCGCCGCGAGGCTGGTCCCACGCGCCAGTCTTGGTCGCGAGACGCGGGAAGGTCGCCAGATAGGCGGATCCGTCCACCATATTGGCCTCGACGACCTGGCCTTGTCCCGTCGAGGTGCGGGCCATCAGCGCCAGCAGAATGCCCAAGAAACACATGGCTCCGCCGCCGGCGAAATCACCGAGAATGTTCCCCGGGGCGTAGGGCTTATCGCCTGCGCGACCCAGCATGGAGAGGACCCCCGAAACAGCAATGTAATTGATATCATGGCCCGCCATGTCTTTGTACTTGCCGTCGCGACGGAAGCCCGTCATCCGCGCTACAATCAGACGAGGGTTGTGCTTCAGAAGGACCTCTGTAGGCGACAGACCGAGACGTTCGAGGACCCCGGGTCGGAACGGGTCGATCAAGACATCCGTGTTGGCGAGGAGACGAAGGAGGATCTCGCGTGATTGACGGTCTCGAAGATCAAGGCTGATCGAGGTCTTGCGGCGCGTGAGTGAGTCCATGTTGACCGCAGAGGGTCGATCGATTCTCAAGACACTGGCACCATAGTCTGCGAGTAACAAACCGGAAAATGGACCTGTCGAGATACCATGTCTAGTTGTCAGTCAAGAAAAGATCCGCCCGCATCAAGGGGGGGGGGGGGGGGGGGTTCCCGCTGCGCAAGTAAAGGAGGCTTTACCTGGAGCTAAACCAGCCAGCTCAAGGACCCGAATACCAGTCAAGGGAGGGTTGAGGGGAGCCATTTATCTTGCCCAAGTCCAAGAGTGTGTCAAGGCTCTCTGCTCAATCAGAAGTAAAGTCTTGATATTCAAGAGCGCAACGTGTCGCATCCCCCATGCAACTCGAGACTGCTGGATTTCCATCGACGGCAGGGGACCTTCTCGGGCTCTTCCCCGCAGCCGAGGCCCGTGGCAAAGGAGCCGTGTGCGGGGGACCAGAGAGAGCACAGTGGCATATTTATTATTGTAACTTGGAACTTGATTGTGCTTTGCTGAGTAACCGGACCCCTTCACATTAGTGGAGAACATCCCTGTCAGTAAGTAGTGGCACAGCTGATTGCAGCATGAATGCTGTTCACAACTTCATATACTTGAAGACCTACAACACCATCGATCCGTGAATAGTCCAAGGTAGTAGTTAATTTGACAATGACTTGGCTTCTGCACATGCTTTAATATTTCAGGAAGAACCTTTCTAGGTCAGTTGGCACTTGTGCCTCAGCATAGGCTACACTCTATTGCTGTCAGCGACCCAGGAATCGATCAAGGAATTCAAACCTGGTTCAAATGCTACTGGAAGATCTGAGCTTAGCTACCTGGTGCACATCGCGGGTCGACTAATCATTCGAAGAAACTCAACAATAGTCTTTTAGCGCGTGATCTACACAACATCTGATTACAATGCCGTAAGTAGTAAGTACTATGTCACATTGAGTAAGTTTTTGTTTATCCAAATTAGGATTTAGGTCTATGTTCAAGTTGGGACATCATTTTTTTTTTCACGCACGGCCGGGGGAATATTCTCCATTAAAGGGCCAAACAGTCAGTCGTTGAGAAAGAAATCACTCCTCCACTCTGACATGCCAAAGCGTACCGAAGATCGAGGGCTTAGAATAGAAAAAAAAATATTCACAATTGGCATCATAAATAACATGAAAGAGGGACCCCACACTCAAGGGATAAGAAAAGGGTCACACAGAAATTAAGATACAAAAAAAAAAGAAAGAAAAGAAAGGCCAAAAAGTGAGGCAAACGGTCACGCTTCAGAATGTACTAAATTCTCTGTGTTCAAAGGAACATGGCAAAAGCTGCAAGAACGGTCATGAAAATGGCCGCGAAGTTGGTGACTCCGGACCGAGATGCAGCACCATTCCAGACGGGTGAAACACCCTCGGGGGTGGCACTGGCCGTGGACTGGCTCTGAGAAGAGCTGCTAGTGGGTCGCACGGTGAACGTCGGGGTCTGGGTAGGCTTGTGAGCAATGCTTGAGATTGATCCCGAGCCGATAGGGCGGGAAGACGCCGAGCTGATGTGCTTGTTGACAGCAGGCTGGGTAGGAACAAGGATGATGGTGCCAGTCACGGTGGTACTGGGACCATTGGCACTGGGAACACCAGGAGCTCCGGTAGCGGCAGAGGCACCGGTAGGAGTGACCACCACGGTGTGAGGAACGGTGACAGTGACGGTAGAGCCGGTAGGGCCACACTCCTTGCAGAAAGACACGGTGGTGGTCCAGATCTCGGTAACGGCGTTAGGACCCGAGGGAGAAGAGGGTACGGAGGTGGTCTGCGCAGCGGGAGTGGAAACGGGCTTGGTCAGAGTCACGGTTGTAGGGGTAGCCGCACAGTGAGTGCAAACCGTGACGGTGGTGGTCCATCCCTCAGGAATTGAAGGCGTAGTGGTCGCAACTCCGGAAGCAGGTCCAGTCACGCTAGCAGTGGCCTCGGGGCACACAGTAGTGGTGATGGTCGTTGTGATGGTGGTGAAACCAGTGGGGCAAATGTCAGTGTACGAAGTCACAATCACAGTGGTGACAACCTCAGGGGTGGTGGACGTGGGCGCGGTGGTCACAGAAGGCGAAGCATTGATGGTGGAAGTGATGGTGGAGGGTCCACTTCCATTGCCTCCAGGGACGGTAGTAGCGGATGAAGTGCCAATCGCACCAACACCGGACGAAGTGGAAGATCCTGCACCCGAAGCACCGGAGGAGGCCGAAGTAGACAATGCTGTCGAAGTAGCCGACACACCAACCGAGGTGGCAGTGTTAGTACCGGTGACCGGCACCGAGCTGGTCTCGTCACAGTCAGAGCTGGAAGGACCAGCAGAAGCACTGGAGACAGTGGTTGACTGAGAAGGAATCAAGGGCGTAGAAGATCCCGAAACCACGGGAATCGAAGTGGAACCAGCGGGAATTGAAGTGCTGGAGCCAACAGGGCTCGATCCGGCAGGAGTCGAAGTGTGAACGACGGGAGTTGAGGTGCTTGAGCCGGCAGGGTTGGACACAGTAGGGGTGTAAGTGTGCGGGATAAGAGGAGTCGAGGATCCTGAAGTCATGTGGGTAGTAGTGCTAGAACCAACAGAGGTCGAGGTATGGGACACGACGGGGACTGAAGAGCTGGAGCCAACAACATGGGTCGAGGTGCTCGAGCCGACAGGAGTTGAGACAGAAGCCGAAGTGTGGGAGACCACGGGGACTGAAGAGCTGGAGCCAACAACATGGGTCGAGGTGCTCGAGCCGACAAGAGTTGAGACAGAAGCCGAAGTGTGGGAGACAACAGGGACTGAAGAGCTGGAGCCAACAACATGGGTCGAGGTGCTCGAGCCGACAGAAGTTGAGACAGAAGCCGAAGTGTGGGAGGCCACGGGGACTGAAGAGCTGGAGCCAACAACATGGGTCGAGGTGCTCGAGCCGACAGGAGTTGAGACAGAAGCCGAAGTGTGGGAGACAACAGGGACTGAAGAGCTGGAGCCAACAACATGGGTCGAGGTGCTCGAGCCGACAGAAGTTGAGACAGAAGCCGAAGTGTGGGAGACCACGGGGACCGAAGAGCTGGAGCCGACGGAAGTTGAAGCAGATACGGCAGTGGAGCTGGACACCACAGCAGAGGAAGAAGTGGCGACGACGGGGGTAGAGGTGCTGGAAACGACGGTAGTCGAGGAGGAGTCCACGGCAGTCGTTGTGATCACGACAGGGACAGAGGTCGAGGTAACTGAAGTGTGAACAGGAGTAGGAGTCACCACAATGGTGGTGGTCTGAGGAGGAGCACAGCTATCGAGAATGTCCTTCATCTGCTGATAGTATGTACGGCCCGAGGCATCCTTGTTTTTCTGTGCATAGGTCGCCTCCCACAACATGATACCACCAAAGACCTTGGGGTAGAATGCCATGTACCAGCGGACAATGGTCGACACCTGAGTAGCGTCGATGTAGTAACCGTCATTGGCGGCCTGGGGGGCGGCAGGCAGACCGATGAAGAGCTTCGCATCTGGGTTGGGGTTGCTGGCGACGATGCCGGCCCAGGTATCAAAGTTGAAGGTACCGTCGACGAAGTTCTTAGCGGAGCAGCCCTCGTTGTTGTAGAATTGCACCCAGACAAAGTCAAGAGCGGTGCTGGCAATCGCGTCGCCGAGCTGAGCGTCCGGAGTCGGGCACTGAGGGGCAGCAGAGATGTAGAACTTCTTGTCGGGTTGCTCTTGGAAGCGCATGTGCAGACGCTTGATCATAGTTTTCCAGCCTATTGTTGTAGCAGGTCAATATCAGATCATCAGACAAGAGTAGGGGAGGGAAGATCATCAATGGGTCCACCGAGCTCCAAAACATACCAGTGTGGCCACCGTGCTCGATATCAAAGTCGAATCCATCCACCACATTGTCACCGAACGGACGAGGGTACTGGTCCGCCACGGCGGGATTGACAGGACCGAACGAGTACCACAAGAAATCGGCGAACCATTTTGCCTGAGCGTCATTGGTGATCTGACCGGTGGTGTAGGCACCGCCGATGGAGAGCATTATCGTCTTTCCCATCTGCTTACAGATGGGAATGTCGTCGACGATCTGGTGACAGCCCGAGAGCAAGTCAGAGCCGGGATAGACGTTGCCATCGCACTGGTTGCCAAAGTTGGAGCCAGGGTAGGCGCCTTGGGTAGGGAAACCATTGATGAAGCCAAGATTGATGATGTCGATGTCAGTCTGAGCACAAAAGTCTCGAAGACGATGCTGATTAGGTCCTTGGCCCTATTGGAAAAGGTTAGTCGAGGATGTCACTCGAGAATAAGAGATCGCAAGAGTGGATCGATCAACGCACCCAGTAAACGGCGACGTTCGTCTTGGCGTCCACATTCAACGCAAGACTGGGAAGGACCAAGGAAGACAGAGCCGCAATGGCGGCAACAGTTTTGGTGAAAACCATTATAGCGAGTATGATCAATCAATCGGAAAAAACACAGTATATACTTGATCGTATGTGTAAAGAGTGAGGGAGAGCAGAGGCACACCAGCCTGATGCAGCTGTCAAGATTCTGAATGAATGGAAGGGCAATACTGCCTCGTTGGGGGGGGGGGGGGGGTATCAACGAAAGGACGCAAACAAACGTTTGCTGAAACACCGTCACTCAAGGAAAGAGAGTGAGATAGATCGGAGCTTAGATCCAAGGGAAAGAGAGAGAAGAGACGGCAGGGTTAGAAGACGGCGGACCCGTCCATTTAAGAAAGGGAACCGTCATCACGATCGTTGGGTCAGGGCCCATGGACGAGATGGAGTCTTAGTGTGGACCGGGGAGGCTCGCCTGCATCTCGGAAATTGCACAGTCCATTAGCCTGTTGAGTTCATTGAGGCTAAGAGCCTCGACTCATTAGAGCATTCATCACTGATTGGGAGAACTCATTAAGGCGCGGCCCACGAGTGGCCTCGAATCATGCGGAGGAGGCACCAGCAGCGAGAAAGTAGGGGGTAGACGGAGGTTTGTTCGTGCAATCGCCGATGTCTCCTTTGCCCAGTTACTTCCGGTACCCCCGTTCGCGGTGTGGGCACGTAGTAAAAGTGGTGTACTGGATACTTCTCCAGTAGTAGCGAGCCGCTAGTACTGCAAGACTGGTAGTAGCCTGGAGCACCACTTTCCGCAGTCAGCCTTTCTTCGCTCCCCACTTGGACAAGGTTCAACCAATGGAGCATTCACATGTTCCATCCATCTGAGTGCGATGGGTCCTTTCCCTGACAAAGTAGGAGGAGGGAGACAAACACTGCCGTCGACTCAGAAAGGAGGGAAAAAACGGAGTCAGACTCGGTCCCGGCTGGGCCGCAGGCATGGGCTGTGACGGGGCGTGAGGCGCACGCCATTACACACTTCCGCTGCCCGCGGGCTACGCCTGACAGGTCCATCGCAGAGGTGGACTCTTCTGCCAGCTTGGGTGGGATTCGGTTCCCCCACATGAGAGGGGGAGAGAGAGAGAGTTCGCGGAAAAGACCATAGTTAGGTCAACTTGACCACGACTGACGGTGCAGTGGCATGTACACAACTACACATGCCATGGAACAGGACGGCATGGCGTGGGCCTCAGATGGGAAGGCATCCACAGTTCCACGCCCTCCGACAAGACTGGGAAGTGGCGATGGAATTGTGAACGCACTCAATAGAGCGTGTGATTCGAATGGGTCAAGCGCCCTTGGCATCGGAGGCATCGTAAGAGCCGCATGCAGGCGAAGTGGAGAGATTGAGAAAGGAGGGATGAAAAAACTCAGATCGTGCTGCACTAGATTCGGTCTAGTCCCGTGCGAGCTGGTCGGTGCGGTCAACAACACACAACGTGCTTGGGCAGGTTCTGGACGCCCGGCCTGAGCCGATGTGGGTCCCACGGGACGAGGAACGAGTCAGGTCCAAAATCCAAAGGCGGCTGGTCCCTACGAACATTACACGATTACAGTCTAGTTCTACTATATAGTACATTCCTACCTCAAATCTTTCCTATTATAGCAGTATATCATAGGATGCCTCATCAATCAACAGTCAGTGGAATGATGGCGATTGCGCTTGAGGTATCTGAACCCTCGAAGGATGCGTTCTTGGTGTTTACCCAAAAGGCAGGAGATAGCACGGGATTTTTAATGAATGAAGAGGTCCAGCAGGCTGATTTTTCAGCCTGGTAGCAGACCCACGGCTGGAAAGACGAACCTGCCGATCACCCCAGTGGACCAGTCAACCACACTGTGAAGTGTTAACTGTAGCATCTCAATCATGATCCATGCAAGAGAGGATGTTGATGCCTGGTGAGCCCTACAGCAACGGTGCATGGTCGATGAGAAGCATGAGAAGGACCCAAAACAGCTTTCGTCAAGGGTAGTCTCAAACCCGTCTCGGGAGGGAATAGGGGCTTCCCGTGTTTGTATACACCGTAATACAAGGTCCTTAGTAAGGGTTGTGTGGTCACTGGTCAGTAGTGATATGTACTTAGAAACTTCACGGCTAAGCGAGGATCAATGATCTCGGCACTAAACACTGAACAGTCAACACTGAAACAGACCCAATAGTCAGGAACATACTCTCATCACTGATCAGTGATCACTACTAATGCAGCCGACATATTTTTCAAAATCGTTGCAGTGCCACTCCTTTGGACCCCTGGGCAGCAAATGTACTCTCAAAAGCACAAATACAAGGAGGCCCCCAAGCGAAACCACCCACGAGAGTCCAAGCCCCTCATTGATTCGAGCACAAAATAATCCCCTCGTCATGCCGGCGGCACATGAAGTGACCTGGACCTCTAGCGACTTCCCTTTTCGGTCTCGCGTGGCGCACGAGCCTCGCGCCCTCGAGGTGAGCTGCAGGGTCCGACCAATCGCATCCCGCGTGTGCCTTGGAGTGCAAGTGGAGTCGGGAAACCCTATCCGGATCTGCCGTCCATTCACACGAGTCAGCTTTAGGGGCTTGGAGTGGATCAGTAGTCGGTACAGGACTACAGGTACATACTACTCCACCCACTGCATCCACCTCATTGACTGCACTCTGCAGTGCTGCTGTCTGACCGTCCGGAGTGACTCGAGTCCCCATGGACCATCTCGGTTAGAGCGAGGGCCATGATTTCCAAGCCGAGGCAGTGCATGGCTGCATGATACATGAGAACCGCTCACCGTGTCAGAAGTGACTTGAATGCCATTCACCAGACTGCAGGTTAGTTACATCATGTTGACGACTGGATCTGCAAACCACACTGAACTCTCGTGTGTTTGAACCCCCCCCCCCCCCCCAATCTTTGCGGTTCTCCTCAATCAAAGTTGCGCCTTTTGACATCCCCAGTCCCCACTCGGGTCATACGTATACGAGAGCATGGATGAAGAAAGAATCCATGATTGTTCGATAGCAAACTACGAGAAAGACTACGGCGGGCGGGCGAAGCCGTCTCTGTATATTCTGCGCCCTTCAGTGCAGATTACGAGACAGCACCGTCATAGACCGGAGGACTCAGTCCTGGAGTATTCTTGTCTTCGAGAGCCCCGAACGGGAAGTACTCAGCCCAGTAACGATTTCCAACCTTGAACCTTCGAGGTTGGACAAGAATGCTGAGTAATCGAAATCTCACCTCACCTGCATGATCCATCATGCTGGCCATTCACCGGGGGAACTCCCCGAATTCTCACGCGCCAAGGAGTGCAATCTTGCACTTTAACCGCTTGCCCCAGTACAGTCTCTGCAGTGTGGAAAGTGCAGAATGTAAACCGTAATACTTCGAAATTTGATAGATTCCAGCGACAATCAACTTCAAGGTGGCCATTGTCAGAATGGGTGAAGTGCACATGAACGCCTAATGCTAGGACTAGCTCCTCCAGCTAAGGTTAGCTGCCTGTCTGACAGTAGTGCTAACATCCGTTACCTATCTCGTACTCCTTTTTCGGCGTACACCCAAGCCCCGGAGAATCGTTCTCGAGGTTGACTCTTACTGTCTTAAATATGCTGGTTGGCCAGTAAACTGACAAGGGGTCCTGCAATGGATCTATGCAGGGACCGGACAGAAGAGGACCGGCATCTGCTTCTTACTCCAAGGACAGTGTCTTCCTTCCGGATTTATCTTCATCTTACTGTAAAGCGTCAGGAACAGCGCGCCAAACCAGTCACCGGGTATACAAAAAGCCACCTCTAGCACAAATCTCACGCCAAGGCAGAGCCAAGATCTTGGGGGCCCAAGGAAACCCGTTGTCGTACAATGGGCGTCGGGCCGGCCAATATGATGATCTGGGTTATCTCGGAGATCATGCCTTCCCGGCAATAGCGGTTGAATCTGCCTGCATTAGCTTGGGCTGTAAGCGGTCATATTCAGGTACTGATGCCTGTCATCGGCGGACAAGGCAAGGACCCATGAAATGATGGACCCTCTGCACACGAGTCAGCAAATTACCGGGTGCATGTGCCTGAATGGGCTGCGTTTGCCAAGGCTCAAGAGGTATGAACGGCGGTCCGCCAATCTAGGGTCTCTGACCGGATGTGAGAGCAATAGTGCGCCTACTTCTGCGCACGTGGGGTTCTTGATTAAATATTCTCATCTTTAACAGTAATCTGAGGCAAGTTTCGTCAAGTTGCTTTGTGGTGTGAAATCCTTTCTTGAATTCTCTGGAAAAGCAAAAAAACGTTGCCTTTATTGCGTGTATTATCACATTCCGCGTCCAAGTCGTATAAGACCAAAACAATCCTTCTGGACTCTGTCAATACTAAATAGAGCTCTGACCCGACATCCCCGACATCCCTGACATTCCTTTAAGATGGGTCTTTTGGAATGAACTGTTTGATCTTACGAATCGGACATAGCTAAGGTTGGCTCGTAGAGGTAGGACACCAGGAACTGGAAAATACAACACGTCCGGCTACCATGGTCTGATATTATACTCAATGAACTCGTACTATATTTCAGCATCATTATCATAGCTATCGTCAACAAAATCACAAGTCCAAACGTTCGAAACAGGCCAGCTGCCAGAAACTCCGATAAAGAGACATCCCAACTTCAAGCCTGCTTATCTTCCACGTGCTCTTCATAAGATATCTCCTGCTTTCTGTCTTGAATTTGATGCACCAGCTCCTTCTTCGCATCCTCACCTTCAAAGGGATAGGCAAGCTCTTCCAGTGTCGGACCGGCCGTCTCAACGAAGAAGAAGTACACAACCAAGAGGACGATGAATACCCACACACAGTAATAGATATAGAACTTCCATCCAATATTCTTCAGCGCAATTGGATTCACGTAGCTTCCAAAGATTGAAGAAACTTGAATGGTCAACAGAACAAATGCCCAAGCCTTGGCTCTCATCTGCAAGGTGACCAGCTCAAGTGGATAGGTCACAATCAAGTTGGTCCACGCAAAGGTGTAGAAGGCCTGGAAGATGAAGATACACGCAATCACCAGTCGACCCGCGGCAAGCGAATTATGTTCGAGATACTGCTGGGCTGCAATTGTCCAGACGATAAACGTGACAAGAACACCGCCCGAGCCTGTCAGGAAGAAGAAGCGACGGCGGAAGCGATCAATGATCAAAGTGACAAAGATAGCCACAATATACTGCCAAAGAGTGACCATGCCATTGACCAGAGTAATCTCGTACTTGGTTTTCAACCCAGTATCCTTCAAGATCTGAGTCAAGTAGTTCGAGACGAGCAGGTTTCCGGAACTCTGACTGAAGAGCGCTGTTGCAAAGCAAAGGAAGATGCGCTTCAGGTTGGCCTTGGAAGAGAAAAAGTCTCGCCATGTCATATTATTCTCGGCCTCCTTGATGATGGCCTGCTGGATCTCAGCGCATTCCACTTCGACCAGCTCCGAGTTGGGATCGCATTCGCCATGAAACTTGATCAAAATCTCACGCGCCTCCTGCACTCGGCCCTTTGCAATGAGCCATCGTGGAGACTCTGGACAGAACCAAATGAGGCAGAACTGATAGGCCGATGGAAAAATTTGAATGAGCGTCGGCAGGCGCCATGACCACTGGCTGTTGATACGATAACAGCCAAAAGTGGCCCATGCCCCAATGACATAGCCCAGCACGATTGATGTGTTGTAGAAAGTTGTAACCTGCACGCGCTCCTTCGGGTGAGACAATTCAGTGACCAAGACCGGTGCTCCCATTTGGATCAATGAGGAGCCAACACCCAGGATTATCTTGCCGCCAATGTACATGTTCAAAGAGGTAGCGAAAAACTCGATGAGGACTCCGGCAATGATCACAACTGATCCCAAAGCGGTGGGCAGACGACGGCCCCATTTGTCACCGATCCAGCTGAGAAAGATGAAGGGAATGACGCCTCCGATGGCGTTTGAAGCTCCAAAAAAGCCAAGTTTGGCCCCTTCGGGGTGTCCGAATCTATCTTGCCACGAATTGAGGACTTGCATCCCGTTTGTCATTGACTAGGCAGATTGATCAGCATTGCGTAAGGGAGGTTTCTCGAATGCGAGGCTGACGTGCCCCATCTATACCAAGTGCAGCACTAGCTAGCAATGACGATGTGAGCAGGAAGTAGAGCAAGATGCCATTTTTCCTTCGCCAGAAGGGCTGCATCAAATCAACATTGATGGGCGAAGCAATGCCCTCGGCAGCATGAGCTGCAGCAGGAGCCATGGCGTAATGAGTCAAACTTGAAGCGGCTTCAGGGCCTCAGAATTTTCGGGAGACAACGAAGCTAATTCAAGCTGGTTGTAGTGGGTGATGATGCTCTCAAAACATGCCCTGGTCTGGGCGTTCCAGTCTTTTATATGTCACCAGACCGCACCCTCAAAACCCGTGTGATGAGAGTTGCTCCTGTCTTTGGAGGACTGGAAGACTGAGTGACTCTCATGCTGGAAGACATAGAATTGCCGAATTCAAAAAAGCACACTGGGGAAAGTGGATCGTGGGGAAGAAGATTTTGGTTGGGGGTACACCATTGAAGGTCTATGCGGGGACGGCGAAATCTGATCGGGGAAACAATTACTCTCAATTCTCCGAAACCCGCATTCCAAAGGCCGGTGCCAATTTCCCCGACCCTCTTCTCTCTTGGATAGGCGGGGGCGGCTTCGCCCATGCGCGGAAGGCAACAAGCCACGCCGCTCTCGCCGTTATAAGGTGAACCTAAAGAATTCATTTGAAAGTCAAGTGTTCTTCGTCCAATTCACTTTTTAGCAGTCTGCAACGAAAGGTTGACTTATAGAAATGGCGCCTCCTTTGCCATCTGCTTCCCTGCCCAGTGACTTTGAATGGGGATTCGCGACAGCTTCCTACCAAATCGAGGGAGCCGTCGCTGAAGATGGCCGAGGAAAGTCAATTTGGGACAACTTCTGTCACCTCGAACCCTCAAGGACAAAAGGCGCCAATGGCGACGTTGCTTGCGACCATTATCATCGCTTCGAAGAAGACTTTGATCTCTTGTCCAAGTATGGTGCAAAAGCCTACCGCCTCTCCCTGTCTTGGTCGAGAATTATTACTTTGGGAGGTCGCTCAGATCCCATTAATGAGCAAGGTGTTGCCTTCTACAACCGTCTGATTGATGCTCTTTTGGCACGGGGTATTGTGCCATGGATTACGTTGTACCATTGGGATCTTCCACAAGGCATCCATGATAGATATGGGGGCTGGCTCGACGTAGAGGAGTCCCAATTAGATTTCGAGCGATATGCAAAGGTCTGCTATGAGCGCTTCGGTGACCGTGTCAAGCACTGGATCACACTGAACGAACCGTGGATCGTATCGATCTTTGTGAGTGTCCGACTTCGTGCTTCTGATACATATGACAAGGGAGCTAATTATGATCTAGGGGTACTCAACCGGGGGTAACGCACCAGGAAGAAGCAGCACCAACCCTCAGTCTACAGAGGGTGATTCTGCAACAGAACCCTGGATTGTAGGCAAAGCTCTTATCATGAGCCATGCTCGTGCGGTGGCACTTTACAACAAAGAGTTCAAATTTTCACAAAGAGGCAAAATCGGTATTTCATTGAATGGAGATTACTACGAGCCTTGGGACTCGCAAGATGAGCATGATCACCAGGCAGCTGAGCGCCGAATGGAATTTCATATTGGCTGGTTTGCCAACCCTATTTGGTATATGTTACCCCTGAGGTGCTTTCTTTGTTGAGACTGCGTATCGCTGACTTCTGGTATCGAAATGTACAGCCTTGCAGAGGACTATCCTGAGTGTATGAGGTCGCAGCTGGGCGATCGTCTGCCCAAGCTCACAGAGGCCGATCTTCTGACGCTTCGTGACGCTGAAGTCGATTTCTATGGCATGAACTATTATACTTCCCAGTTTGCTCGTCATTGCCATAGTCCGGCCTCGAGTGAGGACTACAAGGGAAATGTTGATGAGCTTCAGGAGAACAATGAAGGCTTGTCAGTTGGTGAACCCTCTGGTGTTCACTGGTTGCGGTCAACTCCTGCTTTGTTCCGCAAACATCTGACTCGGATCTACCGGAAGTACAAAAAGCCGATATATATAACCGAGAATGGATGCCCTTGTCCTGGCGAAGATCGCATGACCGTGGAGGAGGCCGTGAATGATATCTATCGCATTCGCTATTTCCAAGACCACATCAACGCCGTCGCTTTATCGCGGGATGAAGACGGCTCTGATATCAGGGGTTACTTTGCGTGGTCACTCATGGACAACCTTGGTACTTATTCTCTTCCAACGTTACCTCATATTTCGAGTCTTGGGTGTTCAACTGACACATGCTATAGAATGGTCGGATGGCTACGGTGTCCGCTTTGGGGTCACTTTCACAGATTACGACACACTCGAAAGAACCCCCAAAAAGTCTGCATTACTTCTCAAAGATATCATCGAGAGTCATATGGTTCTCCAAAGTGGTCTTGCGGGAGTCAAGGAGAGCAGCATCTGAAACCAAGAAGATTGTTGATGGTAGAATACGAATTGCTTCATTTTGCATAATGGCCGATGCTTGCCGTCCCGAAACGTAGGCCAATTCTGACTGTAAGATCCATTCAAGTCAATACATGTCCTGCATGAGGCTGCGTAAAGAGCAGCAAGAGTTATGAGACAGCGGGGTACCTATGAAGGAACTAAGCTTTCAAATTTAGGATGGACCCGGTCTTAGTCCGAGAGCAAGCGCATTACAGAGACGGTCTAGCGATTTCATGGAGCCCAATATCTATGAGGAACCCGAAGATGCTGCCGCTTCAACTTCATGTTCTCTCTTCCCGAATATCTTCATTCTGCAGCTGTTTCCCGAAGAGGTCTGTTTATTCCCGCCTCTGCCTGGGCGCATGGTGACTGATTTGGCTTGATTGACTCTCACAAACCGCTCGCCCTGTTCCTGAATTGGCAGCTTGAGCGGAGAAACCTCGGTCGGGGTAAACGGCGGGGGATATTGATCGGGAACACTGCAGTCGGGAACCTTTCTCGCGACCCAGTTTCCCAATTTCCCAATTTCCCATTCCCCGTGTCTCTGCTAGATTCTTGAATGATAATTCCGCAGATCCATTTATTTCTCCGATTTCCCCAACCCTGAACTTCTGGAGGCTGCGTAGCGCTATAATGGCAGCTGCGGTGTCTGATGTTTCTCCGCGACCAAGGCCCCGAGCGTGTGATCGCTGCCGACTGCGTAAAGCAAAGGTATGGTTGTTTGATGGTGATGGAGTGTGGACCCGAATGACGGACTTGACTCTATTCAAGCTAAACTTCTGAATTTCTAGTGTGACTGTTCGGATCCATCATCCAACTGCCTCAGTTGCCGCGTGGCAGGCAAGCAATGCACATTTGATCTTCCAGTTTCTCGTCGCGGCCCTAAAGCGAAAAGGCGTGGAGTAACTACGGAAGCACAAGGACTCTCACCACACAGTCCAGCCACACCTGGAGTGCGGTCGCAAAAACAGTTGCCTCTTCCACGGCCGAGATTTGAGGTGTCTGGTAACTCAGAAATTCTGGAGCCATGGGGAACAGGACCAGCTCCTTCCATCGGTCTCGACGCCGGGCTTTCGCCAGTGACTGCTCATACAGCCTCAACACTTCTGTCCCATTCAACCCCGAGCGGTGGAGCCGTCGCCACTATCGATCGATGGAATGCTCTTGCACGAAAGCTATACCAGCGAAGATCATCGCTTGTTCTGAAAGATCTCATCAATCACTGCTTTGATCTGTTCTTTACATACCTCTTCCCTCTCATTCCCCTTGTCCATGAACCCAGCATACGATATGGGTTGAGCTATTTCACACATGACGAAAGTCAGGGACCCATTGAGCCCAGCTTGAGCTTGGTAAGTGGGTGTGGCAGCATGAAATATCCAGAACTATGGCCCGATATGACTTTCACTCTCATCACGGCTGTCTGCGCGGAAGTGGCATTCCTCTTGCCCAAAGATATTTTCTCAGAGGGCGACACGGTGGCAGACTTATTACTACAAGCTTCACGGAGCTGTCTCGCGACATATCTGGAAGCTGATCTTGAATACCCCAATGCCAATTCCGTGGTCATTCGGTACCTACACTCCAACTGCATGCATGCTGCGGGGAAACCAAGAATATCGTGGCACATTTTTGGTGAAGCGACCCGGCTGGCACAAGTGCTTCAAATGCACGACGAGGGGTCTATCAAAGATGTTCTCCCTCTCGAAGCCGAGTTCCGCCGAAGAGCTTTTTGGATCACGTACATTGGAGACAAATCTGCCGCGATCTTGAACAATCGTCCAATCACGATTCACAAATTCTCCTTCGAGTCGGGAATAACAATGAGATATCCCGTCGGAGCTGAAGATGAGATGGTTGCCAGTCCGGAAAGTACACATGCAGACGACCTCACAACTCGGAACAGTTTTTTGGCCGGTTTCAATGCCAACTTACGAATATGGCAACTAGCATCAGACCTCCTCCTAGAGATCCGTTTGATCGAGAACCGCAAGACTCCGCCGATGGTTGGTATCCATGGCTTCTCACCCGAAGACAGACTGCGGTTGGATCAGCTATATGTGCTCTTCGTCACCTCTCTCGATACTCTTCCTCCAAACCTGCGCGATGACAAACTTTTGACAAATGCCCGGGAAAATATGGAAGGTATGGACGATCTATCAAGAACCTACACCATTCAAGGGGTCAACCTGTACGTCACTCTATATTGTCTGAAGATGGTCATTGCCCAAAAATTCGAGGAAACGCAGTATTTCCTCGCGGACCACAATGAATTGTTGCTGTTGAGAAAAACAGAGGTCGCTCGAAGCATGGTGAAATTCATTCGAGATGCTCCATTCTGGGCACTCCAGGTCAATGGCGAGCCCTGCGTAAGATTTTCTACGAATCAGATAATTTCAATGCTGCATCAACTCACAATGAACGATTAGGTCGAAAAAATACGTTTGATCGGGGCAAGTCTTTTAGGGATCATTGATCAACACGAGACCTCGCCTCTGTCGGCTCGTGCGCAGGCTGATCTCTCCGTGCTGCTGGACATTCTGACTCGGCTTGATTCCAAGGCATCCGATACCCTACGTCGGTCTGTCTGATATTGCGAAGAAAATATAGTCTGTTTAGAATCTGTCTTCGGCCGCAGAGAGGAGAAGGGCAGCAAAATCGGAGCATTGTCTCAAACGTTTTCTTTCCTTAGCTTGGACCATATATCTACTGATCAATCACGGCCAAGGTATACAGAATCTTTGTGAAGTCTCTTCGACAGAAATCGAAAGTACGTTGCACGCAATACCCCATGGAAAGAGCACCGTTCCTTTCCCTCCTTGTATGCCAAGTAGATATAATCGAGAAGTTAAAAGACGGTCCTCCACCCTGTCTTTTTGGACCGCTGCCAAGAACCGTTTCAAGCCGTCCACACTCGTGTATGAACCAAGTCTCATTGTGGCAAGGACGTAGAAGCGGAAGCTCCAAAAATTCCAGGGGATCATCGAGTCAGCCTTTCCAAGATTGAGGTTGAAGAAAATCCGAATCCCCGAATCTGGAGTTGATTTCCAATTCACCGAATCTCCGCAATGGGGTGCTTGGAGCTTCGCGACCTTCAGACTTCAGAGACTGCCGAGCCGTTGATCGGTCAATCTCAAGGATACGTGGATTTACCGCCGCTGCTGATCTCCTTCTCTATTCAAACGGCGCTTCGTGTTCACTGGATTTCTCCGACGCCACTTCTCTGAAAGACAGCCCGGTGCCGAGAGGGAAGTTCTTGTCTTCAACCGTCAATTGCCTCCTGTCTCCACCACGGGCATGACCCGCAGTCCAAATTGGCCGCCGATTATTCCCCAGATCTGCAAGTCCCTCAGGATTCCTGATAGTGCGGGGATCCTGACAAATGGGTATCAGCGGACCGTAGGAGTATGCCTAGGCAAGATTGTCCCAGCAGTATCGCGGCGAAGTCAGAACGTGCAGGCGGAGCAATCGATTGTCGCTGAACCAAATAAATACAGCATGTGAGATCCCCCAATCCAGAGAAAAAAAGACTTGAAGACCATCCCTTAGCAGCTCGGAGTCCTTGACACTATAGTCACTTCCTCACACCGGCATCCAGACTAAACTCAAGTCAAGCATCGAGAATGCACTTTCGCCAGGTCTCATTAGGCCTCACTTGCGCCACTCTGGCGGCTGCCCTGCCTGGCAACTCGCTGAGACGCAACGAGCCCTCATGTCGTTTTGCCCAGCAGTACACCGAGAAAGAAGTCCTGAAAGATCCCTCCAACTTCATTCAGGATATGCTGTACTGGGAGGGCAAATTCCACCAAAACAATGTCTCGTATAATTCAGAAAATGGCATGTCTTACGATGGAACCAACATTGACTGGGAAACCGGAGAGCGAACAGTCAAACATCCTTTCAGTGCCGCGAGCAAAGAGGTCAGCATCCCGATTATCTATGACTGCGTTAATCTTGACCAAAATTTACAATCAATTTGAACCAGTCCCTGCAAGTTATGCTCTACGCCCACGCGATCTCGGGATCACCAGACGCAGCTCGGGTGATTTCTCCCAACAATCCGTCAGCCGCTCCCGAGATCGTAGCGTCAATCATGGACCTCAAGTTGCAAACATATTTGAGATTCAATGAGACCTATCCCGGGTTCGGTGGTTTCCTGCCATGGTTCACCTCCAGTTCACAGGATATCACACCAACGTGGGACTGGAACAACCGCGTTCCAGGCTTGGATAATGGGTATCGAATTTGGCTGCTCGTGGTTTGAAAAGAAGTTTTGACTAACAGTGGGTTTAGTGAGCTGCTTTGGGCTGTATATGCCTTCATTCAGGCCGCCGAGAACACGTCCAACAAGTCGTATCATAATCTTGCCAGGAAATGGCAATCCTGGATGGATTACACCAAGACCACTATTACTCAGGTAAGCATGGCGAGATTCGAAGGAAAGTCTTCATAACGTGCCGATGCTGACTTTTCTCCTCCTGCCCAGATCTTCTATCGGGGCTCAGGTAAACTCTGCGCTGTTGTGGACATCGCAAACCAGACTTTGTCAGTCAATCATCCCGATCAGAAGTATGCTTGCGAAGGGTCCAGTTATCTTGATGACCCCTACGAGGGAGAGCTCTTTACATGGTGGCTCCAGTTCTTTGGAGGTCTGCCCGATGCCGAGATTGAAGATCTTTGGACGTTCAAGAGAGCAAAGTTGCAGAGTATCGACTACCACATGGGCAAATATGGCCCGATCACTGTTCAGAAAGGTAAGGATGTTCTTCGACGCAAAGTGGGAAGTACGACGCTAATATCGCTTCATGAAGGATACTGGTTTTCCAGCCACGAGACCTGGAAAGTCATGGAAATGCCATATTACGATATTGACATTATTCGGTGAGTCGACGCTTCTTTTGCCTAAGGTAGTTTTGCCCTTCGCTAAACCTTGGACCTTCATAGTCGCGTCTTCAAGAACGCAGAGCGAGTTCGCACTTGCAACTCTGTCACCACTCATGTTCCTGGCATGTTTGCGTCTGTCAACAATGTCACAGATCCGTCCACTGGTGATGTCGTCGGCTATATTTCGAACGCTGGTATTCCGTCCATTGCAAACCAGACTGTTCAGGAGCTTGATGTGATCACTCCTTACAGTGTCTTCCCTACAGTGCTCTTTGATAAGGCCGTCGGCATGGCCTGGTGGAGAAATATGGCTATTGCCAAGAAAATGCAAAGTCAGTCACGATCATGAATCATCATCTCTCAAGACATCTACTGACTGTTCACAGACATTTACGGCAGCACCGAGTCAACTCGCCGTGACGGAGCCGGCGTCTCTGCCTTGCTCACCTGGGATAGCAAAGTCACTACAGTGAATTCGATTCTTGGCGGAGTCTCAGGCTTTGTTCGGCAGAAGATGAAGTCTGACAAAATTTACTCGACATTTGTGAACCGAATCGAGGTGCGTATTTCCCATCTTCATAATTGATTGTTATCTACCTCCTGAAGCCTTGAATCGTTGCCAACAAGTACCACAGATGGAATATTCGCGTGTTTTCCAACAATTAAAGGGAGAACACGTTGACTTTTGTCTACCAAAGGAAACCGTTCCGGATGCCGGACTCACTGACTTTGGAACCTGCAAGTGAGCGCCTCCTGCGATCTACTGGAAGGCCTCGCAGTCTCAGGTAGAAGCATGTTACTGCATCTGTTTACTCATGGTTTCGCCGTCGTGTGTGGAGGGCAAATACCTGTTGCACATATTGCAATGAGGGTGCGCAACAGGCCCGACTTACTCCAGAGTCGGCTGGCGCTCTGCGCGAGGAGAGTGTGGACTTTTTTTTCGAGACAGTCTATAGATCATGACAGCTTCCGACCGACGCGAGTCATTTGAGAGTCAGGGAATACCATAATCATACCTCACCTTGTCACCAAGGAGAAGTTCAAGACGAAGAGCTCAGAGACACAGCAAGGCGTACATATTTGGAGGAACAGAGTTTCATCCCTCCAATAAATCTAAGCTTGGGTCGCAGGACCGGGTAGATAGAAGCAAGTGGTGTTAAAGGAGGGCCCATAGCAGAAAGTGCTTGCGGCTCCCCACGACATGAATGATCATGTTCGAGAAGTCGTTCGTTTGACGTAGCATACTAACTCCTACTCCATCAGCATTCCAATATTAGAGCCCTCGCTCGAACCATTTGGCTTGCTACAATTCACGTCAACGCATTGAAATAAGAGACTTCAAGGATGCTTCTTATCCTCCTGGAGGACCTGTGAATCTAAGTTCCTTGCCGTCCACAGGGCATCCCTGCGATCACGTGACTGGATCTACTAAATGGACGGCCTTGTTGCACCGCGTAGTTCGCATCGCGTCGTATCTTGGAAATGAGCACTAATTCATTGGGTAGTATGAAATTTGGGGGGCAATGATGCTTATGATACTTGCATCTTTTCGCTACAATGGCGACAGCGAAAACAAGCATCCGGCACTGTATGATCGGAGTTGACCCTGCGTCATCGAGGGATCTTGCTTGATTGCCCCTACCCATACGTCGATGCCATCTGCGCAGCCCTTCGACATCAACTCCTTCGGAAGATATCCCGTGGATGATGCAATCATATTATTTTCCTGACAAACGGCAGAAAACTGCCTCGAGAGATTAATATGGCTTGCAAGGTTCAACGTTCAAGGGCCATGGACCAATCCCTGGACCTCGCGACGAGGGCTCAAGGATGTCTTTCCAGCTTGTCCAGGGACAACATCCTTGATAAGCCCTGAAAATCCTCTAGACTACATTCCAGAAGATTGCTGCTCAGGCTCTTAGCACAATCTCATCGATACCGCTATTGGTCATCCATGTGCTCCGTACTGACAGCTCAAATTCTTGCCATGCCGCTTGCGCATTCCACCCCTCCACAGGCGCGTCGACGCGTCCTCGATCCAGCTGTGTTGATCTCTCTGGAGACCTTCATTAAGCCTGTGGATGTCCTGCCATTGTCTTCAAACCACTACATTCTTTTTCTGACCATCGTGAGCTTCCACTCGTTTCATCGCACGCTCTACGCCAGTGTTGTCGAAGGATATCAACATCTGCAACGTTCAACAACCCCCTCTATAACACGAATACGATTACAAAACCTCCAAACCGAGAGGACGACCTACTCGAAGAACTGACAATATGGCTACCGGCTTCTCGCCTGCACCCCGAAAGGAGGGTACCTGGACGAAGTTGACGATTTTCATCTCGCTATATTGTCTCATTCTCGAATCGATTGGGGGTCTAGTCATTGTCTTCCTTCTCTATGGAAGACACGAAGTTGATTCAAAGATGGCTCCAAGCCTGATCCTCTGCATGGTCGCGGTATGTACATACGAAGCTTGACATCTTTTGCCGATCATCAACTGATGAATGTGACAGTCTTTTCTCACGGTTCCCCTCGTCTCCCTTCAAAGCCTTGTCGCTTGGCAGTACAACAAGATTGGAGGGTTTGGAGAGCAAAAGACAATTCTTCACAACATTTGCACCTACTTCTTTCGATTGGATCTTATGGTGTGGCTGGCTGCAAGTATTGCCGGGCTTATCGTGGCTGCTGAGCAAATGACATGTCTTCCAGCTGGCTATGACGGCGGCTACTGGAAAGTCGGTACCAGTTGCGTTCTTCACCAGTGCTCAGTCCTCGTATCGGTTACTGCATTGTAAGATAACGTGCATCCAACATTTTGCCTTCCTCTCTAATCTGCTTCTCCTCAGTGTTACGGTATGCACCACTTACTGCGCGAGGCAGCTTTGCGACCGGCCATACGATATCTCACTCATTGGGATCTACAAGCGGTCATGCATCGCGCGGGATGGCAGCATTGTCTCGAATCAAACCTGGAACAGCGACGAAACGTTGAAACACGAGATTCTGAATCTGTGCCGCCAACACGATGGCAAGGCCAACGAAGAACCATGGGCCTTTGATCCACTAGCTGATAAGGTCAAGTGTCATCCCAGCATTTGCCATCCTGCTCCAGTTCGTCTTCGACCGCAGCTTCATGTGAACACCAATGCTGGCTCAGAGTATGGTGAGATTACTTCCGGAACAACAGTGTCACCGGACAGCTCTCTTTCTCGCCTCTCACCCAGCGGGCAGACACTCGTTGGAGACTTCTATCCCATGTCACGCACTTCTACTGTAACAACTTCCAAACCCGCCTATGACGCCCAAGCAGTTGGCAAATCCGCTGCTCCGAGGATCCCCGAGATCCCTGCTCAATTCACTGCAAATCACAAAAGAGGGAAATCGTCGCTTTCATCACTGCGACGATTCTTGCCAAAGTCATTTCCTCTGTCTCTTCCATTATCATCGGACCCTCAAATATTGGCTCTTGCGAACCCAGATGCGGCATCAGACGTTGAAAAGCAGGTGGTGACACCGTCGACTGCGAGTCGTGCGAATGCGTTTGCGGCCCCAAAGACCTCAGGCAACCAATTGGAAGACAAGGAAACCTCAGAGACAACTTTAGTGTCGCTCTCCTCAACGGAATCGACAGAAAAGAAAGCCGGGAGTCATTCGCGTACCATGACAATGAGCTCGGCGGACGCTCCTGAGGTCGTAGTGTCCGCATCGCAACTCAAGAACAACGCAGCCCAGCCAGGCGGCTCAGGCCCAATTGCCATGTCCATTCATCACCCTCATCATCCAAACTACGTCCCTGCTCCGGCAACTTCTCAGCGCCAAAGGGGATATTCGGCATCTTGTCGTCAGAACGCCGTCACCCCATTGCCGCACACAGACTCTCAACGACGAGCAGGATCCCGCCCGCCTCATGTTGTCCAACACCCGGGTCGTCGATCTTCGCAGTCAGCAGATAGACACATTGCCTCACCATACGGGCTTGCCCCGTATCACGCCAACCGATACCCTCATCCCCATCAACGGCCTGCTCACCACCAAGCCTTTGATCCCAGTCACTCCGTTCCCAATCTGCCCCGTCGCGACGATGTCGAAGTGATCTATCCCAGTACCCGTCGCCCTCGCAGCAACACTCATGGAGGTCTCAACACACCTCTGAGCTGTATCTTTGAGGCGGGCTCGATTCCTCCCATGCCAATGGACGAAATCAATCTCGGTGGAGCCACCTCGGAGACCAGGCGCAACATGAATCATCAAGCTACTTATCGTGGAACCAACCGAACGAGCATGGGCTTCTATTGATACACTTCCCCTCGCCGCTGGCCCTATTCTTCCGCAGTGTCTGCTGGTCAGACTTGACGCCGCCGCATACTTCGGTGGCATCCTTCAATTGCATCTTTCGTTCTCTCGCAGAACTTCAGAAAGCACCTGGAGATGTCGTTACTTCGTTTAAAACTTAGCCTTACATGTTCCGTACTCTTACAATAGATAATCGATGTCGCATACGGTCTTGAAGATTCGGGCCCGTAAACTCTTAACCATCATCAACCCACCACTAAGTGCGTGCTCCAAGGTCAGGCCCACCACGTGTGAAGAACTCAAGGCCTTCCAACGAGCTCTTAATGTTTGCATGTCACCTGTATTGTCGAAACCCCCTGTAGATGGAGAAAGCGAGTCCTTCTGTGATTCTGTCTGTCGCGTCACGACATGGACAATTACAGAGAAGGTAATTTGATGTTTAATTTCTCTAGGCATTTCTCTCCATAAATTCTAAGCCTGGGCTGGAAGAAATTTCGGACGAGATTTGTATTCAATAACACGGTCATATCGGCTGACGGCAAGAACTCAAACACTCTGATCGTGTCAAACGCTAGTTGAGCCCATGAAAACTCATTTGAGGCTTCTTCGCGCCTCGATCCATGTCGAGCGTGGTTTCACAACAAAGTTCAGCGCTTCAAGTACTTGTAGGCCTGCCCTTCCTTGGTATCTACCACATCTCCTCCCTCTCGCCGACGGTGCCCCTTGGTACCGGCGAAAGAACCAGGGCCTTTGCCCAGTTCGTTCTCTCCCCAAGACATCATCAAGGCCTTGGCCATGCGATCGCGTTCTCTGAGCAGCAAGTCTACGCGACGCTCCCATTCGCGCTCGCGTTTGTCTACTGACAACGCAATGCGCTCGTCTATGGCCACCGAGGTCTCGTCCTTAGCAGCAATTACAGCTTCGAGGCGTCGAATTTCTGACTTGAAGCTCTTGCGTAATGAAGCCTCTTGCAAATTCAGGGTCGTGCGAATGGTGGTAAGCTCGGTGCGTAGCTCGGCTTCTCGCTGCTCGGCCGCGGACAAGAGACTGCGAATCTTACGCATGGATTCAGCGTGTGAGGAGCGAAGCGTGGAAACGGCAGTGGAGTGCACGGTCTGCAGACTTCGCATCTGAGCCTGATGGGCTGCCTCAAGGTCCGCCACACGTGCAGCGTATTGCGCTTCGGATTGTCTCATATCTTGCGTTTTTGGAGGTGATGGGGGTGGGCTTGGAGGCTGGTCCAGTGCGGCCTCTTGCAAACGAGCAACGCTTTCAAGTGCCTCGTCGTGCTCTTTTTGCGTGCGTGTCAACTCCTGCTGAGATTGAGTGAGGTGAGAGACCAGCTCCTCAACTCGACTAGTCAAGCGTGAGTTTTCGTTTTCAATTGTCTTGACTAGATCTTGTGTCTCTGCAAGTTGCTCTTTCACATGGCTTGCCTCCATTTCAGCAGCCCGTTGAGAGGCGCTAGTAGTCTCCAGCTCTTGGCGAAGACGCGAAATTTCCTCGCGCATTTCCTGCACAGTCAAATCATCTGCTTCACAGATCTTGCCTCTGGGGGAAGAGACTCTTCGTGGTGGCGGATCCTCGCCACCCAGATCTTTGATCAGATCCAAGATCTCACTATAAGTGTTGCGGCTGCCAATGGGTAAATCTGCTGCGACTGCCTTCAGAGCACTCTCTTGTGCTTCGACCTGTGACTGTGCTCGGGTCAGATCCGCCTCGAGCGAGTGATTCCTCTCTTCAAGAGGGGCGCTCTTGACTTCGAGCGCAGTCAACCGATCTTCCAGTGCCTCGTAGCCTTTGTTGACGCGCTCAAGCTCATTCTCCAATTTCTCGTTTTCGAGGGCTTGTTCATCAATCTCGCCCTTGAGTCTGTCAATCTCGGCATTCTTCTCGTGTAGTTGAGCCTCCTTCGCCTTCGTCACTTCCTTCAGCTTATTCATCGTCTCTTCAAGACTTTCATCGCGCTTCCGCACTTGATCTTGGGTCAACTGCAATTGCTGCCTTAGATGTGCAATGGTCTCGAGCCGCTCGGCGTCCAGTGCCGACGGAGAATCCTTGTCTTGTAGCTGTCTTTGCATGTCTCGAAGCTGCTGCTCGACGGCGCTGAAGTCAGATTGATTGGAAGTGGTTTGTTGTGAAAGCTTCTCGCGCTGTTCTTTCTCTCGCTCTAGGGCGTCAACTCGCGCCTGAAGCTTTGCTTCGTTTTCTGTCTTCGTCGCAAGCTCGCTCAATTGCTCATTCTTGAGTTGTAGCTCAGCCTGCAGGTGGCGGACTTGATCCATTGCGGACGCGGCTTCCTTGACACGCGTCCGGTTTTTGTATATTTGGTCGTCACGATTCTCGATTTCTTCCTCAAGCTCAGCAATACGCTGCTGCAGACGCTCTTCCAAATGCTCGGTCGAATGATCCGAGGCCATTGACACCTTTCGCTCAGATGGGGATGCCATTGCCGAGACTTCATCCTGGGGGTCCTCTTCAATATCTTCGAGCTGAGTGGAGTCGCGCGGGAGTGCGCTTGTTCGATGAAGAAGGTGCGACGGAGTGGACATGTCGACAGGCGGACCAAACTCACTGATCTCACCCGCGTCCGCATCGTCGTCGACCGCTGTTTGCCGGCCTGCCACGCCATTGAACCGCGATTTCGGCTCGGGTAATGGGTCGTGATCGCTGAAGCGGCTTCGCCTGGCGCTGGACATACCCTCTCCCAACAGGTATCGCTCCATGTTCGCAGTGAAGTCTTCGGGGCCACCAACGTCCGACAACTTGTCTCTGGCATCGTCTTCATCCTCGAGTTCCGGAAGAAGTGGCCCATCTCGATCGTCAAGGAACTTGCTGCTGGGGAATGCGCTGAAGTCAACGCTGTAATTGGCGAGACGCGCATCAAGACCTAGTCCATTCAGAGTTCCGGGGGTCGATGGGCGAGAAAAATCCTGCAGATGTTCCTCGTGGTCCGATTCGCGATCGCTCCCACGTTCGTGGTTGTCCTCGCGCAGCCGATCCTCCTCGTCGTCCTCTTCGTCTTCATGAGGATCAAATTTCTCAGAGACCGGGCTTTCAGGTCGCGGTGGGGAGCGCAGAGATGACAGCGGCGATCGCGGCGACCGTGAATAAGGAGGAGATAGATTGGACTGGGGAGATTCAGGAGAATGAGGAGATTGAGGAGACCGAGGAGATCGCGGCGATGGAGGTGAGTGTGCTGACTGCGGTGATTGTGGAGATCGCGGCGCCTGAGTCAGGGGGCGAGATGATTGTCGTGGAGGAGATGAAGGCATGAATAGTGGTGTAGCAAGTGTCGATTGTCCGATGGTATCGTGCGAGGTTGGAAACGGCGATGTATAGCCCGAGTTGGCCATGATGGCCGGCGCGTTATGGAATGTTCGCTGCGATGCGGAAGACCTTTGTTTAATTAGACATGTAGCGTTGTATCGGCCCTCGGTGGGATCGCGTAGCCTTCAAGTCGCAATATGGCCTCTCTAGAATGCCCATAGGACGGTGAGACAATAACAATACAGGTCTTGTGAACTGGCTTTGAGAATGTCGCGAAATTGCGAATGGGTAGATTGCGGGCATGTAGTAACGGCCTGAGGCATCAATGTTTACTCCTGTCTACTTTGGGACGAGCGAGAATAGGAATAACAACAAAAATAGAACAACTCCTCGATGTTGTTGATAACTTGATACTGAGTCATTCTGATTACAACAGCCCTTGAGCTGTGCTTTATTTTCTCGGCCTATTTCTCCCTGTGGTACTCATATTTGATAGCCCGCAAGTTCTCAATGTTCCAAGTAAACGCGCGATTCCTCCCATCAGGTCTGCCATTCTTCAAACGTTGGTGCAATAATCGGAGGCTCATGCGAGCGTCTACCAGACTGATGTTTCTGTGCACCTGAGCTTTGTGACTGACCTAGAGCCTCTGATGACTGCTCTGCAACTTTCCTCGCCGCTCGTCCGCCTCGAGATGCTATGGCATGCTGTTCCATACTTTAGTCGCTAGATCTCTGATGGCCGGTCTTTCGATATAGTAGGATTGACCCACCGAGTCGGGCTGGCCTACCTGCTTCTCAGGATCCATATCATGGAAACCGCCGACGCCTCGAGCTTTGCCACTTTTTTTGCCTCCTCGATGGCCTATCTTGGACATTTCTTCCCGTGACCTATTCGCAAAATTACTGGGATTGGGATGTTTCGGTGGTGGCGCAGTGACCACCATATGATGAAGCGAGACAGTGAAGCATCGCACCTTGAAAGACGGCGCCTGGGAAAGAGTTGGCCTGATCATGCTAAACAATAGTTCTGCTATCCCCAAATATATCAATTTTTAGAGTGGTGCTCCTTGCAGTGAGATTTGTTCCATTTATACTCAATCATGCGTCTGTCGCCGCTTCGGTCATCTCATCCAAGAGATCCCTACTTATGGTAGGGACGGGAGTAGACCTTGGACACAACACGGCCGCTGTGTCCAATCAAGAACACAATATGTTTGAATGTCACTCAAGTGCCTTCTCCTGTTCAATTTCTCCTTGGCGAAGGAGTCCATGGATGCTTGCGCACATGCTGTCAACTTTCAAGCAGTTTTGCCGCTAGCCGGGATCTCGTTCCTGTAGGCCTTAACTTGACTGTGTTGCTCTGAACCGTGGATGGCATTGCAATTTTCCCAAAGGATTCTTGGCAGGCATAGATCTCTTTTCAGAGAAAGAATGGGTTCTTCCAGTCGATCCAGGCCAGCCATGTGACCCATCAACGCAGTGAATTGGTAACAGGTAGTAGTCCAACCTGTGAAAACTAAAGTTAACCGTACTGCGGGCGGGCTACTGCTGCTTAGTCAACCGCCGAACTGGGCTAAGTTAGTTAACTAACTAACTGAACTTACTATGTTAGTAAGTTTTCGGAAGGTGACTGCTAAACATCCCATATCAGTGAGCGTAGTCAGTCACGAGCTAAATTGACTCAAGTACTTGGAAATACTTCTACTCACTCAATGTGATCTGGTACCTCCCATAGGAGCATTCGGTCCCTCACACCACAATTGGTGAAATTGAATCGCCACTTGTGCACAGACTCATGACCTCTGACTGTTAGTACTTCCTCGCAGTCCATCGGATCGCATAGTCAGCGCCGAGGTGGGTTTAGTCCGCACTTGGTGGGGATCCTATTGACGAGACCACATCAACAATCCGCAGATCAAGTCGTTCTATCTTTAATTCTTTCATCTCACACAATCTCCGATCCTGAAGAGACACATTGCAAGTGATGTTGAATCTGAACGGATGATTTGAGAAGACGAGAGTGCCCTCACCATCTGCACATACTGATTTCATCTCACGCTTTCGCACAGCAAGGAGTGAACGTGAAGAGACTACTACAACGACATATGAGTCCTCATTTGTATTTTCCAAACAACCTCTGCAGAATCGCTCGAGTGTCAAACGTGATTCAACTCGAAAATTGTACCTTGAGAATACAATTCCGAAATGCCTCCTCTCCCAGAGCGCAGCCGTCGTCGGGTGATTCTGTATCATCAGACCCTGATTCCTGGCGACGGTCAATATGTGTCGATGCTTCCGCTTTTGACCAATCCTACAGGCGTCACCCATGTCATTCTGGCCGCCATCCATCTCAATGAGGGGCCTGGGAACATCACACTCAACGATGATCCCTTTGATAGCCCCAAGTTTCACCCCCTATGGCACGAGGTTCCTCTCATGAAAGCCGGCGGAGTTAGAATCATGGGCATGCTGGGAGGAGCTGCTCAGGGATCTTTTCGTCGCCTAGACGGCACTCAGGACCAATTTGAGCAGTACTACACTCCGCTTCTGGCTACTGTGCGACAATATGGACTCGAGGGCCTTGACCTGGATGTGGAAGAGGAAATGTCTCTCAGTGGTATCATTCGACTTATTGATCGATTGAAGTTGGATATGGGCCATGCCTTTATCATCTCTCTTGCCCCCGTGGCTGCGGCTCTTCTGAATGTTGGAAATCTCTCCGGTTTCAATTATCGAGAGCTCGAGGAGGCTCGCTCCGCCAAGATCGACTGGTACAATGCCCAGTTCTATAATGGATGGGGCCCTGCCGACAACCCGGGCATGTATATCGCTGTGGTCGCCCTGGGCTGGCAACCGGAGCGGGTGGTTTATGGTCTCTTGACAAATCCCGCAAATGGCTCACAGGGATACGTGCCTCGAGAGAAGATCACTGAAGTTCTGTCTATACTGATTCAGAGATTTCCTACCTTTGGCGGCGTGATGGGATGGGAATACTTCAATGCGATGCCTGGTGGGCGTGAGAAGCCATGGCTCTGGGCCACCGAGATGACACTGACTCTGGGCTTGGATCATGTCCTGTCTGAGGCTCATAACATGCTCATTTCTGGGCAGTGGGGCAATTCTATGCGTGGTTCCCGTTAACGATTACGATTAATTAGTCTGCCGCTGAGCGTTGGAGACTGGTCAATTAAGTTGGTTGACCCAGCAGCTGCTCGAAGCCTTGAGCGTGGGTTGGGCGACTGTGGTTTTGATTCATTGCACTTCAATCTGTTGATCCTGCGAATTGGTGGACTTACCTTCATTCAAATTGCATATGTTATCTGGCGTAGCAGAGTATTGCCCCGGTGATTATTTACCCTATTTTTACCCCGAAGGGGGCCGACAGCAATCGATTTCTGTTTTGCAGACTTACTTGAAATCCAAGTTGTCGAGTAGTGATGTGGATAGTGGTACTCCCTCTCTGTTGGTGTGGAGATGGCCGAGGCCGAGGGAGCTTGGCTTTGAATAACGTCATCAGGATCCAGACAGCCGACCAAATTGATTGCCCCGGCTGGATTCTGGGCAGATCACGGGTTCCGTGTGTAATCTTCCATTATCTCGCCAGAGTAGTGGCGTCAAAGCTCCTATCGAGGTTGCCCTAAATTTGGGTCTTCCAATTGCTTATCTCGATGCGCCCTTGAAGTACCTTACTGTGTCAACCATGGCATCTCTTCCCCGTCTGGTCACGGCTGTCAGCTCGACCGCGATCCGTCTCTGCGGCTTCATCTTTCTGAGATGGGTGAGAATGATTTCCCATCAGGCCGTGTCGTTCATGCTAACTTGCCCAGATACCGGGGCATCACTTTGTGCCAATGATCTTCACTTCCCTGGTCGTGTATCTCACTTCGTTCTGGTCACTCCGACAAAATCAGCTTCCACCTCGGGCTTCAAATGGTCGGGATAGGAGTGCCGATAGAAAGTCGAGTAAGTCCCTTGATGAACCGAGCTCTTGATGCACAGAGACTGATTCTCTCACAGAGAAACATTCGGACTCCCTTTACCAAGGAAATGAAGATTCCATGTTAAAGACTGTGTTGACGGGGCTGCCATCGACGCGCTCACCCCGGTTATCCTTAGTGACGGCCCTCTTCAATATCGCCGTGGCATTACTGACCCTCGACTTCTTGATCCGGGGTTTGACGATCTATCCAAGCGCCGAAGTGTCATTCTCCCGAATTGGTCACGTCTCACCAACTAGTGCGAATCTGCTCTTTCGGGAATCTGACCAAAGTCAATTGCCTATAGTGGTGTCATATCAAGAGGTGTCGCTGCTGACTCCTCTGAAATGGGTAGAGGAGGGAACAGTGTACAAAGTCGACAACAGCACCGATTTTACCGCGACAGTAACACTCAAGGGGTTAAAGCCTTCTACTCAGTACAGATATCGATTGTCGAACAACAAGACCGGAAGCTTTACGACAGCGCCACAGCCTGGTTCCCCACAGGCAAATAGACTCTCATTCGTGACTTCCAGCTGTATCAAGCCCAATTTCCCATACAATATCCTTTCACATCCTCTGAGGGTCCCGGGGATAGAGTCGATGACGGATGCAGTCGCCAAGCTGCCTCTGATCTTGCGACCGGCCTTTATGCTCTTCTTGGGCGATTTCGTCTATATTGATGTGCCGTTCCGCTTTGGCTCCTCCATGGATCATTACCGCAGCGAGTATCGCCGCATTTACGCTTCACCTTCGTGGAGTGCATCTTCTGCCGACGGCCCAGCCATCGATCTCCCATGGATCCATACCCTCGACGATCACGAAATTGAAAATGACTGGTCGCGTGGAAACAGGACGGCACCATATCCAGAGGCTGCAGACCCCTTCCAGCATTATCACGTTGCCGCGAACCCCCCCATTCCAGAGAGGTCATTTGCGAATCCAGAAGAAGTCACCTACTTTTCCTTTGTCAACGGGCCGGCCTCCTTTTTCATGCTCGATACCCGCACGTATCGTTCAGAGCCCTCAAAGCCCAACTCGACCATTCTCGGTTCCGCCCAGCTTCAGTCACTTTTGACGTACCTATCGACTCCTGAACCGGAGGGTGTACGCTGGAAGATTATCAGTTCTAGCGTGCCCTTTACTAAGAATTGGCACGTTGGCACAACAGATACATGGGGCGGCTTCCTTGATGAGCGCCAGACCGTGTTCGAAGCCATGTGGCGTGCTGAACGCGAACTCAACGTCCGCATTGTCCTTCTAAGCGGAGATCGCCACGAGTTCGGCGCCACAAGATTCCCGGATCCAGTGCTCAACCTTGCTCCTTCACAACTGCAGCCCGATACAGCAGGCTTGGGCCTTCACGAGTTTAGTGTAGGCCCACTGAGCATGTTCTATCTCCCCATTCGCTCGTATTATCAGACTGACGATGAGGACGTCTCTGTGAAATACGTACCTGATGGGAACAGCAAATTCGGACTTATCGAGATCGCCGATGGCGTCGACGAGGCTGACCCTGACGCTGCAGCACCAGTGCCTGTCCGAAGCTCGATCTTGACGTACTCGCTGTATGTGGATGGAGATGTTGTTTGGAAGTACCGTCTAAGTATCCCGCTGGATCGTGATACTGCCACCGGTGCCACGACCAGTGGTCTGGGTGACAATACCCACTTGCCACGGGGGCGGGTACTGGAGGACAAAATTTCCAGGGAAAGCTGGGACATTGTGGTGAAAAAGGTTGTTGGCCGTTTGGAGGGGCTGGTGAGACAGGGGGTGGACTGGGCTTCTGATATTTACCATAAAGCTTCTCTGTGATGTCGTGAATTGGAATAGAGTCAACAAAAATCGAGGTCGCTAGACAATTGCAAATAATGCTCCCTGAATTCAACAGCATAATGGGGACCATTGCTGTCCTTACCACCCTGCTTCAGAAAGGAACCTATCATTAGATACAGAAATCGAGACTTTTCCGCGCAAAGCAGACCCCGGAATTTCGTTGAACCTACGCAGCCTGATTTTATGCTGGCTTTTGAAATTTCCAGAGATGTACCGCGAGAGGATATGTGCATATTCGTGGTAATCTTCAATTGTAATGAGCGTCACCAAAGACAGGCTCTGCAAGGTAAATTCCTCATCACCGCTTCGAGACATGGGAATCCAAAACACCAAAAACGCCACCAAAATGCAAAGTCAATAAGCCGTCAACGGGTATGAGATGTACAGTGGAAGGGTCCCAGGGAGAAAGAAGAGAATCATCTTCTACCGTCCGCGGCCTCGTCCACCACCGCCGCCACCTCCGCCCATACCACCCATGCCGCCAAGTCCTCCCATCAAACCACCCATTTGGCTCATCATACTTTGCAAGTCCATGCCCCCGAGACCAGGCATGCCGCCTCCGCCCTGACCACCCCCACCCATCATCTGCATCATCTTGGCCATATCGCCCATGCCGGGCATACCGCCCATTCCACCCATGCCGCCGGCTCCTCCCATGGCGGCCATCCGCTTCTGCATGGCAGCGAGCTGTTGCTGGTTGTTGCCACCCTTGAGCATCTTCTGCGCTTGTTGCATCTGCTTCTTCTGACCACCAACCCGCTTGGCCATGCCGGCCATCATGCGGTGCTGAGAAAGCAGATCCTCGACTTCGCGAACAGTCGTGCCACTGCCATGCGCGATGCGAACCATCCGGCTGGGCTGCTCAACGAACATCTTACCGTCGCTGTCCAGTTCCTTGGCAGTCATGCTGTCAAAGATGTAGACCATGCGGCGAAGCTTCATGGAACCGTCCTCATCATCGAGACCCTGGGTAAGGTTGGACAGGCCGGGAATCATGCCAGAAAGCTTGGATAGAGGACCCATCTTCATGATAGAGGTGATATTCTCGCGGAAATCGCGAATCGTGTAGATGCCCTCAGCGATGTGCTTGTAGGTCTCCTTGGCTGAGCTCGAATCCTTGGTGATGGCCTGAACGTGCTCGACAAGACTCGCCACATCGCCCATACCAAGCAGCTTCTGAACAAACGAGCGTGGTTCGAATCGCTCGAGGTCCATCAGGTGCTCACCTGTACCAAGGAAGATGATGGGAGTGTGTGTCGCGGCAACTGCGGAGATAGCACCACCGCCAGCGGCATTACCGTCGGTCTTGGTGATGATGATGGCACCGAAATTGGCAGTGGCCTTGAAAGCTGCAGACTGAGACTCGGCAGCCTGACCGATAGTGCCATCAAGGACAAGAATGGTTTGATCCGGGGTCACGGCCTCCTGGATTTGAGTCATTTCCGTGAACAGCTCCTCCTCCTGGCGATGGCGACCGCTAGTATCCACGATGATGATATCAAAACGCTCCTTCTTGAATTTGGCGACACCCTCGGCAGCCACAACAGCGGGATCGGTCTGAGTCAGACTACCATAGTATGGGATTTTCGCCTTGGTCGCGTTCTGCTTCAACTGATCAAAGGCACCAGCCCGGAAAGTATCCGCACAAACCAAGGCAGTCTTGAATCCACGAGTTTGGTAATGACGAGCCAGCTTGGTACATGTTGTTGTCTTACCCGCACCTTGAAGACCAACGAACATGATCACATTCGAGCGGCCCTTCTTGGGGCGGAAAGGCTGCGCATGAGGATCGACTAATGCGACCAGCTCGTCGAAGACGGTCTTTTGGATCAACCGCTTCTTGTTGACAGCAGCGGGCAGGGAGGAGAAGTTGACGCTGGATTTGATGGACTTTCGGAGGGTTTGTACAAGTCGGACATTCACATCAGCGGAGAGGAGGGCAGCGCAGATCTCCTTCAGCATGTCATCGAAGGCCTGTGTTGAATTAGCTTATGCGGTTAACACTCGACACCTCTGAAACCGCGATCAGCTCAACATACCTTCTCATCGAGATTGTTCGACCTTGTCAAGTCATTGACGGCGGAGTTGATACGCCGCCCGAGATCCTGAAGAACCATGGTGGATATGCGATGGGTTCGAAAGATTTGTTGAATTCAAAGTGGTAAACGTGGGGATTCCCAAAACGAAGAGCCACAGCTGGAGGTGGAGGGGCGACAGGCGAAAGGCCAAGGAGGCAATGCGGAGTTCCAATCGGAGAGCGGGAGGCTCTCACCGCCCCAAAAAAAAGTTGACTGTCTTCGAGACGATAGAGGCTACACGGCACGCTGCTTTCCAACTCGATACTCGATTTCAACTTTTGTGAAGTCCCGTCTCCATCTATTCGCCATGGTCGGGTCATACTCCAAGAAGCGCAAAGTCCAGGATGGCATGCAAGGCAAAACCACCCGGCCCAAAAAATTCCGCAAGCAGCGCGAGTACCACAGCAGTTCCGAAGATGAGCAGGAGGACGACCAGGGCGACTTTAAGCCCGTCAGTTTGGCCGACTCTGACGACGAAGATGAGGGAGGTGTCTCAGTTACCAAGAAAACGGTTGTTAAGGCGCCCAAAAAGGAGACTGTGAAGGTCGCTGCGTCAGTCAAGCAAGTGAAGCAAAAACCTGCTGCCGACGACGCTACAAAGGCAGACGCAGACGCAGACGAGGATGAGGACGATGAAATGGATGATGACGAATTTGACGACGAAGATCTCGCCGCCTCAGCCTCCGACGCTGAAGATGAGGAGGGCGACTCCGATGGCGACCAGTCCACGACAGTCGGCAAGCGCCGCACTGTCCCCAAGCGAAATGATCCCACGGCCTTCTCTACCTCTATCTCCAAAATTCTGTCCACCAAGCTCCCCGCCTCCGCGCGCGCCGATCCCGTCCTCTCGCGTAGCAGACAGGCCGCGCAAACGAGCAATGAGTGGGAAAACGAAAAACTCGACAAGGCCGCTCGCGCCAAACTTCGTGCCGAAAAGAAGGAGGAACTGGACCGCGGCCGTGTTCGTGATGTGATGGGTATTGAACGAGGGTTGACAGGACAGGTTGGAGAGGAGGAAAAACGTTTGCGCAAGACAGCCCAGCGTGGTGTGGTTAAGCTGTTCAACGCCGTGCGAGCCGCCCAAGTGCGAGGCGAGGAGGCTGCACGGGAGGAGCGCAAGAAAGGTACCGTTGGCATGGGCGAACGTGAGAAGGCCGTCAACGAGGTCAGCAAGCAAGGGTTCCTGGAATTGATTAACGGCAAAAAGGGCAAGCCATTGAACATTGAGGAGGCGTGAAAATGGAGTCTTAAGAGTGTCTACGATTACTACTACCCATGGCATCTTTACGGCGTTGGGAGATCTTCTTCATGTATTCTCTGGATACTTTCTTTGCTGCTTTCCTGTCCATGAAATCTCTTGTACATCAACATGACCGTGGTTCTCTCGGTTTATAAATCTAAAAGTACAGGGGGGAGTTTTTTTGTCTCGAAAGATCGCCGAAGTCACACATCCTGGTGGATTCCAGATCCAAGTCTCTATAAGAGAGAGGGAGATGCACCCGCTCTCAATACAACACACGGGGTCAGTGGAGCCACAGCCTACTCGACCCCCGGCCTTATGGCACAATCTCACTTGGACTGGAAATCGCTGGCCTGGAGATTCCGAGTCATTGAAGGCAAACGCACGACCAGGCCGTCCAGGTCTTTGCTCATAATCACTTGGCAGCCTAGTCGCGAGGTCTCGGTCAGACCAAATGCCAAGTCTAGCATATCGTTTTCATCATCTGAAGGTTCCTCCATCTTGTCGAACATGTCCGGATCCTCCACAATCACATGGCAGGTTGAACAGGCGCAAGAGCCGCCGCATGCCCCTGGACCCATAATTTAGCCACTTGTCATGCTCAACTCTAGTCATCCGAACTGGAACATACCCTCCATCTCAAGATCGTTGGCTTGAGCAATGTCCAACAGATTGTCGCCCTCAGATACTTGCAACTCCACCTTGGTACCATCTTTGTCAATGAATGTGACATTGATCCTGTGATCGCGATGTTAGTTTGACCTACTTGCGCCGCAGGTTCGGCCAAAGTTGACTCACTCCTCGCCAGGCTTTGGCGGCGTGATATGCCCGTGGGCAGCATGCGTCGTCGCAGAGAACGCCCGCTGGGACAATTTCCACGTTCGCAACTCCGAACTGAAGTCTTTCCCTGACCCGACCGAGGATCGACGGAGCGTAGATGTCTCTCCGATTTTGCGCAGACCGGTTGAGTGGCTGATGAATCTCCGAGGCTGAGCAAGGTATACATTCCCGGTGTTGACCTTGCGCGCCGTGCGGCGTAGTTGTAGACCGAATTGGCGACAGATGGCCATGGTGTAGTAGGACAATTTCCCGCCGGTGACAGATAGTCAGAAGAAGAGAAGAGGTTGTGTTGTCGGCGACCGAGACGGAGAAGAGATATCTCGGAGCAAAAGAAGTGGGCAGCGGCCGATCCAATAGCCAGTCAACGGGAAAGGAAAATGACAAAGGTCTTCTTCTCCACGTCCACAAAAAGCCAAAGTGGAAAGCAGAGCGGAAGTTCACTCGTGACTGAGTCCGCTCAATCGCCGTGGGTGAGTAAGTAATGCAGGGCGGGTCGCAGCCTCCGCCCGGACCGCCTTTGACGTCCCAAAAATTCACCGGACTCTTCGACCTTTCTCCGATGATCCCCAAGCTTCACAAAGCTTTCTTTTGACTCTGACACCGACCGTCGGTCGAATCTCAACTAATCACCTTTCGTCTCTTCACGATGGCGACACGTGAAGGTATCAATCCTTTACGGCCATACTATATTCCCCAGTCGGGCTTATCGCCCACTGTCTCGAATGTCACTACCGAGGTGACGTCGTCCTCGTCGGCCCAAGTGTTTGGAAGTACAGCGCGCGACTTGATTCCGGATATTGACTATTCGGATTACTTGGACTCTTCCCCGTCGGTCTCAGACTGGGTTCGGGATGCCTTGAATCGCGCGCTGGTCCGCTACACAAAGGTCCTGACGGCGCAACCGTTCGATGTTGCCAAAACCATCCTCCAGGTGTATGTGGTTCCAGACTCAATAGAGTCGTCAGAGCAACGGAAGAAAACATCCGGCACAGAGGACAACGCATATGAATCGGTGAGATGACTTCCGATTCTACTAGAAGGGGGTTTGTGGTTGCTGACATGCCTTATACATCCAGGATAATGAGTCCTCTGGAGATGAGAGTGTCTATTTCACATCCGCCGCGCCGGCCACGCCGTCCTCGGCTACATCACGATCGCGAAGGAGTCGGCATCATCAAATTACAGATCGCAGCGGCTACGTGCGACCAGAAGCAGCAACAGCTTTACCTAAATATGCCCTGACCCTTCGCAATCCGGACTCCCTCATGGACGTCCTGTCGCAATTATGGTCAACCAGCGGCCCTAGCTCCCCATGGAAGGCATCTAACGCCACCTTCATCTACTCCTTGCTGCTGCCAACGCTCAATACATTCATCCGCAGCCTTCTCTCGGCCATTGTGGGATTCCCAGAGGAGGATATCGCGTCCTCCATGGCCGCCGATATTCTAACAGCACCATCACCCCTTGCCACCCTCATTCTCTCCTTTATCTCCTCTTCACTCTCGGCGATTCTGCTCTCACCTATCGATACAGCGCGCACTTTCCTGATGCTCACTCCTGCGATCCATGGTCCGCGCTCTCTAATTCATGCCATTCGTCAGCTTCCAACTCCCAACTGTACTATTCCCCCTCATCTCGTCCCCATCACTATTCTCCACTCCAGTTTGCCCAACTTTATCACGACATCAGCTCCACTCTTCCTCAAATCCTATCTGTCCATCGACCCTCTTCTCAACCCGTCCATGTGGAATCTCTTCAGCTTCCTGACCTCTGGTCTCGAGCTCGCCGTACGGTTCCCGCTTGAGACAGTCCTGCGCCGTGCTCAGATCGCAAGCTACACCTCTCTCAGCCTGCGTCAGAAATCCGCTGGAGGCAGCTTGGATGCTGCCTCCATCGATGCCACGGATGTGGAGACCATTGTGCCCACACCACGCACCTACCGTGGCGTCGTGGGTACTATGTGGCACATCGTTCAAGAGGAAGGTGTCAGTTCCACGCTCTCCGACGCTGAGCGTGCTCGTCTCGCCGTCGGTAAGGGCACTACCCAGCAGCATACAGGGAAACGCCGACAAGGACAGGGTATCAAGGGCCTGTATCGCGGCTGGCGCGTGGGAATGTGGGGCATTGCTGGTATCTGGGGAGCCAGTCTACTCGGGGGGTTCGCTGCAGGAAGCGATGAAGAAGCCGCGATGCTTGGAGGATCGAGCCAGACTAGCGGCGGGCGATTCTAGACTTTCTAATATGAATGTCTCTTCCTAGACCAGCCGCCTGCCATCATGACTAGTACCAGAAAGGAGGAATCCACGGGATGATTGAGAGTCCATTGAGGGGCCAGATGTCCAATTGAGTGCAGTTTCGACGGGTGTGTCCTGCAAACATGTTTGCCTCCTTGCACTCATTTCAAGGCGAACGATTAGTGTTGTCTACTTTGCCCCGACGATGTACGATTGGCCTCGGTGACCCTCAGGACGCAAGCTGTATAAAACGCAACTTCTTACATAGTGTCCTGAAACATGGACTAATTTCACCTCACTCAGATCTCACTCAGATCCAATGATATAATTCTACTCATTACCGGCTTCACCAATTCGCTTTGTCTGTATGGCTTAGAAATCGTGAATGAAACCTTGCCTTGACTTTCATATCACGACAATTACCTCAATATCAAATCATATCTCATAGCCATCCAGTGTAAGCAATACTTCGGACAAGACCATTGTGGAGAGTGGAGTTGAGAAGTCGTAATATGACAATCGCTAATTATGTACAAGGTGCGAAACACAACTATTCCGACTGGCTGCAGCGGGATTTCATTCATTGAAAACATGACCGATCGTAGTATGAGCCAAACTCGGCATCAAAGAAGTTGTAAGGAGGAAATCATCAAGCTTTTAATATGGGAATGCGCAACAATCCTCAAATTCCGACTCAAGTCAACGGGAATAGGATCATAAGACACAGAGCAGGCTCTATGAGCGGCAGGAAATGCGCGTAGTGATACAATAAGAAATCATGAGACGGGTATCAAGGAAGCGAAGGAAGCTAACGGAAGAAGAAGCAGAGGGGAAAGGAGCATGATCACTCAACATAAGACTCTTGGGCAGTCATGAGGGGAGATGATTGAAACAATGGCAATCGAGCGGCTCGGGGAGAGCTCAATTATTAGCAAATCGCCGGTCAAAGTAGCGGAGAACCCCCATCACGCTGGCCGCCTCGACTTCCATCGCGGGTCGATTCCCGTGCCCTTCGGCAAGAGCCAGGTCCCGTGGATTAGGAAGAGTGTGCAATTTGGGAAGCCAGCTCGAGATTTCGTCACTGGCCTGATTGAAGTTGGGGTGGCGAGAGAGTGTTGTAAAGGCGTCAGCACAGCTCAGAGTGAGTGGACTAGGGATTGAAGGCTTTGTTGCCACACCCTTGGTGGGCAAGAGAGGGTTTCGTGTCGTTGATGAGGACGGCGCGTTTCGCGACATGCAGCATCCGCCATCAGCACCTTTGCCACCACAGCATCCTCCTCCGGCAGAAGGGCTACTGCTGGCTGATCGCGAGGCAGCCAGCGTCTTGCAGAACAGGGTACTCCTTGGGTCAGCCTGACACTGGGCACAAGTGCCGGGCCCATTAATGCAGGGGTTTGTCGCCTGACTGATGGGCGGGAGAGTGACCTCGGAGCGCACATCACTCTCAGAAGGGGGAGGGGTGAACTGAGAAATGGACTGCATAGGTGGAAGACGGTTGTTGCCAAATGAGTCTTGTCGAGGCCCTCGTAACTGTGTTTGCAGCCGCTGTTGCTCCTGGGCGGCCATCTCGGCGCATATGCACGGAGTACCATCCTGACAGAAACCACAGGGATCGACTGGAGGCGATGAAACTTCATTCTCGGTGTGAGAACTCGACTGAGTTGGTGCAGATGCAAAGCGCGACGTGAAGTCTATCTCCATCTCTTCCGGATCAGGCTTGATCTCTGGATCTGACATATGGCCGGCCGGACTGCCGACCCCGTGGGGCGAATTTCTAGCACGAATCGACTCGTGCGTGTCAATTGGCATGCCAAATGCATCTTCAATGCACTGGCAGTGCGTAGTCGAGCAACTGTTACAACCCAAGGGAACGTTGTCCAGGTCCTCTGCTCTGGCTTGTTCCTGATTCGTTTGGATCGCAGTCTCCATGCGAGGCGAGCGGGTGGAAGGACGTTTGCGAGGTGGAAGCGGCACAGAGTCTGGCATGGCTGCAGGTGATGGTCTTGTAACTGACGTTGGTGCTGAGGAACGAAGTTCTTTGGTCAAGGCCTCCTTTGCGTTACGCTCGATCGAGACCTCCTTCTCAAGAGCATGACATCGGTCGCGCCACCATTTCACCTCCTCCCGAGCTTGTTCCATCTCTCTTGACAGGTTGCTCATTTGCTCTGTCAAGGCAGCGACACGAGCTTCGTGGCCATCTTCAATCTCCTTGATCTGCTCCTCCAGTTCCTGAACCCGAGCGGCCCGTCGCTCTCGAAATGCGCGCTGTGCAGCGCGGTTCTGGGCCTTGCGCTTAGTTGGCGGAGTATCCGTAGCGGGCTTACGGCCAGGTTTAGGGCGAGGAGGAATGACCCATTCTTTGGAGGTGATGGAGCCTGGAGTTCCAGGGCCGGGTGAGGGAGCTACGGACGGGCGGACAGCTATGGCGGGGGCTAAAGATGGCCCGGGAGCGAGCGTGGGCGCAGGCGTGGGAGACACGCCTGTCGTGGCCATGGTGATTTCAGACTGGGTTCAAGGGCTTGCAACTTGATCAGCAAGAATGTTCACGGTGCGATTGTGAGGCGGAATGGGGGAGGCAAAAGAAGGCCGAGGGTAGGTGGTAATTGGGCGTCGGCTCAAGGAGTACGCACGATGGACGCTGTCGGTCGGGAGAGCGGAAGTGCGATCATACGAGACAATAAGCGAGGCGTAGTACAGACAAAGGGCTCTGCAACCTTGCTGGAAGTAATGGAAGAATCCAAGAATAGGAAGAAGCAGAGAGGCGAATCTGTCTGGGAGGAATGGATTCACTCAGAGAAAGAAGGGCGGGCGAAAATTAAAATCCGGATCTGAGGATTCGGGTAGACGGGGGATCGAGAGATCGGGGCGAAACGAGGAAGTGGCCGTCAAACGCGAAGTGCCGATGATCTGATTAGATTGTCCACTCACATGATCTCTGGTCCTCCAGGCCCGGTCTCGGATGCGGCAGCACCGCGGAAATTGTGGTCCTATCGGTCGAGTGCTGGGCCCGGTGGGCCAGGAATCAGTCACCACCGTAAACACGCTGTGTGAGCGAAAAATCATTCGTTGTCCTGGCTTGGGGTGGAGAGATGGTCATTATTTGGCTCATTTCGATCAATGAGTATCTTTTTCAAGCCCGGAAAATCGGACGACGAAGGTCCTTCTAATTTCTGTATATCATGACATCAAATGCATTCACCTGGTGTTACACCTTGCCGAGAATAAAAAGCCGATCCTTTGGATACCTATGCCCAGGGGTATCTGGATCAAGCTCTGTGTCATGAAAAACATCAAGACTCAATGATACACGAAGCCCAACGGCCTACTGATTCTCTGCCCTCTACTTCCAGTCTTCCAATTTTCAGGAACTGCAACAGTGGAACAGCGTTCGGGACCCGTTGTCAAGAAATCACAGCCCTGTCCGTGCCTTGGGACTACCTCGGCTACGTGGCCGAAATTCTCGACGCCGTCGGACCCAACCTGGAGGTCGTCACAATGTCACAATAAAGCACGAGATAAGTGATCAGAGTAGACCTGAGCATGAACTTCATATTTACGAGAGAATGAGTAATTTTTTGCGTGGTCAACGAAACGTCTTCCTGCAGATCTTTTATACGATCTCCTTCCGACCGCAGCCCTCATGCTCAATTTTCAGCCCGAGGCGCTGTGACGCTGTGATCTTATCAGATGGCGCTAGTGGCTGATTTGGCCAATTTGACGAGAAGCGACCCACGTTGACGTGGACTGGTCATGGGCCATGGCTCCGAGCTGCACAAAGCCACAAACCCCTCAACGTGAGTTACGATGACGAGGCAGAAATGGGTTGCACTGATGACTTAGTATGAGTCAAATTTCAACGCCGCCCTTGGCGACTGTCAATCCATCGATCCTTCTTGGCATGCTAAACCTCTCTACGCCCTGCGGTGTACCGACGTTATTGGCCTGCGCTGCTTGCTGCTCCAGACTGGATCCTTCCTAAGTTCCTCATCCCTCAGTCCCCACCAGGCTGCGTCTGATTCTTATCAATCAGTGATATGTTAGGGAGGAGGAAGGTACTTGCTCCACCTCACTTTCTGCTGGACGGAACCGTGGAAATGTGGTGAGAGGGGTTTCGGTGAGAATTTCCGCGCCGAGAGCGCTGCTTTCGTTGATGACGATCTCGCTCCTTGGTGTGGCCACGATCAATTTTCGCACACATTCAAACAGCGTTCGGAGGGTCCGGTTATCAAAGAGTTGCAATCGAGAGAATTGGTCACCAGAAAATGAGTATTTGTGTATGGATCTCAGAAGGATCAGTACTACAGAGTATAGAAGAGAATCCACAGCAGGAAAGTCCTCTCGAAGATTTTCCCTCCCTAATTGGCCGGGGGCCACGAGCACATCATCGACGAGTTTAATGCAGGTATGTTGGAGCGGGGCTTTCAGACTGCCTGCCGATCTTCGGCTTTCAAATATGCTACAGACTTTCGAGTGGTCTTGGAATGCTCTCAATGTATCTGTCTTTACACTGAATCCTCAGGAGTCAACCGAGCGTGGGATAACAGTCTCTCAACGTCACTCGCCCCGGTTTCGAGGAAGTGAACGCTTTTGCGTGGAAGCAGGGAAAATTTGACTTCTTCATGAGCAGTCTGATAGAATTATTCATGTACATATTAATCATCATATCGTCTATTCATCACCGTGCCAAAGTCACATCAACTCCCTTCTTGATCCACAACTTTACTTTCGGGTGGAGCATGGTTAGGCTCAATGCGAAAGCCCTTCATTCATATGACCCGGGACCCGGGCCTCCATGGTAGGACTCAAAACTTTGTAAGAGCGGGCGAATCGGCCGAAGGAGGAGCCGAGTGCTTCGTTTGAATAAAGACTTTCTGCATGCCCTCGTCGCGTCTGTTGAAGGCCTCATACACTTGTTCCATATCTTCAAGACGCATGCGGTGAGACACCATGTCCATGGGGTTGATCTTGCCCTCTTGAATGAGCTTCATGAGGTCTTTCCAGTACTTTTGAACTGGAGCCTGTCCATTTCCGATGAAGCGGACACCTGTCTCCATCAGTGCGCCGATGTTGAAGTGATTGGTCTAGCAACGGCAACACGTAGCAGTAATTAGCAGATGATCTATTTGAGAGGGAAGTTGTTGACCAGCCATCAAGGCCTGCACAGCTCGAAGGAAAACTCACAAATCCAGCATAAACTCCAGTCACACCGATGCGACCAAAGGCTCGCACCGAGGTGATCATCTCGTTCACGATTTCGGAGCTATCCGTCTCCATGCCGAGCATGAGCTCAAAGTAGTGAGCCCAACCTTTAGCATACTCTCCGGCGGCACACTCCAGACACACGTCGGGGCCTCCCTCTGTCATCTTCTTCAGCTGCGAGGTTACGGACTCGCCCTTGGCAAGCTTGGTGAAATCAATGGTCTCGACCTTTGGCACCTTTCTCTTCACATAGTCCAATCGCCAGGCACCGTCACCGCCGTCAATGAGAATCACCCGGCTGGCACCATGGTAGAAGCTGAATTCGGTAACCATCTGACCGATGGGGCCAGCACCCCAAACGGCGACGACATCACCCTCCTTGACACCCGTGTCAACCACACAGTGCCAGGAAGTGGCAATCACATCTGACAAGAAGAGTGCCTTCTCATCGGGCACATCCTCTGGGATAGGGAGCAGGTTGACGTTGCCGTTGGGAACACGAAGGTATTCGGCTTGGCCGCCAGCGAAGCCTCCAGTAAAGTGCGAGTATCCGAACATGCCTGATCCCATTGTTAGCAATGCGGCTAATGCTGGGAGATGAAGAGCTCGGGCGAGAAGAAGCATACCGGCAGTACGATTGCCATACATGACGTTACTGATGGTGTTCTGGTTGGTGTTCTCACACTGGGAGTAAAGCTCCCGGTTGCAATTCCTGCAATGACCGCAGGCAATGGGGAAAGACACCACCACTCGATCCCCGGCCTTGACCTTGGTGACTTCGGGGCCGGTCAATTCGACCACACCACAACACTCGTGGCCCAGGACATCGCCCTTTTGAAGCTGAGGAATCACTCCTGCAGAGACGCCAAAGATGACCATTAGCCGCTCTGGATCGTGGATCGGGCATTGCAACAACAAGGTTCTTGGCCTTACCATGGTACAAGTGGAGGTCACTGCCACAGATGGTGCTTCCAGTCACCTTGATAACCACGTCGCCCGCATCCACGACTCTTGGCTTGGGCATGTCGACTGAGGCGAGCATTAGCCCTGAACATTATCCTCGAATAATCCTTTGTCGATGGTCCTTGTGACTGAGACGAGTTTCTTACCAAGGGTGACCTTATTCTTGCCTTGCCAGGTGGTGGCTTTGATGGTAGGACCAGTCTCCATGCCATGTTCGTTGTTGTAGTTGCTCACGTCCGTGGTGATCTCGGCATTGTCACCATGTCCGATGATCTTCTCCACCAGGTTTGCAGCCTGCGACACTGCCATTTTGAGATGTCTGAATAAACTTCCGTTCGGATCAAGAGTCCAGAGCTGTCTTGAGATAGAATCGCATCCAAAAAGAGTCGGCCTTCGTCGGGCGCTGTTTTATGTATTTGTTCACGTTGTAAGTCGCCAAGGCTCTTTACGGCACATTACCCGTTTCCGCGTCATTGCGGGATAACATAAGCTGGCACACTGCCGTTCAAGCTTGAGGCTATATCGAACCAGGTTTTAGACAGGCACTGGCCACTGACATCACCCTGAGGTCGGGATGCAACGGCTGTCCATCCCCCAGCGAAACCCAATGAAACAGACCGACGGACGCTTGATTCTTCCTCTGCAGAGCTGCTTCTCCACTTCCAACCGCCAACCATGTGAGGCTATCTCCAGTCAAGCAATCAACATCCCGCTTTGAAGTTCTTAGGCAAGCTTTGTGAGACCTGGCTTTCGGGATTTGACTCTGTCTGGGGACGACCCGTTTCGGGGTTCCAACGGCCAAGCCGTTGGATCGCCCGATCGAGTGAAGAAGTGGACGATGTTAACCTGCACGACTTTTCGATCGCCCTTCCAGTCCCACCTCAGACGTTTAGTCATACATAGTTGCACAGTCACATCAACAACCAAATCACTGCCAGTCCCAGCGGGGCTGTTGAGAGCCTAGTGGAACCTGAATCATGCAACGAAATCCCACGTACGTTATGAATCATTCGCAGTGCCCGCCCCTGCCGGACGTGTCGCAAGAAGATACCTTGTACGCAAATCTTAGCTGAGGCCCAGCTCCGGTATTTGTAACCCTCTTGGTCGCCTCACTCAATAATCAATCCATGGATGGATTGCGCGATTTGGTTTAAGCTGAACATGATGAAAGCTTCCTAAGTGCGGGGGAACACCAAAGAGGGGAGGGGCAAGCGGCACAAAGCGCATTATCCGGCTCGAAGAGGCCGCCTTTTGCGGTCAAAGTCGAATTTGTCACCGTCGGGTCAACTTGGTCTTCTCAGTGGGCTAGGCCGAGAGGGGCAATTTTCAGAAATCAATGTTGATGCTCTCTCGAGTCTCGACTCACGACAAGCGCCTCCGTCCGACCGAGGCAGCTAGAATGCAGCTGGGCCCTTATCGCGCCTGGCTGCAGTCGGCCTCGCAGCTTCGACTGCCAAGAGGAGTCAAAGTGGAGCGATAAGCAAGGGGCATCGCCAGCCTCCGCTTCCCCTCACGATCCGACGGAGCTCCGGACACCGCAGCTCACCACGCTCCTCCGTCCTCCACGACTTTGATCTTGTCCTCCAGACATCCGTCCGGCGTGGAATCAGCATCGTCGCATACAACTCTACCATGACCAGAAGACATCCAGTCGGACTCGAGCGCCCATGGGCCTCGCAGATCTCCGCACAACTGCCGGAATCCGTTGAAGTTCGTCCCGCTCCAGCAGCGGCACGGCCGACTGCGGCTATGACAGCAACCGATGCCCCCGTTCGGCCTGAGGACTATTCCAAACCGTACTGCGATTTCATGACCGACAATCCCACCATCTTCCATGCCGTCCAGTCCTTCTCCCAAGATCTGGAAAAGCATGGATACAAGCAATTGTCCGAACGGGCGGTGTGGACCTCGGATCTCAAGCGCGGCGGCAAGTTCTACGTGACTCGTAACGGCAGCGCACTATTGGCGTTCAATATCGGCAAGGATTACAAGAGCGGCAATGGCATGGCCATCGTCGCAGGGCACGTGGATGCCCTGACCGCCAAGCTCAAGCCTGTCTCCAAGCTGCCCACAAAGGCCGGCTTCAAGCAGCTGGCAGTGGCCCCATACGCTGGCGGCCTTGGACCAACCTGGTGGGACCGTGACTTGGGTATCGGTGGTCGTGTAATCGTCCGTGATCCTGCCACCAGCAAGGTCGAGTCGAAGCTGGTGAAGCTGGACTGGCCGATTGCGCGAATCCCAACCTTGGCTCCTCACTTTGGCGCCCCGGCCAACGGACCATTCAACCTCGAGACCAACATGGTCCCGGTGATTGGTGTGGACAATTCAGACCTCTTCGAGACATCAACGGCTACGTCGAGCGATATCAAGCCCGGGTCTTTTGCTGCGACACAACCCGAGAAACTTGTCAGAGTCATCTCCAAGGAGCTCGGTGTTACCGATTACAGCAACATCATCGATTGGGAGCTCGAGCTCTTCGATACGCAACCGGCCCGTCTCGGAGGTCTGGACAAGGACATGATTTTTGCGGGTCGTATCGACGACAAACTTTGCTGCTATGCCGCCCACGAGGCGCTATTGGCCTCGAGCGATGAGACCTCCCCCGGGATTGTCAAGATGGTCGGCATGTTTGACGACGAGGAAATCGGTAGTCTGCTGCGCCAGGGTGCTCGCTCAAACTTTATGGGAAGCGTCATGGAGCGCATCACCGAAGCCTTTGCCGACGGCAAGTACGGACCCAATCTGGTGTCCCAGACAGCCGCCAACAGCTTCCTGGTATCCTCCGATGTCATCCACGCAGTCAACCCCAACTTCCTTCACGTATACCTTGAGAATCACGCTCCTCGGCTGAACGTGGGTGTCACCGTTTCCACCGACTCCAACGGTCACATGACTACCGACAGTGTCAGCCACAGCATCCTGAAGAGGGTCGCCGCCCGCTGTGGTTCCACGTTGCAGCTCTTCCAGATTCGCAACGACTCCCGTAGTGGCGGTACTATTGGACCCATGACGAGTGCGCAGATCGGCATGCGTGCGATTGATTGCGGTATTCCGCAACTTAGCATGCACAGTATTCGTGCTACCACGGGAAGCTTGGATCCGGGTCTGGGTGTCAAACTCTTCAAAGGTGTGTTTGACCACTTTGAAGAGGTTGACAAGGAGTTTGCCGGTTTCTAGATCTTGGTTTCATTGAATGTAGGGCGTTCTTACTCTGTGGGATACCGTCTGCTCTGAGCAGTCCTATTCGGTGTATACAATATCGCAGAAAGTCTCAAGGAACCCATAGGCTGTCAAGTGAGAGCAATACCATTTTCTATCATCCAATACGCCGGATTCCAAAAACTTGCAGGACATTCTTTTCTGCTTCGCACCCCTGTAGATCAATCGCTGAATATTCAAAGAGACGCATACCTATCAACCCATATCGAAATAACATGTAGATACTAGATAGATCTCTATAGATTAAAGAGCATTGACAAAGAGCTTGCAATGGCTTGAACGCACAAAAGACAGGCCCCGGGTGCCTCCCACCCTCCCACCTGCAGGTATGGGTTAAACGAGGGGATCGATCCAAACATCGAGACCTTGTACATAAGAGATGAAGTGAACGGAAGAGTGACAAGTGTACCTTGGCACACGCCAGAGCGAATGGAAGTATCGACACAAAACGTCGAAAGCAAATTTCCCAGTCCGGTCCATAGAATGAAGAGATGGGTATCAAAGCGCACGCAACCCCAAAAAAAAGAAATAGATCCATTCGCTATTTTGACACCGGTGCTGCTCCCCCACCCGGATGATACGTGATATCGGCAACATATGCCGCGTTGGGAAGATAAGTCTTCTCTGCTATGAAGTGGACGTCATCCGGGGACTTGGGTGCGGTGTCACTGTGTGCACCGTTGGTGTTATCCTTGTCCTTGTCCGGGGGGCCGTATTCGAGGTCTTCGCAGGGGACGCCGGTCTCGGAGACATCGTTGCGTTTTACGGGACCGATACTTGTGCGGGTGGGCTTGCTGCATGTGAAGGTTGAGACGAGGCCCGGGAGGATTTTGGAGAGAAGGGGTTTGAGGGTGGGGAGGCAGGCGCAGATTATGCCGGTGTTGCATTCGATGGCAGACCAGGACGCTGCGCCGACGTTGTCGTCTGGATGAGTTGTGTGAGCACGACGGTCAAAGAGATAGGTATGCCGGGGAATAGATGGTAGCTTACATGTTGGATCGAGTGAGTCTGCGATCTTCTTCAGGGCCGTTAGACGGATGATACTTGTAATGCAGACACTAGAACGGGTGAGACTCGAGGTTAGTGACCATGGATTGATGGCGGTATTGACGGTAAACTGGAACAGCTTACAATCCACCTAGTCCAAACATGACCATCAAAATGACTTTCTGTTTTCTCGGAATATCGATCGCAATCAAGGCCGGAATCGGAATGATCAAAATCGCAAGGTCGGTGGCAATATGCATACTAGCATTCGAAAACCACAGACCGGTTCGACTTAAACAATACCCCGGTAGAGCAGGATCCCAGAATTTGGCGACGGGAATGCATGTCAGGAATGCACTAATTATGCACCAAGTACCGTATATACCCAGTATCGAAATTAGCACCCAACAGACAATGCGCATTCGGCGCGTGGGAAATACGCGGAAGTATTGCATGAGGATGGAGGCTTTGGCGCATAGCACGGCTGCATTATAGAAGGGAATCGTGAGCCAGAAGGCCTAGAGTTGCTCTTGTTAGCCCATGGGTTCATCATGCATAAAAGCTGTCTGTCTGCTTTGTCAATTCGACTTAAATGCAAGGTACCTTCATCTGTCTTTCGAGAATATCAGGCGGAATATCTGCCAGGTGCATCCCCATTCCACTTGTCGCCTCAACAATGTCCAGACCCATGAAGACGAACGAATTGATCTAAAGGAGACTGTAAGATTTAACGTATCACATGGCCTTAGGGCACCACGAACGGCGAGGACTCACCAGAGCAAACACAACCATCCAGTCATTTGCTTCCAACCGTCGCAAGAACTTGAGGCGTGTGTAAAGACGGACCGCCACAAAGGACGCGGCCAGCGAAGTAAACACAACGCTCAAAACAAGGCCTTGCATCCCACGAGAAGAGACATATGGGTTGCCATCTGCCTGCATGAGGTTTGAATCGCGAATCCGGAGGTAGTTCATGGCTCCTACACTCTGCTAGGATGTTCACTCTCGGGAGGCGATCTGATTTCTGTAGGAAAAGATGGTGTCAAGTCAAACCGATGAAGTAGAGAGAGTAAGTGGCAGTGTAAATAGTTTCCAAATAGGAATATCAAAGCACCGCGACGCTACCAATGTTCAAGCATAAAAAAAGGAAACAAATGTCCAAACAAATCAGGGGGCTTATCTGAGCGTAACGTTGCAGAAGAGGACTGATAGAACACAGTGACTACCCTCTGGAGCAGCTCGAGTGTCGCAAAAGAAGACTCGGAAGTAGCGATGGTCTAGCTGGTCTTTGAAAGATTCTCTGTATCCAGGAGATCGACCACCGCGAGAACTCAAAATCAGAGCTCGATCCGAAAGTTCTATTGCCCACGACCACCACGAGAACTCAAAATCAGAGCTCGATCCGAAAGTTCTATTGCCCACGACCGCACAGTTCAATTCTCGATTGAACTAGCGATGGGCGGAGCAGAAAGTTCAGGCAGGAGAAAGTTCTTTCGCTAGTGGCGTCTCTCAATGCCAAGAACCAGTGGTCAAGGCGAGAAACTCCCTGCATGATTGAAGCTCGGTTTTCTTGCTGCGATTATTGCCACTCATTCTATCCGCCAACTTTTGTCCCTTGGGTAGAGAGTGGGATGAAGTTCGCACTCGAGGGCGCAAGGGGCCGTGTCCCACCGACGAGCAAGATGTCCGAGTTCTTCGACACTCCCTTGGCAGGAAGGAATGTTGAGATCTTCTCCATTGTCAAGTGGACTATACATTCAGCAAGTGAAGAAGAGGAAGTATGCGATTCGCTTAATTACAACGTGGCAGATTCTCAGCGCGGGCACACATGTCCCATCAGCTCCGGCAGTCCGATTTAAATCTTACAATGTGTTGAGGGCATTTCTCTTTTCAAATCCAGACGTTACATGCTCAATCGTCTATACATCTTGTCCCTTGATTGGTCTTGCTAGATACCCTCATCGGATCAGATGTTTTGATGACAGTCTCATTGGCCATAGGCATGAATCCATGATGGGATTGCGAGCCACGTTGTTCTTAGAGTCCGAGTCTTCGTTGCGTAGAAACAAGATTGACATTTGTCTCATTATCTCGACGGACCTTGCATCACCATCGGCCCACGGGAGATATAAGCTTGGGCCTTTCTTCCGGGTGAACATTGTCGACCGCTTTCGAGAAGTCACGCAGCTCGATGGAAGTATTGCGTAGAAAATTATCTATCATCGACGGGACTGATAGCCTCGGTCCACCTGTTCTTCTTACATCTCTCAAGTCAAGAGTAGGCTTGTCAGCTTCAACGCAGGCCATAAGTGGAGGACGACACAATCTCCATTAGTGCATGTTGATGGGGACCGTCATTGAAGTCATCAACAAACTGACTCTCTACTAGGAAGCAGTGTCCAGTTATGAGTCCAAAATTGACTGGTTGTTACTCCTGTGAGCAGACACCGGCCCGAGCGGCCTGAACCGCATGGAAGAATGTTAAACTTCATGGCTCCTGACAGCAACGGAGAAGAAGGTTTGAGGTACCAGCCCACAATCCACACCGTTGCAGGCCGTTGGATGTCGACACCTGAGTCCATGATCAGCAAACATTGTAATCTAGTCCTTCATGGCAGCTGGTCGCCAAATCGGCGGTCTGTTCGCATAAGCAATTGATGGCGTGGCGGACTAGGCTTGTTCGCAATCGAGCTGCATAAAGATCTGTAGTACATATTGCTACGGTCCACTGTTTTGAATGGCCATTCTTGGCATTGGTCGACGCACGGAGATCAATAAGCTTAGGTCACCGATTGAATCCACAGGCAAGGGGAGGTTCGCCCTTACCAACATCAGGGTTCTATTGCGAACACACGTGACACGATATCCCTGAAGCACGCTTGAATCAGAATTATTTGGCTCTGAAAGGTCCTGCATGGTGGCACAGAATCCATGTGAGGACCATGGAATAGTAGTGTTGGGGTTCCATCAGAGAGCGTATTGGCTATACATTGTCGGATCCGCAAGGAAATCTTAGTTAAGGGCCGCTCACCCGCGTTGGCGTGCCCTCGCCCGGGGCGCGGCGTGCGGTCGGACATGGAAAGTAGATCCTTCAACCTTGTAGGTTTCGCCGCCTGAGGAGTGAATCTCATGATTCCATTTCCTTGAGCACGCATGTATGGCCTCTAGGCTGCGCTCTTTCTTAGACGTGAGTTACTCCAGCTACCAGTGCTGAAGCACTTGGCAGTCGGCTTGCTCACTGTGAAGGTCGCATCAGTGATACACGACCCACACACAATCGTCGAATCGACGAGAAGCCATGCAAGCTGAGGACGAACGACTGGGGAACCCACGGCTGGTGGGGGCCCCAGAGTCAGACGCCAATGTGCGACTTTGAGAAGTGACCTGTCATACTTCGAGATCACCGGCGGAAACAGACATAGTTGCTCAGATTAATGGAGAGTAAAGAAGACGGGAGCTATTGGTACAGCAAGGTGTGTGTAAGACCGTGCAATTATACATATGTTGGCGAGTGAGTGAGAGACTATGTCTGTGTCCATTCACCAGTTTTCCGCCTAGTTGTAAACTCAAGACCATCACGTGGGCCTTCCATTGAACCGTGTAATCCCATTAACTGACACGGGAGACCATCAAGTGTGCAATAGAGCAACTCACAAGTAGACACGGCCATGAGTTTGCATACACTTGAGAGATATATAAGTCCCACCCAGCCCCAGTGCTCTGAACAGCTTTGATTGCCTGCAAAGGCCCTATCTCGCCTCCTAAAAAGAATCTCTCCCACCGATGTATAAGGTATAGCTTCTTTTATAGCGGCCTTATGATCCAGTATGTCACATGCAGGAGGCTAGAACAGGCTGGCATTTTCCAATACTAACAAGATATTGCAGGGAACGAGAGGTAGTAGCTAGTAGCAAAGCATAAGAGCCGACATCAGAATATCATATCGCACAATATACGGGATTTCTGCTGGCGTGAGACCCTCAGAGTGTGCAGTAAAAGTGCTGTTTAGAACGGCTGGTGCATGTAATAACACTGCCTCGGCTGTTGCATGAAGCAAAGTAGGACCTAACAGAGTCCGTCACTGTCTGTAGCTGAGACTGGTAGAGACATGGTGGAGCTGAGCAGGTAAAAGAATGGTGCTCATAAATCATAGGAATCGAATCTCTGAGGCGAAAATTAAAGCAAGTGTAGATGATGCTGATTGAGAAAGTAGTATGTTCAGTATCTTCTCTACCAGCAATCGTGTTGCCCAGTAGACGTAACCGTAGCCTAGGTCATTGGTCAAGAGACGCGATCCCCTTTGACGATAAGAAGCGACAATCGCTTGAACAACGCGGCGACTGGATGGAGCAACCACTGTTCTGTTCTCACTAGAACTGGAAATTCTTGCTTGAGTTTCGATCTTGTCAAGGATTGTGATGGTCATTAAGACGTGGCCAACGAAATATTGGTCTATCAAAGGTCAGTAAGCAGCCTTCAGCACAAATGTACATTGCCCTCACCACAAATTTGCAGCGGCAGAACTCCAAATAAAGCCAAGAATATAATCGGAGGCTTGGTAAATTGAACTGGAATATCCCTCTGAATGATTCGATGAGATCGTGCGAAGAAAGGGTCGTTCCTAGGGTCAACGGGATTATTAAGGAGCCCGCGGGCGAGGGTCGATATATATAATAGTCTAAATTTATCGATCTGCCATTATAGCCTGCGCATTTCAATGATTCAAGGTCTTTTCGCTTGACAAAGTGCAAACAAAAAAGGACTAAGTAAAGAATCGGCCGACATCCCACTCGGAAATTCAATCTTTTGTCCCGACATGCAAGTCTGCAACCCCACGCAGAGGAGTGTCTAATTAACACTCTAGGCGATATCCCCACAACAACTGGTCTAGTCTGGCCATCCGGATTTGGATCCATTTGACCCTGGTTGAGCCCTCCATTTTAGCTTCATGTAACCATAAGCGTCTCCAAGCTCCTGTCAAAACCGGTGATGAGATCGACTCATTCATTTTTTTGACCTAGCTAGGTCTTCATAGACGGGCCAACTGCCCGCGCAGCTGAGGCGGGGAGCCCGTAAGAAATATCAGATTCGAGTAGGATCTGCCTGACCATAGTCAAGAAGAGCCTCGCGGCTGCGAAATAGGGCAACTGATGGCGAACGGCGAAGTGAATATAAAAACCGGGCAGCTTCCACAAACACTGGCTTGAAGAGACAACCTTATCTCCACATATACACACTAGGCACGAATCAGGCGCCTGTTCAATCTGAAGGCTCTTTCCGAACCGAGCAAACCATTCAAGTGAGGCAAGGATGCTATAATGTGATTCGTGAGAGTAAATTGAACGCCAGGCAATCGCTTGTTCTCAGCCTGTACTGTTCTAGCACTTGATCAATTAATCGGAGCAGTTTCCGAGATGGCTGTCCGAAGCGATAAGATAACGATAAGATAACGATAATGGGGCACAGACCACATCCAAAAAAAAATCCTCTTTCGCGCCAGTTCGGGAACCGATATTTGCCCCGCTTCACCGTGAAAAGGAAAAAAAAGACACGACTTGCTCGATATCACGCACTTGGGTTCTGACTTGGAGTCAGACTTGAAGCAATCGAAGACGCCATGTCGAATGTGACACAAAACTCCGGGAAACCAGTGCACACCATAGTGCTGGATGCCGGTCCCATCATCAAAAATACCCCGCCACTTTCGACCTTGTTGGCCCAATGCGACGAGATTATCACCACTCCTGCTGTCGTGAAGGAGATTCGCGACCCCGATGCTCGTGCTCGTGTGGAAACTCTCTACCTGCCATTCTTGAAGCAACGCACCCCCTCCCCGAAGAGCTTCAATGTGATTAGCGAATTCGCTCGCAAGACCGGTGACCGGTCTGTGCTGAGTCGGGTGGATATCGAGGTGCTCGCGCTGGCATATGAAATTGAATGCGAGCGCAACGGTGGTGACTGGCGTCTGCGAAGTGTTCCAGGCCAGAAGCGAGTGAACGGCAGGCCACCAGTCAAGGAGGAAGTCAAGGAGGAAGACAAGGAGGAAGACAAGAAGGAAGACAAGAAGGAAGACAAGAAGGAAGAGGAGAATAACGAAGAGGGCAAAGAGGGAGAGTCAGAGAACTTCGGGACAGACACGGCGAATGGGGAGACCGAGACTGCGGTGACAGAACAGAACGAAGAGACTCAGCAAGATGGGACGCCGTTACACAACCCAGAGACTCCCGTTGATGAAGTCGCAGCCGATCGCCCCGTCGCTGCCCAGGTTCATTTCGAAGTAGGTGAAGAGGCCGCGGAAGAGGTCGATGCGGATGAGGAGGAGGAGGAGGACGACGCCGCTGATTCCGACGGCGGCGAATGGATCACTCCTAGCAACTACAAAAAGCGGCTGGCCCGCGATGAAAGTGGTTCGTCAGGCAATGGCAATGAACCGAAGACAATGCAGGTCGCTACCATGACCACCGATTTCGCGGTAAGAATCACATCCTCCAAGTCTTTCTTCCACAATGATTCCAATTGACTTCTTTTCCAGTGTCAAAATGTGCTACTGCAAATGAACCTGAATCTCCTTTCGACTACCACATTGCAAAGAGTCCAGCACTTGAAATCATTCGTCAAGCGGTGCCACGGCTGCTTCTTGACGACCAAGGAAATGAACAAGCAGTTCTGCCCTCGCTGCGGCAAGGATACCCTGACCCGTGTCTCATGCACTACCACTGCCAATGGCCAATTTACCATGCACTTGAAGAAGAACATGCAATGGAACAATCGCGGAAATCGTTTCAGTGTTCCCAAGCCTATCGCTGGCAGTGCCAATGGCAAGTGGAAAGGTGGTGGTGGAAAGGGTGGTTGGGGGACCGAATTGATTCTTGCAGAGGACCAAAAGGAATATGTTCGATCTACAGTCGAGGAAGAGCGGCGCCAGCGCCGTGAACGCGACCTGATGGATGAGGATTATCTCCCCGGTATTCTGACCGGTGAGCGTAACAAGTCTGGTGGGCGAATTCGGGTTGGCGCTGGCCGAAATGTCAACTCAAGAAAGCGCTGAGCGAAGCATATTGAAGGGCATGCATTGCGGGAAAGTTAGACTGGGGTCTTATGGTAAATTCCAAAGGTTCTTAAAAATCATTTTACATTGTCCTTGACGACATTGGATACCGACCGCCAACATCATCAAAATAATGCGCCTGGGCCCTGTGCTGTAACATGTGACCGAAAATTTCATGGCTTGTTGTGTCCAAGGGGACTACAGGCATGTGTGGTAGTCGGAAATGACATAGCACGAAAGATTTAAACAGCTGTGAATTTGAAGCAAGGAACGGTCATCGAATGAGATTTGGCCATTATAAAGCTCAGCCAACGCGACGTAGATCACAGCCATCCATCGCCTGTAAAATTAACACCTAGCGCCATCTTCGGGATTTTGGTCCCTAACTTTCAGTATCCCAGTTCTATTCAATAATTCAAGACGAAGCCTCCTCTGCAAGAATAGGTTAGAATATGCTCACGTCCGCAATGATGGCGCAGGTTTCTGCCACGTACCAGGCTGCTGAGTAAGGAGAAGACCATAGCGACGCTTCAAAGTGACACGGTGGCGAGAATACTTGTCATCAGGTGAGAAACGAGCAGGGTGACTATTGACGGTTAGACGTGGTTCCCATGCTCAGACGATGTCGTAGGAGCGCTTACGCAGACTTGGACACCTTGCCATCGACAACCTTCTTCAGCGTGTAGACACGCTTGCCATCGGCACCCAGAGTGTACTTTTCAAGAAACGTCAGTGATGTTGTCGGAGGAAGGGAGGCATTCTGCTCGGTCGAAAGCAAGGTTTCATTTGGTGCGACGGCGAATACAGGTCAAACATACCATCAAATGCATCCTAGATCGGGAGAGTTAGTCTGCGGGCCGTGAATAGAAAGACCTAAGTTCAAAAAGGACCCAAATGCTGACTTACTTATCGGAACTGAAGGGTGGTTACGGTTTGGTGGTCGTGCTGGAGTCGTCAATCGTGAAACGGAGGAATTTTTTGACGCCGACGACCTGCCGAGTGGAGACCCTTTACCTATCAGGCATCCGCACCCAGCGCTTAGTCATCGTAGCCCGCTTAAATTCAACAGTCATGCCCGCAAGTTTTTTCTTTTTCTCTTCTGACGCGTATGAGCAGCTCATGAGATCTTGTTCGATAATGCAAAAACGGCAATGCTAACTCACAGCGACAGTTGAGCGACAAGAGCTAGCTTGGTCTCTTCCAGGCAATCTCCTCGAGAAAGACTGCGCGGAAGATCGTCTAGATCGCACTTGTCAGGTAAGCTCAATCACGTTCGATTCACTCTCTTTCGAGATGCTTTCGATCTTTAGCTTGCACCACCCTCTTTCGATGATGACTATACACTTAAGCCCAGGCAGGTGGCACCTTGATTTCTAGCTGCCTGTCAGTGATCTGCTTAAATTGACTACAACGGTATCTGAGAAAACCGTGACTAGATTCATTCTTCACTCAGCATCTTCGATGGACCTGGCGCTAACGAAGATATCTCAGACTAGGGTCACATCGTCACATTGTAGTCGCTTGCTCGCCATGACCGGAGAGACGGACATGCAGCCATCACATATGAAGACAACCATGTCTGCCATAGAGTCCGCGGCTGGAAACCTCCTCGAGGCAGAGAAATCACACCCTCCACGGGCAGCAAGAGCACCCCGGCCTCCTAGACCCAATTACAGGAACATTCATCGCTTTCCTCTTCCAGTCAATGTCCATCATGTTCCTTCAGTAATTCCTCATAACCCTCTTTCTATCATAAGCGTTGCTCTTTCGTACCTCACCTTTCTCGTCTCTCCACCTCACCAAAAAGTCTACTCCGCATGTTTCGACTCGGCTACCTCATCTGTCCATGTGACTGATGAGAAGACGATCAGAGCGTTGTGGGAAATGGGTTTCTTCGGTAAAGGTAGTCTCAGTCGGAGCGAGCCCAACTGGCTGGAGCAAGAGAAGAAGAGGAGGGGTCTGATGGGTGGAAGCACAGTCGAAGAGGCTACACGGAAACGTCGCGCCGAACGACGTCAGCTCAAGCTCGAACGAGCAAGACATGAGAAGCTCGCTGTCGAGGAGAGACTGAGGGTCGAGGCCGCTGCCCGTGAATCTGGCTCTCAAAGTGGACTGCACGTAGTTGAAGCCGCGGATTCAACTGCTATTCCCGCGGAGAGATTCTCTGTCAAGAAAGCCATGGAAGCGAGGTTCCTCGAGAGACGGCAACAAGCCATGCAAAACAGAGAGGCAGCCTCCTCAGCCGACCAGCAACAATCTCTTGGAGATTTGACAAATTCGCCTTCCTCACCCTCTGCGAACAGCCAATCCCTTCCGGTCTCGGAGCACACGGATCATATACTCGATGATGACCTGGACTTGGACACAATTGAGAATGAGGAGCACCTTCAACTCTCCAACGAAGAGACCTTCTTCCTGGTCTACGCCTTAGGCGCATTAAGCATTGTTGACCGCGCAAGCAATGCCATCATCCCGACTCCTGCTCTCTTCGATCTCCTTCGCAGACACTCTTATTATCCTCGCCGTCCCGAGGATCGTCCTCTGGAGGTAGATGACCCCTTCATGATATCATATGTCGTTTACCATCATTTCCGATCTCTTGGCTGGGTTGTACGCTCCGGAGTGAAATTTGGAACGGACTATCTTCTCTACAACCGCGGCCCAGTGTTCTCTCACGCTGAATTTGCTGTCATCATCATCCCATCTTACAGTCACCAGTTCTGGTCATCAACTGAAGCCCTGAAGAGACACGCCGCAGATAAGCAATCCCGCAGCTGGTGGTGGCTACACTGCGTCAATCGCGTGCAGGCTCAAGTGAAGAAAAGCCTGGTGATTTGCTACGTTGATGTTCCTCCTCCAAGCGAAGTTGCTGCCGACGTTGACGGCCAGCTCAACCGTTATCGAGTGCGCGAGTTTCTTCTCCGGCGATGGGTCCCCAACCGTACGCGCGACTGATCTGGTGCTATTGGGAGGACCTTCTTGTCTAATATGCCCTGGGTGATTTTTGAGTGGATATTGTATAATAACTATATAATGACCGTATACCCAATTGAAGAGACACCATGAACCCCAAGCTGCGACCCTTATAACCTTTTTCGTTGCATATTGCACGTGCGAGAAAGACTTACTGTCTCTACCCTGTCTCTACCCTGTCTCTACACAGGAGCACTCACGCAGCATGATCTAGTTGTCCCTGGTCCACATTCTGTACTCACTCCATAGTCCATTAGTAGGTGGCAAGGTGCGCAAGGAGGATCCCAGTAGGACCGGTGCGACTTTCCCTCGGGCACGCTAACCTAAATCGAGTTAAATTAGGTGGCCTGGCCACACGTGATTGACGCGTCTCGCGTTTGATACTAAGGCCTCAAAGGACGATTGCGTAGCGCCAAACCTTGGTCAGATAGAATTTTGAAGAGTGTGATTAATTTTACAGGCCCAGTGGCAAAGCATAATTTGCATTCGAGTACATGTGTCCAAAATCGAGGTCCTGACTATGGACACGCAAGACAGCATCGATATTCCCAAGCTACAACGCGTCGCGTTGGGACTAGTATGTCACGTCCTGCCGCCGGTCAGGCTCTCATTGATGATTGGACTGATCCTAATATCTCCAGGAGCACGACTCTTCCCATCTAGTCAAATTCCATCCAGCAGGAATTGTCAGTGCGTCGTCGGAGCAGCTCGATCACGCCGATCCACGTCCTCCTCCAGACCTTCGCCTTGAACTTTCTCCGTCGACAATTGCTCCACTGAGCTCGAACAATTCCTCGTCAAAAGGTCCTCTACCTTCCTCGCACCGGCACCTCCATGTGTCGCAGATCCTGAAGGAACATCGAGAAGTGGAGGGTCGGAGAGAGGCGCTTGCATCTTCCCCTAAAGCTTCAGGAACCATGGAGTCTGTGGAGGCCGCGCCCGGCGACACACAAGTCGTGTCACAGTCGGTGTATGACAGCATCATCCAAAAGAATGGAGAATCTATATTCCACGGAGCTTCCCAGATCGGAGCAGACGGCGCAACGCTCCATACCCTTCATGAGGGAGATAGTGGACATATCAATCTGCTTTCTCAATTCGATACCACCCGCCGAGAGGATGTGATGTCGCCAGACCACGATGAAGATAGTAACTTCGATGATACTGCATCTTCCCCGACAGCCTTCAACCCCGATTTCTTCCCCGAGTCGCAGCGATTTCTATCAAGGACTCCAGGCACCGCGGTGAAGACGCACCATACGCCCAGTACATCCTCGCGGACCCCGACACTTCCACGAAATCCGTTAGCAGGTGATGCTCCGTCGAGCGGGGGAATGTTGGCCTTGAGCCAGATCTTCAAAGCAACACAGGCTCCTTCGTCGCCACTGGTACATACGGAACAGTTAGAGCTGATATCTGATCGCCCGTCTCCAAATCTCCCAATTCAGCATCGTCGTATTGTAAATATTGTTTCGTCGCCACTTACCGAGCGACCGACGCGCGTTTTTCGGGAGTCTTCAGAGCCCAATTTGCATTATATCTCGCTCAAGGACTCACAGTCAAGGCGTGATAAATCGTTAGGGGAAAGGCTCACTCGCTCTGCGAACTATTTGCAAACAAGTGATGAGCTTGAAAATGAGTTTTACAAAGAACCACCATTTGTGGGGAACGCGAGGCGTCTGCGGAGGATCGACAAGGAAACTGCTGCCCACTTCGCAGCGTTGAAGGCTCCTTCCAGATCTACCAGCAGATCTGACACCTCGCCAACGCATCCAACGGACGATCACCTTGAACACCACGACGCGGTTGGAGGGGCAGATAGCGAAGAAGAAACGGAACAAGAAGAGGATCTGGATCCGCAAGTGCCTCAATCACAAGACACAATGCATACTCAAGAGGAGGACAAGGAAAATTATAATGGCCCACCGTTGCCCGCGGATGCCACTAACAGCGCGCATACTCGACTTTCTCAGGTTCTTGCATTTGACGGCCATGAAACCGCGGTGGAAGGTGCTAACCATTGTCAACTTAACAAGACTGCCTCAGACGGTTTGTCGCGAAACAGCCATTTCCCAGGCCGCTCTTCACAAGTGATGGTTCAAAATTCTCAACAGACACCTTACCAATCACCCAAGCCCGACGAGCAGTCGCCCACAGCTCCTTCGTCGCCTGCTCTCTCACATAATCTCGATGCCATGTCCGGCGTTGAGCGCGATCACTCTCTTCCCTCTCGGGTTCGTTCTTCACCACCAGCTTCACAACCAGATGCTTCGGTGTCGCTAGAAGATAGACCACACTCGGCTATGGAGGATCTTCAGGAGCCTCTGAATCCTTCTCAGGAAGCCAGGCAAGTCGAACCCACCAACCATGCAGATCAAGACCTACCCGTCTCCTCCATCGAAGGAAAAGGGACAGGTCATGAAACAAAATCTTCCTCACTACCTTCACGGGTGATCGAGACTCCTGTGCACGTACGTCCACAAATAAACGACGTTGCGCGTCTTATCAGTATCCCTGAGACGAGTCCCACTCAGAACCGACCTGGTGATTGGGAAGGCGCATCCACCGGCGATGCTATCAATAATGAGGATGACGATCTACCTCCAATGTTCCGAGCTGACAGTGCAAGCCAACGCTCACGACCTCGACCCACTTATACTCAGTCATCGCCTATCAAAACTTTACAAGCGCAAGAAGCTCAATCACAGATTCTTTCCAGTCCCAGTGGACGACGGCGCCGGGCATTGACAGCTATAGCCGCCAGTGATTCTCCTCAAGTGGACCCTAAGTTGGACTGGGGCCTTGATTTCTTCACTGCCGAGGATGCCGAATTCAACGCTTTGATGGATGGCTCCCCTTCGCGCCCAAGGAAAAGACGTCGGGGCAACCTAGGCCAAAGCATTAAACCCTTGAACATCACTATTCCTTCCACTCCCACCACTTGTCCTTCAAAGACTGCTGTCCAAAGCCAATTACAATCAAGTGTCGAGGGGAATCATCCAAATTCGCAAGAGATGCTCGCTGTTCAAGTCCCTACCCCCACATTTCAACAGCAGGTGGAGCACGCGTCACGTCCGTTATCACGAGCTGCCTCTCGGCCACCTTCACGATCTTCTTCAAGAGCAGTGTCGCGCTCGCGTCCAAGACCAGTCAGTCGGCCAGCTTCGCGGGCAGCCTCCCGAGCACCGTCACGAGCACCGTCACGAGCGCCTTCACGAGCGCCTTCACGAGCGCCTTCACGAGCGCCTTCACGAGGCCCATCGCGTCTTTCATCTCGACCGCCCACTAAAAGGACATCCTCCGTCTGGGATATCGAAAGTCCAGAGCAAAGCTCTCGGCGGAGGTCTAGGTCTAGGCTTGCTAGACTTGCCACTTCGCCAGATCCACCACCTCAGCAAATCCCAGTCAAATTTCCGGATGAAGTATCGTCCAATAAACCAAAGGCTATGCGTAAGCAGCAGAGCTTGCCGTCTGAACTCACCGATGTCGACTCCCCGTCTCGTGCATCAGTGCAACCTGCTCGCAATTATGCACACAGTCCCTCAACTACACCACAGCTGCAGTATGTCACAGCAGCGATGGAGAATGAGAAGTTGGGACTTGTTGCTCCGAATCAAGTAATTGCTGTATGGCAGGGCCACAAACGCGCCTACTATCCCGGGACCTGTTTTGGGGCTCCTCCTGGCGTGTCCCAGGGTAAATTTTCCGTGCAGTTTGAGGGCAGCATACCGGTCGAAGTGATAAAAGGTGCAGTGAAGCGATTCGATCTGAAGGTGGGGGATGAAGTGAAAGTCGACATGCCCGATTTCCCTAAGGTCGCGCATGTCATTCGAGGATTTGGCGATCAACTTTCTCGAGAAGACATTTTGCGAGCTGCAACGACTGGATTGTACCCCCTGACAGACGTCCATGGTCATAGCACTGTGATTGTCGCATCCAAGCGACGCAAAACCCTGCCAAGTGGCAATTCTATCCCTCCTGAAACTCTGACCAAGGTGCCAATTTCCCGCATCTACTTGGACAATATTCTCTGGAACCGATTGAAGGATCGAGAATCTCTGAAGTTTCCGGAACAAGCGCTGCAAGAAACCACTCTTCCTGCTCAGGCATTGCAATCTTCTTTACCAACATCACCAAGCCACCGCATGGCTCGCAGCTTTCAGGAACCCGGTGCCATATTTGCAAAGATGGCCTTCGCTATATCCTATAAGGACGATGAAGCCTCGAAGAACAAGGTCACGCGGCTCATTCGGGAGAATGGTGGCCTGTTGTTGCATGAGGGATTTACAGAGCTGTTTGACCCTACTTGTCCGGAGACTCCTAAGAAGAACAGTGGCCAGCACGAGGCTAGCAAGGTCAGTGGACTTTGCCTGACCCGGGATGCAGTCGAAATTGGCTTCACTTGTCTCATTGCAGACACTCATTCGCGACGTGAGAAATACATGCAGGCGTTGGCGCTGAACATTCCGTGTCTTTCTGGTCGTTGGGTAGAAGACTGTGTGGCGAGAGGCCGAATCCTCGACTGGGACATCTACTTGTTACCGGCTGGTGAGTCGCAGTATCTCAACGGCGCAACAAAGTCTCGAGTCATGTCACCAATTCCGCCGCTGGAAGCTCGATTGTCTGACACCATCGCTTCGCGACCTCGACTGCTCGAAGGTAAATCTGTGCTTGTTGTGATGGGACGCGGCAAGGCAGAGGGAAGACGCAAAGCATACATCTTCCTCACAATTGCATTGGGTGCATCACGGGTGGAACAAGTGCCCGATCTCGACACTGCCAAGAAGATGGTCGATTCTGAGCGTGAGGGCACTTCCAGTTCCTTCGCTTGGGACTTTGTTTATGTGGACGATGCGGACCAAGCCACTGCAAAATCCATGTTCAAGGCCTCTTCGCCCACCGAGTCTGCCAATACGAGTGTCTCACGAGGCAGAAAACGAAGGCGTTCGACAATGCTTGCAGAAAGGCCCACGGCGGCTTCTTTACTCGGACCCAAGGTGGTCGGCAGTGAGTTTGTTTGCCAAAGCTTGATATTGGGACAACTTTTTGAAAGTTGACGATGTTCTTCCAATGAGCTGTCATTAGATACTATTCTATATCCAGATGTAGACTCCACCCCCTTCCTCTTTCCAGTTCCGCAATTAGATCTTCCGCCGTCAAAAAAAAGGCTTGTGTGACTACCGACGTATTTAATTCAATGCCCTTGATATAGGTTGTGTACTATCCTGATCGTGTCATATACCGATCTTTGTTGAGAGGACCGGGCAACAAGGACCGGACGTAGCTTTGAGCCCGTTTTCTTCCGAGCGCCTTCAAACTAATTAAGAAAGATAACTTCATCCCGTCTTCTGTACGAGACCCGGTCCCGGCTAGCGATGACATCAAGCTCGTATGGTTTGTGAGTGCAGCGAGCGGTCTATGAGGTGCCACCCTAGCCAGTTGGCCGTATGTTGATACCCATCGGGGAGTAGGTAGCGTCTTTGAGTACGGTAATCGGCACGCGCAGATGTTCATCGGGGAGCAAAGTTTGACTACGGCAGTCGGCTTGTGCAGACGAGGCGGAGCTACGCCCGATGCTGGGATAGAAGACGTGCCGTGGTGGAAACGGACACGAATTGGAACCGTCGCAATGGCGGACCCTTAGACAGTGTCGAATTAGACGGGGTCTGACAAGGGGATGGCATAGCTACCCTGTGATCTGCTTTATGCGACTGTGGGAACCTGGGTTGATTGAGCCTCGGCTGCGTCTCAATAAATGGTGGCTTATATGCGGGCGCAAATCTGCGTTTGATATCTTCAAAGAAATTCGTGATTATGAGGTTGATGTGGGATCCGAAAGGAAGTGGGATACTTCGGGGTCCCTTCGTAGGTGTACACAGTATCTTTGTTATAAGTATGAGTGAGATTCCTTTGGTTACGAGAAGCAGGAGGCGTATATTGTTTTGGAAAAATTGATGCTGGATGCTGGATGCTGTTCCAAGAAGAAGGAAATCTTGCTTATACTTATGGCAAAGATACTACGCTTACGAAAGGACCCCGAAGTGCATATATTCCCCTTCCTTTAAGATCCCACATCAACCTCCCCTCATGATCCCGAATTTTCTTCGAAGATATAATTCGGTCATTTTTTTGATTAGTCGTACTTTTCGAGTTAGATGTTATTCAACACGATCCATTAGATAGGCGACGCCCGGCTCATGTCGATTGATGCTGTGTAAACACCATGCGACATCTATAGGGTGGAATACCGGCTGAATCTGCTCTTCGTAGGTATCAGGTAGGTGCGGGACCAACTTCATTCATGAGTTTCTGCACATGCTCAATAAAGAAGCTTGAAGACTTTGGTAAGAGTCGTGTCCATGTCACTAAATATTTGGGGAGATACCCTTTCTATTGTACAAAGGGAGAAGCCGACGAAAACATCTCCTCGATATCGCTCGCAGAAAAAAAAGGAAAAAATACAAAACCACAGTCATGGCCTAGAACGTTATGCTCAATCCTTATTTGGCCTTCTTTGAAGACTTCTTCTTGCCCTTCAGACTCTTCATTTGGGCAGCCCGCTCAGCACGCGCCTGTCTCTTCCTCCACGCTAGCCATCGGTCCCTGCGGTTGTAAGAGGGTGCGACAATTCCAGCTTTCTCGGCAGCACGACCAATAACCCAGTTGGCTTCGCGGTACATATAACCAGGCCGCAACTGAGGACCAGACTCGGCCTTGACCGCCTCGATGCTGCCGACTTGAGTACCATTCTCATCAATGGAGGCGACCAAGTCAGATTGAAATTCGACCGGCTCGGCTCGTGGGATTGTGGTCATGTTCAACCTGCGTCGGCTGGGCGCGTTGCGTGGGCGTGGGAGCTTCTCGTCCTTGTCAAAGACTACGCCGATGTACCGGCGATCAGGGTGACGTTCCGGGTCCAGGTAGTACCGGACATAGCCGGCTTGAGTTGCGTAGATGGTGTGATCGCGGCCCATAGCACAGTTGTCGCCGGGGAACCACAATGATCCACGTTGGCGGAAGATGATACAGCCGGGAACAACATATTCACCACCTGTGCGCTTGGCTCCTAAACGCTTCCCAGCTGGATCACGGGAGTGTCGATTGGCCGTTCCTTGGGAAGCGTGGGAAGCGAAACGGACTTGTGAGAACGGAAGGAGTGTGCGTGGAATGGTTGGTGTCGTCTTAGGAACGGAGAGTGGCGCGGTGAGAGAGCGCGGGAAGATGGACTGAGGGCGGATTGCAGCTGAAGATGATCGAATGGATGGAGTGATGACTCGCTCCAGCGCCCTCATGGGCGCCAGAAGTCTGGGTTGCAACATTTTATTGCGATTGTCGGCCAGTCAATATGCGGAGATGGAAGCTACAAGGGGAACTTTTTCTCGGAGATGCAGGGCTTGGCGTCACGTGCCCGTGCCGTAAGCTGGCAACATCTACCATCTACCACAGTGGCTACCTAGCTAACTGTGAGCTTTGCGATTACAGCTCCTTAAATTTTTCCCTGGGTGGTGTGATAATCTGTTCTGATTGAAAATGCTGCGCTCTATAATCTCATGCCTGTGGGCTTTCCTTTTCCTGGCCGCCGTGGCCAATGCCCAATTTCAATTCTTCGAACAAATGTTCGGAGGCGGCCAGCAGCACCCAGGCCAGCGACAGGGCTCACAGAACGTCCCAAGTGATAGCAGCCGCTATCAGCAGATGTGGGCTCAAGGTAAAGTCTAGCATGCACTCAATGTGCCTCGATTGTGGGCTTTCAAGTTTGCAATCATTTACTGACAGTTTGGTCCATCACTAGCTCACTGCAGCAACTACCTTTGCCCCGGCACACTCGCATGTGTGTCCGTTCCCCACCACTGCCCATGCGCTCACCCCGATGTTGAAGAGAAGGTCGAGCTAGGTGAAGGCAGTGCAATCTGCGTGTCCAAAGGTGGATTCAAGGCTGGCGAGGCGTCCCGAAAGATCGAGCTGGCTCGCAAGGGTCTCTTGTGAGACCGTCGCCTACTTCTGGTCTGGTCAAACGGTGCAGGCGATGCAATGTATATAAATCTGGTCACCTGGCCACTCATGTGCTCAGAAACTCAAGTGCCTTTCTCACATTCCAAGTGAGAATAACTTATTCATGTATTCGGTGATCGGCCTAAACACTGCATCAAGTGACTGGAACCTTGCTAGGCAGAGTAAACTGGCGCCGAATGTAAAGCTATACGCGCATTGAGACTTCCAAAACTGATTTGTACGGTCTGAAATGAAGACTTCCAGAAGCTTACTGACAATGTTCGTTCATGCGCAAGTCCCGTCATACTTCAATCCAACGAGTCACAGTCGTGTCCATATCGAATTGTACGCATCCGAACCCCACAATGCATAACATGCGCAACACCGTTATATGAGCCCTGCTCCATGATCAATTCAGGTGGCCATTCACAAAATTTGCTATTGGAGTCTCTCATGAGCTTCGAAACAAAATGGTCCGAAGGCGATACATATTCAGTTCGACTCAAAGTGCTTGACAGAGTAAGACGGCCAGTTATCGGAGGAGCATGTGAAGATCAGGTGAACTAAGTCCGGTTAACCCCGTCCGTGGGCGATCTTCCGTCATCGCACCGAACTTTTGTCTGGCCCGTCACGTTGTATCTTTTGGACCACGCCCATCAACATCAATCATCATAACACGCCAGGGGCTCCTTCCACCATGCTAAGCAAAAGACTTTGGTCCTCTCTCCAAGGGAATACGTTGCAATGCAGGGCTCTCTCATCATTGCGCGGCAGAGGTTCTCGTCTCGGCCCACGTAACTTCGATCGGTCGAGGCGAGTTTCGCAGCCACGCAAGATAGACGACAACTCATCCCCCGAGGTTCCTCCGGTGGAACAGATGAACACGATCGATGATAATTACGATCCAGCAAAGAACACACTGCTAGCCCCGGTGTACATGCCTGAAGACCCAAATGGCGTACTGAAGGAGAATCATCCAGCAACGAATATCTTGGCCAACTCCGGACTGGTCGTACAGCGACAGCTTGAGATGATGAATGTAATGATGTACGTCAAATGAATATACTGCCCTCGCATATCAAAATATAACCCTTTGACACACTCTTGAATAGCGGCTTTGAACAAGCCAACAAGTATATCATCATGGATGCGCAAGGAACGCACATTGGATACATGGCGGAGCAAGAGAAGGGAATAGCGAATACCATGGCGCGACAGTGGTTCCGCACACATCGCAGCTTTGTGACTCATGTCTTTGACAGGCAAATGAATGAGGTTCTTCGAGTACGTCGCCCTCGCAGCTTGGAATTCGAACCAACTTTTGACACATCGATATAGTTCAATCGGCCCTTCTCGTGGATCAATTCACGGATACAGGTCTACGATCCGTTACAGCGAGCTCACGTTCCCTCCGAGATTTCTACGCCTCCTCAAACAACACAAGACTTTATGATGGAGCCGTTCTCTGGGTCGCCTAAAATATCCCCGCTGGACTTTACTCAGATGCGAGTGATTGGCGAAGCCCAGCAACAGTGGGCGCCATTGCGACGAAAATATAATCTCTTTACGTTCCACCCATCCCCCAATTCTGATACAGACATGGGAAGTCAAGGATTCTCTCTTGCCGGTTCTGGCTTCTCAAAGCAACAACAGCTGCAGCTCGCCCAGACTTCACTCCAAGATCAAGGCGAATTCAATCAGTTTGCCTATGTCAACGAACCATTCCTCTCCTGGGACTTTTCGCTGCTAAGTGCCGAGAATCGAACGATCGGATCAGTGAACCGCAACTTTGCTGGGTTTGCCCGTGAAATCTTCACGGATACCGGAATGTATGCTCTTCGCATGGACTCCGCGGGCTTGAGTAGGGAGCCATCAGCCAGCCAGACTGACCGTTCGCCTGGCATGACTCTTGATCAACGAGCAGTGATGCTTGCGACTGCTGTCAGCATTGATTTTGACTACTTTAGCCGGCACAGCGGGTCAGGTGGGTTTGGTTTCATGCCTCTATGGTTTCCTGGATTCGGAGGAGAGGCCGCGGCCGGCGGCGCAGCCGCTGGAGAGGCTGCGGGTGCCGTTGGAGGGGCCGCTGGAGGGGCCGCTGCCGGAGAGGCTGGTGCCATCGGCGAGGTAGCGTCCGGTGCCTTAGGGCGAAGTGCAGGTGCTGCTGGTGATGTCGCAGCTGGCATGGCTGGCGCTGGTGCCATGGCTGGTTACGATGCGATGCATCGTGGAATGTCTGGAAGCCAGAACTCAGAGTCACCTGCATCTTTTGCCCCTTCTGGCTTTGACCAGGCGGAATTGCCCCCATCTGAGCAACAGCTTCCTGGTCAGCCTGGTGAATCAGAAGATCTCTGGTCAGGGCACCCTCCTCAAGCTCCGTGGAGCGAAGATGAGTTCAAAGATCCTTGGGGCGATGAGGGCTCAGATGAAGGCGGCGGTGACGACTTTGACTGGTTCTGAGTATCTGGGTCCACCGTTTAAATGCGTTACACTGTACAATATTACTTGAACGATATTATGATAAATAAAGCCATTGATTCCCACAACCACAATTGTCCTATGATAGAGAGTCTCGTAGCGAAATAGTGTGTGTGATCAAAGAAGCACATGGACATGGGCATTGCGCAGAGAGAGGTAAGACTTATGAGGCTCATTACGTCGAGATTGGGTTGACGGGGCTGCCGCCCCATCATGTCAATCATTTTCGCTGGGCCCCGCTATTCTTCCATCGTCGCCGTCTCCTTCTCATTTTACTCTAGCCACCTCAAGAACCTACATATCGTCTTCCGTAACGGCAAGACCCATCAAGAGTGCTATTGTACTGCTGGCAACCTGACATAGCTTATATATACATCTCCGCAGTACACACTCACGAGTGTTCACCCGAACGAAGTGCGGAAACATCCCGAGTTGCCACTCGCCGAATCACTGTTCAAATTCAACCTGATCTCTCTGATTCTCATCTCCCTAAACACCTCGCCGCCGTCTGCGCCCGCCCAACATGGCTTCTTCGGTCGCCCAGAAACGCCTGTTCCACGAATATAAGAACTTGTCCACAAATCCGCCCGAGGGTATCACAGCTGGCCCCGTCTCTGAAGATGACATGTTCTACTGGGAAGCGCTGATTGAAGGGCCGGGCGGCACTCCCTTCGAAGGAGGTGTCTTCGCAGCGGAGCTGAAGTTCCCCAAAGACTATCCTCTGAGCCCTCCTACAATGAAGTTTGTGAGCGGTGGAGTGTGGCACCCAAATGGTAAAATTCTTGCAGCTGGGCGAGAACTCGCCTGGGGACCGGTGTAAACTGAGTCTGCGTTGAAGACGGACTTGGGCTAATGCTTTTTCGATGTCAGTGTATCCTAACGGCACCGTCTGTATCTCGATCCTCCACCCTCCTGGTGATGACCCGAACCACTACGAACATGCGTCTGAGCGCTGGTCGCCCATTCAGAGCGTGGAGAAGATTCTCATCTCGGTCATGAGCATGCTTGCCGAACCCAATGACGAGAGTCCTGCCAACGTAGAGGCGGCCAAAATGTGGCGCGAGCGACGCAGTGAATATGAACAAAAGGTTCGGGACGAGGTTCGCAAGGGCCTGGGTCTTTGAAACGGACACCGCTTGTGGAAATTCCTACGAAAGTGATGGAGATTACGCTGCTGATGTATGGCGTCATGTCGTTATTGGCTCTAGGTTGGCACGACTCAAGTTGAAGCCCATGTATCTGGCGTGCGCAGCTCCTGTGTATATGTAGCGTTCGGACAAACAATGAATATATTATTATAGTACACTCTCGACTTGACACACGACGATAAAACCGACCGAGGGCGAGCGGAACGTGAAAATCAGCAAGCGGCCTAAAGAGCACCTGAATCATTCCTGACGGAAAAGCTTGCGGTCAATCCATGCCTCGAGACCACCCTCGCGCTCATACAAAATCTCAATCTCCGCTTTGACATTTAGCAGCAACATACGGTGCAGCTCTGTGACCCACTCTCGCTCGGGTCCATCACTCGCCCAGACTGGGTTCTTGCGAAGCATGGCGAGAATTTTCCTGCGGTCGTTGGCCGTCAGAGAGAGGACTCGACCTGCACCGGGTGATTCCGACGCCAGTATGGCGTCCGTGAGCCTGACGCCGAGCCATTCCAAGCCTGGAAGGCTCAACCTTGCATTTTCATGGAGATGGGCCATTGATCCATACTTATACGTGGACATGATAGCCATCCCATGTGGATCGCTATCCATCAAAGCATAGAAGTGTGGTGGTCTGTCATATCTTCTGGACGCGATGAAAAGCTGATGTGCGAATTCGCGTGTGCTAACATCGGGGTAGCCTTTTCCCTGAGTTGGTCAGTCAATGTATGGGCACATATTGAACGCCGAGAATGACCACTACAGCGCTTCGCGCTCACCGTTATCAGTATTCCGTCTCCTGAAATGGCTCGCTTGGGATAATTGCTTCGAGCCAATCGATGGAAAACAGCCTGCAATACGGCAATCAGATACTTATTTTCATGCGCATGGACGTTTTTTTATCGCCCACAACGCACCTCTTTTTCGATGATGAATACCCAGCGGACTCCCTCGATGTCAATGGTATCGCTGCCTTGTACTCGAGGGATCATTGTGTCCTGAGTGGTGAGATGCATAACTCTATGAATCGCATCCATTTGGAGTATAAGCACGCCACTTACTTCGCCGCTACTAGCATCCACAATCACTCGAGACTCTCGTTCCAATTGGAAACGTCCGGCGACGAGACCCTTGCTGGCTGCCTCCTACCCCGAGATCAGTCACTCCAAAGTGGGACAACCGGTGCGCGAGATGTACTGAGCTGACTGACAATGTTGAGGAATGTTCTATCCACCCCAATCGTAAAGGCTAGGTCATCTACTACAGCGTTGACGGTGGCTTGGGATTTGAAGTATGCTGGGTCGATGTAGTAGATGTCTCTGAGACGAGGCAGTCAGCCTTCAAAATTTGAGGGCTCGTGTTCGTCTCGACGAATGAGGTAATGGTGTTACAGCCAACTGACCTTTTGGAAATCAATTGCTCAGTACAGATAGCCTCGTCGATAATGGATAGAATGCGAATAATGACTGCTGCAAGGAAGAAACAAAAGTTATCGAAGAATTGTGCTCAAAGTGCAGCCCTCTCTCGGTGTCTTACTGAATTTCCATGACTCAAATGGTGTTCTGCCAGGCCATGAGTAAGAATGATATGTCACGTCGTTCAAACGTGCCTCGAGAGCCCTGGTTTGTGAGTTGATCGTGCATTGTGTTTGATTAGATCTGCGACGAAGAGTAATGGACGGTCTACTTTCGGATGGTGAGAGGGAGACTTGATCCAAGATGTTGATTAGGATGTCATCAATAAATTCGCGCACGAGTCTCTGGCTTTCTTCAACAGTTGGACTAGCCGGAGGGACAGAGGAGGACCCTTGAGACATGATCAGTCTTTCGAGACTCTAGAGCAACTCTCAACCATAGGGCAGACTGCAATGGCAAGTTCATGCTTGTGATCGAAGAAGATCACAGAGGTGAATGGCGTGACTTGTGGGAACGTGACCTTTATACTTGCACGGGACTTGATGGCACCTGATCCATACCTACTATTTCGCTGCTACTGACGAAAGGGGTCCCTTATCTTCGTGTTTACTCTCGATTCGACTGAGCTTTGAAACTCGACAAATGGTCGACTTCATATCAGACCTTGGCCTCTATCTATGTCAGTCGCAAGCCTACTAGTGACCACTGACCACCGACTATATCAATAAGAACAATTCCGTCATTTTCTTGGGCAGAAGACATCCAGTGGGTTTCTCCAGCACCCAAACCACGTCGGAACAATCCTGGAATGTCAACATCAGATCGCACCCAGCAGAGGATACAAAAGTCCCAAACGACTTATCATTACCCAACTTGGAGCGCTCAAAGGCAGTGGCAGTGCCGGGTTGCACTGCATGAGTTCAGCTTGTTCTTCGTTATACACGGCAGCCGTGAGAATGCTGAGTCATCCACTCGAGGCGGGGGGCCTGGCAGTGGTACCTGGAAGTGCAGGTGGACTCTAGGCAGGCACCGAGCCAAGTTCCAACAGCTCCCGAGTTGTTTCTCCGCTTTATTGTCAATCGATAGAGACGAAGCTTGGACTCTGGACCCTTCACCAGCTCCCAGCTAGGACGAGTTGAGTGAAAAATGGCTTCACACATTGGACCGTGGAGAACTGAGGCTCAGGGTCATCTCCGTCCAGACAGTAATGGAGACTCAAAGACAGACTACTCCCGCTGGCGGTTGGTCAATGATGCTGGTCGCCAGACCTGGCAGTATCTAGAATCCGATAAGGAGAATGAGGCCTGGCCACAGACAATTGCAGACAAGTACAATCTGGGACTTCCAACAGTGAGCACTACGTCTTGACAGCTGATCATTAGCTATGGGCTCATTCATTATTTTCCTAGGGTCTTCCAGAACTGCCGGAGGCTAAAACACCTCGTGAAGCTGCTGAGAATGGTCTCTCCTTCTTCTCGCATCTGCAACTCGAACCCGGCAACTGGGCTTGTGAGTATGGTGGTCCAATGTTCCTGTTGCCAGGAATGATGATCACCTGGTATGTAACCAAGACTCCTATCCTGCCCGAGTATGCGACCGAGATCAAACGCTATATCTTTGCCCGCCAAAACCCAGAGGATGGTGGTTGGGGACTTCATATCGAAGCCCACAGCTCAGTCTTTGGCACCGCCATGAACTATGTGGCCCTGCGTCTGGCTGGTGTCAATGAGGATGATCCTCGGATGATCAAAGCTCGAGGTCTTTTACACAAGTTTGGAGGTGCCATCTACGGCCCACACTGGGCCAAGGCCTGGCTGAGTATTCTGGGCGTGATGAGCTGGGAGGGGGTCAATCCAGTACCGCCTGAGATTTGGTACGTCGAATCTGACCTCTGAAGTTGGACACGCCGAATCTAATATGTCACATTAGGCTTCTTCCCGACTGGGTACCTTTTGCCCCTTGGCGATGGTGGATTCACATTCGCCAGGTCTTTCTCCCGCTATCTTACATCTGGTCCAAGAAGTGGTCACATCCCCTTGATGATCTGACAAGGCAAATTCGAGAGGAATTGTACACACAGCCTTATGATACAATCGACTTTTCGCAGCACCGCAACACCATTCACGCTGCCGACAACTACTATCCCAAGACCATGCTTCTGAATGGCATCAATGAATTGCTTGTCCGTGTGTGGAATCCGTTCCTCCGCGTCAAAGCTGTCAGCAAGCGTGCCGAGGACTGGGCTTGGGAATTGATCCGCATGGAGGATGAGAATACCGATTACGCGGGACTGGGTCCTGTCAGCAATCCTTTGAATATGGTTGCGTGCTTCATCCAAGAAGGACCCGACAGCTACTCCGTTCGCCGGCATCGCGAGCGATTGAATGATTACATGTGGATGAAGGATGAGGGCATGTTGGCCAACGGCACCAATGGCGTCCAGGTATGGGACACCACTTTCGCCACGCAAGCTATTTCAGTGGCCGGATTGGCCGATGACCCCAAATGGCGACCCATGTTGCTTAAGGCACTCGAATTTATCGATGATCATCAGCTTCGAGAGAACGTACCCAACCAGGAGAAGTGCTATCGCCAGCACCGGAAGGGCGCTTGGCCGTTCAGCAACAAAACTCAGGGCTATACCGTGAGCGATTGTACCGCGGAGGGCTTACGATCCACCATTCAGTTACAAAAAATGCACAACTTCCCCGAATTGATCTCTTCGGATCGGTTGAAGGACAGTGTCGACTGTTTGCTCCTGATGCAAAACCCGACTGGTGGCTTCACCGATTACGAGACGACACGGGGCTCGCCGAAGATCGAGTGGCTGAATGCTGCCGAAGTTTTTGGTGGTATCATGATTGGCTATGATTACCCCGAGTGCACCACCGCGTCGGTGACTGCGCTTTCCTTGTTCAGCAAATTCTACCCGGACTATCGCGCGGATGAGATTCGAATCGCCAAGGAAAAGGCTGTTGCCTACATCAAGCGCGCCCAGCGTCAGGACGGCAGCTGGTACGGATCATGGGGAATCTGCTTTACCTATGCCGCCATGTTTGCCTTGGAAAGCTTGGCCAGTGTTGGTGAGACCTACCAGACGAGCGACAACTCTCGTCGAGGGTGCGACTTCTTGATTTCCAAACAGATGGAGGACGGTGGCTGGGGCGAGTCTTACCTCAGCAGTGAAAAGCATGTCTACGTCCAGCATGAGAAGTCTCAAGTGGTGCAGACGGCTTGGGCCTGTCTTGCTCTTATGGAGGCTGACTACCCCCACAAGGAGCCTCTGCAACGTGGCATCAAGATGTTGATGTCCCGTCAGCAGCGAAATGGGGAGTGGTTGCAAGAGTCCATTGAGGGCGTCTTCAATCAATCATGGTATGTTCGACCTCCTGAGTCCAACATTCTCGCTGTGGCACGATCTGACTTGAAGCTTTGCAGCATGATATCCTATCCTAACTACAAGTTCTACTGGCCAATCCGAGCCCTCGGTCTTTATAGCAAAAAGTTCGGCAACGAGGCGCTTTAGTGAGCCATAGAAGGCTCTGATTCCACCTTTGTACTATATATTCCAGGATTTCTATACCTAATAATAACCTACGCTTTCCATGAAACCCGTCGAATCTGCTAGAAGTTCTTTCAAGCTTTTACCAACGTTTTGCATGGACAGGGACTGGAGAGTTATGGAAAAGTCTAGGGCATTTCATGGCGGGCCTGCTATCGAAATTAAACCATCCTCACTCTAGGTCTCGTACCTAACACTTGCTTTATCATGTACGGTCCACCTATTGAGTGATGTGTTTGGTTTCAAAAATATTGCCTGGTACCTTTGAGAGAGGCGGAGTAGCCGGGCGTAACTACCTCAGCTTCCAATGAGGCACTCGGCATTGCATCGACAGAGAGGTGGGGCGGCTGCTGGAGCTCTTTCATCGAAGGCGGTAGAACTTCCATTGATCATGCTGTAAGCTTCGCCAGTCATCCTTGATGAACGAGCTCCGTCTTTTTCCAATTGACTCCAACTCAATCAAGATCCTGGACGGCTCAGGCTCTCAGTGCCGATATTGTTTCGAGTGTCAACCTACGTCTGCGTGTCACCGAACCCGAACAACCCCTTCGCCAGCACGAGAGCGGTATTTTCCCCGCGATTTTCAGTAGCTCCAGATAAGCTTTGAACCTCTGCCAGAATCATGAACGCCGCGGCAGAGGGCGAGAAGGCTCTCGCAGACTCAAATGCATCTCTTGCTATTCAGCACTATACGCGCGCTCTCACTGAGTTACCTCGCGCTCCATCCTATTACATACAGCGCGCAATCGCTCGCTCCCGTGTGAAACCCGCCGATGGTGGCCCACAATCTTCGGCAGCTCTACGAGATGCGGAAATCGCACTGGTCCTAGCCAAAGAACGTGGAAAGCGCGAACTCATTCTACAAGCGCAGATGCGCCGCGGAGTCGCACTGTTTCAACTCGAACGTTATGCAGACGCTGCGTTCATCTTCGGGATTGTCGAGTCGAAAACGTCAAAGGGACAAGATACCAGCACCAACGAAGGTGGCGCCAAAGCTGCCATGGCTACCATGGCCGGTGGATCGGCTGCAAGCAAGAAGGATGGTGTCACCGCGGAATTGCCCATATGGATTGCCAAGGTTCGTCGCAAGCTCGCGGGCCTTCAGGATGGAGATGAAAAGTTGCCGATTTCTGTTTCTGAAAGCCCTTCCGGCGTCCACATTCCAAGCGAGGCGGAGCTCAGGGCGGAATGGCAGGCTCTCAAGTCTGGTCAAGCGTCTGCTACTGAAGGCCAAACTGCGCAAGCGGGTAGCCAGAAGGAAGACGGCGCTCCAAACACTGCTGCGAGTCAACCTGGGATCCTCAATCAAGCCCCCAAGCCGCCGGCACAAGCTCCCTCTGTGCAGAAAGTCCGTCACGAATGGTACCAGTCCCAAGACTCTGTGGTGGTCACTCTCTATGTGAAGGGTGTCCCGAAGGACACTGTTGAGCTGGAGCTGCAGGAAACTTCGGTTCGTGCTATCCCCCCAAAGGCCTGTTGTAGTGTTATGCTTCTGACTCATTCACATCACAGGTATCATTGCAGTTCCCTCTAGCTACAGGCACCACTTATGATTTTACGCTCCATCCACTCTATGCGCCTATTGATGAAGCCTCATCCACGGTTTCTGTAATGGGTACCAAGATTGAGTTGACACTGAAGAAAAAGACACACGGGCAGAAATGGAACGCACTTGAAGGTCAAGCATCTGAGACCTCCCAGCTCACAGACCGTCCTGCTGCCCCGGCTGCACCCGTTTCCTCGGCTCCGACCTACCCGACCTCATCTCGAACGGGTGCCAAGGACTGGGACAAACTTGCGTCGTCTCTCACTGCCAAGAAGTCAAAAGAGAAGAAGGGCGAATCTGCAACAAGTACACAAAACGAGACAGGCGATGCTTCTGATGCGGAATCAGTAGATTCGGATCTGGGCGGGGACGCCGTTGATGGATTTTTCAAGAAGCTCTATGCTGGTGCTGATCCCGACACGCGCAGGGCTATGATGAAGAGCTACATTGAGAGTCAGGGCACGTCCTTGAGTACAAACTGGTCGGAAGTTGGCCACAAGAAGGTGGAGCCTCACCCTCCAAGCTGAATGCACTCAACCCTCACAAGCAAAGCATCTAGCGGAGAGTGTTCCTCCTTTCACGATTAAATCTGTATTCACGATCATCCTGGCATTGATACCAGAGGTCTTCATTCTCGATCTTGGTTCTTTCAAATCAACGAACTTCTCAGCACGAATCATGAGGCAGGTCCTTCAGTTTTCTACCCAGGCGACCTTTTAGGGTTTCATCTCATTTGGGTTCGCCAGAGGAAATCAACCGTCTCCTGTCTCCACCAAAGCCCATCCTCTCCGAGCGTATTGAGCAGATCATCTGACTGCTTCTGTTGGATTCGGATCCACCGAAGACGCTACTCGCTGCACCTCTCAAATTTATGATGACCAATGCCGGAGAAGTGGAATTCTCTGTTGGCTGTGGTTCGGCCGTGACCCAGGCATTCGTAGCAAAGTTTCAGCATAAGCATGTCCGGGGTAAAAGAAGAAAAAAGACTTTCACTAAACTCCAGACCGACTCGGTCGAACCAGCCCAGTAGAAAGTAGAAAGGTGCCTAGGATTCGGAATGATGCGGGTGAACAACCTCCGTCCATAACCTCAGGATTCCAACAAGCACCCAAACCTACGAGTGCGGGCCAAGCGGGCTCATCACCTGAATTAGGCTTCTTCGGATCAGATCTTCTTCACCGGCAATTCAGCGCCGTCTCCGAGCCTCGTGGGGCTCTCGCAAAATAAGCTCGTCGGGCAAAACCATCCCCAGAGTCCGGCAATCTTTTACCTAATGATCCCGAATACGGCTGGAGTTGGAGTCACCACGGGTTCTGTGAGGGTAACTTTTATTACGAGACGGCTTCCTTGGATGGATCGCGTGGTCTGGTGAAAGCTTGGAGGGTTGTTTTTTTTCCTGCGCAGTTTGGGAGTTCATTTCCGTCGGTTGCTTTACCTCAGGGTAATTTGGGGGCGAGGTCGGAGTGTTGAGCATCCATGTCTATTGTTTGTCTTTTTTTTTTTTTTCTCAGCACTGTCCTTCGGCAGTCGGAGGAAACGGGTGAGATTTGCAGAGAGGGAGAGCTAGGGCTTCGGGTTTAAGTGAAGTACTTGCTTTGACACGAGTTGGGATAATTTACCAGACTTTCTCCTTCCAACGTGGTCTCTTTCAAAGTAATCTCAACCATTGTCACGACGAATTAGCACCCTCCTTCCAACCTCTGTAAATCCCATCCTTCAAAATGGTCCACAACATCCATGTCGCAGTCCTGGACGTCGATATCCCAGCGCGTGGCCTATACGAAGCACGAGGACTGTGCAGTGCGCACTTTCGAGATATCCTCAAGGAGACAGCTGCGCACTTGAACAAGAACGACCCTTCCATTCCAGACCCGATTGAAATCACCATCACCCCCTATGACATTCGCGGAGGACATTATCCCGACTTCCACCTGCTTCGCGGCGACCCTTCCCAAGAGCAATTCCCCGTCTACCGACCGATCGATGCAGTCTTGGTCACGGGAGGATCACCAGGTGTATACGAGATGCCCAATTCTCCCTGGATGCAGATGCTGGAAAGGTTCATCAAAGCCGTGTACCGGGACTACCCAGAGGTTCGGCTGATGGGCACCTGTTTCGGCCATCAACTGATCTCCCATGCGCTGGTGCGCGACCCAGCGGATCCGGACCGAGATGTGTATGTTGAAAAATGTCCTCTGGGTCGGGAGGTGGGGATTTATACTGTCCAGATGGAGGAGCAGTTCCTTCAGCACTTTTCGTCCGCGCTGGGACATCTGCCTCAGGGTCAGCTGCGCATTCAGATGTTCCACGGTGATCGTGTGATGGCCGTGGAGAAAGGACAAACAGTCTCACTGTGTGATACGCCGCCGGTCTCCTTGCCGGCTCCGTGGATCAATATTGGAAGCACGCCCATCTGTCCGATCCAAGGTCTCTACAACCCGGGCAGAGTGCTGACCGTCCAGGGTCATTATGAGATGGACGCCTTTGCCACGTCCAAGATGTGTATTGAGAATGCCCCCATCATGGGTTGGAAAGAGTCCAAGTTGGCTCTCTACCTGGAGCAGGTGGGACCTGACACGAAGGAGCGACGAGACGATGCCCGGGCCTTCGCCACTGCGGTGATTCTCTTCCTGGCAGATCTTGCCCGATGACTGTGCGGAAGAGCCAGCAGAGTTGCGAAAATTCCAGCGAGGAAGTCATATGAATCTGGAGATATCTTGTTCAATAGGTGTCTCAAACACATTTTCCATTGCATTTGGGTTCTATTTGTTCACTCCTTTTTTTCTCATTCATATATACATCAAGCGTGGCGGGTTCGTACAAATATATTTTATGCTTCGTCCAGGCTCTTCGCATCTCTGTACAGGAAGAACTGCACGAAGATGGCCATATCCAGGACTAGTGTGCCGAAGCTACCCACGAGCCAGGACAGGTTGACAAGGACGTACTGTCCGTACAAAGCTGCCGCCTCTCCCGGACGGCATTGCGGCCGATGCCGGTGCGACAGTTCGTCGACATCATTGGCACCAGCCGTGGTTCCTTGACAGATAGGCGAATATGCCATAATAGATAACACGTAGGTCAAATTGCCAATACAGGCAAAAAGGAAGAATAAGAGCGACACTCCATCTGTCGACTTGCGGCGGTAATTAAGCAGTAGCTGAGGAATCCGTGATCCCAGGTAGAACACGGCGCACAGGTAACCAAACGCTTGGCCGAGAGGATCGAGAGTCAAGGGCTCCGGCTCCGCTTTGGACTTCTTCGATCCGGGACTGACGTACCACCCGAGAATACCAGCAGCGCATACGAGAGCGATGGCGGTCATGTTGAAAAGGATCGACTGAATAGTCGAAATGCGACGTCGGCGGCGTTGATAGCGCGCATGCTCCGAACTCGGGTCAACAAAAGGCGTGGCGGGGGACAGATGGGTGCCGTCAACATGATGATGCGCCACATCTCGATTCGGCGAGACAGATGATCTTATATGCTTTGCGGTCGAAGAGGACGTGGGATGAGCCTCTTCAGTTGACTCGGAAGCACGAGCATGTCCACTTGAACTTGGCAGCAATGATGATCGTTCAGTCGGTACTGCGTCTGAGTCACGCTCTTCGCTGCTTTCCGATGTATCACCGGTAACAGAGTTCGAGTCTGGTGACGATGATGACGAAAGTTCATCACGAATGTTGAAGCCTCGGTAATAGAAGCACTGCCCTAGGAGAACGATGTCCGCCAAAGTGTAGTACACTGCCAGAATAATCATCGTCGGGAGCACCCCTTGCAAGACCGCGCCAAGGATGTTGAACACATCGCCAGCAAGCCAGACAATCAAAAAGAGAAGAGAAAGTCCATCGGCGGAGCCGCGACGGAAATTCTCAATGATCTGTGGCGAAAATACCACGACCCAACACGCGATCGATATGGAGCTATGCTGAAGTCAGCATGCTGCGACAATGGTGGAATTGGCGGTGAATTTAGAATGCCAGTCGGGACTCAATGTGATCATCTCATCAACCACCGTTACTTACCCACATATTCCACTCAAAGCCTCAATGCTGAGATTGGCTGCTTGGGGAGGAAGCATTGCTGTCTGGGCGAGAAATTCCAGGGTTTTTTTTCTTTTCAATATGCAGGCAGCTGCACACGACGCGCTGGATCCGAGTTCGACAGGTCTGCTTGGAATAACACGAACACACTATACCCAGCGTTGTCAATTGAAGCGCATCCCCGTACTTTTTCGCAGATCCACGTGAGTCTCAGTGAAAAGAGGGAGAATGTCGAATCCATGGATCCAAGGGATCCAAAGTGGATGACGTCGGATGGTCACGTGTATCTTTATGAGGCATCTCTAATTCGATGTGGGGATTTGACCTCGCCAAGAGCCCTCAAGATGAGCAAAATAGCTTCAGTAGTAAGCTGTGGGAGGCGAAACTTCTCCTTCGCATGCGTCGAGCTCAACCTAATGGTTCAAAAGTGGTACACTCAAGGAGCTATAGTGAGGCTAGGTTGTTTTGTCATCGTTCTAAACGCTGTTAGGTACATAAATTGCGGATTTACATATGAACAATGAGCACTCAGAGCTACGCGAATATGATCTGACGAAAGGGAATATTCATCAAACGCCCGCAATGCTTGTTGTAGATCATTAAGAGATACCGAGCGAGCTGTCTTTCCGCGATGCCGTTCCAGTGATTCCTAGGGTGGAGAATCGGCCTATTTAGCTTGGCTTGCCAGCCAGGCCTCGTGGGCCTTCTTTTGACGCTCCCAATCTTTTCGAAGCTTCTTGGTTCTGCTCTTGGTGAGCTCTTCGCCAGAAGCGTCCCGGGTGGGCATACCGTCCTCATCCCACGCACTAAACTCTTGTGTCCTGAACATCTCCGAATGACTGAGCTTACCCCTTTCCAACTGCTTCAATGCTTCCTGCTCGCGCTTCTGCTTCTCCAACTGCTTTTGCTTGACACGTGCTTCCTTCTCCTCTCGAGCCTGGATCATCTCGCGGGTGACTGGACGAATAAGGGCAGGAAGATTGTCACGATCCTCAAGGTAGATACCCAAGTCGAAAAGATCGACGTCTCGGACGCGGTCACAGAGCGCGAGGATCTCCTTGTCAAGCGAGTTAGACGACTTGAGAGACGCAACCTTCTCTCGGAAATTGGTGGCTGCATCGGCGTAAGGTTTCGTGGACTCTGAGACATCAGACGGCAGAGATTGCTTGAGTACAGTCTCAATATGCTGGGGTGAAATACCCTCCTTGGAGCGAGCCGCCTGGCGAAGCGTATCACGCATGGAAGCAATCGGATACACGAAAGGCTTGGCCTCGTCGGGGACATCAATGCCAGACCAGCCAATTGTGCTGCTGTCGACCGATGCAGTACCATTCAAGCCCAGCATGTTTACAAACGACGTCACCCAATGAGCTGCAGCTTCAACATCCTTAGGGTTGAGTGTCGACTTGTCGGCGGAATTGTACTTGGTGATAAGCTCCGAAACAGTTTGCATTGCACCGGGAGTGTTGAATGAATCGCAGAGGTGCTTGTGGACAGCGGACTTGGCGGCTTCCAAATCGCCAGCGAGGTTGGTATCGCTACCCGAGCCCTGGAGGGCAGAGGCATCTTTCACCTTCAAAAAGAAGTTGTTGACTTTGTCTTCCCAGGCGTTACCGGAGCTAACCAATTCATCAGTGATCTCACAGCCTTCCTTCCAGCCACCCAGCAAGAACACAATACGCAGGCTGCGAGGTGTCCAGTCTTTACGGTCCAAAGCTTCACGGATGGTTGTGAAATTCTTCAGAGACTTCGACATCTTCGAGCCCTGAATGGACAAATGACCCATGTGCAAGAAGTAGTTGACCCACTGCTCGCACTTATGGCCGTCATCCCAATACGCCTCACTTTGAGCAAGCTCGTTGTCGTGGTGCGGGAAGGCAAGATCGATACCGCCGGAGTGAATATCCATCTGTTTGCCCAATCGAGCGGAGGCCATAGCTGAGCATTCAATATGCCATCCTGGACGGCCTTTGCCCCATGCACTTGCCCAACTTGGCTCACCGGGCTTGGAGGACTTCCAAAGAGCAAAGTCCGATGCGCTGCGCTTCTCCGTGGTCTTGGCAATCAGGGAGCCCTCGCCTTCCGCAGCCAATTTGTTATCGGACCGACTCCAGGGCTCGAGCCGGGCATAGGGGTGTCCAGCCGCCTCAAAGGCACTGATGTCGAAATAAACAGACCCGTCTTCGGTCACGTATCCGAAGTTGTTCTTGACAATGCGCTCAACAAAGTCTGCGATCTCCGCCCCATACTCTGTGACTCGGGTCAACTCATCCGGATCGAGTACATTGAGATCTCGCATGTCGTTCAGGAACCGCTCTTCGTACTTCTTCGTCAATTTCGTAAAGATACTGTGATCATCAGCATCAATCGAAGAGCCCTTGAGAGTGTCCAAGTAGGGTAAAAGAACATCCTGCGCCTGGGTATAGAAAGACTTTGAGAACGACGCTGCATCGCTCTCGCCAATCTTCTCTGCCTTCTCAAGCACGCTAGCGGCCGATGCGACCGTTTTGATGTGCATCTTGACTTTCGCTTCATCGTCGCCAGCCTTCTCATTGCCAGGTAAAGCACCACCAGACAGCACTGTCCCATATGCCTTTTCAACCTCCTTCTGGTACTGCGCTGGAGACAGCTCTGTATCCAACAAAGAGAGATTCTTCTTGATATAAGCGCTGTAGGCTTTCTTCGTCGTGTCGAGGACTTCTTGTGTAATTGCGGGGTTGGCGGCGACGTATTCGTTGAAAAGATATTGTTGGCGCGCGCGCAGGATAATCTGGAAAGTGAATTAATCATTGCTCGAGATACAACTCAGTACTCAGTATATTTGGAAGGAGGGGGGATCGTACCTTGTCATCAACGTCGGTAATGTTCATAACAAAGTTGACATCGAATTTGAAGTAGTCGCGCATAATGCGCCGAATAATGTCGGTGCTGACATAGTTTCGAGCATGTCCCAGGTGGGCGTCATCATAGACTGTCGGCCCACAGGCATACCACGATACCTTCTTTCCCGATGGATCCAAAGGAACAAAGGGCGTCTTGGTCTTCGTGAGCGAGTTCCATACTTGCAACGGCGGAAGCTCTACGCCAGTTGGGGAAGGAGGTTGCCGCCAGGGCGGCTGTTGACGTGAGGACATGGGTCGAACAAAACTGACTGAGACGAAGTTATAGAGATACCGCGAACGGGGGACGAGATATGAACGAGGAAGGAGGGGCATAAAGAAAGCGGGTTCTGTCTAAACATGAGGGGTAACTTTTAGCTCTGGAAGTCGACTTCGAGTCATCGCCGCGCTCTGCAGCACCGGCCCACCGCGTCAATTGGGCGTGATTGGTTCTGCATTTGAAGATTGCGGAGCCCTGAGCCCTAGTTTCCTAGAAAGGTAATACAGGCCCAGCATTTTCTCCGCGTCAAGCATCGCTGATCTTCAATTTTCCGGTCTGGCGAAGCTCGCGAGACAGTTCTTGGAAGACGAGTCCAGAAAAGAGATTACGGACTGTGATCGTGTCGGTGATCCAAAACCACCAACCATGCCCTCGCCATTTCTGACCCCCGGTACTGTGGCGCAAGCCGACAATGTCGCCCTTTTGCACCTGCGTCGCGACCAGACTATCCCGACCATTTTGCGAGCTACGGACGATCAAAACCTTGGTTACAAGGAAGGCAAAGTGTCAAATACTCGCTTTGGGTCCTTTCCGCACAGCACATTGATCAACCAGCCATGGGGCTCTCAAATTGTCGCTTCGAAAGTCGACACTGGCTCTCGTGGGCGAAGAGGTCCAGGAAACAAGCGCAAGGCCGAGGAAATAGATGTTTCGGGTACCACAACACCTGCCGAGGACGAAGGTTCCGCTTTGAAGAAGCCTGAAGCTGCTGCGAGCGGCTTTCTGCACCTCATGTACCCGACGCCGGAGTCATGGACTTTGTCGCTTCCGCATCGAACCCAAGTCGTATACACTCCCGATTACAGCTACGTCCTCCACCGGCTTCGCGCGCGTCCCGGTGGTACAGTGATTGAAGCAGGCGCAGGCAGTGGATCTTTCACACATGCAGCAGTTCGCGCGGTATTCAACGGTTACCCTGATGAGGATGCCCCGACCAAGAAGCGGAAGTTTGGGAAGGTGTGCAGCTTTGAGTTTCACGAGCAGAGAGCGACCCGCGTGAAGGAGGAAATAACCGAACATGGTCTAGATGGTCTTGTTGAGGTGACGCACCGTGATGTTTACGAGGGCGGTTTCTTGTTAGGCGACCCTGAGACTGGCCGGTCACCAAAGGCGAACGCCATCTTCTTGGATTTGCCGGCACCTTGGCTCGCCTTGAAGCATCTTGTCCGCAAGCCGGCATCAGGCGTCGAATCCCCACTCGATCCAAACTCCACTGTCTATCTATGCACATTTTCACCTTGCTTGGAACAAGTTGAACGCACTATTCGCGTGATGCGTCAGCTGGGCTGGCTCAACATCTCTATGGTCGAGGTCAATCATAGACGGATCGACGTCAAGCGAGAACGCATTGGGTTGGACTGTGAGGGGATACGTGGAGCGACTGTCTTCCCGAGGTCAGTTGATGAGGCCATGCAGAAGCTGCGAACAGATGATGAGCGTGCAAAGAGGCTCCGTCTTGCTCATACCGAGGGAACAAGAGTGGACCATCCACCCAAGGAAGACCAGACCGCGTCGAGGGACCAGCAGCAGGCCACATATGACATGGGCCGTCTGGTGCATCGCACCGAGTCGGAGATCAAGACTCATACCTCCTATCTTGTATTTGCTATCCTTCCACGAGACTGGTCAGAAGAGGATGATCTCAAGTGCCGACAGAAGTGGCCATCCAACAAGATCGATGCCGAACCGAAGCCAGCGCCAAAGAGCAGAAAACAACAAAAGAAAGAGTTTAAAGAATTGCGTCTCCGGGAACAAAAGGAGGATAATGAAGCAGAGCAACAAGAAGAGCAAGAGCAGGAAGCCACTGAAGAGAGCATTGCCGCTTGATGCCGTCATTTCCTGTGCTTGTTGAGGGACATCTTGTATTTCTATATAGAGCGATAGAGAAGATCTTTCTCTCTAAATTCGGCGATAGCTTTTCTGCGTGCAAAATCGAAGCGCCATTATGGCGGCCAGACAAATGAATGCCATTCCATGCACAAGGATACTTTTCCGCGCAATCTCGTGAGTGCACGTGTATGACGTCGCTGTGCCACACTATCATCGGCTACATCCTAGCGTGGAGTGCTCAAATCGAAAAGCTGAAAAATTCAGATCGCATTCGAGGTCATCATACATAACCTCAAGGCTGTCACTTGGTCGGCAAGGGGCTCTTCACAGTTTTCACAGGTTGTTCTCTGCTCGGAACTTGTCCCAAGCCTCATTGAGTGTTCCAAATACAGCACCTGCAATCATTCGCTGCTCAGTAGTAGCATTCGTGGATATCTGGAAGCTTTCAATTAGTAATCGCCTTGAGCACCAAATAGACGATAATACAATTCACGGGCGAACTCACCTTGTCGGGATGGACCTTTCCTATCCCCTTCATATACTGAATTTTGACCTTGTTTGGCAGAACCAATTCAGACAAGCCGATCTTTTTCCATCCTGATTCGGGCCAAAGCACCGTATCCAAGCTTCCAAGTAGAGCGCGAAGATTATCCTGCTTGCCATTTCTCCATGCAGCAATCTTGGCGTCAACGCTTTCAGTGAGCGCGAACCGTTCTTCGTCAGCACGTTCCGCTGCTTTGTTGGCTTGCCGTAGTCGACTGACAGCCTCCGAATCTTCACCTGCGCCGCCATGTAGATCAGACAACGCAGCGGCCCGCTTGGGCGCAGGAGTTGGCCGTTTCCGGGCAGGGGCTGAAGGCGCTGTTGGGGGTTTGCCGATTCCAGCAGCTTTTTCGCATCGATTCCTCCCTTGAATGCTGGTGCCCCCGCCATGTCCTGACTCCACAGCCGACTTCCATGCGTATGCGGCATCTGCCCATCGTTCGAGCTGTTCAAGAGCCTCGGCCTTACGCATGAGCGCCTTTCCAAAAAAGTCTTTCATGGGCTTGGGAGCCTCGCCATTCCCCAGATCTATGGTCTCGTCCTCGCCCTTTGATGATCCAATTAGATTCAGAATTATGTCCGCATCATCGATGGCAGCTTTAGGCTCTCCTATCTTGAGTGCAGTCATTGCTCGGTTGCTTCTGATAATGATCGTGATAGGGTGCTGATCAGGGAGCATCGTTAGAGCAGTTGAGAAGCTTTGGTGCGCAGTTGCATAGTCACCGCGCTTGTATGCAGCTGCAGCCAGCTCGCGGTGGCGATGGGTTGATTGAAGTGCCTCCGCGGATACGGGTGGAACAGACCGGGCTGAAACCTTTGCGCGTATGGGAATGGCAGCTGAGCGCGCCGGTGGTGATCGGGCAGGGGGCTGCGGGCTGCTACTTGATTGTTTTGCTGTGGGTATCGGGGAGGAAAAGAGATCGACAGTGGGCTCGACTTCTTTAGGTGGGGGTTGAGGCCGTCGCCGTCTCGCTGGGCTAACATAAGCCTGCGCTGACTGCTCTTCGGCGGCAAACCTGGAAGCACGCGGCTTTGAATCTGTAGAGCTGGGCCGAGAAGGTCGCTGGAGGAAATTCGCCTGTTGGGTGTTTTGCATGGCGGGCGAAGGTTGACGATCGGTGGGGTTACGGACCGGGCCGGATAGGCCACGATCTTGGGACTGCGTTGGTTTCCTTGCCGGTCCAGAGTCTCGTGCTTCCAGGAGAAGTGCTTCGTTGGTGAAGTTTTGTGGCTCTACCTGTGCGTGCTCTCTTCGGCCTCCGCGTTGAGCTTGTTCTTGGGGTGGCTGCTCACGGGCCACAGATGTGTCCCTCATCCATTTGGGCTGACTGGGATCATGATCTGCGTTGAACTCATTAACAGCTTGCTGAAATTTCTTACTCCCAGTTTTCCATAGAGATCCGGCCGTCTTCAAAAAGTTGTTGCCCAGCTGCGACGCGATTTGCGCAGGATCTTTTTCTCCAGCACCACGACCTCGGCTGTCGTCTCGCGGTCGAGTAGGCTGTGACCTACCCTCCCTCATCCACGCAGGACCATCGCCACTGGGTCCGTCTGTCCTACCGGCACGGCTATGCGATTGAGGGGCGCCTGGAGATCGCCCTTGAGACTTCTGCCTTGTCTCGGCATGCGCTTGGGTGAGAAGCAAACTGACGGCCGCCTGGACATCCGTTCCTGATTCCGTCGTCATTAAGGCTTCTCGCGATTTCTCCGCTGGAAACCCCATGTCCACCAACTCGGCAATAGCACGATCTAATTGGTTTGAAGGCTTCGAAGCTTGCCGTGCATCTTTCGGCTCCAATCGTGATTCGGTTTCCTGGCGTGGTGATTGCGCACGGGGCATCGCTGAGACTGGTTTTCCTAGCAATCCAAGGAAATCGTCATTGTCATCGACTGTAGAACGTGATGAAGCAGGCGCTTGTTTAGGCTTCAACTGACTAAGTCCAAACGGATCGTCGTCATCATCATCACCAATCATGCCCATGCCTCCAAGATTGCCCTGCGTCGCTTGTCCTCTGCTGGGTGCGGGGGACGGATTCGAGCTCGGTATGGGAAAATTGGTGGATGCATCCACAGGCGCCGTGGCGCTGAATGCTGCTAGTATATCATCCTCTTCATCGGCTGCCGGTAAAGTGACCTTGGCGTTCGCAGCTGTTGCTGGGCTCGGGGTACGGCCGTGTTCCAGCGTGTCCCAGAATTGTGCGTTCTGACCACCGTACTGGGCTTCATATCGCTGCCGGTCCGCTGCCGCTTTCTTAGCTTTCTCTTCCTGTAATCGCTTCTGCTGTTCAAGTAGCGACATGTTCTTCGTGGTCGCCGAAGTGTTGAAAGAGACTAGATTTGCGAAGCTGTCTCCCGCGGACGCAGAGGGCTTGTACGGCGAATTAGATCGGTTCGAACCCACGGACATAGGTGTTGCTTGACCGGAAGCTGCATTGTGTCGGATACTTGACATCATCGAGCCAGAACTCATTGGCTGAGGTTTGTTGTTGGTTGTATTCGAGCTGGGATTCCAGCTCAGCCCGCTGAGGTCGTCCATGACTGAAGTGGTGGATGCAGTTCGCAGAGTACGATTGGTAAGAAGTGGTGCTGGCTAAGATGGCGTGCCTCGTGGGAGGGTTAGGGATCGAGTGATGAAAGTGCGAATTGTTCCATGATCTCACCACTGGCTCTGTGCAAAGATGTTTGGTCAATTGATAGCCTCATCCGGCTTGTCCTATAAAACAAGAACCAAGTAGCATGCTCCCATGTGCTGCATCTAAGCCCCTTTGCATGTGGGGATCCGGGATGCGGGGCACGTGATGTGTCATCACCTTCAACTCACATTGGAGGTGAGATACCCGCTGCCGTCCTGTACGCTAAGTTTCGAGGTTATGTAAATAATAAATACAGCAGTGGTACATGGATGGAACTCTGAGAGGTTCAGGAGTTGGCCCAAGACCTATGGTAGATCTAATCCTTGTTTGCATTCGATCTATAGTAGTGTTTCCAGGAGCTTCTGCATCTACCCAGTAAGTTCTACAAGATTGGCCTCTCGGTATAGCAGTCGGGTTGAATGGAAGTGGGATGACGAGTCACTTGGAAGCTATCTTTGAGAGCTTGACCATCACAGCAGCTAACAGAGACTGATCTACCTGGCGCGGCTATATCTTATAGGGGGGTTAATGGAAGGAGATGACTTAGCACGGGTTCGAGAAAATTAAGCTCCACCACAGAAACGGCATGGAGCCCTGCGGGGCTGATGAGCATCGAACCGCGACAAAATAAATATCGGCGCAACCTAATGGTTGATCTGGAGGACCTTTCAGAAGAAGACTATAGGGTATACGTAGCATTTATAGCAAGTAGGTATGTTTATAGGTAATTCGTGTAAGCACGGTCAAAAGAGAATGGCAGTCTTTATTTAGAGTCAGTATACAATACCTGAAGCGCCATTTGTTACCTAGGTAAAGATATGAGACTTCCCAATTCGCTGCCTTGTACATATAATGCTTGGCAAGGAAAGCGACTTGGAGCCAGTGGACATGGAAAATCTGGGATTCAGACAGCTAATACAGCCATCTAAGGTTGTCTGGGCTCTGCAAGATGAGCGATCTCTTGCGCGGAACTCCTCGTTTCGGTAGCGGATAGCCGGGATTTAGTACAGGTTCATCGCGGCACACACCCGAAGGCATCACGAAAAACAAGCTCTTAGTATTGCCGCCCATCGCCTTTCCCCATGAAATTGGGAACAGCTCGTTCGTGTGCCCGATGTGTCCGGCTATCAAGAATGATTTAAAAGACACCCGTCCGAGGTCATCCAAATTTGACCGGCACACGTAAACGATGGACTTAGAAACTAAGTCCGAGTGAGGCGAATTTTTCTTGGATACTTGGTTAGGGATACCCGTTTTTGAGGGTGACTTTGTTGAGGCCGCGATAGTCGATGTATAATCGCAATTTTCCGTTAGCTTTCTTGACGAATAGGCCTGGTCTGACCTTCTGCGAGCCTTTCGGGGTTGTCCAATTCGTCAAGAAAGCTAACGGAAGTGGCGGATGTGCATCAACTATCGCGGCCTCAACAAAGTCACCCTCAAAAACGGGTATCCCATGATGGAATCATCTTTCACCGGCTCACAGTCGTGTACTCATATCAACGAACAATGTTGACTAAGATGGTATCCTGAACTTCCGGGCAGATGTCGATGATGATCATGGAAATCCATGTGCAACTGAAAGGAGCGGCAAGGGAAACCTCCGGGAAGATGACAGGTAGGTAGTAATAGATGCGTGGTCCGGTCTAGGTGGTTACAAAGCCGGGTGCTTATGACTCGATGATGTTGGATGACGTGAGGCAAAAGAGATGCAGTGGATTCTTCTAAGAGTGTACTACCGGGAGGCCTTCTGGGCTCCATCGGAGAGGGATTGCATGTGTATCATGTGTACATGGTCTCTGCGCTTGTTCCGCATCAGCTTATCTACAGGACTCTGAGCGAGCTTGATGGAAGTTCCCTTGGCTTTGTGTTTGAGCCATAGATAACTTAGGGGTAATTGGTACCTAGTCGCTAGTGCTTAACAAGTCAAGACCCGCACATAGATATTGCCGAACAGGGCTGATTACTAGATGCATTATTGTGGATAACCAGGCGGAGCTGGCAGCGCGAAGCAGGCTGGTAGATAGCTTGCTTATTGACAAAGGGCAAATAATGGCATCAAGCACCTGTTCAATTGATTGAGGGTGCCTTCGCAGCTCTAGACCGACTTATCCCGGGCTCACAGAAGTCTCAAGAATTTGAGCGACCATATATCCCGTGCAGCAATACGGTAGGAGCGGATCACGCAGCAGAAGGGCTTCCATTACAGCGGAGAAGCTTCGGGCGGGCGGCTGGAGTCAAAGATTGAGCGATGATATAGTATAATCATATAGCCTGGAAGTGGATTGGCCTGGGAGCAGAGTTGATACTAAAAAAAATCTAACATTGAAGCAGTCAATGTTCCTCTCCGAGATGGTGGTGAAAGGGTGGATAGGTAGAATCTTAAAATATACTGTGCGATAGAACCGATTGGCCTCGAATTGTTTTTGCTCATGGAGAAAGTGACACCTGCCACCGTTGCAGTCAAACGACAGCTTGCCCAAGACTTATCGCACCGCTCGCGAGTCGCCACAGACAGCTTATCGCATGCAGTATGCTCCTTGCTTGATTCGAAGCCGGTCATGGCCCGGTAGAGAGTCTAGCCCACCTAGCATCCCTTCTAAGTCACCAACCTACGGCTTGATGAATTGATCACCGACTCGACGAAATATGCCAAGAAAATCTTGGCTGCAGCGCCTCTGCTGGAGCCAGGAGCAGGACAGCAGCCGTAAAGGGGGTGAGGTGAACAAAAATTGATATATGTATCACGCGCTTCTCGGCCACCAGAAAGAAAATTGAGGGAGGTTTGGGATCAGCTTGTCAACCCTTGCGATGGCTGTGGCGGGAACTTTTGCTCTTCACAATACCCGAACCCCTGATTTACCCGGAAGAGGTGTCTTCAATGCAATGATATGACAGACAAATAATGAAAGTCGATCTTTAAGAGCCATCTGCAAGACCTGGAGGCTGAGATTCATATGCACTTTCAGATTAGACATCATTGAATGGTGTAAGATCAGTTTGTTGATGTGCTCAGGACACTTCCGCTGCGTCAATGTGATAGATCATGCAGTGTATTGTCGAGTGTCTTCGACTGGTCGCATTCCGGTTTCTCGTGTATGCAGTTATACACTGCTGATGAGTCTTCCACGCTAGCAACTCAATTCACATCCAAGAATTCACATCCAAGTGCCTAGCTCTCGAGAAAGATTTTGCTTTGAGACATTTGAATCTTGTGAGACTCGATAGATGTGGATGGGCTGGAAAAACCTGCTGGCGGACGAAGAAACAGCTTGAAGCTTGGATCAGGCTGTTCTGGTGGCTGACGGAGAAAGGGGTTATCCAAGACTCCAAGCGGTCGGACCACTTCCCCGAGCAGATTTCAGTGGTCGGCCCCAAAGTAGGTTTCTCGTTTGATGTGAAGACCCGCAAAATGATGCGCTCTCGAGCGAGCTGTGCCTTGCTCGATCACTGCTTTCGATCGGTGGGTCTGCTGGGAAAGTATATGCAGGAGGCTTCGCATACATGACTGGTTCTTGAGCAGCCTCGCGTGGCTGTTGAATGCATTGTTCGATAGAGCGCTCCAAGATCGCCGAACACCAGCCAGCAAGTGAATATGGTGGAAAGAATGCGAGGTCCTGGAGCATTGGCTGGACTCGATTGGCCAAAGAGCGGTGTCAGAAGATTATTATATGGATCTGGTGAGAGCCGTGAGTCGGCACTGAAATGCCTGAGTGGACTGTTTACATTCTTGCCCGTGGCTCGATGAGTGGTTAGAAACAACAGATCTCACCAGTACGAGCGGACCTGTTCTTCGTCTGAGTATTGTCGTGCTGGAAGAGATTCGTCGAGCCCTCGGTTGTGATCGACTTCAATCAGTCTCTCGCTGTCGGTGGCCGCATACTATCAAAATTCCAGAGAGCCGTCGAGAACAAAAGCTTGTCGCGTTGACACGCAGAGTTTTGATGACCTGAGTACGCCTTGCTTCCCGTCGCCCCGCCGTATCCAAGAAAATCGTCGACAGAGATCCGATAGCATTACAAGATGCGGTGGATTTCATGGAGCAGCTTGGCTTTGGCGCTGGTAGTCGGCCTCTCATCGTCCGCACCGGTGGTGGAAATCGAGCAAGCAAATGCTGGCGCCATTACTGGAGTCGGGAGAAGAGCAGAGGCAGACCCCACCGCCGTGGCTGTCACTACCACGCCCACGCAAGCTCCGGCAGCATCGTCCACCATCATTTCTATGACATCGGCCACGACAGCGGTCACAGATCTACCGGCAACGACCACAACGGGAATGTCCGCCAACTCGACAGACTCGAGTCACCCCACAACAAGCCAGTCCACAGCTGTTCCAACATCTATACCATCTCTAGACGGTTCGTCATCATCAAACAATGATAATCAGGCCACGTCAAAGCCAGCATACACGGGGGGCTTGCCGCTGCAGCCTGAAATCACACCAGCATGGGGTGTGGGTGGCATAATGCTGCTACTCCTCGGTGCTGCTCAGGCTTTCATTGGTGTTCGTAAGAAATCGTAAGGATAGCGATCCACTTTGACAGTGTGAGCTTCACTAATCCAGTTTCACCAGGACCCATATCTTCTTGTCGACGGGTTTCAGTGCGGCGTTGGGCGTGACAGTGAGTACAGACTGAAATATCCAAACCTGATATCGGTTGATGCTCATCAAGAATCGCAAGGTGTTGATTGTGTACGTTATGAATCCACCCGTCACCAATGCAGTACAAGGCGGTTATTTGGTGGCTGTGTTCTTCACTGGTGCCGTCTTTGGCGGACTCGCCCTTGTATTCAAGGAAATCACAGAAGGCCTTGGATGTCTCCTCGGCGGTTTCTGCATCGGAATGTGGTTATTGACGGTCAAACCCGGTGGCCTTCTGACCGATGGCGGACAAATCACTGGATTCCTCGTTGCATTTACCGTTGGGCTATGGTCATTATCTTTCAGTCACTATACTCGTGCACATGGATCGATGCTCTGCACCTCATTCTCGGGTGCCACGGCAATCGCCCTGGGTATCGATTGCTATAGCCGGGCTGGACTGAAAGAATTCTGGGTGTACATCTGGGGTAAGCCGAGAGTTGGGGAGTCCATCACGAGTCCCACGAGCTGACCTTCTAATAGGCTTGAATATGGACATGTTTCCTTTACACACGGATACGTACCCAGTCACTCGGAGCATCCGTGTTGAACTAGCCATCACCGTCATCGTCACGGTATTTGGAGTCATTGCGCAAATGAGACTCTGGAAGGTCATTCAAGCACGTCGTGCCAAGGAAGCAAACTCCCGAAAAGAAGCCGAGATGAAGAACGAAGAGACCGACGCGGAGGTCGGGCGCCAGCTGGAGGAAAAAAATATTCAGGAGCGTGCAGAATGGGAAAACACCTATGCTGGGGACTCCGGCAAGAAGGGACCATCATCATCCGAAACAGAGCTTGCGCGTAATTCTCAGACGAATGACGAACTGAACTCATTGCCGGATACAGATGGAAATAGAAATGGCCACTCGGTAGAAATGACGGACATCGTGGGGTCACAGAAGGATCGTGTTTCCCAACCGGACATTGAGAAAGGCTCAGAATCCACGAGGAATCACGGAGAGGACGCGTCGAGTGTGAATCAGAGGGAAGAGCTGCCCATCGCGGCTGCGGATGACCTACGGCCGTCTTCAAGCCCAGCCGTGATATTCCCCGCTCCTGTTCTGCAGCAAGACAACGGCTCTGAGCACGGTGCAGTTGTTGGTTCTGAGCCTGGCACGCCTCGTTCCAAACGCCGGTCCGGACGATCACTCATGAAGCGTCTCTCGGTGCGCAGCGCTGAGACCGTGTCACCATCAGTCAACTTCAAAGCGCAAACTCAGTCTAAAGAGGCGCTTCTAGCCCGAGTTGACGACGCCGCTTCATCACTGCGGGCTGTTGCGGACGATGTATCCTCGATTTGCGACAGCGTGGTCTCAGAAACTCCCACCAATAACACATCCAACGAAACCGTGGCTGAAGGCTACACTGAAAGCCAGCAAAAGACCATCTTTATTGAGTTGACTGACTCAAAAAAGAATGCTCAGATCGCTCGAAAACAGCCTGTCGTCTCTCAGAATCCAGCAGTTGATCAAAGTGTCTCGGGTAATGTCGACGCAGGACGGTCTGGTCACAATTTCGATATCCACGAAGATACCAACTCTCAGGATCAAGCACAGCCCGCTGCCCATGAAAACACTGAGAATCAAGGAGATATCAACGACCAGGAGAACAACAATGGCTCCGCAACACCGAAGGCGCCCCAATCAAAGAAACCGAAGATAATCTTACTGGAAGCCCAGCCAGGTCCCATACCCCAGTCAGCTGCTCCCGACCAAACTCATGAGCAGCCTCATGTTCCGAGTGTGCATGAACAGACAAAAGAAGACGTCCCGATGGAAGCGGCGAAGGAGGTTCTTCCAGCCAGTGACCCGAGAAGTGTGCCTCAACAAGAGATCGTCAAGAAGAGCGTACCCCTAAAGCTCGAGGCCTCGACGGTTAAAGAGATCCCCGAGCAGACTTCGTCCATCATTCACTCGTTCCGTACGAATGAATGGGCAAAACATCTCGCGGATGCCGAGCCACCTGAGATCCCTGAGCTCGAATCTGTTCGGCTAGATGAAGAAGATGCCCAAAAGACATTGGAACTAGATGAGATTCCAGCTCCAGTCAATGTGGAGGGACTTCTTCAAACACCTCTCAATGCTTTGCCAGCTCCAGTGCCACTGAGTAGTCCTCGACAAGACGTTATTCCTAACCACAGTCAGCATACGTTGCAGGAAGACCCGAACCAATCATCTGAGAAGTCAAAGCAGAAAGCACGAAAGAGTATAGATAGTGCCAATGGTGCACGACTCGCTTCTTCGATGGTTAAAAACGCATCGTCGGCCTCAATTAGCCCCATGCAGGAAGCTCTTCGCCAGTTTGCCTCCCCCCAGAATGCTTCGACCCCGTTCTTGCCCAATACGGGTTGCCCACCCGTCCAAGCGGCGCCCTCTTTATCACGTTGGAGTGGTCCGCCACCACTGCTCGCTGTCCGTGAGAGTATGGTGAAGAACCGAGTGTCGTCAACTTCCCTCCGTTACGATCCCTATGGCTCCCGCAATCAGTCCCGCCTATCAATCGCTGATCCACTGATGATTCCGGAGGAAAACCATAGTGAGCTTCACATGAATGCTTCTGAAGATGCGGATGAGATACCACTCTCGCAACGTCGAGCTGCTTTGCAACGACAAACAATGTTGTCTGCTTCCGTGACTAGCCCCCATCTAGCGGAGGCAGCGCGGTCTCCACGTCAGTTACCGATGCAGTCTGGACGCTCCGCTGCAGTGATGGCTGCTTGGCGACAATCCGTGCGAGAGGATATCTCTTCAAAGCGCGATTCGTTCGCCATTCCGTCTTCTCCCCCAACACCTGCTTATCCAGAACGACCAAGAGCATCTTGGGGCTCCGGCAATCCATCGCAGGAGACATTGGCGGAGCAAGTTGATAAAACCATCGCCGACCGAATGCAGCGCGGTAGCATGACAGATCTGCATCGTCAAGCAATGCGCCGAATGCAGGCTTCTGCCAACCGCAAGCTCTAGCCACCTCCATCTTCGGGACATGCTCTTTTGTCCAAAGATTATCTGACTTGCCTGTTGTTCACACGAGAACATTTCTTATACATAGCATATTTCTTTCATGCACATAATCTATAATGTCATTGTAATTTGACGATTCTTGAAGGACCCCCTCAGGCATGCTTGTACAGAAACTAATCAGAACACAGCGCGCGGAAGATCAAGTCACATGAGCAGATGTTTGGGGGCGATCTCCATGAGTTTGATCGCTTGCTCCAATCGCTTCTCATACTCTTGTAGTTCCTCGCTATCCTGATCGATCGTTTCATTTTTCTTATCCAGCTCGGCTTCCACGCTCTCCAGCCCCAGCTGTACTGAGTCCTGAACAAGTCTCACCGGCACCGGCTCGCCACTGCGTTGCATGCTCATCGACAGAACGTCTCGGTACAGTCCGATGGTTGTGGGTAGTTTTGTCTCGCCCAGACCGCCCTTCGCCATTTTGATAAAACGAGCGTCCAACAGTCGGAACTGAGCAGCCCACACATGTGGTTCGGCGACTTCCATGGCCATCTCCCAGGTCGACCCTGTGCCCAGATTGACCGAGCCACCGATTGGCACTCCAGACGCCGCTCCGATCAAGGCAGATGAGATCCCTGCGGAGATGTCAGTAGACTTTGATCGGGACACAAGCGTCCGCGTCTGTTCCAGCACATAGAGCCCGGTCAGAAGCCATATCTTGGGCCGACGAGCGAACTTGAAATTGAGCACAAATGAACTGTTGGCGGCAGACAGCCAGACCTTAAGCTTCTTCTGCGCCTCCGGGGTTGGCAGCACTTGGGATTCGAGAAACATCTCAGGACTGCAGGCAATGATTCAGCAGCCGTCTCGGCGAGATCGTCAAAACAATCCCATTAGAAGGATTTGCTATAAGAATGCAGTATAAGTCGAGGTGATATGGAAACATACTCTTTGAGAATCATTCTGGTGCCTTTCTCTGCGATCACAATTCTGTCCTGGTCTTTGGTGAACGCCAGGCCGAGATTGACAATATCAGCGCCGTCGACGCCGACCCCGGGCGACAAGCGAGATGAGCCATGGAACACGATGTTTTTCGCTTCGGTTGCATAGGCATGTTTTTGCAATTCTTGGTCGCTGTCGGAAGTATTCAGCACCGCGTGGCCATTTGTTCCGCCTCACAGCTTCAAAATCCAAAACGCGGGGTCATACTTGAGTGGTTTGTGAGTATAGTGACGGGCGATTATTGGCTGCCAGTATTTCTCCAACACCAGCGAACCCAAGGTTAAAGCGTCGGGCCGTTCCCCGACACCATACAGGAAAAATGAGGAGTCGTCGTTGCCAGCGCCCATCTTTCCTGCGCTTTAGTTGTGTGATTATGCTCTCTTGACAGCGGCGAGGTGCCTTGGCGGGACGCTTGAGAGACCGCGAGTGGATCGCTGAGATAGAGAAAGACGGAGAAAGGCTTAGTTGGCAGAAGCTCAGCTGAAAAGTGGCCCGGGTGCTTTCGAGCCTGATAAGTGTTCATGATGAGGCTAGGGCCAAACACGTGCCTTATGAGGGGTGTTTGCGTCCGAATCGCTTGGTTCACTGGCCTCAGCGGGGGTTCAGCTTTGCGCCAGCTCATGCGGTCATAACCTCTGCAGACCAAAACGGGTAAGTATAAACGAATGGCTTCGCAAGTCCGGTCCTTTGGTGAGAGCGTCAAGCTGTCGGCGAAGCCGCGGGCTACCATGTCTGCTTGCCTATAAGATGTACAGACACCCTCAAGTTCTACCAAAGAGGAGCTGATGACGCATAGCTCTACGAAGAAAACCTGGAGCTGGGAAGGAGCATAAGGTAGCAAACTCCGAAAAGGCGCGAACTCTGAGCAGAACAGGAATGGATTGTGATCATTTTATCGGCCTGTGTGGTCGGTCGCTATTCGCCGAAGAGTATCGTGGGGACCTAGACGCTGCGGAAGACTATCTTCACCAAATGCGGCCCGATGAAACCACATCAGACTTGACCATTCACGCGGAGCATCTCCGATGCTCAGCGGTGCTTGCATCGCTCAAAGGCAGGCCGGCAGACGCGTATAAGAGCCTTTCCAAACTGAGTGTACTTCTTGATCGATTACCCAAGGAATGGGGCTTGCGCTACGCCAATTACAAAGCCCTCAATGACTACACTCGTCGCTTTCCTCCGCTTATACGCTTCTATCACGAAAATGGCAAGCCAGTCGACATATCTATGCTGGCCAATGTCCCAACCCCGGGGGAGATGACGAAGAGCTTCATGGAAGATTCTATCAAATTCGCGGATGCCAGTCTCCCTAGAGATCAATCCTCCTCTTTGGTCTTGAACGCAGTGATGGGAATCCCATGGCGGATACGGAACTTGGCGTACACATTTCACCCGCTCAGTCCAAGAAACCCAACCGAGGCATCCAGAGAGAATCTGCTAGAGGAGGTCTCAAAGTCTTGCGAGTACTTTGCCAAGTTTCGCGACACGGCGGACTCGCAAGGTTCAACGGGAGTTGGCACCTACTTGCTTCGACTGACTGTGGAGGTACATCTCGCTTGCCAAAGTCCTCTGGCTGAGACTTTCCTGCAAGGGCTGTACGAAAGATGCGAGCTGTTGGGAGATACCGCCGGCATGGCTAATGCGAAGATGATGGAAGCAGATAGCCTGATGAGTCCACCGTTTGCTAGTCCGCTGACGCTGAATATGATCATTGCTGATGTCACTACTTCAACAATGACTGATGTGTTATGGAGCCCAGTGGAGTCACGCTTGAGACATGACTATCCCCAGCTCGTCCGTGATATGCATGAGAAAGCTCTTGAGTTGTTTCGACAATCGAACTCCAAGCGCGGCCAGGCTGCTGTATTACTACGACAGGGATGTTGTCTTCATGATCAGGGTCGCCACGAGCGGCTTCATGGCCGAGAAATAACCAATGTCTTGAAGGAAGCTAAACAGAAACTCGAACAGTCACTGAAACTATTTGGTGTTGATGAAGCAAACACGCACCTGACAAAGACCCATGTGATACTGTTGGAAATCTCAAGGGGCAGCCATGGCAGGGTCAAGGCGATGGCAAAATCGATTGGACATTGGGGCACTGAGGCGCAGAATGAGATAACGACGCACTTTCTGGGAATGCTGATGTGTAGATACGCCCATCAGGAATGGTTCAAGTTCTCAAATCTGGACAATGCTATCTTGGCATGGGAATGCGCTTCTGAAGTATTCAAGCCCCTCGGGGATATGATACCGTTGTATCAATCACTGGTCAGCCGCGCCAGTGCACAATACGACATGTTCAACATCGATGCATCTCAGATACTCCTCGAAAAAGCGCTGGCGAAAGTTGATGGGCTTCTGGAGTACTTCGACGGAATCATCTCCGCGATCCCCGATGACCCTTTGGGCAACATAGACCGCTCAACCCTGATGACAGGAAAATTCCAGTTGTTGAGTACCCTTGATAGCGTGATGAGTCAAAGCTTCCGATTGAGCGAGAGTCTTGAGAAATTCAACGAGTGGCGCGCTAAATACGTCCGCCTACTGGAGAATGACGAGAGCTTTATTGCATTTCGCGAGTCCTTGGAAAATGGAGAGATGATTCGCGTCACTCACGAGATGCTTCCACTGCCTGAGGCGAGAGTTAAAGGTTTATGGCGCCAGAGTCTAGCCGAGACAGCCGCAAATGTGCGATACACTTCAGCAGAAGTCACTTTTCGTCGACTACTGGGAGAAGGAGATATTAAGAAAGCCGAGCGTGAATTTCGTCGTTTTATTGATGACACAGACAACGAAGGGACCTATGTCGACAATTTCTATCGTGTTCTGGCGTGTCAGTTGATTGGAGATCTCGGCAAAGCCCGGGAGATTTTCGACTCGATGACCGACGACGACATTTTCAGAAATCAACTGAATGACCTTCAGCAAGGTGTGGGCGTGAAGGAGTTTTTTGACGCGATCGGTGTGAATGCCATAACCTTTGCGGTCTTTGCAGGGGATCAAGAGCGCGCAAGGAAATTTATTGACTTGATCTTGGAAATTCAGCCTCACTTCTTCGATAGGATGGATGATGACGCCATGGGATTCGCTCATCGAATTAGCAGCTTCGGACAAATCATGAGCCAAGAACAGCCCGAAGTCTGCTTTGCTAAGCTCCTGGAGGCGTATCGCATTCTAGAAACTCGTCGCGTTCAAACCAAAGATCTTGATGCAAGGATAAGCAGTTCCAATCTGGGATGGGCACCAGACGTGTACGCAAACCTCGCACGGTTATGTCTCCGATGGCAGAAAGAGGAAAAACCCATTAGCTTTCTGTCAATGTACGAGCATGGTCATTTTGACAACATTTCCTGGGACGAACATGCTCTTCTCTTTGTTGAGATGAGTAGGGCACGATCTGTGCTTGAATCGATTCAAACCCAAGCCAAGGGAATCCATCCAAAGAACGACAGCAGTGATATGACACCGCTCTCAGAAGCCATCTACAAAAGACGACTTTTGAGGTCATTACTTGCCCAATCACAACTGAGCCCTGAACAGGAGGCAGAGGCATCTCAGTTGCGCCGTGAGATCGACGATCTGGAGAAAGATGGAAAATTGTCGAACACGACGTCGTTCATTGAAAAGGTCGACACTATGACTGAGCCGCGGTTGCTGTTCCAAAGTATCGATAAAGGGGCCTTAGTACTTGAGGCTTCTTTCACCCCTCGTGGACATATCTCATTCGCGATCACGTGTGATGGGATTGCAGGCACACACCAAGGGACCACTAATACGACTTCTATGCGAAGATTGGCTATGCAGGCCATGCAGATCTTACAGAACTTGACTGGAGATATCAGTCCAGGAGAAGAAAGCCGCAAGACTGAACTGAGCAGTCTCACCAAACAAATCTCCGCAATATTGTTGGAACCCTTCGCGGAAATCATCGAGAGCAAGAAGCACGTCATCTTTTCAGTGTCCGATCCCATGACGGCTTTCGCATTCGCCTGCCTTCCATTTAATGGAAAGCCACTTGTAGCGCATGCAGCAGTATCGCAAGTTCCGAGCCTCACAGTTCTCTACCATCTTTCACAAAGAAAGTCCGTCTCGGAAACCCCAACGGTCTCTGTGATTGCCAAATCGCCTGTCGAGAACACAGCTGTGGGTGCCGATCGCACTCAACAAGAGGATAATCTGTACATGGCAGGAATTGAGGCCGTCGCCATCGCGCGCGCATTTAACACAAAACCAATCGAAGCTTCCCATATGACCCGAGAAGAATTCCGAAAACACGTCCAGGGAGGTTCTTTGGTTATGCATGTTGGAACGCATGGAACCCTCAATCACCGATGGCCTCTACTATCATCCATTTCCATTGGAGACGGCGAGCCATTTCGGGTCATTGACATGTCTGCCATTCGCAGTAATGTCCACCTCCTCGTCTTTGCTGCCTGTCTCAGTGGCCTTGGCAAAGCCACCTTCACCAGTGAAGTACTCGGATTCTCCCACGTCGTCTTGAGCACCGGCTGCCAGGCGTATATTGGCTCGCTTTGGAAAGTGAGTGACTTTGCCTCCATGATGATCATGACACTCTTCTATCGCCATCTCCGAGCCACACCTCATCTATCTATTGCAAATCTCATGCAGAAGGCTCAGATGGAAGTAATGAAGCTCAATGACGAGAGCGCAGGCATGCTTTTGAACACGATTATGGAGAACTGGTCGTACAGAGATGCTAGTGGGTACTCGCCGGAGGACTTCGTGCCGCATGCGGAGTTTTGGATTCTCATGATGCGGATGAGGATCGCTGACATGGATTGGACAAGCCCTTTCTTCTGGGCTCCTTTTACCTTGGTCGGTTATGGGGGGTTGTCTTTCGTGCATTCCAATTGAGACAATCTAGGGAAGTGAAAGTAGATATGGTAAGCATTGGATGGCTGCGAGTAAGTTCAACTCTCTCTTGACCGTCACAGATCAATTCAGTGAAGCTCTCTCAGAGGCAAACGAGCTAATTCTGGTTACTTGATCATCAATATCAGTAAGCGATGCCATGTTTAGGCGCATCAGTACCATACTCGTTGGCATGGTTAGAAGTAGCCATTCTGCGGGCACCTGGGAGTTCGACGTGATAAAATGGTTAATCGTCGTAGCTTTCACTCTACAATAAAAAATCACGGATATCATTCCGAATTTGATCCAGATCGTGGAAGTAAGTAAACATCAATTCAAATAGTAAGCTGAAGAACCCGGCAATGTGATGTTGAATCACTACATGCTGGCGCAGAAGACAGTTGGGCCAAAAAATCCACGTAAAAGAGACAAGCGAGCACAACAATAGAGAGGCAGAACGAAGCAGTGGAAACCAAAGCGTCAGAAAAAGCGGGTTCAGAATGAATGCCACCAAGTCTTTATCCTACTTTCGACAACAGTAACCGCTACGTGCCATCATAAAGAATCTCCCGAGTGCTTGGCGAAAGGGCACCCAAACGGCCCCCATGTTATGGATGGGCCATTCGTGTGCCCCTGCGTCAAGCCTTCAAGAGCGCCTTTATCAGAGCACCCACCCGAAACTATCGCCGCAAAGAAGATAATTGGTCCAGGTCCCGGTGACTCGCGAGGGCTCGTCAGTCTCGAACTGGATGTGAAGTAGGGTTTGAAATCACGACGGAGAGATGCCTCTCTACTCGCCATAACGCAGGACCTGATCGTAGGTCCCCGAAATCAAGCCCATGTGATTCAGGGCGTGCATGGTTTGTTGAAGGTCCATACTGCTGTCCAGGTAGATGGCCGCTATGAGCGCCTGCACAGCCGACAGCATTTGTCTCGGTGCGACTGTTCCCGGGCACGAATTTCCGAGGCGTATAAATTTCGCCAGGCCGAGGGTCCGTCCCAATTGTATAAGTCTCTCTCGGGAGGCCAATTCCTGTCTCGACGTATCCATTCCGACTGGATTTCATGGTTAGAAATTTTCACAAATTCAAACTTACTATCAGTAATTGTGGGCTGCTCACCCTTGTCGCGGCCAGTGGCACAGCCAATTAACTCGATGCACATGGTCAATGTGGTCTGTCCAACGACTGACAGTCTCTCGTTTCCCTGCCAAAGGAAATTCGAGCCTCTCGATTGGATGGCAGTTTCGAGCAATCTTTTGTTTTTGAAGCGATACCCGGAAATCTGCGCGAGAGCCACTTCTTCCTCATTAGAAAGAGAAAGTTGCTGAACCATTGTGTGGGACAGAGATTAAGATGGTGAGTGTCAACAGGAAGGATCTTGACAAGAGGCGGGAAAGGTGAAGGAAAAGCCAGCAGGTTGCTCTGAAAGTGAGTGGGTTAGAAAGAATGATGCCTTCATGAGTTGAAGTGGTCGAGATACTTATACTGCTCTATTTCGCAACCCTGCGTCACATCAAACCTGGAAGGCCCCAAGTGAGCCCAACCGATGCCGGGGTAAGTCAAGGCTGAATGGGATTCACGACCGGGGGTCTTCTCTGATGACACGTCAGGCAGCCTTGCTGGGTATCGTCGTCCGACAAAGTCGATTGGAGCCCCTGGAAGAGCGAACGAAAGTTTGTGGAGCACGAAGACACGCTAAAGAGTCATGGAACTCTTTGTACTCCTATTTTCGAGCGCCGTGGTAGCTGCGGCATGCTTAGGCGCCTAGCAGATGGACTGTGGCCTCACGGCTGTACAATGCAAGCCACAGCAAACGAGTGGTTGTAACCGAAAGACAGAACAAGGCAGAGATGGCCCTTGACCCGTAAGCAAGGCGAGGCGGTCTCTCAGACAAGGGTTGCAGAGGCTGCATCTAAAGATCACGCTTTTCATGAGAGGATTCAGTGACTCGGGTCATCGATGAGGACGAATCACTACTCAAATGTGGAGGTGATTGATACTTTCGATTTGTTTGTATGGCACGGGGTTCTACCAACTTACCGCAGTCCATAGACTAAGGTAGTGGATACGAGATGGTAGAATACTAGATACTTAGATAGTGACAACGACTAGATACCAACTAGAGCCCCTCCTGCATGGATAGACAATCTCACCCTCATCCCTCTCCCACATTCTGCGGCTGCGTCTACCTCTGTAGCTGTACCACGTCATGCTTCTCGGAGTCAAGGTATTAAACTGCCTGGACGCGACTGATGAAAGATGTACAGCGTCAGTACCTCTTGCCCAGAATTACTCGGTGTAGGGGAATATGCGATCATGCATAGTATTGATTTCTTATTGACCCGTTCGGAGCTCAAGATTCCCAAGTCATGGCGCAGTCGGACCACAGTCCCTCTCGCGGTGTCCCCGCATGAAACTCGATACCTATACAAGTATGCTGCCCCTCCCTTCTAATTCGTGGGGCAAGAAGTGCAAATTGTAGTAGTTTATGTAATATGATATCTACCGATCATATTAATATTCTTAACTCTACATACGGGGGAGACCCCCGTAGACCCCCCCTTCGCGGGGGGTACCCCCGCGGACCCCCATCAACGCAAGTTAAATCGTAAATCTATAACGCAAGTTAAATCGTAAATCTATAACGCAAGTTAAATTGTAAATCTATAGCGTATATTAGAATTTAGTATTATAGATCTATGACTTAGACGGATACAGAGCTAATATAAGGGTCGCAGAAAGCACGGATTCTTATTTCTAAAGCTTAAGGGTATTATACATGAGACGATACCCGAGGGACCGAGAGATAGGGCACCCAGGGATCGAGGCACGAGGATTACGTCACGTGAATCGATACAGAAGGACCACGTGACACGTGTGAGGGTCGAGAAAGATCACGTGATGTAACTTTGGGGGCGGTCAATTCTGCCACGGCCAGCCAATCAGAGCACAGGAATAAAATTCCAAGCACTTACATGAGAAGCAACTTCTCGTTTCATTCCAATTTGCAATGATCAAAGCCGACACGAACACTAGCTGATGACGCTCAAGTTGGGGCTGACAGACAGACGCCTTGCCAGCACGTTGGTTGGTCGCTCGCTCTAAGTCCTGTTAGAAAGAGATCTCGATGTGGATTAGGAGGTGGGCTGTACTGTGCCATCCGCTTACAGCGACCGAGAGAAGCACTTAGGAGCGAACCCGATCCTATGAGAGTAGCTATTGTAGAGGGGAATGCTCAAGGCAGTCTGATCTCACCAGACAGGTCGAGTCATAGAGGAACCAAACCCCGACCACCAGCACGCACGTCCAGAGATATCCCAGCCCGACCGTACAACACCTATCCGTAGGATGTCAAGAGGCACAAGTGAAGATCAAAAGGAGTGTGTCATTGCAAGTGTCAAAGAATCAAACTGTAAACTGTAAAGACCGTCCTGAATCCTCGATTCCCTTCTCCGATGGATCTCCCGAATCCCATGAACTCGTTCGATTCCTTGGTTCCTTCGGTTCCTTCGGATATCTTAGGTGATCAAGTTGATTGCTCCCCTCTCGTAATGTCCAAATAACCTCTCCCGACTAAAAGGCCACCATCAGGCACCCGCATCTTTGCAAACCATCGGCTCTAAGTACATGCAACCGGATTCCCTACTACACTATGTAGCTTACCTACCAAATCTGGAAAGACAGGTATAACCTTAGCAAGATCATGGATGACGGGAGCAATAACGTTAGAATGATAGTACAAGACGAAAAATACTCATCAAATGCTATCTTGCACTGCGAAAATCATGCTCCAAAGGATTGGAGCGAGTTTCGATGAAGAATATGAAGTTGACCATCGTACGAGTGAGTGCGTGTGCGCTCGTTCTTCGACGGGTAGATGCCTTTGTCGCCGCCTGACCCACCTTTGGGATCAAATAGCTCAAGTCCGGTAAGGCCTAGGTAAGTCGGAATTGAACGAACAACAAGCAGCAATGGTGTCTGTCAATGTCGGAGATGAATCGACGATACCGAGTGCAAACGAGAACCGGGTCAAAGTATAACTTGGTCGGACGACTAAACTCACCCAGAACTTGCCACAGATCCACCATGCGGACTCTCGGAAGGTCAGTAGTCAGGTACTGCGGAAGTGAGAACTGGAGAAGTTCATGCGACGTCAAATCCGGAAGAGACTTGGAACACCCCACATATTTCCGGGAATCCGGAGTCAACTATCACGGATCGCCTCTTCTACTCCCACCATGGCCACGACCACCCTGATCAAACACAGCTTCAAGAGAACACTTAAAAGAATGGACATGGTCGCGATCATGGAGTTCAATCAGTCAAGTCCAGAAAGCATCTTCACAACAACTTCTTCTTTACCAAACTTCTCTCAAAACAACTCAACTGTTCCCACTCTTCAAAATGGTCGGCTTTGATATGCGAGGTTTGACCCCTGCTCCGGTCACCCCTTTCACACAGAATGGTGCTGTCGACTATGAAGCCATCCAACGCCTTGGCTCCTGGCTCGGTAGCATCGACGGGGTGAAGGGCCTTGTGGTGCTTGGTCACGCTGGTGAGGGAACCTTCCTCACCATGGAGGAGCAAATCTCCGTTATCAAAGCCTTTGTCAAATCTGTTGACAACAAGATTCCAATCATCGCCGGTATCACTGGCGAGGGAACTGAGGTGGCTGCTCTCGAAGCCAAGCGAGCCAAGGAAGCCGGTGCCGCTGCGGGGCTCCTCTATCCTTCTCACGGCTGGCTGCGCTTCGGATATCAACCCGGCGCTCCCCAGGATCGGTACCGCCGTGTGTATGAGGTCTCCGGCTTGCCTCTGATTCTCTTCCAATATCCCGACAATACCAAGGCCAGCTACAACTTGCAGACCATGCTGGATATTGCCGCTCAACCTGGCTGCTTCGCCATGAAGAACGGCGTGCGCAACATGCGTCGGTGGGATACCGAGATCCCCGTGATCCGAGCTCAACGACCAGACTTGCAGATTCTCTCTTGCCACGATGAGTATCTTCTGCATACCTCATTTGACGTCGATGGCTTCCTCGTTGGTTATGGAAACATCGCACCGGAGCCGCTCATCGAGCTCATCAAGGCGGGCAAGGCCAAGGATTATCGAAAGGCTCGAGAGATCCACGATCAACTGCTCCCTGTCACCAAGAGCGTCTACCACCGTGGATCTCACATGGAGGGCACAGTAGCCCTCAAGCATGCCCTTGTCGCTCGGGGTATTCTCACACATGCCACTGTTCGCTCACCTCTATTGCCTCTGGAGGATGGCGCTGAGAAGGAAATTCATGATGCCATCAGTGCGGCATCCCTCAGCAAGGTGGTACTTTGAGAGAGACTTTTATCAACATAGAACTGCAACCGAACAGATTTACAATGACACGAACAATATGAAATCATTCCAAATATACCTTCATGTCACCACAAGTAGGTAGGATACGTATACTGGAAGAACTCCACGTTGTAAACAGAACTTAAAGCCTTCAGACATGAGAGCCGAAAGAGCCCCGAGGTCGTGGATAGATTCATCAATTCAGACGGTTTCCAAGCTTCAAAAACGCCGGCGAACGATCAGAAAGCGCGAAAATGCGAGAAGAAAAGAAATCTCTATACAGATACCTATATAGTAGGATGTACTGGGTAGTCATGTCTCGTAGCTATGTAGAAATAATAACAACCGAGCACCCGACTTCCGTTTCAGTCATCTATTTGTGGGATCCTGTCAATTGAATATAGTAACAGACAGTACTATACTACCAGTGTGTAGTTGCGGACTATACCCACCTTGGGACGACCGTGGGGATTGCCGAAGTTGGATTAGCACCTGGGGTTGGCGTCAACAGAACTTCGGATACTCGGCTGATCTCCCTAGACCCCGCACTCTCAAACTTCCGTAATAGAATCCGGCATTTCCGGCTCAGCAGTATCATACTAGCCATTTTCAATCACTCCATGCACCCCTTTGCGACAGTTGGATTCGAAGATGGCTTCGACGTCTCCGCAAAGCTCGACTGCTGCATGTCCAAGTGCTCCTCCCAGCAAGCGGCCGTTGGCCATGACCAATGAACATGCTGACGATGAAAACCGTCGGAAAGACCCCAAGGTTAGCCGCGCCTGCGACAATTGCAAGAGGAAGAAAGTCAGATGCGATGGCACGCTGCCGTGCAGCAAATGCGCCAAGAGAAATCTTGACTGTGCCTACGATGCGAAATATGGCCGGGGTCGCCCTCCGACCCCACCCATTTCTACCACGATTAGTGACCAGGCAAGGTCATCAAGGGCTGATCGGCTGGACGGGCTCTCCACCTGGCAGCACGCAAGCCCACCCACTGTCCCAGCTGCCGCTGAACACAACGTCTCACGCGCCTCCCCCGATGTGGAATTGGAAGGCCAATATTTTGATCCTACCTCCGGACTGAACTTCTTGCATCGCGCGAGAAAAAAATTGCTGATCCACGATGGCCTAACCGATCCCTATGCGTCGAATGGCGCGGAGAGGAATCAACTCCTCACATCAGCGGGAGACCGGCCATTTCTCCACGAGGACGAGGCTACTGAAAATTTCATTCCGAATGGCCTGGCAGCCAAGAATTTGGTGCAATTCTATTTTGAGTCATGCGTTGTGACATACCGCATTTTTCACCGACAGACAGTTGAAGTATGGCTAGAAGCGTTCTTGAAGGACCTTGAGCACGAGCGGCCAGTTGTCCATTCCTTGAATAATGCTAGAACTGCGATTATCCTGACCATAATGGCTATCGCAACTCTACGCATGGAACGAGTCGACACGGAAACATCGGTGGGATCTGAAACCCCCATTCCACAGCAAAGTGACCGTCTGTTCGAGGCTGGTATGAAGCTGGTGGACCAAGAGACGGGATTCCCACGGCTCGAGTCGGCACAGGCGCGATTGATACAGGTGTTATATCTTCTCCAGACATCTCGAATCAACAAAGGCTGGTACACGCTCGGTACTGTTTTCCAGATCAGTCTCTCTTTGGGTATGCACAGGAGGCGAGACCAAAAGCGAGACTTCCCTTTCACCAGTAGGCGGCATAATTACATCACTTCAGAGTGTTACAAGCGCACATTCTGGTCGGCGTATATCATCGATGAATATCTCAGCGTTGTATTCGGTCGACCCCGATTGTATCGGGATGAGGATATTGACCAGGATTTTCCAGACCAAGTCAATGATGAGGACATGGGAGATCAGGGACCTTCTATTTCAGACGATCCAAGCGACTGTTACATTGACGGTCTAATATATCACGCCAAGTATGTGTATCAATTCCGCTCAAGTGGCCTGATACTTTCCTCCAGCTAATGCAAAGCTAGAATCGCTCAACTCCTCGGTAAGGTCTCGCGAGAGGTCTACTCAGTGAGTGACATGTCCAACTACGATCGTCTGGCAGCCGCCCATCGTTTTGCCCGTGAATTGCATGAGTGGCGCACAAGCCTACCTGCACATTTGGGCACCGTAAAGCCTTCAACATTAGTGCCTGCATTTCGTCGCCAGGCCATTGCTCTGCAGCTTGCGTATTCCCACGCCCTCATTCACACAAATCGGCCGTTCCTCTTGAGTGATGCAGCGCCCGAGAACGTCAGCGAATGCATATCTGCAACAAGGGCCAGCTTAGAGCTCGTCAACAGAATGGCTGGGGATAGCACACTCTTCCATTCCTTCTGGTGGACTCACTATGTGATCTTCTGTGCATTGGCCGTTGTCTACGTCTGGGAGATTCAACGAGTCAAGCGGCCTATGGATGGTATTGACGACGGAGCCCGAGACGAAATCTTCGAACTCGCAGAGAAGTGTCGGGCACATCTCAAGCGGGCATCGGCCAGTCTAGCGCAAAATAGGCGATATAGCGTGATACTGGATGAGATCAGGTCAGAGGCACAGAGATGCCGATTGTTGAACGAACAGTCGTCAAATGCCATGCAGGGCAGTCTTGATGCAGGCCAGACCGACCCCAATACCGATGGTGGCTCTCTGTCAATGAGGAATCCGAACGCAGTAGAATCGGGGTTGCACATGATAGGCCAGAGTAATGTCTCGTTCAACATGCTGGACAGCTTCCTCATCAGTGACTGGCAAACTCTTGATTCATCGGTATGCGCATCGTTGAAAGTGTGCGTGTGGCGCATTGACTGACCGCATGTCTAGGTTTTCCTTCCATTGCCTGACCCGGATTCCGTTTCTCCGACATACTTTTACCCAGTTCCTTAGTCTCAATTTCTGGACGTGTGAAGGGTGAGGTGGTGTCCACATCTCCGAATACGATGGGGCGGCCGTGACCCGGACTTCGCGGAAGGACAAACTTTGCATGGCAAGAATCCGGGGTTGCGGGGAACGGTTCCAGCTACTGCGCCCTAATTTTCTTAGCTACGCAGTTTGGCTTCGGCACCTACCCCGTGGGGTTACTACCCACCATGATGGATCTTGCGTTGGATTTCGTTGAGCTATAAATGGCTTCACGTACCTGCCGTAGCGTCTTTCGGCCATCTATAACCTGTCAAAACTCATCATGATGGCGGAAAAAGACACCACAATTATGCACCTGGAGAACCAGCCAGGTCCTGGAATTTCCACCGAGGATGCAGAATTTCTATCCAATTTCTCGGATGAAGCCAGGAAGAAAGTTCTACGAAAGGTAAGTACAGCCTCGACTGATCACTCCCGGGACAATTCCTGACACCATGTTCATAGGTTGATGTGCGTACTTGCCGGACAACCCCGTCAACTGAGCGTTCATAGAGATAACCGTGTTGCGAGGTAGCTGAGGCTTGTTCCCATGCTGGTTCTCTTGTACTTGGTAGCATACATCGACAAGACGAACATTGGTATGTCGAGATGGAGACGACTCTAAGGCTTCTGCATGCTCACATTGTTCAGGAAATGCAAAAATCGAGGGCCTTCTGTCAAGTCTACATATGGACGGAATCCAGTACAACATCGCGCTGTCTATATTCTTCATTCCCTATGTCCTTGCTGGTATTCAACATCCATTGTCCCGATCACATGAGACGTTTCGCTGACAAAGTGAGAAGAGGTCCCAAGCAACATCATACTCAACCGACTAAAGAGACCATCGCGGTACTTGGGCTTCCTGATCCTCTGCTGGGGGGTGGTGATGTTGTGTACCGGTTTCGTGCAGAACTTTGCCGGTCTGGTCGTGATTCGGGTCCTTTTGGGTCTCTTCGAGTAAGACCCCAAGAACTCAATGTGCAGACTGTTCCTCGCGCTGACCCTCTTTCAGAGCCGGCTTTCTCCCAGGAGCCGTTCTTGTGATTTCAAAGTGGTATCTTCCAAATGAGACACAAACGCGCATTGCTATTCTCTATACCTCTGCGGCCTCAGGGGGTGCCTTTTCGGGTTTGCTGGCTTTTGCGATTGCCAAAATGAATGGCGTCGCAGGCTATGAAGGCTGGCGTTGGGTTCGTCGCTATATGTTTCTTCCCAGCTTGGCATCTTCCGAAACTGACACACAGATCAGATATTCATCATAGAAGGCATTGCAACCTGCATCATAGCTGCAGCGTGTTATATGCTCCTTTTGGATTCGCCGTCCTTGTCGGCTGCTTGGCTGACTCCTGATGAGATTCGCTTCCTCGAAGTGCGACAGATGGCGAATAACAATCATGGCAGTCATGGGGGAAGCTTGGACAAGAGCATCATTCTCAGCGTCATCTGTGACTGGAAGATGTACCTCCTCATCCTCATCAACTGGTCCAATGCTGTGCCCAACTATGCGCTCAAATTCAGCATGCCGGCGATCATCAAATCCATGGGTTACAAGGCAGCCAGTGCCCAACTCCTGACGATTCCCCCCTACATGGTTGGCGCATTTTCCGCTTATGGGTTCTCCGTATTCGCCGATCGCTCTTCATGGAGAATGCCCTTCATCCTGGCACCGCAGCTGTCACTCATTGTCGCCTTTAGTATCTTGTTCTCCAAGGCTGCCGATATCAAGAATAACATCGCGGTGTGTTATTTCGGCGTCTGTCTCGCCTGCTTCGGCATGTACCCGATTCTCCCGGGCGTCAACGCTTGGAATGTGGGTAACATCCCCAATCCCCAGAAACGTGCTGTGGCCATAGGGTATCTCATTTGCTTTGGGAACGCCGGTGGCATCATTGGAAGTTATATTTATCAGAGTCGAGAGGCACCGCGATACCCCACCGGCTACGGTACTTCGCTTGCGTTTGCCGCCTCAGGGATCGTGGCCTGTTTGACTTTGGAATTTTGCCTCTGGAGAGCAAACAAGACCAAGGAGCGGATGTCTGCTTCCGAGGTTGAAGAGAGGTATACCGAGGATCAACTGCGTGAGATGGAGGAGAAGAGTCCTTTGTTCAAGTATACCTTGTGAGACCAGAGTTTGGAATGTTTCAGGCGTACGAGTTCACTGTCTAGTTGATCCAATTTCCTTCTCGAGTTCTCAATTTGTCGGTCAGAGCGATGTACTTCATTGCGTCCCAGGGCGGAGTCTGGCGGAACGGCGGTTTCCGTTCCTCCCCATCTTGTCTGAGGTAGATTAACAATCCGGCTGCGGGCTCTAGATCTGAGCAACGTCCGTCTACCAGCACTTTTGACTTGTGAATGTCCCAATGCCGAATCGCTCTCCTCCGTCACAAATATCCCTCATGAATCCAGGACGTAGTACGCGACTGTTTGTCCGCTCTATAGTAAGATCGTGAGGCAACCGATCTATTTCGTCGGCTTTCGTTTGGTATGGGATCTGAATTCGGTACGATATTTGGCGGAAGATTTTGGAGGATGAACAGATGTTTACTGTCCATCTCCCTCGAGCCTCGTAACAATTGTGTACATTCATCAACTCGATTTGTCTACCATCCCATCAAAACCAGCATCTCCCCCCGAACTCCAATCTGTCACACGTGATCATGGATTCTCGGACCTCCACGGTTGACGGACCCGAGTCTGTGAATGATCTGCGCAACTACCATTGCTGATCATCGTTCGAGTGAGGCTCCATCCCGTCTTTGCTGGGAATACAGTCTAGAACACTAGTGATCAGTCCCCGTCTCACGATCCCTGCCGGGGGATATCCCAGTGTTTGCTCGGGTTAATGTGTACGAAAGGACGCTCTCGGTGTCGGCGATTTGGCCTGAATATCCAGGGATGTCTATTGTATTCCGGGCCCGCGATGACGGCGCGGCGTTGAAGGTCTACCTTGCGGCGTCAAAGTGGGTGGTTCCATCTGATTTCTTATACATTTCGACACTCCAGAGCCTCTCACCCTTTCCCTTCTTCTTGTCCCATGAGTAACTTCTGATTTATCTTCTTTGCTATACGTCGTTCACTACCTGTTCTCCCTTCCTTTGTGTTAGTCTTTCCATCTCATTTACCTTGCTCTGTTTTACTCTGCCTCTCGCTCGTAACTCTCATTCGTTTTTTTTTACCCGTTTTCCTAAAGGTCTCGGCCGCATTGACCACACCATCTCTCTCTTTCTCTCTCTCTCTCTCTCTCTCTTGCCCAAGACAGGCATTTCTTCTGCTTCCTCCTTCCTTCACTCCCTTGTGCTCCCTGCCCGAAAATTCCCTTTCCCGTTGGGGGAATTCGGCTTCTTTATCTCAAAACGGCGTCCTTTGCAATCCCTCAGCCTCGGTCGAGGGACTTTGATTCCAATTCACTCCGTCTCCTGTCTCGACCGATTACTCTCGATCGCAGTTCTCTTGGGTCTCGTCGATCTGAGTCTCCTGGTGCCAGTGGCCACCTCCACGGGGAGGCGACTTTACATTTTGCTCGAGCACAGCGACGACCGTGTGTTCCTCTTGCGCCTCCATCGTCCTTCCCTGCCATCCGTCGTCCACCGGCTGTCCGCCTCGCCAATCCGGTCAATCACGTTCCGCGGATCACTCCCGTCACGGTTCTTGCCCAACACTCCGACGAAAGTCTGCCCCGCGGCTTGTCGCGCGACGCATACCCATTATTGACGGTGCCCGAACGCCGACGCAGTCGTCTGTCTCCCTCGCCTGCCTCCCCGACAAGCTTAACGGTCGAGCGCAGCCAAGGTGAGACCGAAAGCCGACACACGAGCGTCGCACTGCCCCCGCGATTCCAGCGCAGCGATTCGTTGCTGCTAGCCACGGAGATGGCCTTTACCGGCAGTGCAGCCCGGGATGTCGAGAATCTGCGCGCCCCGGAAGAGGTGCACCTCGGACAGGATGGCCATCGCCTCCGCGATGAGAATCGACCACGCCACGCCCCCTCCCAGACGTCCCTCCGATCACAGTCGCAAATTGCATCTGTACCATCTATCACCGGTCAAGCACCTCCCGATGTCGCCGACGAGTTAGCCTGGGGTCCCGCGCATCCCTGCTATCCACACTTCAACCCTCATGTCCCTATCGGCTCGCAAGAGTACCTCACCACACGGGTCATCCGCATCCGCCGCGACTGGATGATCAAGGGGGACTTGGCGCCCACCTTGTCTAATCTGTACCCCGAAATCTTGGATCCTCTACTGCCGGAGCAAGAGTTTCGCACAGTCATTGCGACGATCAACGAGGGCTTGATTAAGGCCTTTGATCCGTTCCGTCTGCACAATTGGTTCGACGGCGCCATGGGACTCTTGACCGGCTGGATCTGGGACGATATCAAAGCACCCAGCGTCAAGCGTCAGCTGCAGCAAGTTGAATCGTGGATCGAGAAGTGGAACCGTGAAATCGGAGCCAAAGATGGGGTTCACATATGGAGTCTCCGACGGACAGCCTACATGTCGCTAGACATTCAGATTCCCGACCCTAAGGTGGGCATTGCACCGAGCGAGGGTCCCTCATTGCCCAATACGAGGCCCAGCACCGGGGCTGGGCCGGCTCTATGAGGGTACTTACCCTCTTTCTCACGGTCTACACACTTTCCTGCTCCATTCCCTCTCGCCTCTTTCTCTCCCTTCATCTGTTCGACGCTTGTATTATTGCTTGATACATACTTTTCTCTTTGTAATTTCTGTTCAATATTGGTTCGGGCGTTTTCACATGATATCCCTTCAGTCCCTGGCCCGGTGACTTGCCTTGAGTTCTGTGTCCTGCCTCGTCGCACGCTCTCTCTCTTTCTCTCTCTCTCTCTCTCTCCCTCCCTCCCCCTGTGCCGGTCGGCCGGCGTTGTCAGAACCCATTCGTCGCCGCCATTTTCTTCGTCACTCTTGTATTGCATGTCCAGCGAGGACGTCTGGTTTGTTTTTCTCAATCCCCCTTTCGGTCCCCCTTTCGGGTGTGTCGGGGCTTGTCATCCTCTGTTATTCATCACAATCAAAATACTGTCAAAATTCCGGCTCTTCGGACACATGTTACGTGTCCGGACTGGTCTCAACAGGCATGCGACAGCTTGAGGAGCATAATGTGTCTTATACTTTTGATGTCTGAATCCACATCCAGATATTCATAGCTTACATCAGCTGGGTTTCGCAGCCCGAATTCTATCTGGAGATTCCATGCATTAGCTATACCTTGAGTGGTGTCGCTTTTACGCGTGCTCAGCATATAAATGAAATTGGAACGGTCCCCATCAACTGAACCTCCCCCTCCCAAAAAAATCGAACTACGGTACCGTCTCTGCATCCACAGCCGCCAGGGGGCCCTCAAGCAAAGCATCTCCAATTATCCACCGGTCCAGGGCGGTGTCGATCCACCCCACACCCGCCCGTATTGCCCCCCCGTGCGGTCACCGAGAGCTCCTGGATGATTATTATCGGACTGCCGACAGTCCCTCCTCTCACTCTCTCGTTCACTCGCTCTCCCTCCCTCTCTTTCGGTTTCGCCCTCGGCCAGATCACTCTTTGTCACCATGCTGTCGGGCATCTTGGTGTTCAACCAAAAGGGCGAGAACCTCATCTTTCGCGCCTTCCGTAGCGACTGTCGCCCCCGTCTGGCTGACATCTTTCGAATTCAAGTCATCGCGAACCCGCAAGTCCGCTCCCCCATCTTGACTCTGGGCTCGACCACCTTCAGCCATGTCAAGCATGAGAACATCTACCTGGTCGCTGTGACGAAGAGCAATGCCAATGCTGCGCTGGTCTTTGAGTTCCTCTTCCGTCTGGTCGTCCTGGGTCGAAGTTATTTTGGCAAGTTTGACGAGGAAGCTGTGAAGAACAATTTCGTGTTGATTTATGAATTGTTGGATGGTGAGTCTGAGGAATATTTCCAGTGGCTCAATCTCCCCTGTATTCCTCATTGACTGACTGGTTTTTTCTCTTCACGGTCTGTTAGAGATTCTTGACTTTGGCTACCCGCAAAACACCGAGACCGATACATTGAAAATGTACATCACAACAGAAGGAGTCAAGTCCGACATTGCCAACTCTCCCTCGGATTCTAGTCGCATCACTCAGCAAGCCACCGGCGCTCTTTCCTGGCGCCGATCCGATATCAAGTACCGCAAGAACGAAGCCTTTGTGGACGTGATCGAAGATGTCAACTTACTCATGTCTGCCACTGGCACAATCTTGCGTGCTGATGTGAATGGTCAAATTGTCATGCGAGCATATCTTTCCGGTACCCCTGAATGCAAATTCGGTCTGAACGATCGCCTCCTTCTCGATCCCACTACGTCTGGCGCAAATGGTGGGCGAAGCGGCGGTGGTAGTGGCTCCGGTGGCGGTTCGGGTAATAAGCATTCCACGCGGGCAGCAGCGGGCTCTGTCACCCTGGAAGATTGCCAATTCCACCAGTGTGTGAAGCTGGGACGATTCGATGCGGATCGTATCATCTCGTTCGTGCCGCCGGACGGAGAGTTCGAGTTGATGCGATACCGCGCGACGGAGAATGTTAACCTGCCGTTCAAAGTGCACCCGATTGTTCGAGAGATCGGCACCACCAAAGTGGAATATAGTGTGGCGATCAAAGCCAACTACAGTTCGAAACTGTTTGCGACTAATGTGATTGTCCGCATTCCGACCCCGCTGAACACGGCCAAGACCACCGAGCGCACGAGTCAGGGTCGCGCCAAGTATGAGCCAGAGCAGAACAACATCGTGTGGAAGATCCCACGCTTTTCGGGCCAAAGTGAATACGTCCTCAACGCCGAGGCGACGCTTTCAGCAACGACGCATCAGAAGGCCTGGAGTCGACCTCCAATCAGCCTTAATTTTAGTATTCTCATGTTCACCTCGTCTGGCTTGCTGGTGCGATATCTGAAGGTGTTTGAGAAGAGTAACTACAGTTCCGTCAAGTGGGTACGATACATGACCCGAGCGGGTAGTTACGAGATTCGGTAAGTCCTGCGTTCTCAATTACCACGATATTATCTGTTGTTGCCCATGGGTTCTTGAACATTCGATCTTTCTAACTAGTCACGATAACACAGATTTTAATGGGGAGACACCCAAGATATGTACCTGCACAAAGTATCGGCAGGTTCAAGAATATCCTTTCGCTTCCATCAGATAGACCGCGCGCCCCCCCCCCCCCCCCCCCCGTGCTGTTGTTTGTCCGAGGTTGACTTTTGAAAATACTTCTTGCAGTGGGAGTTCTAGGCGTGGGCAGGCGACGGATCTTGTTTCTTTTCATTGAATCCTTTTCTGACACATGATATCATTGTACCCTTCATCTGGCGGATTACTACGTGTATAATTCATGCCAAACTGTCAATCTCGACAGAATATCCAATCCCTGCCATGGGTCTTGTGCGTGCCGGAAAGCAACACCAAGCAAGAGCTCTGTTAATCCTCTAAGCTAGCGAAGATAGTCGGTAATCTCCCTCACCTGCGTCCAGGCCTTGACCCACTACCAGTACCACTACCCAGTGCCCACTGTTTCAAGACCAAGTACCTACCTACGTATCCCTCTTCCGACGAGAGCGCTCGATTTCATGCCCTGATTCAGAAGAACTCGTGGACCAACCTAAACACTCGACTCACCAAATGCGCTGCACTCTCGACGCATATTCCGAAAATCCCACTTAAGATCACAAAATGATGAAATTACCGTAAATGGGCTCGACAAAAACCCGGCAAACCGGCAAACCGGCATACCAAAAAGAAACCACCCGCCATTCGATTCCGTAGCGACTGAACTTGTAAACAAGATCATCGACGACCGGAACGAGCAGCAAATGCAAAACCCCCTTGCCACGGTCCAGCATTGAACTCCAGCAATGGAGCCCCCCCCCCCCCTGCCGTCGAGTCGAGCCGAGTCGAGTCGCGGACACACGTGGGATCGGAAGCCTAGCCTGAGTGAGGATCGGATTGATAGGCTGGGCGGCCCTGATCCGGACAGTGCAGGGTTATCTAGAGTTATCGGGTAGGCGGTTGGGCCCGAGCATGCCCGGTAGAGGTAGAGTTGGTACGGGATTGGCCAGGCAAGATGTGGTGAGGTACGGTAGGGCCACTATTTTTATTTAGAGATTTTGATAGATCGATTGACGAACTTTTAATCTGTACTGGGGTAGTTACTGGTGAGTGGTGACTGGTTACTGGGGACCACTGACTAGTAGTCAGTGACTAGTAGTTTATCATCGGGTTTAGAAGTTTGGCTCGGGCCCGTCGCGAGGGGGAACAGTTACTTGGGCAACGTTGATTTTTGTGTGTTTTGTTCTGATGGCGGTTCCCGACTTCCCGATGGGTTTTGTGTTTGGTCCGGAGGTCGAGGCTCTGGTTGGTATCATTAATGAGTGCAGAATCTAAAGAAGAGGTCCAGGAGTGAAAGTGTGGTAAAGCAATCAGCTTTGAATGTGGTGGTTTGAAAATATGATACAGGGTCCAGTGGATAAGTGGCCGGATAAGGGATCGATAGTAATAGTACACAGCTCGCAGAGCTTGAATGGGGAGAAGAAAAAGAAGAAGAAAATACAGCGTGCGCAACCACCCTCGAGCAAAAGTCAAGGTGACTGAACCACAGGTAGTAAAACAAGAAGAGAATGAAGGAACCTCGCATGCCAGATGAGAAATCCCAGAAAAAAAAGAAATCGCTGCATCAGAATAGTGCAGAGAATGGGTAAGTAAACACCGAATCAGGGCTTGAACTACACACGCAAGAGAAACATGGACATGAGGGGAAATAATACATGACAAAAGGGTCGTGAGGTACGAAAACTGAGGAAATATGGTATTAAGCATGACGAAGGCCAATGCGGCCGAGTTGCAGGAGAGCATCCCATTGATGCGCAATATCCGCACCACTCGGGCGACCCATCTGGCGGGCGCACTCGTCCCATTGTTGTTGGGTAGGACGGAACTGCGCCAAAATCGTCTCGACCAGGCGCTGATTATCCTCGGCAGCCCATGTTTCGGATGAAACCCTGGAATGCTCATCAGCCGCTTCAATCGAGGGCAGGACTGCATCGGGATGGATGTGTGTATGTGTAATGGAGGCCTGGATCTGAGGCAGAATCTCCCGCCTTGGGGGAGATGGTGGTGATTGCGTGACAGGGGGTGAATATAGAGAGTAAAAGTCGGCGGAGGAGAGCCCGATCGGGAGCTCATATGGAATGTGACGTCGGCGCTTGGGTGTGGACAGGGGACGACCGAAACCATCATCACTGTCCTCATTATCGTCCCATTCGGCACGACGCCGTTTGTTGGCACTGCGCGTGCCGCGCGCAGGTGCCGATGGGGGAGGAGGTGGCGTGGACGCAATGATCGCTGGAGGAGGTGTGGGTCGTGGGGAAGCAGGTCGCGCGACCTTGCGCCCCCGTGGTGAGCGACGTGGTGGTGTGACGGCAAAGGGACTCTGAAGTTGTGGGGGCTGAGGCTTGGGTGTGCGACGAGGAGATGGCGCGGGAGAGCCGCTCAACAGCGCCTGAAGCGCGCGACAAGTACAAAACAGACCATTACCGGCAGGATATTCTCGATCGGAGAAAGAAGACGGCGCGGGAGGAGAGGTCGAAGACAGAGGAGTCAGGCGAGACGACCGGCGCACATCGCAGGAGAGAGCGGAAGGGAGCAGCATGGCGTTGAGAGTTGGAGGATTGGACACGAATTGCTGAGAGGAGCCGTGGGAGCGCGTGGATGCGCAATGTAAATCGCGTACGGGAAGAGGATGGACGGAAAAGAGAGAGAGAGGGTGGCAAAGCGATCGAGTTGATCGAATATTTTCCGATGGCGCAAAAGGCTGGCGCAAGGTGAGACGGATGCGCAAAAGATGCGCCGGGAAGAATGATCTCGCGGCAAAGGTGGAGGAAGGCGTCGCAAACGAGTGAAGATGGTGGTGAATGAAGAGCGCTTTTTATTCCACGTGAAGCGCAACAATTGCGACAGCTCAGCGGTTGGTTGAGATGAGATGCCAGAAGCGCGGCTGGGGAGAATGTGTGTGTCGTGAGGGAAGAATGGCGGGAGAAATGGTGGGGGGTGGCGAGGGAGAATGCGCGATAAAAGGGAAAAAAAAAATGGGACAGACCGCAAACGGTCAAGCGAACGGGAGGATGGCAGCGCTCCACTTGTCTCCCCTTGAGCGCAACAGAATGGACTCTGGACCCGGGAGCCAACCCCAGAGCCGGTCGAGATCAGCAGTGGAGCACAATGCTTTGAGATGGAAGAGACACAAGATCGCGACGGTCAAAGGTGACAATGAAAGAAGACCCCGGCCCAGTCTGCAGAATTACAACCACAGATGAGATAAAAAAAGAACTCGAATGATGGTCCGTGGGAATTGATGAAAGAAGATGAAACCAAGGTGGAGGAGAGAGAGAGAGAGAGAGAGAGAGAGAGAGAGAGAGTATGGGTGTGTGTAAGAAGGAAGAGAGAGAATGAGGTGATTTTCTTTCAGGCCGACAGGCAGAAATCAGTTGGTGTAATCAAGTGATCGGAATCCCAAACGGTAATCAAAATAAACAAAAAGAGGATTGATAATGATGAATCCGGCGGTGGAACGGATGACGATGTTGGACAATCTTGAATCGTTTGTCTTTGCACTTCTTCGACTTTTTTCTCGTCGTCTCCCTGAACGATCATTACTCGACTACCCTCTTTCTGAGAAGGAGCATATCCTCTCCTTTTTATCCTACGATAGAAGCATCTTTGCCCCTCGTGACTCGTGATTCACTCGCGACGCGGTGGTCCTCGTGGGTGGTGACCCAGTGAGACAGCCTCGACTCGACAGGAGGGTGAACGAGGGATGCCTGCATGCAAGGTAAAAGCACCGACCATCAGCCCAGTGAGACGTGCACGAGGGGCACTTGGACCCGATGTCTTTGACACGGCGATACTCGTGGTCCATGCTTCCTTTAGGCTGCCGGGCGATTTGGGCAATTTGGGCGATTTGGGCCTGCTGGTCAATTACATTGCCTCTTCGGGCTGACGACCCGCGACAACCCGAGCAGCGCAGCGCATTCGAAGTACTCGCATTCATCCGTAGCCATCGGTTGTACTGCACATTGTACATACTACATAGTAGGATTGAGATATTGAGAGAAACGGTCCCAGTTTCAGATTCAATCCACCAGTCAGCTTAGTGATCGGTATCACGATGACCGCATCAGTTCTCTCGAAATGGCCCAATTTCAAGTTCTGGGCTCGAAGTTTAGGTCGTCAGGCTCGTCGCCAAAGTTGTCGAACCGGTGATGCAATAGCCATGACGTGCAGGTTCACATCATCTGCATGATCTTGTTGGTCCGAATGAATTGAGTCTTGCTCTTCTCGTGCGATTGCATCATGTGGCGATCGGTGACATTTTATGAACCCCCATCCTGACAGGTACTGAATCTCATTCCGGTGCTGCCACCGACTCCAGTCGTATCGGGACATGGTTCCTGGGAGGCTGACGGGCATCTACCTCGGTCCTTCCTTCTCCCTTTTCCTTAGGCCCTGGAATGTCTATACCTGTATACTGATTGCTTCCATAACTTACAGGACGACTTAGTAGTAACTAAGTTAGTACTACTATGGCCAAGTTCACCAATCTTGCCAAGGAGCGTGCCCTCAATCCCTAGTACAGTCCCGTAGTACACTGTACAGGACCTCTACCCCTCCTCCCATGCACATCCCAAGTTCCTCTCCTCGTTTTGACAATCCAAAAGAGGCTGGACAACCTTCCAAACGTTCTCGCTTCTTCATGTCTGAGACTCCGCCCGCTCGGCTACATTCTTGTCGAAGGCGGTTTGTCCCATTTGAGACATCCCAAGGGATAAGAGGCAAGACGCGTCGCCTGTCGCGTGTCGACCGCGTGTCTGTCGCGTGAGCCACGCGTGCATAGACGCGCTGGACGCGTCTCCACTTGCATGTCTTAACCCAATTACGATTCGTCTGTGGGTCCGTGTCCTGCTGCACCGACATTCTTGCCAGATCGGATCATCGTCATCGCTGTACGACCTCTTCCGTTGGGAATGACGGTCTCGCTGAGGAGTGAGGAGATCAGGAGATACACATTAGGCGTTAGTGATATTACACTGTGTAGTACTGTAGTGTCTAGTACTGTAGTGTCTAGTGTGTACTGTGTACCATGTTCTTTTGATTCGTAGAGGTGGCACAGGTGATTGACTGCTCTTTTCCATTCTGTGGATGCAGTTGGAGAAAAGCATGTCCCTTCAACCCATCATAGTCAGGGTCTTGATTGAGATCAACGCCAAAGTTAGACCACTTTAGGTTATGCAAAGGTCGTAGTACTACTATGGAGTATGGACCAGATCATCAGAGTCTTCAGTCTTCTACCCATGTCGGTACTTCCCCTATAGTTCTGGACCATCCCCTCTGACGCCGGTGTCCCCTCCTCAACTGGTCAGTCGGTAGTTCCAGTCAACCTAACCTGTTCGACTCTGAGGCAGGTCCAGGCAACCTGTTTTATTTTTATTTACTTCTCTGTTTGTACATGAAATGGTGCTTCACTTTTAGAAAATAGAAACTGGAATATAGCAAGAGACAACGCTTTATTCATCAGGAACTTTTCATCCCTGATATCCTTCCACGGGAGGCATGGTTATTGGGGAGACCTTGTTGAGGATCACGGATGGAAGGTCTACATCTACATAGAGCAGGGAACAGTGTCACGAGGCGCCTTCTTCCTCTTCAACATTCTTGCCCTCGCCCTCTTCACTCCTTACTTGACTGCCCTCTCTCCTCCACCTCTTGAGACGAACTCTGCAGCATTCAACAGACAGAGATAGACACCTCGTGGCTTGAGTCGCATCTTGCACCTGCATTCATGCGCTGCATCGGCGTCTCCATTTTGCGGGGTGCAGATTCTTAGTCGCATCTACACAATCAATCCTACTGACGTTGGCACTGTGGTACCGCGATATCCATACCTTTTATTGCTTCTTGAATCAGAGGCTCCGACTATTTACCCTTGTTCTGGGAAACAAATTCCTTCCGTAGACTTCCAAGGTTGCTTCTCAAGAGTAGCCGACATCGTCCTTCCAGCCTTTGTTCCGAACGCAGGTCAGGCTGTCTTACTCGACACCCGCACTGTGAAGTGTAAACTTAGTAGAATCAAAGGGCTGAACAATTGCCTCCCCGGGCGACTCTAACCCCGTCTTCGACTGGAGCACCAATTTGTTAAGTCATCGGCCCTGTCACCAACGGTCGTCGAGTGGCCTCCGAGGATCTTCAGCCCTCGTTCTCCCCCCCCGAAAGTGGTGTCAATGCCCTGCCATCCCCCTCCTCCTTCCACCCCACAGATCGACGCAAGGAGTCAATGGGGAACAAAGAAGATGATTGTCTCTACGCATTATCTGATGCGATAGCATGGGTGAAAGTGTACATGGAACGATAGCCCGTTGGGGTTCCAGCCTGAATTCTCGTGACAAAGAGGGGGAAGGGATCGATTATCTTTTGGACCCCGCTGGACCCCTTCTGCTTTACTTGAGCCCCGTCGAAACAAAGCGCGATTCTTTGTCGAGATAGATCGGAGTCTGAGAGCCAACGAGTCATGTTCATGGAACTTTCTTAGTTTGAAACGTGTCCCGTCGGGGAGAATTTATTGTTCATACCTCTAATGCATAGGTTTCGTGGATCTTTCTTTGTCGAGTAGGATACGCGATTCTATATCAGGTAGTAAGTACACTTCCCAGGTGCTAATCCCGAGCAACGATTCGTCGGAGTCAGACCTTCATCTCCTCCTCGATTAGACAAAGACATCAGTCATCGGACCGCAGGATGGATCCAAGCCGCTTCGGGAGTCGAACAGCATTCACCCTACCGCAGCACTACCTGGGGACGACAGAACTGATGAAGGGAACAAAAGTTCACTCGGGAAACAGGTAGATTGCGATTGCTGGCGTAACGACCAATTTGACTGCACAGACTCCACTTTGGGTATCAGCATCACGACAATTGATCATTTGCAAATTGAGAATTTCCTAACTTCATGAGTCATAGGGATCCAAGTCCCATCTTCCCAGTCGTCGAACGCTAAAACATCTCATAGAAAACTACTTCCACCTCCATCTGCTAGACTCTTCGCCTTCTTCCTCGCCCCGTCATTGCCGAGGGTCACTCAAATGATCACAGCAGTCTGTCCAACAACTCCACATTCCTACCGTAAGCAAAACGTTTGCGCTTCCCGGTGATGGGATTGTAAACCTCCTCATACACTTGGCCAAGATCATCGCTTTCATCTCGAAAAGGTCTCTTGGAAGCGGATGGCCCTCCTTGTCCAGTATCAGCTCTTGCACGATCCTCCCGGGGAATAAGGGAAGATCTTCCTAAACCATTTGCCGCGGCGACTGTGAAAGTAGATTTAGCAATTGCATCCTTGGTGTGAATCATCGACTCAATCTGTGCTGCAGATCTTTCGCCGCTCAACCCATCAAAAGTTGAAACGTACAGGAATTTTCTCTCCACGCGGTGTCTGTGTCGGTCAACATGCTCCCGCCTGACCTGGCTCACAAACTCATAGCCATCAGACTCGACCCCAACTTCCTTTTCAACTTCCAGGGCGTGGATCTGCGGGGCTTCTTCTTTAGGAGGGAAGGAGACAAGATTGGGCATCTGGGGCATTGATGTTGTTGACGTATTCAGAGGTTGAGGCCTAGAGAGACTAAGATCTTCCCATGAGCTATCAGGGACTTCGCGGGACGGGCATTCGTCCATGAGCTTGGGAATCTCTTCGGGTCCTGAGGGAGCACAATCCACCTCGGAGACCGGACCGGCACACATCGAATCGGAGTCCTTCTGACAACTATCCAGATCGATAACAATCGACTCGCCAATGACGTGGGGAGTCCAGTCTTCAACTGCGTCATGGTACTTTTCGATGAACCAGCCTGCCTGCGAAGCGTGAGTGAACCATTCATGCTGCAGCGCTTGTTTCACGTCCATTCGACAAGATTCATCTACATCGAGCAGACGCTGCATGAAGTCCTTTGGCCGTGGGCTGATCCGAAGAGCTTCCATGTCCGCTTCCAACATGGCCCCGGCCCGCTCATACGATCTGTTGAACTGATTGTAGTGGACGTCTCCAACCAAGAGCACTGCAGCTGTACATCCAATCGCCCACATGTCGACGGCCTTGCTGTAGCCCTTCTCTCTCACCGGCTGCAGTTCCCTATGCCGATGGATTAGCGAGAATGATCGAAACAACACCCCAAGGGGCAGACTTACGGTGCACAGTATTCACGGGTCCCAACCAGACTGTTCATCCGCTGACAACCCCGGTTCATCCGCTTGGCGCAACCGAAGTCAGCCAATACGACCCTTCCACCGTTCTCCAACGATGTAACAAGTATGTTGTCTGGCTTGATATCTCGGTGCACAATCTGCCGGTCGTGAAGATACTCGACGGCAAGAAGAACCTGTCGGATTATCAGGGCGGCAGTGTCTTCTTGAAGCCGGTCACCATTCTTGCGCAAGAAGGAGTAGAGGTCACCGTATGTGACGAGTTCGGTGAGCATGAAGCTAGATCCAGATTCGGTCAGACTGACACATATGTACTGTCATCAACCAGAGTATCAACTCACATTGTCTTGCTGGATTGAAATACCCTCTCCACACGGAGGATATTTGGCTGTATATCCTTTAGCACAGTGCTCCACGCAGCCATAGGCTCATAGTAAGATGGGAGACTTACATGGGAGAGGCCAGCAAGTAGCAGGGCTTCTTGCCTCTGCATCTCGACCTGTCGCATTACGGGCGACTTTGACTTGCCAGTCTTTTTTGTCGCGCGTTTAATCTTCGCGAAGAGTCGAGATTTTCTCGCGAAAAACTTAGACTGTTCCTCCTCATTCAAATTCGCCCGTGCTTGGGCTGCCACGGCCTCTAGGTCGACAACTTTGCAAGCGAACTGTCGACCTGTCTTGACATCATGAGCCATGTACACCTTTCCAAACGCACCGGAGCCCAGGAGACGTGGTGTCACGGCATATTGATCTCCGAACTTCTGAATGGGGACACATTAGCTTTGAAGTTCACTCCAGGGTGCTACGCTCGCTTCTCTCACCTCCATCTCCACTTGCTGCAGGGGAGTGAGCTGGCTCCCTTTTGAGGCGAAGGCAGACTTGAATTGAATCTGACTATGGCCAGCTATCTCCAAAGTGTCCCCGTCACATAGGAGTGAACTGGCATATCCTTTTCTCATGACGTGGCTGTTCCAGTAGGTGCCATTCGTCGACAGGTCCTCTGCGTACACCAGAGGCGGAACATTCTCGAGGTCTCCAGCATCGTACACAACCGTGTAGATGCGGACGTGTCTGCTCGAGACGAAGGGGCTTGCCACGTGGATTTGGCTTCGCCTGACTTTAGTCTCACCTTCACATATAATTCACAACAGACACAAAGATGTGGGGTTCAATACTAACCACCTCTTAGCGTCTCTTCCAACGAAGACCTCTATGTTGCTGTAGACCTCAACAGTGGTGACGACTTGTTGGGTGTCAGGATGCTGAAGAGTCAAGCTGCCTACACGAATCCCGACGTCCTGGGCGAGGTCAGTTGTGGACGCCATGGCTAGAGTAGCCCCGTGCCAGCAAATTTCTGAACCGATGGGGTGTGAGCGTATGTGCAGATCAAACGGGAATGTAACGCCCGGAGCAGTAGCCGATGCGAAGACGATGGTTTTGTGTAGGAAAATGATGGCTGTTTGAGCGAAGCTGATGGTTGAAGGAGAGTGCAAAGACAAAGTAAAAGCAACGTCAAGTGAGAAGACGTAAATGTTTGCTTGCACACACACACACACACACACACAAATCTCAATCTCAAAACTCACGGGCACCTCACCTACGTGCATGTGATTTGGTCCGAAGTTAGGGCAGAATTTTGGGGTTGTCTAGCAGCGCTGCCTACAGGCAAACATTTCCAACGTCTTCTGGAACCGTGTCTTATTTACCAGAATGTGTAGTTTGTTTCGGCCGATAGTGTACAAAAGAGGAAATATGGACCATTAGCAGCGTCAACCTTCATAATGACTGAACAGTTCTGAGAATCTCAATTTCCCTGCATCTTTCGGAAACGTTCCTCTGCTGCTCTCGCTCGCCGTTCTCTTTCGAGCCGCATCCTCATCTCCGGGGTCATACCTCGAGTCTCCTCATCACGTTTCTCGGCAGCGGTCTTTTCCATCGCTCCCAAAAGTCTACCGCCAGACTTGGCAAGTTGCTGGGCCTTTCTCTCCGCGTCTTCTCGTTTGAGGCGTTCTAGACTAGCCTTGCGACGATTTGCTTCTTCGTCAAGTGCTTCCTGCTTCTCCTTCTCAAGACGACTGACTGCGTCCGCCTTGGAGATCGCGGGTGGCACTTTGGCTGCCGTCCAGTCCCACTTTGACTCGCCGAGCTCATGACGGGCAATGCGGAAAGCATCACGAGTCGGACGCTCACCACAAAGCTCAAATGGTGTGCGTCCTTCTCCATTGGTCACAGTTGGGTCTGCATTTGTGCGGGAAAGAAGTGCGGCGACGACAGCGGCATTGTCATTGTTCGCAGCGAGATGAAGAGGCGTGGGGCAACGGAAGTTCTGCGGTGAGTCCACCGGCTGAAATTGGAACGACGCAGGTATAGAGTTATTCGTCAGGTAGGTCATCAACGCCGGAATCTTAGAACGCCGGATGAGAGCTTGTATTTGCGTTGTGTGTAACAGAGCGGCCTCTTCTTCTTGTGTTAGCTTGGGTTTTTGAGGCTGTGGACGTGGTACAGTTATCTTGGACTCCTCTTTCTGCTTAGCTGCTTCCGCGGCAGCAGCCAACGCAGCCTCGTCAACCTCGCTAATCTTAACGCGAGTGAGCTCCTTGAAGGATCGCAAAAGCTCGCTTTGTGTGGCACGGCGGGTGTTGAAAGGAAATCCCCTCAGTCGAGGATCATTTTGCTTTAGCACATTTCCCTCGTACTTCTCGAACAGAATTCTTCTGTTGGTCTTGCCGGTAGCACGCACAAAGAGAAGCTCTGCACTGTCAATCATCTCTCGCCAGTCGTGAAGAAGCTCTCGAATATCCTTTTCCAACGCGGCCTCGTTGTACCGACGAAGGCTGGAACCTGCTGATTGAGCAGCACCTCTGCTCGCATCGCTAGCCGATTGAGTGCCACCTTGCTTTCTTCGCGTTGTGTATCGATGGAAGGTTTTATGCGCAATGACCTTTGCCTGTCTCTCTTCCGCACCACCCTGCTTGCGGTGGATCTCAGGCGCCAGCGACACCAACATGGCTGCGAAATGACCGCCGCCGATCATGCACATGAAAACGTGTGGACTCTTGGGTGCCGGCTGAGTCTGGCTGTGGTTCTGATTCGCTTGCGGTCTGATGGGCTCCAGCTGTTTCTTTTGCAGAGATTCCACCAGGTAGACAGGTGCTTGTTGTTCGACGTCTGTGAAGATTGCGCGATAAATTCCGAGCGACTTGTTGGAGGGCAGAGACGAGCTGGAGAACCAGAAAAGGGGGGTTTTTAGGCGCACTGGCTGTCGCGCCTTCCATTGCCTCGTCATTTGCTTCGGTAAGCTTGGCCTGTTTCTTCAGCAAGGCAGTGAGCGTGGTGTCGTTGGCACCATCCGCGTCATCGTCCTCCGTTTCCGACGACTCTGACCCTGATATTGACTCGTCAAGTTCTCCCACTGCTTTTGCGAATTGGAGCTCATCCAGAGGCTCATTTCCCCGCAATTGCGCTTTGATGTTATAGCGATGATGGTCAGAGCGAACGTGACTGCGCTGCTCTTGCACATTGGAGTATGTTACTTTGCAAAGAGAACATTGTGTGGTTGTTGCGACAGTAGCTTCCTGAGCGGCGAGCTCTGGATCGTCGACTTGAACAAGGGCCGACTCGGGGGATTGCGCAGCACCTGCGTGATTCGCGGTTTTGGCGCGCAGAGTCGCAAGAAGCTCCGAAGGCAGATCATAGACTGCGCAAATTAGCAAATGTTGCCTCTCTCCAATCATAAACAGAGTGAACTGACCATAAAGAGGACGTTTGATAAGGTCCTCTATCCGATTAGAATCTGCCATCTCAAGGTGTTTTGTCGATATAAGCTCGAGAGTAGATTGATAGCAATTCTGCTGCCCCTCCAACAAATGACGCAGGCGAACAAGCTCTTACCGCCCTGGAATGCTATGCGAGCGGACAGTCGGAGGTCTGGCCTCAGATAAGATTATCTTGCTTTGAATTGGGTCGGAGTCGGACTACCTCTTAGTTGCACAGTAGGAGTTACCTGTTGGCTCGGTCGGCTTTTATAAGACACTCTACACAGGTTTCCCAGAAAGAGAGTCATGCCACTTGAAATACCTATTCTAAGCCTTGCTGAGCTCTAGTCGTGGGGAAACACTCCGGCAGAAACCAGAACTGGACCAACGCGGTGCCCGATCGTCAATGACATCCTCCCTCAGCCTGACTCACCTTCCCAGCCTTGCCCGGGCCACATCCGATGGAATCCTGAAGTTCGTAAACACCACAGCTATGCAACGGATTTTACACATGCTCGCTCACTACACGGTACACAGAACACACGATCATCCAGAAGATCTTTGATCTCGGTCATTGCTAAAGTGAAGGGCCTTTGCGTCGAAAGAGAACTGGCAGCCCCAGGGTGTTGGTATCGACCCGGCTGAGATCGAAAATTGTTTCAATCTATCGACAGACCCCTTGCGGATGCTCATATCAGTCGGGTCACGGGTGTGGTATAGTAGTCAAATTCCCCGATCTAGCAGAGAACAATAACACATGCGAACGAGCTGCGTTTTATCTCGCGGAGTTGAGAGCGTGATCTCAATTCATGTTAAGTTGCACAGCTTGTCCACCCGCAGAGGTTTCAGGACAAGCCAATGTTTTTCTTATATTACCTCGCGAGCTATCTCGCTGGCGCAGATGTCATCGATCACATAGCCGAATCAAGTCATGTAACACAGACCTCGTTGCCAAACACACGACTGGTCAAGAGTTGGCTCTTTTGTGGACGCTGCGCGACAGACCTCCTGCTGGGGAGGGCCTTCAATGTTGAGTGTTGCAAAGACTTTAAAGATAGCCCATTTTGTGGTAGACAATTTCCAATCCACCATTACGGAATGCGGAGAGATCGATCCCGCAGCCTCACGAAGTTACATACGCAACGGCCTCGAGGCGATTCTTCACAAATGATTAAGAGCTCACGAGTTCCTCCCCTCTACAAGACGATCCACCGAGGACTTCTATCGACTGATTTTGCCGAGTCTAGTAGTGAACCAAGCGTCTCAAAAAATCCTCTCTAGTCGATCCCGCATCGGGGAGAGCAGATCTAAACTGCCGCAGTGCCGACGCAACGATCGGCTTTACAGAGGCTTATCGCCGTACCAAGAGATGGGGTCATGTGATTTTTATGGACTTCCGCCTCAATGTGTGTTCTTCACTGGAAGTAATGGGCTGTAATGCATCAACAAGTGGGACCCCTGACAGTTCCAGTTGTACTTGTCAAGTGGATGCATGAAACACATGGCCACAGCAGGGGAGCATCGTCAATAGAGCTCAATGATTCTCGGAGGCTCTTTGTTCAAGACTTAAACGGACGTCATCTGGGGCATTCTGACCATGGACACGAGGTTCCGCCTCGGGTCAGCACTTCGACCCACCGCCCTGGGTAAGCACCGTCGGGGTCGAGGCAAGGAACAAAACTTCTTGGAACGGCACTTGGGCTTTTAGTAAGCAGCCTCGCAGTTCACTTCGGTAAAGGTAAGTCGAAGTCCTCCGCAACTTTCGAGTGACCTTTTTTCTTACTCATTCCACCGTGTCCGTCAGTGTCTACGGAAAAAGAGAACTAGGCGCGCTGTCGCTCCTCACCACCATGTCGGATGGTCATACGCAGATGGTGCTGGGGACGGTTGAGGCCGGTGGTTCCCTGTCCGCACAGCTGCCCTCCGCTTTCGACCATCATCAGCGACAACCCTTTTGCAGCGACCGGGAAGGCTGGGGTCCGGTCAGCTTGAATGGCTTCTACCTCACTTCCTGCTTCGTAGATGTTGTTGTGGCCGTTGTCGCCGTCTGGGGCACAGTTGCCGGTCTCGCAGCATTGTGGCTTCTTTTGAAGAAGCGTACGGAGCAGCCGGTTGCAAAGAATTGGCATTTCTACGCCAAATTGGTACGCCCTGCCCCGTCCGCATGGCCCCGAAGCCTTTCTCGGGTTGAAATGTCAACGCTAACCTGTGAAAAACTTTTGATATCAATCATAGGTCGTGCTCGCCGGTCTGATCGCTGTCACCGCTCTGCAGGCTGCTTTGCTAGCTGAAAGTCAACCAAAGCAATTCTTCGCCGACTTCCAGTTCTGGTCCTCGATCGGGGCGCTCATATCGCTGGGCGTGATATTCTCGGTGCAATACTATGAGCATTGGCGCAGTCGGCAGCCCAACGGTGTTGTCCTGTTCTACTGGCTCTTCTTCATCATTGCGTATGCCATCAAGCTGCAATCATTCGTCTCCCAGAAGACTTACTTGCACTTCCTGCCGTACTTCATCTGCATCAACATCTCCCTCGGACTTGCACTGCTGGAGTTCGTCCTGGAATACTTCGTCCCCAAGAAACAGAGCGCATATGACGCGCTCGGCGACGAGGACGAATGTCCATACAACTATGCCGACATCTTTTCAGTCCTCACTTTTGGCTGGATGACCCCGCTCATGAAGTTCGGCTACAAGAACTACTTGACCCAAGACGACCTTTGGAATCTCCGGCGCCGTGACACCACCAGAGTAACAATGGATGATTTGAACGAGGCATGGAAGGTGGAACTTGAAAAGAAGAGTCCTTCACTGTGGCTGGCATTGTTCAAGGCCTTTGGCGGTCCCTACATACGCGGTGCAATCATCAAATCCGGCAGTGATGTTCTCGCATTTGTGCAGCCACAGCTTTTACGATACTTGATTACGTTCATCGACTCGTATCGGAGCCCGGATCCACAGCCCGTTATTCGTGGCGTGGCTATCGCTCTAGCCATGTTCGTGGTCTCAGTCTGCCAGACTAGTTGCCTTCATCAATACTTCCAGCGTGCCTTTGACACTGGTATGCGGGTGAAGTCATCCCTCACCGCGTTGATCTATTCTAAGGCCTTGCGGCTGTCGAGCGAGGGCCGCGCATCGAAGACAACAGGTGACATTGTCAACCACATGGCTGTTGACCAACAGCGTTTGTCTGACTTGACTCAATTTGGCACTCAGCTGTTGTCGGCTCCTTTCCAAATTGTCCTGTGCATGGTGTCACTTTACCAGCTCGTGGGTGTCAGCATGTTCGCTGGTGTTGGTGTCATGATCCTCATGATCCCACTCAACGGTATTATTGCTCGTTTGATGAAGAAGCTCCAGATCACTCAGATGAAGAACAAAGATTCAAGGACTCGGCTGATGACCGAAATCCTAAACAACATGAAGAGCATCAAGCTGTACGCTTGGAACACCGCATTCATGAACAAGCTCAGCCATATTCGAAATGATCTGGAGCTCAACACCCTTCGCAAGATTGGTGCGACGCAGAGTATTGCGAACTTCACCTGGCAGTCAACTCCTTTCCTCGTTTCCTGCTCCACATTCACCGTGTTTGTCTTGATTAGCGACAAACCTTTGACCACAGACATCGTTTTCCCTGCTTTGACCTTGTTCAACCTTCTGACATTCCCACTCTCCATATTGCCAATGGTCATCACCTCAGTCATTGAATCCACCGTGGCAGTGAAGCGTCTGGTGGACTACTTCACCGCAGAAGAACTCCAAACCGACAGCGTCATCTGTCAAGATCCCGTCGAGCATGTTGGTGATGAATCCGTTCGTATCCGTGATGCGACGTTCACCTGGGATCGTTACTCCCCGACACCTGCTCTCAAGAATATCGACTTGAGCGCTCGTAAGGGCGAGCTCACCTGTATCGTGGGTCGCGTCGGTGCCGGCAAGTCTTCTCTACTGGAGTCAATTCTCGGAGAACTCTGGAAGACTCAGGGTGAAGTGGTTGTTCGCGGTCGGATTGCGTATGTCGCACAGTCACCTTGGATCATGAACGCCAGTGTTCGGGAAAACATTGTATTCGGACACCGCTGGGATCCTGCGTTCTACGACCTCACGGTTGAAGCTTGTGCTTTGCTCGACGATTTCAAGATCATGCCCGACGGTGATCAGACCGAGGTCGGAGAGCGTGGTATCTCGCTCTCAGGTGGTCAAAAGGCTCGATTGACCCTCGCACGTGCGGTGTATGCTCGCGCGGATATCTATCTCCTCGACGATGTCCTATCTGCCGTTGACCAGCATGTCGGGCGTCATATCATCAACAAGGTGCTTGGCCACACTGGTATCCTGAACGGAAAGACCAGAATCTTGGCAACAAACGCGATTACTGTACTCAAAGAGGCCGACTTCATTGGTCTTCTCCGTGATAAGACCATCATCGAAAAGGGTACCTTTGAGCAGCTGATGGCGATGAAAGGTGAAGTCGCGAACCTGGTGCGCACAAACTTGGCTGAGATGGACGACGAGCAGTCGCCCAGTGTTTCGGATGAAAGTTTGATCAGTCCTGATTCGTCAGAAACGGCTTTGATCGAGACTGGTGAAGGGTCCGACACCGAGGAAATAGACCAGCCCGGTTCCCTTGTTCCCATCCGCAGCCGTGGTGATGCTCGCAGAACCAGTATGGTGACCTTACGGCGCGCAAGCACAGCGACTTGGCATGGGCCCCGTCGCAAGCTTCATGACGAAGAGAACGTCCTGAAGAGCAAGCAGACTCAAGAAACCTCCCAGCAAGGGAAGGTCAAGTGGGGTGTCTACGCTGAATACGCGAAGAATAGCAATCTCGTCGCTGTCACATTCTACTTCCTGACACTCTTGGCTGGACAGACTGCCCAAGTTCTTGCCAACTATTGGCTCAAGAACTGGACTGATTATAACGAGACTCATGGTCGCAATCAACAAGTAGGCAAATTCATCGGTGTGTATCTTGCCTTCGGCCTCGGGTCGTCTCTGATGGCTATTGTTCAAAACTTGATACTTTGGATCTTCTGTTCGATTGAAGCGTCGCGTAAAATGCACGAGCGCATGGCGCATGCGATTTTCCGCTCACCAATGAACTTCTTCGAGACTACGCCCTCCGGTCGTATTCTCAACAGATTCTCCAGTGATATATACCGCGTTGACGAGGTGCTCGCTCGCACCTTCAACATGCTGTTTGCCAACTCGGCTCGTGCAATCTTCACCATGGGGGTGATCTCATCTTCTACGCCTGCTTTCTTGCTGCTAGTGGTTCCACTGGCCTGGGTTTATCTTAGCTACCAGAAGTACTACCTTCGAACATCCCGAGAGCTGAAGCGTCTTGACTCAATCACTCGGAGTCCGATTTACGCACACTTCCAGGAGTCGCTCGGTGGTATCTCAACCATTCGTGCTTACCGTCAAGAGAATCGATTTGCTCTTGAGAATGAGTGGCGCATGGACGCGAACCTGCGCGCATACTTCCCGTCGATCAGTGCCAACCGCTGGCTCGCTGTTCGCCTCGAATTTATTGGCTCTGTGATCATTCTGGCCTCCGCTGGACTTGCCATCATCGCCGTGGCGACCGGAAGCCCGCTCTCGCCTGGCATCGTTGGTTTGGCCATGTCCTACGCTTTGCAAATCACACAGTCACTGAACTGGATTGTTCGTCAAACTGTTGAGGTGGAGACCAACATTGTCTCTGTTGAGCGCGTGCTCGAATACGCGAACCTACCTTCAGAGGCCCCTGATGTCATTTTCAAGCGCCGACCGGCTGTGGGCTGGCCTGCCCAGGGTGCTGTCTCATTCCAAAACTACAGCACTCGATACCGCGAGGGCCTGGACTTGGTTCTCAAGGACATTAATTTAGATATCAAGCCTCACGAAAAGATCGGTGTGGTGGGAAGAACCGGCGCGGGCAAGAGCTCGCTTACCCTTGCTCTGTTCCGCCTCATCGAGCCATCCAGTGGTACGATCAGGTGAGTGTTTTTTTTTCTTTTTTTTTTCCCTCGGCTCTGTGCCTCAGCGACTACTACTTACTTACCCTCTTATTAGCATCGATGGACTGGATGTCACTACAATTGGATTGTTTGATCTTCGCGGCCGCCTGGCCATTATTCCACAGGATCCAGCAATGTTCGAGGGTACTCTACGTGATAATCTTGACCCCCGTCATGTTCACGACGATACGGAACTGTGGAGTGTTTTGGGTATGTCTAGTGGATTCTGATCACCGGTGACATTTGTCGTTGGGAATCAGTGCTAATTATTATTGTGCGCAGATCATGCGAAGCTCAAGGACCATGTCGCAAGTATGGAAGGTCAACTGGACGCACAAGTCCAGGAAGGAGGTCAGTAGTGCGAAACTTCCAAGTCAGGAGTGGTGCTAATATCATTTTTCTTTGCTCCAGGTTCCAATCTCAGTCAAGGTCAACGCCAGCTAGTGTCTTTGGCACGAGCACTTCTCACCCCCAGCAACATCCTGGTACTTGATGAGGCAACGGTCAGTTCATATCTGATTTTAACCCCCCTTTATACCAGCTTTTTCTCGAAAAGGACGGCTTTCTGACTGTTTGATTCACAGGCCGCTGTCGACGTCGAGACCGACGCGCTGCTTCAGCGCACTTTGCGCAGCAACATTTTCCAGGAACGAACCATCATCACTATTGCGCACCGCATCAACACCATCATTGATTCGGATAGGATTATTGTTCTTGACAAGGGCCGAGTTGCAGAGTTCGACACCCCGGCCAATCTTATCAAGTCAAAGGGCCGTTTCTTCGAGCTTGCGAAGGAGGCAGGATTGCTCGATGGCGATAACATTGCCAGCTCCTCTCCGGGTGCAGAATAAGTCCCGCTACGAGTATTGTAAATTACCCTCAAAAATTTCCTGTCCAGTTTTATATGCGCAGGCTGTATCTACAAGAGCAAATTGCTTTATGCAAGACCACAGTGTCTGTGTGAATGGTTTTTTTGTCAACCGAACGACCTGTTTGGGCTAACGCTGCTCGACTTGATACCACGACGTCTGGAATCTTGCCACGGTTTAGGTTGAGGCTCGGTCCGGTCCACACTCTGCCTAGAGCAAGCTCAGCATGATGGGAGTGAAGTAGTATAGTTCGCTCCATTTTCCATGGACGTTTGTCGTAAAGCACAGATCAACTTTAGTGAATTTCTTGACACGTGTAGATTACCTGCCTCGCTCTGGATATATACTTGTCGAGACATGATTATGTTTATTTGGAGTTCGTCATTGGTCCTCATACTCTCTACCCAGTACACATTACACACTACACACTACACACTACACACTACACACTACCTGTTAATCACATATCCTAACTACGTATAGGAGTTCATTCCATTATTGACTCAGTTACTCACAGGTTTCCAAGGTATACACCCTTTACCACCGGTAGAGCACTGGTGTAATTGACTCAGGTGTACCTACTTGTGGTTTGTCAATACACCGAGGAGTGTCTATAATTATGTATAGATGTTCATTCAATTCAATCGCTCCCCAATGCGTCAATCCTGTCTGCCCACGTTCTCTGAACGTGAACTGTCTTGACTACCACAGAAGGTCATACCAACACTTTGACTCTTACCTAGTAGGTATCTGAGAGCCGTGTGGGCAGTAATCCATAGCATCCATTCTTCTAGGTGAGAAGGCGACCGAGCCCGAGTTCGTTGTGACTCTGACGTTTCCATGACTTCAGTGGAAGCTTCTATTCGAACCGATTCCAATCGTCTACCTAGTTTGATATTGAACATGGGTAGGTGGCGGTCTGGCATTTCTGCCAAAAAGCCGTCACAACCCCAAAGCCTCGTAGTGTCTGTTGAATCCCGATCTGTATCATGTCAAGCTTGAGGGTCAAAGGCACGGAACGGCCACGAGTTGACCGCAAGTCTTTGCAATGTGCTCGAACTCTGCGCAGGTTTATCGCAACCACTACGGACGAAGCAAGAGGCTAGTCTTGCAGACCGCAGACCGCAGACCGCAGACCGCGAACTGCAGACCGCATCGTGCACATATATCTATACCACTGGCACAGATCGATGTAGAGTCAAGGATTGTATGGAAGTATATGCAGAAAGTCTAAGCAAGTACGATGGAACAGAACCGAGGTCTATTGTCCATCCTCCACGTTCCAAGCTTCTCGTCTGTGTTCCTTCTTCGCTCACTCATCATGTCGGCCAGTCGAGTCTTCACTTTGACCATTCCGTGCCCGCATTGATCCCGGATTACTTGCACTAGCGTTGCATCTCAACGTGGCGGTAAAATGCGTTGAACATAAGGATCGAAGTAATCAAACTTTTGCCTCCCCCGGCTGACTGCGAGCTTGATCTTTTTTGGCCGTTGCTCAATCCTTATCGTTGCGGGGATGTAGTAAGTTGTAGCGGTGTACAACTGTCATGTCGTCAGCACAGTGAGATGGCAGGGTGTCACACCGCTTGCTGCCTGAGGTACCCCCGAGGAACAGCCTAAATGGGAAGAGAGGTACCCCCGGATAGGGTAGCGTTTAGGTACCGAGGGCGGGCTGGGCTCGCCCGTGATGGACTTGCGCTGTACCCGGGGGGGCACCGTGTCTGGTTGGAACTCCGGTCCAAGCGATGTATTGTCTTTTCTCGCAGACCTTTAGACCTGGTAAGTTTTTTTTCTTCCACTTGCCAGGCGAGACTAATGTCTTTCTCTGACGAGCGATGCAGAAACTCTTGACAAGACTACTGCTGCTGCTGATGCAGGTCAGGAAATCTCTGCAACGTTTGTCAGCAAGCGTGGTGTTCTCCGATAATCACGTACTAGCAACTGCAAAGCCTCTTTGCAGCTCGTCGGGCGTCGGCTTCGCCGGTCGAGACTGGGCTATGAGAGACGAGGCAGGAAATAGATTCGAGAAATGAAATGCTGTGGCTGATCTAATGATGCGTCCTGTGGCTGAGTCGCAAGCTCAAGAATAGACCGAGTGTTCAAGACTTGATGCTATTTGGGCGGCCTTTGCATCGGTTCATCCGACCATGCGCCCAGAATAACCTCATCCGAGTATGTATTGACCCCAGCCACCGGTCTTGCAGGAGTTCAGTCATCACATGCGGTGATATTGATATGAGTGACAATTCGAAAGCAGCTCGTGAGATGCTGTGAAATATCCATTATCGTTGAGAAGTACGAGCGACTCCCTAGTCCACGAACCTGGACGACAACCTCGTTGATTCTTCGATTCCCTGTTGCGGGCATGAGCCCATCGCATTCCAGAATACGACCTTATGACGTCGCCAGATGAGAGACTGTTTCATTTTACTTCGAGCCAAGATCGTCCTCATTGCCTGAATTAGAGTCTATGCTTGCCATGTAAGCGAAATTGTGCCCTTCAATAGCGGCAACGCCGCTGAAGCAGTCTCAAGCAAGGGGGGCTTGCAGCAGGAAACAATACAGCCGAAGCGACACCCACGCGGCAACTGGAATTACTCCATAGTCCATGCTCAATCTTTGAACCCATGACCTATGTGGAACCATCGATGGTAGTGGACAGTGGACATCAGAGTGCAGTTTGCATGCATCGAAGGCAAAAGGAAATTAAGATGATGATAGGCATTGTGTGAAGCTGCATGCAGCCATGAGTCAAAAGAACTCATACACGATGGGAGACGGGCTAGAACTTCAAGATGGAAGATTCCAAACTGGTGTATTGTAGCTGAGTTCGGAACATCGGGTTGGGGATGAATGCGCCTTGTCTGATGCGTTGCCCTGTTCCAAGATAGGCTTGACAGGGTCAATTCCAAGGTTTTCGATGCACATTGGCGTAGTGTTCTCATTCAGAGGTTGTTCCCTGTCCATTTTCTTGGTTAAGGTTGTCTGAATCTGGATTGTATTTTTATACTGTAGGCCGTCAGTCAATTCTGGACACAACTCGGGGGAAAACGGGAGCAGTGAACGAGGACCAGTTAGACCTGCAGAACTGCCTCGTTTCAGAATTGAATTATTGATGCAGAACACCAAAGTACTCCCATGCAGGCGTGAAACGGGATGAAACCTCTCGATGATTCCCTTCCATATGTCTCGCCCCTGACTCTGCGAGCCGGGGCGCACAGGAGCCTTTCCACGGCCTGTCGGCGCTCGCATCGAAGATGCATTGTACCTGAGTTACTGTGTTTTAATTTCGGCTTCACGGGAAAGCGAGCGATCTGTGATTGCAGATTAGCCTCGATCGATATCATATTGAGTGTGTGTCAGGTTCATGTCGCGTGGCTGGCGTTCGAGATTGATCAGGACAAGGCTCATTCATCTTGCAGATTCCGATGGAAACGCATATGAAGCAAAATAGACCTCGATCTTTCTTACTTGGTGATCCACGTACGGATGGATGACCCTGCTCCCGCGTCCTCTTTGATTCACTGACTGCTTTTGCTATACATCGTCCCTCGCCGTCTGTGCTCTGACACCAGCAGAAGTCCTCGGTTCAACAGCAGCAGTAGTAAGTCTCATTGGCAGAGCGTCAAGGTCCGATCGATGCAGGCGCGATCCATTTCAGCTCGACTTGCCCACTTGGGCTGTTGGTAAAGTTGACACTGGAGCCCCCGGGAGTGGAGAATCAAAGGCAAGGGATTGCTGGATCTTCAAGCGCTTGGGCATCTCCGGGGAATCGACGCTCCCGCTTCCTTCCCCAGTGAGTGCGTAGGTCTGACCAAACCGATCGGCCAATGATGAATTCTCGTGCAGGGTAGGATCTCATGCTTGTCAGATATCGCGCTGGCAGCAATTAGATTTTTCCGACTCCGTGGGTCTTGCATCCGTGCATCGAGGTACCTGCCAATAGTCACCAGGATGAGAGCCCGAGTAACCTGCAGACATCCAACATGGCGCCGGCGGGTCTGTGGGCGGACGCGTGCCGAGCAAGGCCCCATACTTATTTTCCCACCGAGTAGGCAACACGAATCGCTTTAGTTGGGTCCGATATCGTTGAGCGCATCTTGATCCGTGGGAGTCTGCATTTGGTTGTATTTATGGTTGATGCCTCTTTTGGTTCTTGGTTCTGGCCCACTATTCTTAATGAATGGGGTCGAGGCTCGGACGGCTTCGACGGCCCGGATGCATGTCTCTGATCGGATCTTTTGACATCTGAAACTTGCAAGTATTGGTCATCTTAGTGCACCGAGTAGCTCCGAAGAGACTTTTATCACTTTTTCCCCGCTCATGTCTATTGAGGGGTACAAGTGGCGCGCAATCCTCTACCGTGCCGATGACCTCGCAAAATGACGTTCATGCGACCCTAGATGCTGGATCTGATCAAGAGGCGTTCGATGGGCCTGCGAGATCGCGGTGACCACACTCACGGTACCATCAGCGTCGATTTCTTGAATCCAGACTTTTAAGAATTGAAGGATAATCAGCAAGTTCCACTAGGCACGGATCTTTCAGTGACAAGGCGTTATACCTTGGTTTGGCAGCAATCCCCAGCCCAGCATCACAGCGTATATCTGAGTGGTCCGGAGACGCAACCAGTATCTTGACCTCCACCCTATGTGGACACACGGCAGAGATTGCGGGCGGGGTGGGACAAGGTCATGGCATCGACAGTGTTGCCTACAAGACCTTTTTTTCCACAACGCAATGGGAGTTGACTGTTGCTGTGATTGTCATCCCTAGGTGCATGACTACAGGCCTGAGAAGGTACCGGGCGGGCAATGAAGGGACATTAGTCCTGCGTGGAACTCGCGGAAGAATCGATGTATCGCTCCTGGGAAGGACTTTCATGGTTCATGATCTACAATCCAGACAGATCGAGAACGGCATCTTGCCGTGGCATGATGATGCTGGGTATGCGTGGAGGCTGGCCAGCAGTGGACACTGAA